ATTAATATTCGGCCTACTGATTATATTTTGTTTGGTTATAATTTTACCCTAAAGAGTTTACTTTTTTAGGGGTTAGGGTCTATTTATTGTAAAATTTTAGATATAGAAGTATTCAAAAAATAAATGAATCTAACCAAAAAATAATTATATTAACTTATTATATTTTATCTAATAATTAATTAGATTATTATATTTCATCCAATAACTAAATGCCATGTAAGGTGAGATGGGAAGGTGAGATAAATTAGGTGAGTTGTGTATCATCACTCTTTACTAATTACCACAAATTTACAATTTACAAATATATTATCAGGAGGTTTTATCATCACACCTCACGTCGACATTTCGTCATCTCCCGGGCTCTTTGTCTTTGGAGCCCAAGGATGTTGATAAAGGCGTGGCCCAGACTCTTGTCCAAAGCGCTATTACAACTTCATGCTGACCGAGTTTTGAATGACTCGTTTGTCCTGTCAAAACGCAACGTAACATGTCCAACTAGACCGCATTGTTATTATATTTGGTGCATTTTTCTTCTTTTTTTTTTTCAAACCTAATTTTAAATTAATACTTTTTAGGATATGCAATACTTATTACAATATGTTTCAACCAAGACTTGACCCTTGATAGTAGATCTTCAAATTTCTGTAATTCACACGGTCCTTGTGCTATTAATTAAGCCAAAACAAAATTAGTTTCCTGAAACACATATAGCGATTAAATTTTTCGTCGCTCGATAGTAGATTCCTGAAACAGGATAATTGAGTGTTTTTTTCTTTTCTTTTTTATTTTATTTTTTGAGTTCCTGAATTGAGCATAAGAAGGAAAAGAAAGTCTCAAAATCACATGATCATTTGTAGTCTCAAAATCATAAAAATAAGTTACATTAACTGCCCTGATTTACACATATTTATGTCAAAACATAAAATTGAATTCAATAATGTGACATTTTAAAGTTTGCACATTATTATAAAATATGTGCAAATTGCGTGCAAGTGACTTAACAAAAAGTTTAGAAGATAATTAATATTCACATAATAAGAAGTGAATGACATGATATCTTATTTTACAAATAAAAAGAAGTACTCAGTTGTTATATGTGTAGTTGGATACCCAAAGTAGCCATTAATTTTTTCGTCACTCAAATAATCAATTTTGAGACAAGTCGGATAGAGTTAAATGCTTTAATTTGTTTTGAAGTATCTGCATAGAGCACAAGGAGACTCAATAGTAGAAGCTTGCTATATGACACTTCCCGATCAACATAAATCTCTACAACTTTTGGGGAGAAACTTTGAAAAGTCTGAAATTTAATTTCGCAGAGAATGCCATTTGGGACTTAAGAATCGAAGACTGATGCATTCTGCACAGTGGTCCGCCAAGGATTTTGCGTTTTACAGGATATGTTGAGCCATACCGATTGCCAGCTGTTGGCGGCCTTTGGATTATTCAAAAGCTAATAGAGAAATGTAAATAACACGTACGCCCTTGTCATATAGTATAAAGCTAATTGAGTTTAGTATGATTTTTTTTTTTTTGGTATATTATGCACTGGGTAGCCGAAGTCATTACTTCGACTAATCCGGATTTGAGCTGGGTAGGTCTGTTTCGGAAGGCAAAACTATCTCAACAAATATTGATAATTATTATGTCATCTTTTTTTCCTTCAGAATATTCTTCCCCTTTTTCTTTTTATTTTTCTTTCCTTCGAGAACTTCTTTCTTTATATATAACTTTTTTTCTTTTTCTTTTCTTTTCTTTTTTTTTTCTACTGTCATGCATTAAAAGCATGATAGCTTAAAGTAAACCGGATATAATTTTTTTTTTTTGTTTTCTTTTTTCCTAAGTAAAAGGAATATGCTAATAATACATTTAAACGTGAAAAGATATATCATAAAACTCGTGTGCAAAATCACGTAGGAAAAAATACAACATGTCACGTACCATCTTATAGAAGGTTCAATTTATGAAAGAAAAGAACTCGCGGTGCTGAAGATGCTGAGTTAGTTCATATCAGAAATAATTATTATAATAGAGTTTTGCCAGAATGACTATCATCAATTGGCCAAAATGGCCACTCATGCGTACTAATTACCTCAATAATATTGTAATAATGTTATGACTATAATGATTTAGCTAGATCAATAACATTGGGAAACAATATTAAAAATATTGGGAACTAACAAAACTGAATTGAAAGATGCATAATGGCATGAGATATGCTTAACAACAAAATTGGGTCGGTGGTTTCTCACCGATGTTGTGTCTTTCTCCTCCTAATCTATTATTTGCATTAATATATATCTAAATTTTTTGATTACTTATTGATTTGGGTTAATTGAGAGCATCTTCATTAATATTCGTGGAGCTGTTTCCTTGATTTTCCATAACCAACTAATAATTGTCCTTATGCTGTACTAGATTGAACTAGCTAATCACTAACTAAAAAAAGAAAGAAAAAAGAAGACCATAATGATGATGATGATGATGATGGAGTTTTTATAGACCATACTATATTTAAATTTGTATGATCATATAAGGGCGGCCATTAATTACTATTCCATAGTCCATGTTAATACGTCCCATTTTTTTTATAGGTAATTAAATTCTGATAATATGACGAACTATAAGACTATAGTAGTCCTGTATCATAATTCATAATAATAGTAATCGCTATTGTTGCTCGTCTCGAATCTCAGAACTTGGTAGCAAGTTAAAAAAGAAACAAGTTAATGCTAGCTAGCTTAGCTTTCGTCTTGCCTGCCTTAAGAGCTAGATATGCTGTGACACATATCTGTGTTGAGTATTTAAATAAATCTGTTGGCAACTTGTGCAGGTTACTCGTCTGTCGGAGGGATGTACCGATTTGATATGCTATATAGTTTTTGGTCACTATCATAAAAAATACTCCCTCCGTCCCATAATTATTGTGCAGTTTGAGTTTTTATTTCTAGTTCAAATTGTATTGGAAATAAAATCTCAAATTGGACAATAATTTTTGGACAGAGGGAGTAAAAAATAGAAAAAAAAATAAGAAGAAGAAGAAAATCACTTTATTATATTATTTTAATATAATAAAATAAATTATTTTTATGAGATAAAGAAAGTACACAGTTCTTATATATTTTACAAAAATATTCTTCCTGCTCATAAACATTGATTATTTATACATATAGAATCTTTTATCTTCCTCTTATAAGCAACAGATATATTGTAATTTCTGTAGCACATTAACTAAAACATTTTCACTTGTCATTATTTCCGATTCTTTTCATATTTGTTTTACTTCTGGCATGACTCAGCTTTGAAATGGAAGAAAGGCAGATATTCATTCACCGACAATTAAACCTTGCCTCGTGTGTTTTATTTTACCAATCTTTTTATTATTATTATTTTTTAAATTTTTTTAAGAGAAATAAGAAGTTTGTACACCCAGATCAAGCCGCCTTTGTCTCTCTTGCTGTGAAGTGTACATATTTACAAATATAAATATATATTTAATGCCTCCTTAATTTGGTACGTAAAAAACTTCATACTTCCACAGGCTGGCAATCAACAAATTATTTATATTTATTTTTCATATATGAATCATATACGTCAAAAAGAAAGTCCATTGACTTTAAATCACCTGGCCAGTGGCCACTCACACTTCATTAAAAAAAAAAGAAGGTTAATTCATTAAAAGTTGTAAATGTTTACTAGTATATATAATACTCCCATGAATTCATAATATAAATAAATCTATATTTATCCATCCATGAAGTTTGAATTACACTATTGACAATGAGATATGTAAATAGAGTCGCGTCTATCGGCCACTATCTAACCTTTGACTATAACAATTCGTCCAACGTTCAAAGATTTACAACTAATTGATATATATTTAGAAGTATATATATATATTATTATTAGAATGTGTGTACAATATTTAAATAACACATATAGAGGGAGAAAAAAAATGAAAAAAAAGATGCACACACATCTCTTGTTGAATACAAAAAAAATTAATTAATTAAACTCCAACTTAAATCATTCATAATGAAGATAAATGCGTTCGCTCATAAGTTACAATTACTTACCACCAACCAATATTCGACCACCCTGTCCAAAAAAAACAAAAAACCAATATTCGATCGTTAGAACATTACACTAATTCTTAAGAAAATATGCCACCAATCACGCACTAATATTTAATTATTAATTCCCAATCCCGTCGGTGATCACCTACTTTTATTTAATCCATCAAAGTATTAAAAAAAAAAGAAAACTGATCGAGAGCACAATCTAATTTCAACTCCCAGTTTTTACCTTAGATCCTGGGATGATATCTCATCTTCCTTTTGTTTTTCTATTTTTATTTTTCTTTTTTTGTCTTTGCAATTTAGACAGTGTTATGCGGAATCCGAATTCCAGGTTTAATTTACGGAACTTATATTATTTCGACAGAAATAATGGATACAACAAACAATACAACTTGCTCGAGTTGCGACAGAAAGGGGATGTGTGTGGTGGTGGTAACAAAACAAAAGGGCCAAAATCTGGACCCCATAAAAAAAATTTAAAAAAAAAAAGAGAGAAAGAAGAGAAAAGAAAAAGACGTTCTGTGATTCTATTATATCTATTCTATCCACTCCAGCTAAACTCCCCAGCGAGGCATATATTCCCTTTGCAGCTAAACTCCCGTTCATTCTTTAAACAAATTATAAATCACTCACCTCAACAAAAATTTCCTCACTTTTGCCAGCTCCTATATGTTAGGAAGTTTTAACCTCATTTATTTTTTTAAATTTTCTGTCAAATAATCTTTTCGTTTTCTTGAGAGGTAACGATGGAGCGATATGACGAGTTACGTATATCCCTTCATCATATGAGATGGATACCTATTGTTCACCACACACACAATCACACACATTTAAAATGAGAAGTAAAGAATGGGGGTGTGCTTGTGCCAGAAGAAAGGGTAAGCATTCAAAAAGAAAAATGTAACCCCACCAATCATGTGGCACCCTATAGTAATATCTTATTAAGAGACTCGAATTTTCAAACTCGTGTGTAGTTCTAATAATAATGTTATATATACACACATCAATGGGAGTGACCAAATTATACCAAACAAACACATATCTCTTCCTCGTTGTCCTCCACCCCTCAAAAATATCCTACATTCTTATGCTCCCCTTCTTAGTTCTTATCCAAGCCATAATAACAACAACAATTCACTAGAATATTAAACTCGACCAAAATATTACCACTTTTTTGGCCGCCGGGAAAATGTCACATTCCGGCAACAACTACTCCATCCCCTTCTCCAAAAAGAGAAAACAACTCTTCTTAACCCTCTTTTCAGCCGTTTTACTCGTCGGCCTAGTCGACGGAGTCGCCGCCGCCGGAGTCAACAACGAAAACCACTCCTCCTCCTCCTCCTCCAACAATCTGGCAACAGAAATATTCGAACCCCATCACGCCATCATCAACTCAGCATGCAGCGCCGCGCGACATCCGGAACTATGCTTGACCACCTTGGCAACCGCACCTATCCATGCAAAGAGACAGATCAAATCCCAAAAGAACGTCATCGAGCTAGCACTAAACATCACCCACACAACGGTGGAGCACAACTACTTCGCCGTCAAGAAGGTGCTCGAAAAAAGAGCCAAACTCTTGACGGAGCGGGAGAAGACCGCGTTGCATGACTGCCTGGAAACCATTGACTATACACTCGACGAGCTCCACACCGCCATGGAAGACCTCAAACTGTACCCCACACAGAAGTCGCTGAAACAGCACGCCAACGACCTCAAAACCCTCATCAGCTCCGCCATTACTAACCAGGACACGTGTCTCGACGGGTTTTCCCACGACCAGGCCGACAAGAAGGTCCGGAAGGTTCTGGAGAAGGGAGAAGTCCACGTGGAGAAGCTCTGCAGTAATGTTCTTGCCATGATCAAGAACATGACGGACACCGACATTGCGAACGAGGAGTTGAGAATGCAGCTGTCGTCCAACGCCGGCGGCTCCCGGAAACTCATGTCGTCGGCGGGGGACGGATGGCCGGAGTGGTTGTCGGCCGGGGACAGGAAGTTGTTGCAGGCGTCTACGGTGACCCCTGACGTGGTGGTGGCTGCAGATGGGAGCGGAAATTATAGGACTGTCTCAGCGGCGGTGGCGGCGGCGCCGACTAAGAGTAGCCGGAGGTACGTGATTAGGATCAAGGCCGGTGTTTACAGAGAGAATGTGGATGTCCCTAAAGGGAAGACTAATATTATGTTCATGGGAGACGGTAGAGCTAACACCATCATCACCGGAAGCCGGAATGTCGTCGACGGCAGCACCACTTTCCACTCCGCCACCGTTGGTGAGTTACTTTAATTAATGTCACATTTACACTTCATATTTTCTTTTTCTTTTTTTTTCTTTAATTTCAGAACGGATAAAGTCTTATAAATCACGGGAATGCTAGCTCATAATAACTAATTGGTTCCAAAGTAAGCACAGTTTGATGTTGATAACCAAATCACTAAGATCACAAATTATGGCTATAGTTAGTAGTATAACTAAATACTTCACGTGTAGCGCTACGTAGCTACTTAAGAGGTTAGCAATAAAGTTGACCGATTACTTTTCATCAAAAAGAATTGATAGTGTTACAGAAGATGCCGTTTAATTCGTTGAGATGGCCAGGAAAGAAGGTGTATCGATTTAATGTTGCATTTCTAGTCGTTTTTTTTTTTTGCTGTATATAATATATGTACACGGGTTGTTCAGTTTATTTTCTCCAGTTTTCATGCATTGATTTTTGGCGATAAATTGTACAAAGGCATTCCAATTTGACTTGCATACGTTTCGATGTAGCAGCCATAACATAGGTCATTTTCTTGGAAAAAAAAAAGACATCAGTTCCCATCAGCTTTAGCCAGCCTAGCTGTCCCTTATCCTCTCAACTCATTGATATCTTTAGTTTTGAATTTTGATTTATTACTCTCCCTTTTTCAAAATAATTATTCCGTCTTAATTGTTTTAATTCGATTCCTGTTCGTCATTTTCCTAGGAACCCAACACGTACATATATAATTGCTTGGATAGTGATTAGAGTAATGGAGAGGTGTAGAATTATTGGGTAGTCCTAGCTTGATTACCTTCATTAAGTTAGGGTTTCATACAATTTTTCTTTTAAGGATGTGACCTCATTATTTACACCGACAAATCTCCCAAAAAGAGAAGATTAGCTAACTTGTTCAATGAGTAGTTGTTTCTTAACCTTTTTTATCATTATCAACCACAGTTTCGTTTGAATCAATTTTAATTCACTAACAACATATTAAATATAAATAAAATTTGCACAGGGAAGGACCATTGATTTGACTAATCGAACAGCAACATGGATTTTTTATTTTTTTTTAAAAAAAGTGATTGTGATATAAAGTTTTACATAGCTACACACATATACACATTATACTGTTTCCATATTGTCTCTGGCCAAACCAGTTAATTATTTTCTTCCAGAGGTTTTCTGCTTTCCAGCTGATCAATCACCACTTTTTGCTTGGACTGTATCTCTTTCTTTTCTTGCGCTAATTTGCATCTAATTTGACTTATTTACTAGCAAATTTGCTATAGCTAGCTAGCCAATTTGTTCCCCGAATATGAAGAAATCTCACATGTTGCTTGCCTACTGCTACACGGTAGGAGTTTTCGATTTAAAAGTAATCAAATTTTCTAACTCTTTCCTTCAATTACGGTTTCATTAATATAACATTCCTAGTCTCTGACTAAAGGCATGAACTTTTACATTATGATTGTTTTGTTCTCCAAGTTGACTAATAATTAGCTGTCATTGATTAGTAGAATATCAGAAGCATATATATTACAATAAATCATCGAGATTGTTGTGTTACCTAAGCATGCTAGCTATTCCACTCATACTGAAGATGTAATTCATTTTGTTATAAATAGAAATAATATAATTAGTTGAATTATTTCTTTCAGTGTGAGTAGAATATACTTTTTTAATCATCTGTAAACATTTTGTATAAAGAATTAGAACGGCCGTCCATGAAAGCCGCCAATCAGTAAAACAACAATATTACTAAAGGAATCAGTGAAGAATATACGTATATCTTTGCATGTGCCATCAATTATTGAACTTTAAAGAAAACTAATACACAGTAGGAGTATGTATTGTGACTCGTGAGGATAATATAGCCACTATCATTTGTATATATGTATGCTTGTGCATGTGGCTTGCTTTACATGGGCTCCATCATAAATACTTCCCCTACAATTTATTTATTCATTTTGTAGTTGTTGTATTCCGATTTTGTTAGCGGGTAAGGGTATATATCACACATTCTGTTCCTCATTAATGATTAATCAGACATCTGCTTTTCTTATTCTTCTTTTTTTTTTTCCTTAAAAAAAAAAGAAAAAAGCTCATGAAATTGTGCAATGTGTCAACTTGTTCGGTATTAATTGATACCTTTGATTTTCAAGTGGACCAAAAACTTGTACTCTCTCCATTCCGAATTTATTGTCCAGTTTTAACTTTCATTTTTAATACAAATTGAACTGAAAAAAAAAATTCACACTCGATAATAATTTTGGAACAGATTAAGTTTAAGTTTTCTTTCATTTATCATCATCCTTTCTCGCGTTTTCACCCATCTAGCTATCAATGGATCACTTACACACTTTTTACCATAATAATGTTACAAATATCTTGAGCTAGGACAAGTCTAATCAAAGGTACTCATCCGTTATATGTTAGTAGTGTAAAGAGATAAAAGGCATACCAATGGACAAATCCAAACATACTTTTAACAAGGACACGTGAATATGTGATCATTTTAGTTTAATTGTTGTTTACTTCAATTGTAAGTCCGTAGTAGCATCCTTCATCTTCATGTATATCCCTCCCAGGGTAAATTTAATCATTATTAACACACATATTGGGCTAATAATAATGATTATTTTGCATGGATGCGATGACGTGGCAAACAACAGCCGTGGTCGGGGAAAGATTCTTAGCTCGGGACATCACATTCCAGAACACGGCGGGGCCGTCGAAGCACCAAGCCGTGGCCCTCCGGGTCGGGTCCGACCTCGCCGCCTTCTACCGGTGCGATATCCTGGCCTACCAAGACACCCTCTACGTCCACTCCAACCGACAGTTCTTCATCAACTGCCTCATCGTCGGCACCGTGGACTTCATCTTCGGAAACTCCGCCGTCGTCTTCCAGGACTGCGACATCCACGCCCGTCGCCCCAACTCTGGCCAGAAGAACATGGTCACCGCTCAGGGCCGTATGGACCCAAACCAGAACACCGGCATCGTCATCCAGAAGTGCCGCATCGGGGCAACTTCCGACCTCAGGCCAGTCCAGAGCAGCTTCCCGACTTACCTTGGCCGGCCGTGGAAGGAGTACTCGAGGACGGTGGTGATGCAGACGACGATCAGTGACGTCATTAACCCCGCCGGCTGGCATGAATGGAACGGCAACTTTGCGCTCAACACGTTGTTCTACGGTGAGTACCAGAACAGTGGGCCCGGAGCTGGGACTTCGGGCAGGGTTAAATGGAGAGGCTACAAGGTGATTACTAGTGCCACCGAAGCTCAGGCTTACACTCCCGGAAGGTTCATCGCCGGCTCAAGTTGGTTGGGCTCCACCGGGTTTCCTTTCTCTCTTGGATTATGAGCATCCACTTAATTGGATGATTTTTTTTTCTTTTTTTCAAATAAAAAGTCCCATCTTTTTTGTATTTATTTGGTGTTGATTTTCAATAATTTGAGAATTTTTACGTCCATAATAAATTTCTCACTACTGATTTTTCAGAGTGAGCACCGTAGCATTTACTTGGTTATTGTTTGATACGTTTTTTTTTTTTTTAGAACGAACTTTTGGATATAGCTCATGACAATAACAAATCGAACTTATAGTAACTTACAATCTCATTCATGATACATCCAACCCTCACATCCCCACTTTTTAATTGTCACAAAATTTAGTATCTTGAACTTTTTTTTTTATTGTGAAAATGATGCATTCTCTATATATACTTTTTTCAGTCCGTGAATGTGAAATTTCCTTTGTGTAATTTGTTGGAATTAGAAAAAAATGTGTAATGTGTACTTATCTCCACAAGGGGCCAAATTTCATAACGTGCTAATTGTTCTTTTCAGTTTTTAAAATTGAAAGGAGATATTTTGGGCTGGATGAAAACAAAAAGGCCCAAATGAAAACGAAATGAAGACTGTGGAGGAAGCTTCATTCTGATAAAAAAGGAATGCATAACCACATATCATCATGGATTGGTGAAGCTGCGCCGCCATCACCACAAAACCATGTGACCGTCCGAATTGGTTTGGTGGTCCACTCAAAAGATGAACTGTCTAGGGGTTTTTTCAGAGTTGATCAGTCAGGGCTCGAGTAATATACTGCTTGTAACTTGTAAGGTAATACATGGAATCAAAAATACTCCCCTCCGTCCCAAAATTATTGTCCAGTTTGAGATTTCATTTTTATTACAATTTGAAGTAGAAATGAAAACTCAAACTGGACAATAATTATGGGACGGAGGGAGTACTGTATATTCATCTCATACAAAAACCACTACATATTATGCGTGGTTATTTGAATTAATTGTAGGCGTGTTGATATAATGCGATGAACATTTCGGACATATGGTGACGATTATGTATGTGAGAAAAAAGAAGCGTGTTGGCGGAATCTACTCGCTGTACGTAGGCAGTTCTTATTATTAATACGTAAGCAGGGGGTTGGTGCCTTTTCCAGATTAAATAAAGGAATTGCAAGTGGGAGAAGACCATAATAGATATTAGTAGTAGCAGTAGTAGTAAAACTTTGGGCATGAAAAAGGCTGAAGAATACTGTAATGAACTAAGTCAAACCAATGTCAGACACGGTTTCGAGGAACCAAGACCAACAATTATACCGTGTCCATCATCATCAATCCACACACACTCTTTGCCCTTTTTAATTTTTTTTTTTTAACAGAAAAAAAACTAGTGTTAATGGTGTGTTATAGGTTTTGTGCCCTGCGTTGTTGTGTCATCCAACCTCACCGCAGACGATCTCTTATATTTGTTTTGTTCTAAAATTATTGTCCAGTTTAAAATTTTATTTTTATTATAATTTAAATAAAAAAATAAAAACTCAAAATGAACAATCGTTTTGAGACAGAAGGACTATCATTTTTCAGCGTATTAATTATTTGCAACACTCATCAAATTTTGGTATGCAATATAACTTTATTAACTCTTAGAGAATCAATTTTATATTGGGATAAATTTTTAATTACATTTAAATATTTAAACAACAATAAAAATAACAAGTATAGAATTTTTTAGATCATGATATAGACAAATGGTATAGAACATTAGAACATCCTCAGCGTGATCCCAATCATTTTGAAAATGATTAGGACTTGCTCAAAAAAAAAAAAAAACAATGATTATGACTGAAGCACAAAAATTAAGGAGATCAAACTGTAAATTGTGCGAGATTAGCGGCACGGGTGGCATATAGACCTGCTGACCTGACAGCACCATCTCCCAAAATCACATGCCAATTTGGATCGTTGCATGGAAGCTCCCATTTTGTGCTTGCCAATTGCCACTATTTCAGTTGGCCCCCGTTTAATCAAAGTAGTTGTGGTGAGGTGGAAAAGACTCCTCTATCATTAACCATAGATTGAGGGTTCGAACCTCGCCGCCATAAGTATGAAGCAACCTCAAATACTTTGGCCAGCTGTCCCACCCATCGAGATGCCTACAATTCAGCGAAGGAATTAGTCACTATTGCCGACAGTAGACACCCTGCAAATATGCAAAAAAAAAAAAAGAAAAAAAAAATCCTAAAAAAGGCTTTGTTTTATTTATTTATTTTAACTGAAAAAAAAAATGTAGAGACCCAACTAGGGGCGCAATAATTGGGAGAAATTTGGCGCAAATTCCTACAAAGTGTCTCTCAATGAGTACCTGACATTTGAGCTAATATTACCTTCGTAGTGTAAATTTTCCTATTTGTCTTTGTAATGGTTATACAGTAAAACCTACATAAATTAATTTTCTAGTACTAATTAATAATTTCTATTAAATAATATTTTTTCCATTCCCAATTCGAGATCGATACAAAAGCTAAATAACTCAATTAATTTATAAAATAAAAATAATTCAAAGAGTAAGAATCTCTTGTGTAAATATAAGTACTCATAATTTCATAAATTAATAAATACCTAACATAATAAATTAGATTTGAAGATAAAATTGAGTTTTAATTTAAGTATTTTTGTTTATGTTTGTAATTATCATATTTTTGTTGTATTAAAAAAATTATAATATTATGGTTAGGGCTGTAATGGAATTATCTTGATGTAAAAATAATAAATTTTGATATTTTCTTACTTATAGGATTGAAAAAATATTTTAAATTAAATATTAATTTAAGGATTAATTAATAATCAATAGTTTATGTATAAATCAATAAATTTTTTGAGGCCCAAGTAAATTAATTTATAGAGATTTTACTATATTTGCAATTTTGTTGTCAGATAATTTAATTATCAATATCGCAATTTCTAGAAATGTATCATCCATTAAAGCAGAAAGTGTGATAATTAACATTTTCCATACTTCTCATACTACAACAAACAAAAAAAAAGAAGTAAACCTTGTAGTTAGCACTCTATTATATGTGGGCAAATTAGATTATAAGAACCATTTTTAAGTAAAAACTTCTAAAATATGAGGCACAGGTGCGAACTTACACTGTATATGACGATAAAGTTCTGTTTGTCCACTCACTCGATGCAACGTTTGTTAAAAACATTCGTTACGTGGTTAGAACAGGCTATCATTATCAATGCGCGCGATGGTATTTAACGTGAAAGCCGGTTGAAATTCTAAAATGCAATATTGTCATCATTGAATCCGTTGATTTTTATTTTTTATTACTTTTTTTTTTTTTTGTTTATTTGCCCGGATGATTAACTAGGTCAAGTGTATGATTTAACCAATTTCTTCTCCATAGAGCAATAAAAATATCATATACCCATAAAAAAGTTTAAAATTGTCACATCTTGATCAACGAATTAATTCGTTGAAGCTCCATTTCATATTCAGGGTTGTCCCAACCGGGAAAATTTTAAAAGAATGGTCAACTAGTCTACAAAGTCTACAAACAGCTATCACCACTGCAAAACTTTTTTTTTTTTTTTTATAAAAAAAAACACTTCATTTTGCAACAAAATAAAGAATTTGAATTGAGAAATATGTTTCCTTTTTCTTGGAAAAAAAAGCTTCATTGTTTTTATTTAATCGAACAAAGGTCGAGCAACCAAAAATAGTTAAAAAAAATATATACTCCCTCCGTCTCATAATTATTGTCCAGTTTGAGTTTTTATTTATAGTTTAAATTGTACTAAAAATAAAATTTCAGACTGGATAATAATTTTAGGACAAAAGGAGTATATAAGATGAGAGGAGCAACCAATTCTCCAGAACCAAAATATTATGACAAAAACAAGTTCATTATAAGAACTCAAGATAAAAAAAAAATAAAAAAAAATAAAATGAAAAGTGTAAAAAAATCCATGGGAACTGCATGCAATAGTAATTGGTATAAATTAAAAAATAAAAAATACGGCTGGCTTGGATTTTGGATTAGCGCCAGTTATATTTTGGATTTTGGATTGTGACAAATACTAATTACAGATTTGGAAGTAAAAATTACAGATCTGGTCATTTCCAATCATGTAAGGAATCAATCCGCTGGTTGATCCTCACTCAATTAATGTTAAATTTGATTTAGTGTCAGTAGCTCAGCCGACCTTTATCCTCATCGTAGTATTACACTAACCTCTTCCAAATGACAGCTTTGATTATAACATTAAAAGATCGGATTAGTTTCCATGGTTCCTGTTAGTTATACTATCATCTTGTTTGATTGGATAATCCATTAATGATCAGAAAACAAAGTCGATCGTCTGCATTAATTAATCTACAGACTGTCGCTCACTCGAAACAAAATAGAATTATCCTTGTTCCTTTTCTCAGTTTTCGTGTGGGGCACAGGAATTGGTCAGTTTATTTAATTTACTAATTTTTATTTATTTATTTATTTATATTTTTTTCGAAATTGCACTAGGGTTAGTTAACGAAGGTCTTCTCAAGAAAAAAAAATAACTAAAAACTTGGGATGTTTTTAGAGCTGTATTTATATGTAACGTTGAGTCTGCTTATAATACCACATCATTTTTCGAAACTTGTATGTGTCACGCTGCGCTAATATGAAAGTTAATTAATCTAATTATTACATGCAATATTGTAAAAATCAAGACTAAATTCTAAGCTCAAGCCTCACAATTATTCGTACATTATGTATTGACTTGTTATATGCCGGGGCAAAGTCTCGCTATGACCTAGTCCTCTTATCATAAATTTAATGTGTAGGATCGAGTATAAATATTGATGTGCACTTGTGAATGAAGAAGTTACATGCCAAATTGCCAATAATCTTAAGAATTGGTTACATGTCATTGTCGTTGCCCAAGTTGGAGAAGCTAGCCAATTGTTATAAGAAAAAATTTAGCAATTTTGATATTATAAATCTTGACTAGACTAAAGAAATGGAAGGGTCAAGTTGAAGTTACACAAGTAAACCCTCATATTTTCGTCTCGTATTCCCTCTGTCTCAAAATTATTGTCCAATTTGAAATTTCATTTTTAGTGAAATTTGAACTAAAAATGAAAGCTCAAACTGGATAATAATTATGAGACGTAGGAATATTTTAACGTGGGCAAATCTTTTACTTTGCTCCTTTAATTTCTCATACTAGCATAGCATGCATTTAAACTCAGAACACAATAGATGAAACTAAACATAACCTTCATATATGGTCTCAACTAAAACTCAATTGTTGGAAACCCCCCATGTATGAGCCTAGAAGAAAGAAAGATTTTTACGTGCTGAGAAACCAATTCCTACCATATATAACTCAAGTCAATTTTACGTATAATAATGTTATTATTGTAAGAAAAGACGAAAAGTAAGTTGTAAGAAAGAAATGGACAAATTAAAATAAAATAAAGATGAGAAGCATGCACAGAAACATCCACTATTTTCCAATTGAAGTTTGATCAATTCCCCTCAATAACCAAACACATCTTAAAAAAACTCGAACTTCAAACTCCAATCAATATATAAACCCCCAAACTCCATCTCATTTTTCTTCACCAAATTAAGCAACCGATATCGACTAGACTGATCATCTATAACATTAAATTCCTCAGACATCATAATTATCAATGATGGATTCTGTGAAGTCCTTCAAAGGATACGGGAAAGTAGATCCCCTTGAAGAGCAAGCCTACCGAAGAAAAACCCGAAGAAGACTAATCATCCTGGCCGTCTCCCTGGTATTATTAATAGCCCTGATCGTTGGAGCGGTGGTCGGGACGGTGGCGCACAAGAAATCAGGCAGCGGCGACAGTAAGTCAACATCACCTTCCGGTACATCGTCGGCGCAGTCGATCAAGGCCATGTGCAGCGTGACGGAGTATCCAGATTCCTGTTTCTCAAGTATTTCGGCCATGGAGGGAGCTAATTCCACCACCGACCCAAAGAAACTCTTTCAGTTGTCATTACAAGTTGTGATGGATTCCCTGGAGGAGTTGTCGGGTTTACCAGAAACCTGGAGTGAGAGCACATCCGACCCGGAACTGAAGTCGGCATTCAATGTTTGCCAGGTGGTTTTCCAGGACGCAATTGACTCCACCAATGATTCCATATCCTTATTCACCCCTGAATCTAATTCTAAGGTGGATCCACTGTCTCCGGTCGGAATCCGCGACCTGAAAACCTGGCTCAGCACAACCCTGACGAACCTGGATACTTGTATAGACGCAATTGTGGAACTCAACAACACCGACCCGACCATACTGAATGAGGTCAAAACCTCCATGAGCAACTCCACTCAGTTTGCTAGCAACAGCTTGGCAATTGCCGCCAAATTCATTGCCTTCCTCAACAAATTCATCCCGCCTCACCGGAGACTGCTTTCCGAAGTTGGTTCTTCCGGGTTCCCCAGTTGGGTCAAAGCTGCGGATAGGAAGCTGCTCCAGGCTCCCGCCGGTGAAAACCCGAAAGCCGACGTGGTGGTCGCGTCGGACGGCAGCGGAGATTACAAAACAATCAAAGAAGCGTTGGGGAAGGTGCCCACGAATAGTGACACCAGGTTCGTGATATATGTCAAGGCTGGTGTTTACAGTGAAAAAGTGACGGTGGAGAAACAGATGTGGAATGTGTACATGTATGGAGATGGCAAGAACAAGACCATCGTCACCGGCTCTGCGAATTTCGTCGACAAAACTCCTACCTTCCGCACTGCTACATTCGGTAAGTCAAAAACTTATAAATTATTCATCTGGGCTGTCTAGCTTTATCAGAATCTATGAGAATTCTATAAATATTAATCACGTCATGTTTACTGTAGGAGTGTCAATTCGGGTTATTGGGTCAATTTCGAGTTATGGCTTCATAAAATTTTTTAGAGCAAAAATATAACAAAAACACAAATCGTGTCAATGTGTCATGTCATGTCGGGTTATCCGTGTAAATGTAAATCGTGTCGCTGTGTCGGAAATTGACATCCTATCTTATGAGGTCTGTCAAAAACCGTTTAATCTGGAACAGGGGATTAAGTCTTGGACAGGGGATCTTTACATTACACTGATGGACACTTATTCTTATGCTTTTTCTTATTTGGCCAAATGAACAGCTGCATTGGGGAAGGGGTTCATAGCAAAGAACATGGGCTTCCAAAACACTGCCGGAGCAGCGAAACACCAGGCGGTGGCGCTCCGATCAATCTCCGATAAATCCGTGTTTTACGATTGCTGGTTCGACGCCTATCAAGACACGCTTTACGCGCACACCAACCGTCAATTCTACAGCAATTGCGACATCACCGGAACGGTGGACTTCATCTTCGGGAACGCGGCGGTGATCTTCCAGAGCTGCAACATTATGCCTAGGCAGCCAGATCCCGGTCAATTCGTAACCCTGACGGCTCAGGGGAAGAGCAACTCGGAACAGACCAGCGGGACCGTCATCCAGAACTGCAACATTTTCGCATACCCGAAGGACAACGTTACCACCAAACTATACCTGGGCAGACCCTGGAAGGACTACTCTACCACAATCTTTGCACAGTCTAACCTCAACGCCCCCATAGATCCTCAGGGATGGAGTCAATGGAATTCCAGTGTCATCCCGCCGCCCACCATTTTCTACGCCGAGTACCTGAATAGAGGTATAGGATCCGATGTGTCTAAGAGGGTTACCTGGGCTGGCTACAAGTCCAATCTCACAGCTACCCAATTGGTGGAGTTTGGGGTACCCAAGTTTTTGGACGGCCAAAGTTGGATAGCAGCTGCACAAGTGACATTTACATAATTCATAATCAATCAACACCACTGGATACTAGTATTCAAGTTTCAGATGAAACAAGGAAAAAAAGAAAACAAAATTAGAGTAGACAAGATTAAGAAGTCGGAAGAGTACCACCAATTGATCAAATTGTTGTACATAACCACTCCCTCCACTATTTTGCCTTTGATGATGTTGCGGTTATGGGAAAAAAAATTGATGCTTGTGTATAACATTCCGCAGGTTTGGGATGCCATTTGTGGGTTGGATACTAGGGTTAGTTTGTGTCACTATATTCTCTTGAAGTAATCATACAATGGCTATGTTATTTTGGCACACATTCATGATTTAACTTCATCGATCACTGGTTTTAATTTCTTGGTACACTTAATTGGGATGGGATGCATGCAATTAATGTCGATCCGATCCCCAAAATGAATCCCCGAATGTTACACCTTCAAACTAAGTTTATAAAAAACACAAATTCAGTACCCAATCGATCGAGATCTTCAACTCAATCAAGATTACAGTTCTCCTCATCAGTTTGGCCAATTGTTAATTTAGTCCACTGTTTATTGTCCCCTTGCGAATTGCGATTGGGGGAAAATAATGTAGTGGCAGGTCACGCAGATATTGGCAGATTATCTGTAAAAACACAATAACAATTTGGATATTGGCAGATTATCGTCGAAAAAAGTCTTCTGTGTACTATTTTTGGATCACTTGCTCAACGTACCGATATTGATTCTTTACTATCATAAACAACAGCAACATCTTCCAAATTATATTTTGTCTGCATGCATATAAATAACCTTCACATGATAGATTTAAGATCGCATCAATTAGTCTGGTCCATTCTCGACTTTACTTGCTTGCTTCTGTAAATAAAATAAAGTCGTCTAATCTGATCGATTTAGAGCCCCAAACAAAATTTTAAGAAAGCAGTGTATGAGGGCGACGTGCATTGTGAATGAAGTTGCATACCATCAGTTTTATGAATGGTTAAATGTCGTTTTCTCATGCAAAATTTGAAGAAGCTATAGCTAATGCATGGCCATATAATGTAGCAATTTGATTGGAAAACTTAACCAAGATCCAACGCATAAGAAAAGAAAAAGAAAATGGAGAGTCTCAAGTTATACGAGGGACCAGCGTAGCCGTCCTTCTCGCAAGATTTTTTTTTTCTTATTAATTAGAGGGTGATTCAAATATTGCACACCCACAAAATAACATATTAAGACACTATAACAAACTAAACAATTAATTTGAGACACAAAAAATATAAAAAAAATTATTACAGATTCACAATCATTTGTAATACTCAAGAGAACGTTTTTTTTTTTTTTTTTTGGGTGTAGAATTTAGATAGCTATAAAAGTGTATTCTCGATGGTTAACTTTATTGGCGATATTAAGCCTTTGGGTTATCATTTTCTACATATTTCATCGAATACAGTGAAATTGTGATTAGAAGACCAGGTGATCCGAGTATCATATCAACGGAAATTTGTGATTTACTAATCTTAAGGTTCAAATTCTTCCTTTTTTAACAATAAAGAAGTGTCCAATCTCAAAAAAATTTGAATTCCTCCTTGCAGTTGCTCTGTGGATGTAAGTTGAGTAGATTAACAATTTCGTAAAAGCCACCAAGGAGATAATATAAACAATCCTATAAGAAAAAAAGGAAGAAGGAAAACAATAAACAAAATGAGAAAGAAAGAAAACTAGGGAGATCCCGAGTGAGCCCACAATTCCACCAATTTACAAGATGATGATAGTTTAAGTGCAAAGACCAAACAGTTGGAAGGAGGAAAGGGACAGTGAAATGCAGTGTAGTATAATACTAATAATGGCCAGCTGGTCAAGAAGCGTACCCAGAAGCATCCTTTGTTCACTTTGGATGTTTCCCCCCATTACATAATTATATATATATATATGTTGTGCTTATATATCTCAATACACTCTTTCCCTTTGCCTCCTAATATAAATATCCCAACATTCCATCCTTCATTTCTTCACATTAACTCTTTATCACCAATATTATTTTATCCTTCCTTACTACTACAACTAATTCTCCATATCAATGGATTCTCTGAATTCCTTCAAGGGATATGGGAAAGTAGATCCCGTTGAAGAACAAGCCTTCCGGAAAAAAACCCGGAAGAGGCTCATCATCCTGGCCGTCTCCCTGGTCTTGTTACTGGTCCTCATCATCGGCGTGGTGGCCGGAACTCTGGCCCACAACAAGAAATCCGGCGGCGGCATTAAGCCCTCCACTTCCGGCCCTTCCTCTGCGCAGTCACTCAAGGCAATGTGCAGCGTCACCCAGAATCCCGATTCCTGTTTCTCCAGCATTTCCGCCATGGAGGAAGCTAATTCCACCTCCGATCCCAAGAAGCTCTTTCACCTGTCTTTGCAGCTCGTGATGGGTTCTCTGGAGAAGCTTTCCGGCTTGCCGGAAACATGGATGAAGAGCACCTCCGACCCGGAACTTCAGTCGGCATTTCGAGTTTGCCAGGTCGTTTTTCAGGACGCCACTGATGCCGCCAATGATACCATCTCCTTATTCTCCGATGATTCAGGTCCGACAAATACTTAATAATCAATAATTCCTCCTTCTTGGCTTTGGCTTTTCGACGATAACATTATTTAATTTTACAAATTACAGTTTTTGACACTTTCGTTTTCTTCCCAAAAAAAAAATTAAAACAGAGTCTGAGGATCCCCTGTCCGGCACCGGAATCAGTGACCTGAAAACCTGGTTGAGTACATCGCTGACCAACTTGGAGACCTGTTTAGATGCATTGGGGGAAGTCAACGCCACTGCCACCACACTCGACGAGGTCAAATCGGCGATGACCGACTCCACCCAGTTCGCCTCCAACAGCTTGGCAATTGTCTCCAAATTCCTGTCTTTCCTCGACAAATTCCACATCCCGTCCCACCGGAAGCTGCTTTCCGAAGTTGATTCTGTCGGGTTTCCCAGTTGGGTCAAAGCTGCGGACAGGAAGCTGCTCCAGGCTCCAGCCGCAAACCCGAAACCCGACTTGGTGGTGGCGGCGGACGGCAGCGGAGATGTGAAAACTATCACAGAGGCGTTGGGGAAGGTGCCCAAGAAAAGTAAGACCCGGTTCGTGATATTTGTGAAGGCTGGGACTTACAATGAGAAAGTGACGGTGGAGAAACAGATGTGGAATGTGTTCATGTATGGTGATGGTAAGGACAAGACCATCGTCACCGCCGCCGTTAACTTCATTGACGGAACTCGTACCCTCCTCACCGCCACTTTCAGTAAGTACATTCTTCGTTACAACGTAACATTCATTTTCAGTTCACCACTGACATTTTGGTTTTATTTATTTAGTATTTTTTATTTCACGGATCAGTTACATATATGTGTTACTGAAATACTCCTACTTGGATTGAACATTTGAATTGAGCTAATAACCTTAAATCTCATGTTGATAATAATGGTGAAATAAGTGATGATGGTCGTAATTGCAATTTCCGATATAGACTCCTAAAGTTTTTTGTTAGGTGGATTTATGGGGCTGAACTAGATGAGTTGTACGAGTCGCTTAAGTTTGACCAAGTTAAAGAAGAATAAACAAGCGATAATCAGGGCGGTATCCTAGCTCCCATGTGAATGCTTTTACTACATTATATGTTGTTGGATTGGATCCCACCATTTGGAAGATGGTTTCAAATAACGATATCAAAGGGTCGGCCTTCCCATTTTAGCATTTTACTACCATCTGTTTTGTAGTTTTGTTATCGATTTATTAGTGGATCATCATCATCATCATCATCATCAGAGTTTGTTGTTGAATTAATTAAAGAGAAAATTGACATTTGAAAACATGATGGTTCATGTGTCTGTCTGCTTTTGTGTCCCCATGTGAATGTGTGTTAGCCATAAATATGTTTTTTTTTTCTTTGCACATTTCAAAGAGTGATGAATGTCTTTCTTCAGCACACATTGGTCCACCATGTGCAGTATTAGTATATGCCCAACAAGTTGTACTCTCTCTCCAATTTAAACTAGTACTATCCTTCCATTCTGACTTCACCACTTGTGAATCCAATGCCAAAACTTTGATACTTTTTTTCACCACCACATTTGCTATGAGATAAACTGAAAAATCATGTAAAATTCAATGTCCCAATGAAAATCTTCACCATGATCTAACGTGTATCTCTACCATTTGTGTTTAACTGATGCTGATAAACTCTTCTTTTTGGTTCACCAGCTGTTTTGGGCAAGGGCTTCGTAGCTAAGAACATGTGCTTTCAAAACAGTGCTGGAGCATCAAAACACCAAGCCGTTGCTCTCCGATCAACCTCTGATCAATCTGTGTTCTACAACTGCTCCTTCGATGCCTATCAAGACACGCTTTATTCGCACACCAACCGCCAATTCTACAGCAACTGTGACATCACCGGAACTGTGGACTTCATCTTTGGCAACGCTGCTGCGATTTACCAGAACTGCAACATTATGCCTAGGCAGCCACTTCCCAACCAATTCGTAACCATTACAGCTCAAGGTAAAATTGACGTTAACCAGAACACCGGCATCATGATCCAAAACTGCAACATTTACCCAAAGGACAAGGTTACAGTTAAAGTTTACCTAGGCAGACCATGGAAGGCATACTCCACCACGATCTTCGCCCTGTCTACCATCAATGGCCCATTGGAACCACAAGGGTGGATAGAATGGACATTCGGCGTCACCCCACCGCCCACCATTTTCTATGCCGAGTACCAAAATAGGGGACCGGCAGCTGCTGTTACTAAGAGGGTTACCTGGCCTGGTTACAAGTCCAGCCTCACACCTAGCCAATTGGCTGAGTTCAGCGTACCAAAATTTTTGAACGGACAACCTTGGATAACAGCAGCACAAGTAACATATACATAAATCAGAATGAATCTTTCACTAATACAGAGAGGTTGCGGACTGGGAAGATTTAGAGGGAAACAAAGAACAAAGAAGAGTAGCCAAAAATAGTCAAACATACCAATTCATATTGTTGCATATTCTACTCCCTACATTATTTTGGATTTTCTGTATCACTTCTGATAAACATTGTTACTTCTAACATTTCTGTAATATCACCATACTTGTGGGATTGTATACTAGTATTTCTGCATACTGTTCTTGAAGTAATTCATACAATTAAAATGTTCTTTTCATATGATACTTGTTCCTAAGCCAAGATGTCCTTCATGGATCGTTCCCAAAGGTTCTAAGATGGCACATATGTAACCTTCAGGATTGATAACAGCTGAGTTTCTTATTACACCAAGTTCGCATTGGACGCAATGGTAATTTTTCCAAAATGGAAAACAATATTACATCTCCAAAGTGTAAAGCGAGAATTTTAGATCATAGATACAACACCAGGATGGAAATTTCCAGTTTTGGACACATGTTGTATGGATATTAACCCCAACTACAATCAAACTACAACACTTAGACACAGGCTTAGAGCCTCAAAGCACAAAACAAAGAATCATGAACAATAAAAACTTCTTGTCTTCCTCAGAATAGGGCAAAATACGCAGATTTCATCAACTAATCCACGACAAAGATGCAAGCTTTAAGAAGAAAGCCACCAAATTTCTCCAGGAACAAACAAAATCCTTGGTTTTTTTCTTAACAGACTAGAAAGCAACAAAAGACACAGTATTCATAAACCATCCTGAAAACCTTCCCCAACATTTCTCCTCAAAGTTACACTAACACCTTTACAAAGAACTATTGATGGATAATCAAACTATAATCTTTGAAGAAGCAGATGATTTACCATCTGCCGTGTTAGGATTACCCCCAGCTGGAACTGTTGATGGGACCTTAGTGACTTCACCATAAATAGCCTTAAGCTTAGAGAGAGAAATAACACCGGTGGCAGCGGCTTTAGAGCCCTTTGAGAAAGCTTCCTCAGCGGCCTCAGCTTCAGCATAGAGTTGCTTTTTCCAGTCCCAAATAGCGCTTTTCATCGCCTTATTGGCTAAAGCCAGAGAATCTTTTTCCGCTTCCAGCGCCTCAATCTGTCTCTGCGTTCCCATTGACCTAACACTCATAGCCCCAAAGCATCCCAGTAGAAAAACATTCATCACCGCGTTGCTGTTTGCCATTCTGTTCAGTGCATTCACAACTTTCTCCATCTTTTATGAACACCCAAAAATATTAAGTCTACAAGAAACGATTTTTATCCTCAGAAAGGAAACTTCCTCCTTTCTTTGTGGCCCGATCAATTGGTTTCTGAACTGGAAAGGGGGAAGCTATTTTGATTCTTCAGGGAAGTCGTGAGTGACCCAGATCGGGAAAATGTGGTGGCGGAATGCCAGAAGGGCGGCAGCGGGAATGTGGAAATGGAAGTGGGTCAACGGACTCAATGGGAACGGATAGTAAAAGGAAGCCCATATTTGACTGGATTACTTCTTTTCTGTAGAAGGAATAAAACACAAGCCCAAAAGCCCATTAGAGTTTTATGCACGTGGAATAATAAAGAAAGGGAAATGTGCAAGCAAGTCCTTCGGCCAACTGTTCCTATAATTCTAAGAGACCCGACAATGACTACCTTTGGTACATGACTAAAAAAAATAAATAAATAAAGGTTTAAAAGAATATCAAGATAGTTCCTATCAAACATAGATGATTTTGATCCTCTAAATTTGTGTAATGGTTTAGGCAAATCAGTGACGGAACCAAGGGATTCTGGTGATCGATCGACCCGCCGGCTGCATTTGGTCGGATTTTCTTTTAATAGAATATTTGTTAGTTGAAATAATTTCATTTTAATCATCCGTTAAAAGTTGAATAATTTTATTTTTAACCCTATAATTTGAAAGTTATTGTTCCGTCGCAATAGACAATCCTTATGAATATGAATTGTGATAATGTCCTTAAAATGAACGAAAGTAAGTTGTACAAGAAAAATCCTCTAAATTTGATTTACTGGAGCAATAAAAGACGTGATGACAAACTGATGTACCAACCAAAAAGAATAAAAAATGAAATCAAACCGGGCATAGATTTTGAGGTGATGCAACGTGACTATGAAAAGCATGGCATACGGAGTCCAATCTCCGACACTAGAAAGAGAAAGATTAACAAATCGATTTGTGTCATAATCCATCAGAGTTCATAACCACTAATGCAATAGATTCTATCTGTTAGATTAGATTATAAAATACTGATGATTGAGAAGACAAGCAGCGCTTACCAGTGGGCGGCCCCAAATGAACCAATAAAATATAAAGTTTATGTCTTTAGCTCAGAATCAGAGAGATAATGACATTCATAATCACAACTGATGTGGCAATAAACATTGTTCAACTTCAACTGTTTTTTTTTTTTGGCTTAAAATAGTCGTATACTGCTGAGTCTACTTACAAAATAGCTTTTCAATCTCGGTGCAAAGCTTTTAACTTTCATGAGTTTTTCAGTGTTTTGATTAAGAAGGAAAGATCGAATTTGATTTGTAGCAAAAGGGCCTAATTAATTTATGATTTTGATTGAGTCGTGCAGAGAAAATCTAAGTCATGAAGAAAAAAAGAAAAAAAATAATAAAACAGAGGAAAGCTGCTAATAAAGAGGGGCGCAGAAAGAAGAAGTACAAGTCCAACGTTACTTGCGCTGTTGGCCATCTCAAATCCATCAAAAGCCAAAAAACTACCCTCATAGAAAGACTCATAGGAAAAAGGAAATAGGAGAAAAAAAAAAACAAAGAAAAGGGGAAATAAGCTGTCAGATTCGTTGAAATTTACCATCAGAGCCGCCCCTAAATTTGGTCCGAAAACGATAAACTCGCCATCAAAAAGTTAGAATAAATTGGGGCAATGCGGAGATTCGTAGTTGAAAAATCCAGAAATCTCATCACCAGAACAACGAGATCACCTTGTTCCACTTGTTCTTCACCAAAGGCTTCGTCTTTCCTCGTGTCACCCCGTCCTTCATACCCTACATCCTCCTCATCATCTAAACCTTCTATTAATTCTTCCTTGCGGTTTTTGGCTGCTTCTCTTTTGAACCCACCTCTTTATTGTAATCCTCTACTTTTTCCTTCTTTCATGGCGTTCAATTATTCCACCTCTCCCCTGTCTGTTGAGACCATCAATCCTAAGGTATTTTATTTGATTTGATTATGCATGTGGGCTTCTTTTCTTTTTGTCGTTTGTTTCTTTAATTGTCTTGTTTTGCCCATATTTATTGCGGACTCTGTTGTAAAGCTCCAATTTTGTGCAGTGATTTGGAGTCTGCGGTTCCAATTTTTTTTTTCAATTGGGTTATTGTCGGCTGATAATGTTTGCCCAGTGAAGTGTGCTTTTTGTTTTTTTTGCCTTTTATAGATGCGATGTAATACTTGATCGTGATTTGGGTTTTAAAACTTCTGAGTTACTTGTTCTGGGAATGTAATTTGCTGGTGAAGCTTCTGGACTCTTGTGTGTCTGATCATCTATCAATTTTGCATAGATGCTGCAAAACTGTTCTGTGAACACTATCACCTTGAATATTTTATTTCACCCCTATTGTTTTCTAATAATGCTTCTAAATTTTTAATATTTTCCCCTCTCTGTTTGATTGGAAACACCCAAATTCCTCTGTTTTTAGGTATTCTGCGTTTAATAACCTCCTACACAAAATTGAAGTAATAAACTAATTTTTACGAAGTCTAAGGTAGCTTGATATTTTTTCTTTCCTTGTTATCTCCATTTTGAGCTACTATGCTTCAGTTAATTGAAAATCTGGTAAGCTTAGTCAAAAAATTTTCTGGTGGGATTTTGGGGAAAGGGACATGTTTGGAGTTACTTCTAGACGAATACAGGGGTTCTGTGACTGAAGCTTTGCATCTAATTATTTCAGGTCCTGAGATGTGAGTATGCTGTGCGTGGAGAGATCGTCACTCTGGCTCAGGTAGTAGCAATACTTATTGGTAATTCATTTGTGGAGATGGCTGTTTTTGGTAGCCAGATAGTGTCAGGTTAATTGTTTTAAACTTTTAATATACAAGTTGAATGAGTACACTTTGGTTTTGGATAATGTGGCAGGAACTGGAGCAGGACTTGAAGAAGAACCCAGGAGCTTATCCTTTTGATGAGGTTGGACCTATGTTCTAGATTTTCTTTCTGCGCCCAAGTTGAAATTTTGTGTTTATAGGCGCTTGGTCATTTTTGTGTTCAGTTAGTCACCAGGGGAGTGTCAACAGTCTCACACAGTGGTAACTTGTGAATACTAGTTAGAACATTTTCAACTGTGAATTCCAATAGCATGAGTTAATGGTACAGCATTTTACCTTGAAAAGGCACTCCATTATCTGCTAAATGATGGCTTCGGGACCTAAAAACGTTCTGTATATACTGCATTATGCATGAAAATCTAAATTTATTTGAGCTTGTCTATTGCACAATAGATATATGCTGCACTTGGGAAACCCAATCAGGTTGAGCTGATCATTATTTTTATTATTCTTAATGAAACAAGTTAATCAAAGCTGTCCCTTTTTAATTATGGTCGCATTTCCATTCATATTGCCAGATCATCTATTGTAACATTGGGAACCCTCAATCGTTGGGCCAACAACCTATTACTTTCTTCAGGGAGGTAAGTATTGTTGTTTTCCTGAATGTCTCTGAACCATATCTTTTGTCTATTCTTTGTAATCTATCTTCATCCTTTAATTAGGTACTTGCTTTATGTGATCATCCTTTAATTTTGGATAGTAGCGAGACACAAGCTTTATTCAGGTAATTAAAACTTACTCTAATTAAACCTTGTTTATTGGTCTTGCTTCAGGAGTCTGATTGACATGACTGAATTTTGATACTTTCAATGCATAAATTTTTTTTTTCCTCTCAAGTAAGTTTTTCAAGTTGCCATAATTGATTTTGGTTGTACAATTGTATGCTGCATTTCTTGATTGGAGAGGTACTCTTGAAAATGTTGAGCAGATTTGATATTGAACTTCAATGAAATTTGATTTTACTTTTTCCATTGTCTTTGTAGTGCTGATGCTATAGAGCGCGCCTTCCAGATCTTGGACCAAATTCCAGGGAGGGCAACTGGTGCATATAGTCATAGCCAAGTAAGGACGACTCCTGTGATTTCGATTAGTACCCTGAATTGTTGGAGATTTATTATTTCTGGTGATTTAAAATTTAGGGTATCCGAGGATTGCGTGATGCCATTGCTGCTGGTATTGAAGCTCGTGATGGGTATCCTGCTAACCGCGATGATATATTTTTGACTGATGGTGCTAGCCCTGCAGTACGTTTGGAAATACCTCTCTTTATTGTTTTACATTGATAGTATTCTTCGTCCTGACTGCTGGATCTCTTTTCTTATGCTGTGTTTCATATTTGTCCAGGTTCACATGATGATGCAATTATTGATAAGGTCGGAGAAGGATGGAATTCTTTGTCCCATACCTCAGTACCCTTTGTATTCTGCTTCAATCGCCCTCCATGGCGGTACTCTTGTATGTTTTCAAGTTGTACATAAGGCAGAAAGATTGCATCCAGATTAAGTTAGATAGCCATACACATTCTATCATATTTATCAAGGACCATTCATATAATTTTGCAGGTTCCTTATTATCTTGATGAAGCAACAGGGTGGGGCCTGGAAATCTCGGAGCTTAAGAATCAGCTTGAAACTGCCAAATCCAAGGGGATTTCTGTTAGGGCCTTGGTTGTGATAAATCCCGGCAACCCAACAGGACAGGTATGCATCAGTATTTTGTAATTGATAGTTTCACAGGGTGGTAGGAAACTATGTTCCACAATTATTTTGTCCCGCAATCAGTTTTTCTTAAATCCACACGTGGGCCTCACTTGAATTCGATAGATCCCCCCTCTTCCCCCGGGGCTGTTTTGTCCCACAATTTGTTTCTTGAAGTTCAGGCGTGATAAATTAATGTTTGATGTGATGATGTAAAGGTCCTTGCCGAGGACAACCAGCGTGAAATTGTGGAGTTCTGCAAGAAAGAAGGGCTTGTCCTTCTGGCAGACGAGGTGAGAAATCAAACTATTGAATGGCTCCTTTTCCTTTTCTTTTTTTCACTGAAAGTTTTAAGGGCTCGTGCTTTCGTGTACTGCAAAATGTTACAGGTATACCAGGAAAACATTTATGTGCCCGACAAGCAGTTCCACTCATTTAAAAAGATTTCCCGGTCAATGGGGTATGGCGAGAGCGATTTCTCCTTGGTATCTTTCCAATCTGTCTCAAAAGGTACCTTTTTTTTTTTTCCAATAGTGCATTACATATTATTTGATAGCTTGTCTTTTATGATTTCCTCTTCTTTTTTTTTTTTTCATAATGTGCTCTTTTTACATTTAGGGTACTATGGTGAGTGTGGAAAGAGAGGTGGTTATATGGAAGTCACTGGTTTTAGTCCCGAAATAAGGGAACAAATGTACAAAGTGGCTTCTGTTAATCTTTGTTCCAATATTTCTGGGCAGATTCTTGCAAGTCTTGTGATGAATCCTCCAAAGGTTAATATCTTCTGGACTTAGTTACCTGTTCATTTGCTTTCTTTTGAACTCCTGAATCTTCTTATTTGATGGCTGTGAGAGTAGGCCTGTGACCATGATCCTTCTATAATGTTCATAAATATTATCTTGCATAGTTTGAATGTTATACACAATATTATCGGTTAAATTATCTTGGCATATGCAGGTGGGAGATGAATCATACGAGTCGTATATGGCAGAGAAGGACGGAATTCTTTCATCCTTAGCTCGGCGTGCCAAGGTTAGTCCAACGTAAACATATTGAAATCATCCATTGAAACTGAAAGGTGATGGTGTCAATTACTCAAAGCATTATAGATGCTCTTGGATTGTTGATTCTGTATAAAATCAAAATAGTTTCATTTGCTTAGACTAAGTTTGAGATTTTCCATCCATTTTGTTGGGACAGACGCTTGAAGATGCACTCAACAAGTTAGAAGGAGTAACATGCAACAGAGCAGAAGGAGCGATGTATCTTTTCCCTAAAATAGAACTGCCGCAAAAAGCAATAGAAGCAGCAAAAGCAGCAAATACTGCACCTGATGCATTTTATGCTCGGCACCTCCTAAATGCTACAGGAGTTGTCGTTGTTCCTGGCTCTGGATTCGGTCAGGTGAGTTCTTCGTAACATGCATGAAAAGGCTGCAATTTCGTTGGTTGATGCATGCAACTCATTTTTAAATCCTCAGTTGCATTTTGTGTTCGTTTAATCAAAACTTTCATGTTCTTATATTATTGCTTATGCTTGATCTCTTCCATTATTTCTCAACTATATCGGCTTAATCTATTTTAACATTTTGGACGACATATTTCTTTGTTGAAGGTACCTGGAACTTGGCATTTTAGGTGTACAATTTTACCCCAGGAAGACAAGATACCAGCCATTGTATCTCGTCTCACAGATTTCCATCAGAAATTCATGGATGAGTTTCGCGATTAAGGAAGAAGCTTTTTAAGCACATACCATCCGATTTCTGCAGCAGGAGACTCAAATAATAAAGATGAAGTTGGAACGTCATTGCTAGCGTGTGAAACCCTTTGCTAAACACTATAAAAGGAGAACTATACATTTTGGAAAAGTGAGAATTTTGTTAGGTTTTGCGTGCTTAGGCGTGATGATATGTTTTGTCATTGTAGCCTAGACTAAGGAATTTATGATTGGATAATAATGTCAAACTGGTAGAATTCAGAAGTTTCTGATCTTTTATTCCTTGGTTCCCGAGTGCTGTACTTTTAGAGGTTCAGCGTTTAACCATCATGGAGCAACCTTGTTGCATGACCACAAGCGCTTACAAATATCCATCCTGTCAACTAGCTGCATATGAAATAACCAACTGGGGATGTTCGGCGGACTAGGCATGATTGTGTGTGGATGTAGAAATAACTGATCGAAAAAGGGTGCCAATCTCTGTTCCAGTAGAGAATTTAACTTTCGAAAAGACAGTATAATCGTAACTGGTTTAAAGAGTTTTTATCCCCCACTGTTTGAGCATTCACTACATTTGCTACTCAGGGGTATATCAATATCAAAAGATAATGAAAATTCAAAAAGTTGTAAGCAGTACCATAATACCGACGAAATCTTAGTTCCTTCAAGACCATTCATCCCATAAATTGAGTAGCCAAATAATACAAATCAGGATGAGCATGTAGATAACGTTTTACGAACATTCCAATAGTTTTAGGGGTAGTAAGGAATACAACTGGTCCAAGAAAAAAGTGCACTAGAAGTTCAATTGAAAAAAAAAAAAAAAACAAACTGAAGAACGGACGTCTGATCCTCTTATAGGCGGCTGATCACGGCCTCAACCTCTGATGGGGTGTACAGGTGGTAAGTTGGTGCAACCTTTGCAATGTCAACATTGTTAGGAGTCACCTGACAATTGTATATAGCAAATATTAAGTTAGATTTTCCAGTGAAAATGGAAGCAAAAAGAATAAAAATGGACGGAAAAAAAAAAAAGAATAAAATGGACGCAGCATAGCTTGCTGAAAGGATGACGGCCCAAAAAAAAAAAGAAAAAGCGGTGATTAAATCTCTACCTTTTCTTCCATAACTTGCTTAAGGATGGAAAGTGCAATGGTTTCAGCTTCCTGAAGTGTCAGATTCTGCATTAAAGAAAAAATCAGATCTACCATGTCATTCACTTCAAACAGGATGCAGGTAAAAGCAATTGTTCCCTCTCAATTGCACTAGACTTAATTTTTAACTATCGTGGCAACATATCACATGACAAAATATTGCAAGGATTGGGCAGCAACTTGGTTATACAACATGGCCTAATTAAAATGGAAAGAAGTAAAGACAATCTCTTAAAAGGAAAGAGTGGGTAAGCCCGTGAGGAACTGTTACCTCATTGTATTGCTCTTGTAAAGAACTGTCAGCGCCTTCAGAGCCAGATCCAATAGCTTTTGCATTGCATTGCCAGAATGTGCCTGACGGATCTGTATGATACCTAAGATGCAGACCACCAAAACTCATTTAGGTAATTTGAAAAGACATGAACTTTATGCTAATGGCACATTCCCTGCTAGAAAATAAATGAAGAAGCGCATACAAGCATAATCTCAAAAGACAATATTAAACCATAGATATGCACAGACGCCTTCTAAGAATTCTAGAACAACATTCAGAGTTACATTTCTGGAAGAAAAAACAATCAATGACACAGAACTACTCTGATTAACTAGTAAAAAAAGGGAGAATCTTACAAGCTGGGGCCATGTTCGTCATGACCAGCAATCAGTAGAGACACCCCGAAAGGTCTTGACTGCACAGAAAAGAGTGAATTCAACTTGTTAGATAGAGAATAGGAAAACTTAAAAGCAAAAGATAGGGACAACATCCAACAGATAGAAATTCAAGAATGTTTAAGCTCATTCCTCTAAATTTTTTGACCAAAAAAGCTTCATGTATGCAATAACTGATGTGAATTTAAATCTGCTGGACACTTCACACTGAATAGAGACTGCCTTATATAGCATATACACATTTTGAAGCTCAAGGAAACAGGAAATATATAGGGAAAATATGAGAACTAGTGGAAAGGGTATCCATTAACAATAACGTACTTTTTTTTTTGGTGGAATTAACAATAATAATGTACTTCATCCAATGACAATAGTGTACTTCATACAAATGAATTAGCTTCAGTATGGAAACAGTAAGAAAAACAGTCTCAAAGTGACTGGGTTTTACTTGTTAAATATCTTCAGTGAGTCAAGAATTAAAACAAAAGTAATTGATAAACCCCCGTAAGACCCTACGAAACAAGTATATGACGCTACCGTTGCAACGATGCTCAAAAAGTTTTTAACCAAAAAAAAAGAAGAGAGGCAAGCTCAAAAGTGAGACATCAACTAGATATCAGAAATAAAATCTTGAAAGGGTACTTCTACATAACTTTCCAGCACATTCATTTTAAGGTTAAAAGGCAACTACATAAATATGCTGAACAAGTAGACATGAATTATTATAAAAAAGGAAGATGCTAACCATGGACTCTTCATCCCCTTCGCCAAAACGCAAGGCTAAATCACAAAGAGCTTGGGTAGTTGACTCAACAGTCATTGGCTCACCATATGAAAATCTATGATTCTGATGTTAAGAAAACAGATTCACATTAGTTAGTTGGTAACATGTATGAAATGGTAACGCACGCAATATGGAGATATTACCTGAGTTTCAACCCTCGCATGTTCAACCATAGTTCGGGCATCAGCAATTAATCCACTCATTGCACATCCAATATGTTCATCAATCTCCATAATTTTCTCCACACTGCTTGGCTCCTACACGAGTAGCACCAATAATCATCTTTCCATGTAATCTCAGTGAGCGAACACGCAAATACACACACACCAAACAGGGAAGCAAGGTAGCAAATAGCAATACAAGTAAATAAAGTAGCAACGCCTCCCACAGGCAAAGTACACATACATACACAAACACACTCACTCCCATTGAAAATAAAGCCAATACCTTCAGAATTAACAAGCAAGAGAAGCAATTAAGCTAAACCTAAAATGCCGAAAAAAGGACAGGAGAAAGAGGAACAAACACATTAGTAGGAACAGCGTACGAGGAGTGGAGAGGTAATGCGCTTCTCAACAGCCAAAACAACTCCTTCTTTAGTCTTTAATCCAATTGCCGTCGAACCCAACTGCCAAATTTACAATGAAATCCGTCACAATCCAAAATTCCTAAACAAGCCGTTTGAAAAGACAAACACACAAACACACACACACACACACAATCTCAATGTTCGGCAACAGAAAATTGGAAGACGGATGATTATGAATCATACCTTGATAGCTTCAATAGCATATTCAACTTGAAAGAGTCGACCTTCCGGGGAGAAAGTGTTGACTCCGCGGTCATATTCAGTCCTTTACCATAAACAAACAAAGAACAAAAATTGAATGGGCTTCAAAGACTGAAATTTCCGGAAAAAAGGAAAGGAAACAAAAGTTCAGATCAAACGCTACCTGGTGAGGAACATCTTTCAATTATAAGCGATGATCTCGGAAAAAACTGCAAACTAAACAAAGGAGATGAAATTAGAGATTAAATAAAACTAATAGTGAGACTGAGAAAAAGAGAAAGAAAAAGCGGACTATGGATCGGAATAGTTAAGAAGCTCACCGGCGCCGGCGAGGAAGGAATCGACCTGGGAGAAAGCAAATAAGCGGGGAGGAAGCAGGAGAGCTCACAGTTTATGTAACTGGACATCTTGTCCAACAAGATATGTTGTCTTGGTGCTGGCTGGTTAGATGCAACTTGGGCTTGGATTTTTGTTTCTCAGTTCTATATGGGCTCTTTTGTGGTCTATTTGAGTTGGGCCTAGTTTTTTATTCATACTATCATCAACATATATGGTAAATACTAGTACTAATTACTTCTTCTTCTTTTTTTAAAAAAAAAAAAAACTACAACATATACTATATATAATATTACTTTTGATTTGATCTGATGATGTAATGTTACGATATTTTAACTGAGATAATAAATTTTGGGATACAGTAACTGATAAATATAAAGATAAGAATAAAAAATTTTCTTATCATAATTAAATCAATAATTAGGGTTTTTTCGAAATTCAAAGTTTAATGCATTGGTATTTGTCGAATAATTATCACACATAACTTCTCTTTTTAAAATTTAAAATGATTTTTTTCTTATTTTCTGCTTCCTTAAATATCTTTATAGATGACACCGTATTCAGTTTATTGAATTTTTTTCTTTAAAAAAAAAAAAAACAGAGCACACGTGATGTTGAATCGTAATTATTTACTCATGAATGTATTTAATTTTCACTCTTTTTACAATTCTCTCACAGGGTAAGAGACACGTAGTAGTTAGTATAATTAAAACTAGATGTTTGGCCCAGGCAGATGTCCGGGCACCCCTTCTAAATTACTATTTTATTAAAATCTAATTGAATTACTATTTTTTGAGGAATTAATTTGGCGTATATATCATTTATGCTATGGTTTGGGGCTTAAAAAAATATACCTATAAATCTGTGGTTATAAGAGAATAATAAATAATTAATTTATAAGACATTATTCTTAATTGCTGGATTTAGGTTTTTTTATTTTTTGTTTATATTAAGCCTGCAAAACTGTACTATTGGACATTTGAATTTGAATTAATATATCCATTCGTTTGAAATGTAACTGATTCTTATTTGTAGAATTTTTTCATTGGACTCGGTCACATCTAAAACATGTGTTTTTTAAAAAAAAAAAAAAAGAATTATATAGCTTCTAATTAAAAGAGACTTACACGTGGCAAAAAGACTCCTGAAATCTGAAATATGGTGCATTGGAGCCAAAACAGATGCATATGTAGTTGCCACATAAGCTTCATGTCTTCTACTTTAATAGGGTAAAAGGGATAATATATAATCACGTGTCAATTCTTCTTCAACTCTTAATCATATACTGTACAAAAATTAGTACCTTCTCTCTCCCAAAATTATTATTCAATTTTAGTATAACTAGTACTTGGCCATGCATTGCGTGAGCTATAAATTTAACAAAAAATACATTCATGAACAAAATACTATTATTTACATTCATGAGTAAACTTTTTTTAGACCCAAATAGTTGCTCATTCAAGGCCTTAATTAGTTAAAGGTAAAATGGATTAACTATTTTACATAAAATTTTAATGGTTTTATGATGAGCCAATAATAAAATAACACATGTCACACATTTCAATTGAAACTATTGAAGGGATAATTGAGTATTCAATGATCAACTCTTGTTTATTATATTATAACATAGATTATTTTCACAGATATCATCAATGCATGATCTTTACTTCAAATAACTACACTAAAGTAATAGAAATTTACTTTCCTGCAAACCACTAACTTATGTAATCTCAATTAAAAATTATATATTTTGTATTTTTATTAAAAATTATTTTTTTAGTTAGAACTTTCCAAATCATCCCGTTCCAATTTATCTTGTAATAAATCCCCTACAAGTAATTCTTTTTATTGAAGTAGAATTAAGCATCTAGTAATTGAAATAAATTATATATGTATTTTATATGTCATAAAAAATAATAAATTTTATCTTTGTGTTAAAATTACTTATTTTTAATTAGACCTTTCCAAATGATCTCATTCCCATTAATCTTATAAAAAGACTAAAGATTTCCTACAAAACTTTCCAATCCACCGTATAATATTTTTACAGTTTTTTAATAAATAATTTTACAAACATAACCCACCCTTGGATGAACCCGTCGGGCCCGGTGCCAAATCTTATTAACGATGTGGGAAGTTATGTAGGATTATAGTGTGAGAGATTTTTTGCCTTTTAATAAACCCTTCCCAACCGATCCTATTTTTTGGGATATTATTGAGTAATTAAAACAAATTTTTACACGCATTTTATATAGTCATAAAAATCATATATTTTGTATTTTTGTTAAAAATTATATTTTTAGTTAGATCTTTCCAAATCATCCCGTTTTAATTCATCTTGTAAAAGATCCTCCACAAGTAACTCTTTATATTGAAATAGAATTCAGCATATAGTAACTGAAACAAATCATATATGCATTTTATATGTCATAGAAAATAATAAATTTTATATTTGTGTTAAAATTATTTATTTTTAATTTGACCTTTCCAAATTATCTCATTCCCATTCATCTTATAAAGAGACTAAGGATTTCCTACAACACTTCCTAATCCGTCATATAATATTTTAATATTTTTCTATTTAATTATCTCTTTCTTTTTTAAAAATTTTTTACTAACATTCTAACCCACCCTTGGATGAACCCATTAGGGCTCGGTATCAAAATCTTAGCAAGTGATGTAAAAAGTGGTGTACGATTATAGTGTAGGAGAGTTTTCGCCTTGTAATAAACTCTTCCCAACTGATCCTGTTTATTGAAATTTTATTGAGTAATTAAAACAAAATCATACACATATTTATATAGCCATAAAAATCATATATTTTATATTTGTATAAAAAAAATTTTTTTAGTTGGACCTTTCCAAATCATCTCGTTCGAATTCATCCTTTAATAGATCCAATTTAATATTAATGGTTTTGTAACTTCCAAGTTTCCATAAATTTTTACCGCAAATTGACATATCTAATTGCTACAATGAGTGGATTATTCGTGAATGATTAATTTAATCAAATCATCCATTGATTTCACAATTAATTTCAAAATCTATTCCATTCTTTTTTGTCAATTCTTTATTTTCTGTCATTTTTTTGCTTGTTACAAAAGTAACAAAATATCTCTGTAATAAGGCACTATTAATGAAACTTGATGCCCAAAACAATTACATTAATGTAGATTAATAGTAGCTATATATTATTATGAAATTATGGCTCATATTTGAGCCAATTATTTCGGAACAAATTTGTGGGGTCTACATATGAAATTGTTAATTTATGCAATCTTAATTAATTAATTCACATTATGCAAACAAAATAAATTTATTAAGAGAAGTATTTCATATGAAATCGTTCACACATAATTAATCATATATGAAATCATCGACAACCATATATAAGTGTCATTATGGTAATCAAAATCAAATATCTTTATACGAAACCACCACATAAAATTTATTATATTTTCGTATTCAATTATTAATTTCCTTTTTTAAAATTTTACTAATATCCTAAATTAGTAATTGGATAAACCTGTTAGGGCTAAGTTATATTTACTATCGGTAAATGCTATGGGAACTAGTATAGGTTTATACTGTAAAAAAGCTTTGCTATATAAAGGTGTTTATATTAGAAAATAAATTCTATCTCATTGTTTATTTTAGAAATAGTGTACAAATCAGCCCCGGGGTGCCAAAGGAATAACAAAAGTTACAAAATATCGAGAAACGATTATAATGAGCTTACCATTTTTCTTTTGAGTTTTGATAATTTGGGAGCAATGGCATATAACCGGATTTCAAACAAATGAGTTACAAGTAGCAGTTGACCAAAAATGTAGAATATGAGCTTTCATATTATAATGACCATTTAATTTGTTTCCATGTTTCTTTAATATAAACTGAAACAATTTACATATTAAAAGCATATAAATAAAGTAATCAAAATGTACTCCGCAGACAAAAGAAAATCCATTACAGAATTTATAACTTAGATACATGTCTCGAAAGAAATCAATCTCCTCGTTCAAACTTGATACATGTTTCTGAGAAGAGAACTAGCAAGGAAATCAAAAAGTAATATTGGAGTAGTGATATTTTTCAGCTCTAAATTTAGAATACCGACAACAACGTATTAAGGAAAAAGTAAAGTAACAATCGTGTATGTCCGTGAAATTTTTTTTTGAGCAACTTAATCTGCTCTCATGATTGTCCAAGACAATTCAAACCAATTCCATATATGCAAGAGCTAAACTAAAAATCACAAATTACAACGTTAATAAAATGTTAATCGATCTATTGTAATTATTTTTTTAGAGAAATTAAACAAATTTATATTAGTAGTAATTATATATAAAAAAAAACGCCAAAGCAGGTTCGACTCAAAAGAACACAAACCATTTGTAAAACTTTTTTTAGGCGGTTTTCGAATCACCGATTTTTCTTAAAATACACAAAAATGTAGCTTTGCGCCGATTTGCCTATCGAGAGATTATTCGACATTGGCGCATCCGATTCGACGAAATTTATAAATTTGTTCCTGTTAAAAAGATCGAAACTCTATAAAACAAAAAGAATAAAAATCTCAAATTTACAAAGAAGTAAAATAATATTGTTCATGAATACCAATTAATATGGAGTTTGGGTGAATATAATCTTGGAACTCCATTGACTTGAGGAACCGATCACATGTACTTGGGGTACATAGTTGCCATCAAACACAAATTGCTATATTTTATAAGCATGAACCCGGACCTCCTCGTGTTTCAAAGCTGATTTTGGCATAAAAATAAATTAAAAAATCAATCAATGCTAAAATTACCTTGAACATGACAGCATTCTCCATCAACCAATAAAATTGAAATTAACGTTAATAGAAGTTTGCTCTCCATCCAACTCATTCTCAAAAAATAAAAAGTTCCAAATTTTCCAGCTACAACCGGTGGACATGGCGGTTAGCTATAAACTAAAGGATTTTTTTTTAATTGATTTAGATGTTGTTCATTGTGGAGGAATTATATGTATTTATAGAGATATGACATCCTCTGATTGGGGTTTAGTAGAGGCGAAGCGTATTAAAGAAGATATAAATTATGTTTAATTGTGAGATTGGTTTGGTAGAGGAGAAAGCGTATTAGAGAAGATATAAATTAGGTTTAATTGAGAGATTGCTACTTTTTTGAAAGAGAATATATTATCCAAAATTTTCATAATTAATGGTAGTTTTGAATTTCAAATCGAGTCGGTTAAAGTAAAAGCTACGCGGATTGAATAGATTAGTTAATAAAGGTGAAACGAATTAACTATTTTACATAAAATTTTAATGGTTTAATGATGAGTCAATGATAAAAAGACATATGGCAATGATGAGCCAATTATAAAATGACATATGTCAACGGAACCTATTAAGACCTAATTGAGCAACACGTGTTCAATGATCAACTCTATTTTAATATATAGATAGATAGATTTGAATTAGAAATAGAAATCCAAAACTAGACAATAATTATGAGACACGGTATAAAAAAAATTGTCCAAAATCACTCTTTTCATATGTTTGACAACAAAAAAGTAAGATTTAGTAAGTCACATGGTCCGCGCACGCCTTAACGGATTCCATAACCACCAGATGGAACTTTGCAAAGCTTGGTTTATATATTTCTTAAAAAGAAACCCTTTGTAATCCTAAAAGCGTGTCAATTACTTGACAAAAAAGAAGCCATTTGATTTGTAAAAAGAAGTACTATATCGAATGAGATACCCTTAAAATATATCCTTAATTAAAAAAATCGGGACTAAATGCCAACACGTGAACAATTTCTTCTTCTTCCTTTTTTTTAAAAAAATTTAAATTAAAGAAAAGTTAGAGATTCCAATATTAATATCTTCTTGGTTTTAGGTAAGGGATCTTATGATTATTAATTTATTATTATTATTTGCTTTGTTAAGGAGTTAATAAAGTAGTAGTACAAACATTCAAGTTGCGTTTGGAATGAAAATTCCTAAACTACTACGGATTCGTCAATATAATACTTCAAAAAAAATTATTCTTCAATTTTTGTGTAGAAAAAAAAGTACTCCCTTCGTTCCAAAATAAATGTCATTCTAGAGTTTGCATACAGTTTAAGAAAACATTAAATAAGATAACTAAATTACTAGAATCTCCTCAACCAACCCCATTAAAATAAATGCTCGCCAATAATATTATTTCTTTTGAGGGTATGTTTGGAAATTTTTGACAAAAAATGCGTTGAAATCCAAAAACGACACTTATTTTGAAATTTCTCCATTTTACTAAAACAACACTTATTTTTGAATGAAGGGAGCAGTATATATACATCTTCCTTCGTTATAAACCCTAAGAAAACTCTTGAGTATAGAGCACGTGCTTTCATCAAGTACAACCATGTCTATTTGTAATTCTTCCTCTTCCTCCATAGCCCTTTTGTTGTTCAGGTTTGTATCCAATTTCATTTTCAGTTGCCGACATATTTCTTTTATACTTTAATATATTAATTGTGCCAACTATTGTCATACTTTGATCTTAACTCTCACCGTTGCTTTTTTCTAATTTGTACGTTTGTGGGGTGTTTTTTTTTTTTAATAAAAAAGAGTAGAAATAAAAAAAAAATGCATGATTGTATGTATATGCATTGTTATGCTTGCTGATTTAAATTGGTTTACTTTAACAAAATGGGGATAAATTGGTTTACTTTTTGATGTAACACTTGGTGTGTAACTCGGTTAAATACAGTATTCTTTTTGCCATTATGAATTGGTCTTGTCTTTCCAGTGTATATGGTAGGAGAGCATACAGTGTGGCGGTGGACAACGTGAAAGTAGGGTCGGCCACCATGACGAGGAAGACGGCGGAGGAGAAGGTGGAAGGTGTGGCTGCGGGAAAAGATGTTTTCTGGATGAAAGATCCCAAAACCGGGAATTGGCTGCCGGAGAGTCACTTCGATCAGGTGGATGTTGTCGAGCTCCGGCAGAAATTACTGTCCAGCAATGTAGCCCCCAAATCTTGAAGTTAAATAAATAATACACCCTCTTTCATATATATTTTTAGTAATACAGATTTTTATCATTTATGTGATTTGTACTAAAAATTATATAAATAATTATAATATAGAATTTTTTTTTAGACTGAGTGAGTATATTATTTCTTCACCGTTATACTCGTATATGCACCGATGGATTTGGATTAAGATGATATAAAAGCTCAAAAACTCTTTTCAAAATTATTAAAAATGAAAATCTAAATTGGACAACAATTTGAAGGCGAAGGTAATACCACAAATTTCAAGCTGCTCAGGCCGAGGTGCTTTGATACAGATGAGTGATGAGTGCATTGACATGAGAAAAATTTTAGGGAATTTAATAATCATCCATTGATTTCATTTCAAACCTTTTGGATTAATTTTTGTTTAATTCACGAACGTAGAACACAAGGATGGATATTGATCTGTGTGAAGCTGATGACGAATGGCTCTGTGTTAAGTCTGGCAGGATCAAAGCCGATGATGATAAGCCTCTTGACCGCGTTAGTTCCCCCTCTCCCCCTCCCTTTTTCGTCTTGATGGTTATGAATTTACTGTCTCCCCCTCCCTTTTTATATATATATATATATATATATATATATATATATATATATATATATATATAAAATTTCGATTTGATCTTAGTTTAGGTGACTGAAGAGTTGAGCACCCTCTCTATCTTTTGGATAATCTGCCAAGGAGGAGCACAGGTGCTGATACTGATATGGAGCATGGTGTACACGTTAGTTTCCTTCCTTTATTTTATACTCCCTCTATCCCAAAATTATTGTCCGAGTTTTCATTTTTAGTACAATTGTACTAAAAATGAAAACTCAAATTGGACAATAATTTTGGGACAGAGGGAGTAGTATTTTGTTTTCCCTCTTGTTGTTGTTGGTTAGGCCATTTGTCATATCCTTTAGAATTTGCTTTTTCTATTTTGTTTAGGTGACTCAAGACTTGAGCACCCTTTCTATCTGGGATAATCTTCCGAGCAGCAAAGCTGCTGCTGATAGGAGCCCGATGCATCGTGCACGCGTTACTACTCTTTCTTTTTTCCCCTTTTTGTTGGTTTGGAACTTTTTTTCCATCCTAATTAACTTTTTCTTGTATTGATTTTATTCTTGTTTAGGTCAGGAGAGCTATAAATCCATCTGCGCACCATACGGACCCGCACTTGGAGTTTCATGAACTTGTGTAGTCATCGCGTAGGTATGTGCATTGAGAGAGCAATAGAGATTGGAAAACGTGCAATTTGCAAGGCTGGACATGGAGCTAATGAAACTGTTGGTTTCGCCAGTGGTATAATATGTGTTACTGTTTTAATTTCCTAGCTTACTTGTGCACATACCAGGTTATCTGGTTATGTACATCCATGATGAATTTTCCTTTCTGGTGTTTCAAGGTTTCTACGTCGGACCTGGTGGTTGGAGGATGGTGTTTGAACATTGAAGATACGGTGGAAACCTGGATACCAAGACAGATCTGATGGCAGACGTGCCCAACTTGTAATCTCTAGTATTTTTGTTGTTTGTATGTGTATCTGATCATCTTTCGAGAGTTGGTAGGCAATTCGGCAGTTGTTTCATGTTTGGTTTCCGCCTTTCCGGGGTGTAGTCAGTCATAGCTTACTAATGACTAATGCAGAATGATACAGACATGCAGTTGTTTCTTAAGGTCATGCAAACTTTGAAATTACATTATCTCCGCCTTTTGTGATTTTTTTCTCCAAGACCTTTTCTTATAATTTTTTTGTGATTAGTGATATTTGAACTCTTGATTCCTAAAATGATACATCCCCCAAGATTTGGAATATATTTACTTTCCTTTTTCTCTGTTCTCCTCACCATATATATACCCAATGAAGGATTTTCATTTTCTAAAATTATCATACACATAGTAGATAAGTTTATGAGAATGTTTCAAGCTACGCACTTCCAGATCTTGTAATCATATTTCCACTACTTCCTTTCCACAAATTAAATGTGGAACTGGAAAATGTACATCATTTCGATATAAATGGTTTTGAGTCTTTAACATCAAACTCGTCTACTTCAAACAAATCGACAGCATGCTTCGCATTTAAACAGTGAAAAATTTAATAGCAAGACGCAGTCATATCAAGAAGCAACACTTTAAATTCAACCACGTTCGAAAGGAGAATGAAAACTTTCCATTCTAAGAATCATCACATCATAGACAAATCAACCAATCGCATGAGCCAAAACTTATCCAGAAAGATTATCAAGAATATTCTCTTGGTAGTTTGATTGTTAGAACCCTGTATACTACTATCCTAATCTTAATGGAGTAAACATAACAAAATTGTCAAAAAAATCTCACTACAAGTATAGCTGGATTAGCTCATCACTTACTACAGAAGGTGTTAGGACACCTAAATCAGTAAAGAGTAAGGACAAACACTGGGGAGGCGTATAGTCACGTGCAGATGTTTCAACTTCAACCTTGGAAGGAATAGGTACCCCAAAATCAATTGGACGTAGAGCTGGGACCATATCTTTCTGATCCAAAGGATATAGACGGGCAAACTGCAAGACATACAGATCGAGTCAGTCATTTTATACTAGTATGATTCAGTTATGCAAAATAAGAGACTAGGTAGAATTTCAATAAAAATTGAACAAGATGCAATTCTAGAAACCTGCCTTATAGCTTTCGGCAGCGACATAAACTGGTTTATTCATGCTCTTAGCAACTAATGCAATTTGGTATGTTCCCATCATGTTTATTATACCCCCGCTTTCGACCACTCCATCAGCTCCCACCAATACCATGTCTACTTCATCCATGCTGTATGCTACGGCAGAGTCTATTAAGAGCTTAACAGGAACATCAAGCTTGGCTAGCTCATTGGATAATCGCAATCCAGTCCTATCTGGCCTTCCCTCTGCGCTTCAAATTGAAAGCTTCATTACCATCATAATCAAGAAAACATAGACCAAAATCACCAACATAAGCATATATGACATGGATCCACAGTCATTAAGATGTCATACCATCTCAATTGACAATTTGCATATACTATTTGTAAAACACTGAAAATAGATAGAATTTTTTAAGTTTTTTATCAGTGCAATTTTCAAGTTTTTTATATCAGTGTAATTACATAGTTCAATAAAGTAATTTCACTCCAGTGTAGCACAATTTGCAGGAATACCGACTACAGGATATTTGAATGCATACCTGTACAGAGCACCCGGAAGAGTTTCCGGTTTTGTGCAGCTGTTCTCAAGACTTCCAACACCACTCTAGAGAAGCCATGCACCAGGATCGTGCAACCATCAAAAATGAATTCCTGACTAAGCATCGCAATTATTCTCCTTGCCTGCATCAAGACTTAATTTCAGATCTGTGCCTAATCGATACCAATATACCATACAAGTTCATGAACATTGTTTGCTGCAGTATGAGCCTATGACCAACATTACTACCCAAAAAACGGCATACGATGGAAAACATCCAAAAGAGACGAAAACATTTAGCTGTGATCAGAAATTGGCATCATACCTTGTAAGATATTTCGCCAAACTTCTCTGCACGCTCAAGAAGGCGAGACTTGGCTGAATTGAAATCTTCATACTCCAAAGCTGAAGTTCTAGTTACATATCGCATGAAGAGATCACAGCCAGCTGTCAACGATATTGAGGTTGTATCCCACGACTTCAGTGTAAAAGAAATAAAGGTTTGTCAGACCATTTAGATTAGTGGAGGATACGATCTCAAGTAAGTTACTTTATAATCATTTGCCCACAATTTAACAAAGGCAAATTTTATCAACAATTGCATTGATAAACAAATATTCCCAAACTGGCAACCACTACAAAGCAGCCAGTAGGATGGATGACTAATGCTTTTTGTGAGATAAAAATAAATTAAGAAATAAAAGAAAAAACAAAGTTTTTGTAATGGCAAAAGTAACTGATCGAATTCTTCATTACACCGCCTGCCAAGAGCATCAAGACATGGCTTTACGAAAAATATGTTTCAGACAAATTCATGCGATACTAGTATGCCAATACAAGCCGGACAAATCCATGCATAAGACACAAACATAAGAATATTAAGCCACTGCTAAGGCAACAAATTTACACGCACAAATTCATCAGCAAAGGGATGTGAAGTAACTCTGAAACCTAAGTGGATTTGATGCAGTAACAATACGAAAATCCGTCAAAACAGAGGATAATACGAGTGATAGTATGCAGCCAGATAGACTGATAGACATCAAAGTGAATTAGTACGATTTTTGGTATGAATAAAGCCATTGATCACTGTAATTTTCATTCATCACAACCCCTTCGTAAAAAGCACTAAAACGAAAGGCCGGGGGAGAGGGAAAGATCAAGTGTGGAAGTCAATTTAGTAAAAAAAAAAAAAAAGAAAGCAAAATGATGGAACAAGAATACAAGATGGAAAATGAAGGCACCTTAAGGGAATCGGAGGCTTTCTTGAGCTCAATCTCCAGCTCCATCATGGTAGTAGCTTCACTTGACCTAATAACCGAAGCCAAAGCCCTAATAGCTGCCACCGCCTCAGCCAAATCAGGCTGTTTCCGCCAAGAGTTAAACTCATCAATCACACTAAACCCCTTGCCGGTCAACAAAGACGACGAAGAGGTAGCAGCAGAGTCATCGGAAACGGCATCCTCGAGGTGGCCGACGGCGGCTTGAGCCTGGGCGAGCCAGTCGCTGGTGACGACGGCATGGTGAGCAGCACGGGTCTGATAGTAAGCGGAAATCTTGGGGTTCTGCTGCTGGGGTTGGGGTAAGGTATCAGCCATTGACGTCGTAGAAGCTCCGGTTGCGGGAGAGAAGAGGCGGCTCTCGGGCTTCGCAACGGCGTCGTTCAGCTGCTTGTCACGGATGAAAGAGGCTGATCTGTACCACATCTAAAATTGTTACTACTACTACTTTGTTTTGTTCTTTTTTTGGGAATTGATTTTCTTTTTTCCACTTTTTCCTCCCCTCCTGATCTTTTCTTTCTGTGTGTGTGTGTGCGCGCTTTTTAAAGGAGAGAAAGAATCGAATTTCGAATCTCAAAAGGGAAAACAGTTTACTCCAAGTCTCTCCTCCTACATTTTACATCGGATCGAGTTGCTGTTTAGTCATTGTACTCTTTGATTTATGTAATCACTAATCACTCTGTCTCGAAATTATTGTGCAGTTTAAATTGATATTTTTAACATAAATTAAACTTAAGAGTTTTTTTTTTCATATTTGTAGCGTGTCCACCGTCGATAACAGTGTCTAATCCCTCTCACTGAATTGTAGGCACCTCGATGGGTGAGAAAGCTGGAACGAACGTATATATTCCCTACGATCTTTATTATAAGACATTTTGATTTCGTCCTAAGTTTAATTTATGATATCTTTTTAATTGGAAAAAAAATATTAAAAATATATTTTCACATTCGTTGTGTTCTCCTAATTATTATGAAATGTTTTTAAGGTTTTTATTCCAATTAAAAAGATATCCTAGGTGTTTGGGTGAAAATAATCAGTAGAAATGACGCACGCTTGCCAACAATATCAAACGAAAGTGTGTAATTTGTGAGATGCTATGATCGGCTAAGTGCGAAAGAACAGAAATAAAGAAAATAACTTGGAATAAAAGGGGCTGAATATAAACTGAATTGATGACTTAAACGAAATACAAGAGTAAATCGAATAATAAAAGTTGTGAAAAATACGTGCAAAATAAAAAAAAAAAGGTATTAAAAGATAAAGAGAAGCTTCGAAAAAAAAGGTATTAAAAGATGACGAGTTGTTCCTTTTCCGCCTTTCCTTTTCTCTTTATATAGGGCTTGGCAACCCCTTGTGTCGTTGGGATCTCCGGTTCCTAGTGTAATTCGGTATTGCTGATTTTAGAGTTATTTTTGATTTCTATGTCATCTTGCGATCATACTTCGAATCGGATTTGACTTCTTCTTTCGTCACCTTGGGCTTTTGACGCGTTTTTGGTATCCTAACCGAGAATTAATCTCATTCTTTGTCGAATATGGACTTTGTATGAACTTGGGTTGATTCACCACTTTTGTTGGGACGACTCGATTTTATTCAAAATCGGTGGTAACATAAAGCCCCCTCAAGGCACAACGCATCTTCGAATGGGGTGTGTCTTAGATGTCCATCGGGCCAACAATAAATCGGCCTAAGATAAAAAAAAAATTCTGGTGCAATGTCTCTTGGCCCATAAACTAAAAACTAGAGTTGGTGTATGGCGGCCCCCCCAGTCAAAGGCGTAATGAATATAGCGGCTTTGACTGATAAGATTGAAGATTTCCGAATCAAGCCGTTAGAAAGAGAATCATCGAGATTTAAAGCCCAAATCCCGTGAATCGAGGAAGCTCAACGAAACGATAATCAATTGTCACCAACTCTTCCACTCAAATCTGCATTTACAATTCCACCAAAAGAATTTTGTTTCTCTTTTCTCTCTGTCGACCGCAGCACCACAAATTCATCCAGCCAAACAACACATCTGTTCCCAAGAAAGCTTCTATGGCTGAATCGTACGCTGTTACCTTTGATGCTGAACAGGCGAAAAAACGCAGTGTGAAGCCGGAAGATCTATTGGCTTTGTCACCGTATTTTACTGAATTGTTGAATCCCCATGGGCCGCCAGAGACTTATTCACTGGGTCCAAGCATGATGGCCGACAACAGTACTTTGCGGAAGTACACACTGGTGTTAGATCCGGAAAATCCATCACATCAATTTCTGTGCACCGGTATCGATCGGATCCGTGGCTGGCCGTGGACGTCAGAAGAGGGCAACAATTCACTAAGAATTCTGTAGGTGGGCACGGATGATGGAGAAACATCATCCCGAAACTTGGAAGAAAGTTGGCATTTACGACTTGATTGAATTTTGTAAGATGGGTATCTTCGACAACAAAGTATTGTTAGGACTGTCATCGAGGTTCTGGAGCTCCTTTAGCAACGTATTCTGCTTACCTTGGGATTTTCTGACTCCGACCTTATTGGATGTGGTTGTAATCACTGGTTTGCCACTGATTGCTGATGTCACCATTAATGGCGATAAGGAGGATGAAGCAGCAGCTGTTGCAGGGGCCAATCAACACCGGGGCCATGGTCCTTACATCAAGGAGAACAGTGCAAGAGAGTGCAAGGATCATACGCAGCGTATTCGATTTTTGGCACTGTGGTTGAATCGGTACATTATATGTGGTAAGTCATTTCAGATGACTCAAGACATGTATCATATGGCTGCCATTTTAGCTTCTGGTAAATCCATCAACCTGTGTGAGATTATGCTTTCGTTGATGTACCGTAGTATGCATGAGATTAGGAGAGCGCCGAATGAGACTATGTTTGGTCTAGTATGGTTGTTATGTATGAGGGTTTATATGTATTATCCACAATTGAGGGTAGCTGGGATTAAACCTAGGGGAGGTCAGTCTCTGTGTCACTCATACCGGGGTTCCAAAATATAAGAGTAGCTATGTAGCAGAAGTGTTGTGGAATTCGGCACCAGAATTGTTGACCATACAAAAAGAGCTGGTGAAACATTGGCATCCGTCTTTTGGTGTGCATTCGAAGCAGGAATTCGGGCGTCTCATCCCCCATCTTAAGAGCAAACTCATCATTGTCCACACATGAGGCATCCCATTTCCCCATCTTACTATATACACGGCGTCGAGGCAATGGATTAAGATCCCTTTCTTCATTTTCCAACCTTTCATTATCACTTTCTTCAAAATCACTCTCTCCGGAGACATCACGGTCTTCTTCGCTTTCGCTTGGAGCTATGTAGTCGGGATCCGACTCATTCCGGTAGTCATCTTGTAAATAAATGTGTCTCCTCTTCATCACAGTTTTGAGAAGTACTAGCACGTTCCTCCCCTGAAAAATCACCAAATAACACGTTGTTTTCCAAACTCGCTTCTCTTTCTTAGTGACTGATATCTTTCAAATCTCTGTATAAATCCAAACATGACATTGGATCTACACGGTTCATGAACTCTACATGCGAATCATTATTGATCTTCACTACACGCCTACCACCGGGATTATCGAAAATCAAAGAAAGATGGAGTTTCACGTGTGTTGGATCCCAACCAAGTGTCATACAAATTTTACTAATCAATCCCTAATATGACAACCTTTCCTCAACAAACAAATCATCATCCGGCATATTCGAAAAAGTGCTGATGCTACCATTCTCTATTACATACTTGCTTGTATAAAACAAATTAAGCATGTATGATACATTACATGCCATTGATAACTGTTTTAAAAAAAAATCAATATCTCATCATTTCTTAATAATAAAATACACCATACATACTCCATTTATAATTCAAAAAACCTATAAAATACTAAAATATTTATAAATCAACTTCCATATCTCATGAATAACTATGATTTCTCATCTATAACATCAAAATCAACACTTAAAACATCCAAAAAACCAACCAACGTAAACCCTAATCTATCATACATCATTCTAACAATAAAAATAACACAAAACTAAACTAAATAACATGATTTTTCAATCTAACCTCTTTAAAATAACGACTCCCACGTATCTAGCTGCAAGAATGTATCAAAAGCTCCAATTCGTCCTTGTTTGAGCTGCAGAATAAAAAATTTAACTAAGTTCTCGAATGAGAACTGTCTGAATTTTTTTCTTTTATAGCACGTTAAACTCAGATTTCTGAAATTTGAGTCCGTAAGTAACTCGGATTCCCTAAATCCGAGCTACTGTAGACTCGGATTTCTGGAATCCGATTTTGGTCAATTCCAGATTTTTTTTATTCATTTTTTGGTCCTCCAATTTATGGAACATGCCTACTTCCACCAACCAAAATTAAAAGCATTCGGATTTCAAAAATTCGAATACAAGTAACCGGATTACGGAATTCCGGTTTTTTGAGTTCAAAAATTTCGCGCCTCAATTTTTTTTTTTCTTTTTGGGAACTCGGATTTTGTAAATCCGAGTACTACTGTTTATTTAAGGAGTCCAGGTCTTGGACTCTTCCTTATTTGAGTTCAAAAATTTCGCGCCTCAAAACCATTATTCCACAAAATTTCACAACTCGTAAATCCGAATAGCACTGTTCATTTTCTGATTTTTTAAAAACCATTATTTCACAAAATTTATTTATTTATTATTTTAATATTAAATATAGATTCGGATTTCCAAAATCCGAGTGTTTAATTTTAATTAAAACTCAGATTTTGAAAATCCTTGTGATATATTCTTATCCAAAGATATTCCGAAAAATTTAATTTTGTCCACCTTTATTTTAATTAATTTTTTGAGGGAAAAGACCCCACTTTAATAATAACCAATTTTTATTTTTGTGGATTTTTCTTCTTCTAACAATTTGATTTGACGCCGCAAAAATATTTAGTAGGAGAACATTTCTTTTATATTTTAGTAGTATTAAATAAAAAAACATTTTTTTAATAGATTATTATTCCACTGATAGGAAAAAACAAATTGACAAATTTGATTCAGAGGAGAAACGGAAAGAAAGAAATGGGGGATTTTCTTCTTGATTGCGAAATTATCGATTCCGCGGACGACAGTTGGATTTAGTCTGTATTCCCAAATTCTCAATTTTCTACGTGTTTAAGACGTATATTCTGTTCAGGTTCGATTTTCCTTTTTTTTATTTTTTTATTTTTTGTTTCCTCTCTATAAAATTTGTTGAAAGATTCTTAGGTTTTTTCGTTTCAGGTAAATAATTTGTCCTGTGTTTGTTGGCTTGATTGTGTGTCGTTCGTTCACATAGTGATTGGAATTCGCGATTTTTAGGGTTTTGAGTGGTGATGATCAGGGGGGATTTGACCACCGGCGAAGACAGGATTTTGGGTGTTTGTTTGTGAGCTGGGGAATTGAATTCTTCGGGCTTTTTTTTATACTTGCTGTGGATTGAGTTGTCTGGCTGCTGTGGACAAGCGTTGACTGATTAGGGGATTTCTTGGTAGTTTTTTTTTGTGATTGTAATTTGGCGTGGTCATTGAACTGATCAACTGATAATGAAGAAAATGTACTTTTTCATCTGAAACACTTGGTGATAAATTTGAAAAGAAGAGCATTTTTTGGCGTTTCAGTTTGATTATTTGAGTGTGGGAGTTTGTTTTGTGTGAAATGAGCATACCACAATGACAATGAGAGGGAAAGGGTGTTTCAACAGGTCATGGATGCCCCCGATAGTCCATTTCCAGATCTAGTAAACAAGCTTAAGTCTTGGATCCGGCGGAGTGAGCCGGCTAATGTGTCCAGGGACTTTTGGATGCCCGATCAGAGTTGTAGGGTATGCTACGAATGTGATTCTCAGTTTACGCTTTTTAACCGAAGGCATCATTGTCGTCATTGTGGCAGGGTTTTCTGTGCTAAGTGTACATCGAACTGGATTCCTGCATCGTCATCGTGTAGTAGTAGTACCGAATTAAGGACTCCTCGGGAAGAGTGGGAAAAGATCAGAGTTTGTAACTATTGTTTCAAGCAATGGAAGCAAGGTTTAACTGCTTCTGCTTTTGTTGTTCATGATGGTGGGGTTCAGGGCACCAGTCTGGATCATCTCAGTATTTCACCGTCCACCACCAGTTTTATTAGCAGCAAGTCTAGCGGGACTGTTAACAGTAGTAGCATCACGATTGCATCAATGCCACAATCTGATGGGGTTAGCCCTCATCAGTCGTCTGCAGTGTTGGAGACAGCCGCCTTAGAACGGCAAACTGTTGCAGAATCAAGAATGTGCAAGGATTTTGGTGTTGAAGCGGCTCAAAGTGATCATCAGCCTCCCATATCATTTGGATATAGTATGAACAGGTAACATTCTTAGTTTGTATATAATTTTTTCTTGTATAAATTTGTTATGGGAGTACTTGCACGAGATAGAGGTTCTGTGTCTGTAGTTTGAAAGTCTATAAAAGTTTGATAGGCTCTCCAGACTGAAGTAAGTCATTGCCAACATGTACTTTGACAGATTTTTTACTGACATATGGTTTATTTTGTATGGACTCATTACTTCTAAGGGCACAAAGTTGCCTTGTAGACGTTTACTCTTTTGTCCTTTTTATCCATTTTATCCAGATGATATGTTCCGAGTATTAGACCCTTTTATTGATACTTTTTTTCTATTTTGCTGCTCCAGGAATAGTGATGATGATGACGAATTTGGAGTTTATCGATTGGAGTCCAAAACGGTGCATTTCCCAAATGTTAATGGCTATTATGGGCATATGCAGTTTGATGAAATTACTAAAGATTATAGTTCTCGTAAAGTTCACCCTGATGCTGCAGCTGTTGACTCAAAGAGCATCAGTAGCTCGCCGCTGAACAGTAGTTTGGACTCCAGTTGCCTAGTTCCTGAAGAAGCCCATCATAATGAACAAAAAGGTGGGCAAGATATTAGTGACGAATGTGAACCATCTTCATCTTTAATTCCAGAAGAAGATGTAGCCGCTGAACCTGTAGACTTTGAGAACAATGGAGTTCTGTGGCTTCCACCTGAACCAGAAGATGAAGAAGATGAACGGGAAGCACTTCTGTTTGATGATGATGACGAAGGGGATGCTGCCGGAGAGTGGGGCCAACTGCGTTCTTCTAGTAGTTTTGGAAGTGGAGAGTTCCGAAGTAGAGAAAAGTCAAACGAGGAACACAAGCGGGCGGTGAAGAATGTGGTTGACGGACATTTCAGGGCTTTGGTTGCTCAGCTTTTGCAGGTTGAGAATCTCTATTCTGGGGAGGAAGATGACAAAGAAGGTTGGTTAGAGATAATTACATCTCTTTCTTGGGAAGCTGCAACATTATTGAAGCCTGATATGAGTAAAGGCGGGGGAATGGATCCTGGAGGATATGTAAAAGTAAAATGTATAGCTTCTGGCCGGCGTAGCGACAGGTAATATATTTGAATTTTGAAGTGACCAAACTATGCGCATATATTCATTTTTGCCATTTGAAAAGTTGCGATTACGTTGGTATCAAGCCTGAGACTACGAAAAGTTGTGTTTTTATGTACTCGCAGTAAATTACTCGAATGAAAAGATACGTTTGTGCATGTTTGTGTAATCGCATGAACATTTCCGCACGAATGTCACTTCCAATTGCTGGAATTTCTGATATTTTTCGTGCAAAATTGAAAAGGGTTGTATGCATTGACATTACAGGATAAATGTTTTTCGATGGCTTTCATTCATTCCTGGATTATTATCGAGTCATAATGTTGGTATCAAAATATTTTGTGTTTGCCTACTTTTAGTTTTTAACTTGCTTAATTGCCTGCTGATGGTATCAGAATCAGTGCCTGTTGAATTCCATGAGTTTTATTGATTGTGCATGCATGAACAATGGCTAAGCTACAAATTCAGTTTGTCCGTCCCAACATGACTATCAGATTTCCAATGTATCCTTCTGCAAACCGCATATAGTTTAATTCAACTGTTTAGATATAATTTTTACTCTACAAATCCCGTGAAGTTTTATTGTTTTGAATTGCTCAGACTTCCTATACCTTTTTTCTTTTCCTTTTAGTATGGTGGTCAAAGGAGTTGTTTGTAAGAAAAATGTTGCCCATCGAAGGATGACTTCGAAGATAGAGAAACCCCGTATACTGATTCTTGGAGGTGCTCTTGAATACCAGAGGGTTTCTAACCTGCTGTCAAGTTTTGATACTCTGCTGCAGCAGGTTAATCATGTTACCTTTTTTTTGTAGTAACTGGGGAGTTATATTGTGTTCTTGGATTTTCATAATTGTTGTAAGCTTTTCTCCTCAAGTTGTTTCTCCTAATCCCTTGATATTTATGGTGTTATGTCCTTTAGGAGATGGATCATCTGAAGATGGCTGTGGCAAGAATAGATTCTCACAATCCTGATGTTCTTCTGGTGGAGAAATCGGTTTCTCGGTACGCTCAAGAGTATCTTCTGGCCAAGGACATCTCCCTTGTTCTAAATATTAAAAGGCCACTTTTAGAGCGCATAGCTCGCTGCACAGGAGGTCAGATCGTTCCTTCTATTGATAGTCTTTCATCGCCGAAGTTGGGATATTGTGACTTGTTTCATGTTGAGAGGTTTCTTGAAGAGCATGGCTCAGCTGGTCAGGGTGGGAAGAAGCAGGTCAAAACATTAATGTATTTTGAAGGATGTCCAAAGCCATTAGGTTGCACTGTAAGTTTTAACTAAACACATGCTACAGTTATCTTTTTTTAATGATAATTGTCGTGTGTATACATGGATTGTCTTTTAAGGAGGTAGACAGTTTTATAACTGATATATCCAGATTTCAATATTTTTTCTCCTTGTTTCCATTTAGGATTTTAGGAGAAGCACGCACTGTCGCTTACATGGCTGTCAAGTGTTGATTTTTAGTCTGAGTTGCCAAGCAACTTGAGATCTTACCATTTTGTACGTGTTTTCTGTCAGATTTTACTTAAAGGTGCCAGCGAGGATGAACTAAAGAAAGTGAAGCATGTTGTGCAGTATGGAGTTTTTGCAGCATATCATGTAGCTTTGGAGACGTCGTTTCTTGCTGATGAAGGAGCCTCTTTGCCAGAACTTCCTTTGCAATCTCCCATTACTGTGGGACTTCCAGATAAACCATCAACCATTGACCGGTCTATCTCGACAGTGCCCGGTTTCTCTGCTAATAATGATCAGGCTCTCGGACCTCAATCTGAAGGTGAACCTCAAAGGTCAATTAGCCTGCCTTCTCCGAAACCTGCCAGGATGACCAACAATTTTATTGACAAGATGGGGTCAGAAGATTACTCTAACTTGACTGCTGCAGCTGTTTCCGAGTCCATCAAGCAGGCCATCACATGTTCTCAACAAGTTCTCTCTAAAGCTTCCTTTAGTGAGGACAGTCATTCAGGAGATCAATCCCGTGCTAACGGTTTTGTACTTTCAGATGCCGACGAACAGGGATTTCGTAATGCCAATAATATGCTGAACGAGTTCAATGTACAAGATACAAATCAAGACATTTCAGATATGTCTTCATCACAAGTAAATGCAATGCCTGCATTTGAAGAACCGGTTCCCATGAAGGATGAGTTTCCTCCTTCTCCCTCTGATCACCAAAGTATCTTGGTTACTTTATCTTCCAGATGTGTGTGGAAAGGGACTGTTTGCGAGAGGTCCCATCTCTTTCGAATAAAGTATTATGGAAACTTTGACAAACCATTGGGCCGTTTTCTACGAGATCACTTATTTGATCCTGTAAATCTCCTTTCTATGATTTATTTCAAGTTATTTTGTCTTAATGATCCAGTTTTTTGTGTGACTGAGGCCTTTTCCTTTGCAGAGTTATAGATGCCGCTCTTGCGAGATGCCTTCAGAAGCACATGTGCAGTGTTATACTCATAGGCAAGGCACGCTGACAATTTCTGTGAAGAAGCTGCCAGAAATTCTTTTACCAGGTGAAAGGGACGGAAAGATTTGGATGTGGCATCGGTGTTTGAAGTGTCCCCGGACAAATGGTTTTCCTCCCGCAACCCGAAGAATAGTGATGTCAGATGCTGCTTGGGGATTATCTTTTGGAAAGTTTCTCGAGCTCAGTTTTTCAAACCATGCAGCTGCAAGTAGGGTGGCAAGCTGTGGTCATTCTTTACACCGGGATTGTTTGAGATTTTACGGGTATCGCTTCTTTGGCTTAGGAGCTAGAATGTTTGTTTGGAAAAAAGAAGGCAAATTTCATGGATGACTATTTTTCGTGTTTTGATTTTTTTTATTATTTTATATAATCTTTTGTGATATTGTGATGTGACAGATTCGGGAAAATGGTAGCGTGCTTTCGTTACGCATCAATTGATGTTCACTCAGTCTATCTTCCTCCTCCGAAGCTTGATTTTAACTTTGAGAATCAGGAATGGATACAAAAAGAAGTGAATGAGGTATGAATGGCTGTGTTTCTTGTACTTTTGTTATCAGTAATCTCTTTTGCCTCTTGATTTACGTATTATCTGAACAGGTTGTTGGCCGGGCTGAGCTGTTGTTTTCAGAAGTATTAAATGCTCTCCGTCTTTTGGTGGAGAAAAATTTTGGTTCGGCTTTGCCTAGTGCTGGTGCAAAAATACCTGAGTCAAGACGGCAAATCACAGATTTAGAAGGAACATTGCAGAAGGAAAAGGCTGAATTTGAGGTGAACCATGTTATCCCTTAATAAATTCCTGTGTTTTCTTTTATCAGAGCGTTCTAGTTTTTCTTCACCTTAGAACATCGTAATATTGACATTTCTGATGGACTTAACACCTTTCGCAGGACTCCCTGGAAAAAATTTTGAAGAAGGATGTGAGAAAGGGCCAGCCAGTTGTTGATATCTTTGAGATTAATAGACTGCGTAGACAACTAATATTTCAATCCTATCTGTGGGATCAGAAACTAATTTATGCATCAAGTTCAGGTAATCTCAGTCCAGCTGAGAAAGCTGCCACCAGTTTTGCTCTGGATGCAATGCCTAGTGAGGACAACATGGATTCAAACGTTTACGTTAAAACAATCCAATTTTCAGCTTCTGTCGATCTAAATTTGGATAAAATAGATGATCGCGGTGTTACTAGGAGTGAAGTTCTCTCTGAAGCTATTCTTCATGATTCTAGTGATGACCAGAAAAATCTATCTGAAGTTGCTCATAAGGAAATCGATACAAATTCAAATCCAGAATTTGTGAAATGTCGATCAGTGGCTTCTTCTGGGATAGACTTCCATCAGGAGCCTGATCTCTTGGAACCCAATCTTAGCATCCGCAGGGTCCTCTCTGATGGGCAGTTTCCAACCGTAGCAAGTCTCTCAGACACGCTTGATGCTGCTTGGACAGGTGAAAACCATCCAGGTGTCGTGATATCCGTGGACAGTACTGTAAGAGCTTCTGATACCCCCATATCAGATTCATCAACTGGAGTAACTGCTGAAAAATTGGATATGGACAATAATCATTTCGAAGATCTCGCTGGGTCTAAAATTGTATCCTCTCCTTTACTGTCTTCTAGAAGTTCCGATACTACAGAAGACAGCTTGCCATGGTTAGGTATCCCTTTTATAAGCTTCTACCGCTCATGGAACAAAAGCTTCCTCCTCGGTAACACTCAGAAACTGGATCCACTGACTGAGTATAACCCTGTTTACATCTCCTCTTTCCGAGACGCAGAACTTCAAGGCGGGGCTAGATTGCTCCTACCTTTAGGGATAAATGATACCGTTATTCCTGTGTATGATGATGAGCCCACCAGCGCTATAGCTTTTGCCTTGGCTTCCCCTGATTATGTAGCCCAACTCTCAGATGATCTTGACCGACCAAAGGACTTTGTGGATCCCGTGGTCTCATTGCAGTCTTATGATTCAGGGAATTTTCAGTCCTTTCATTCACTGGATGAAATATCGTTGGAATCTTATAGAAGCCTTGGATCTGCTGATGAAAGTATCTTATCCATGTCAGGGCTCACTCGTACCTTGTCGTCATCGGGGGTAGATCCTCTTTCTTACACCAAAGCTATGCATGCCAGAATATCTTTTACTGATGATGGACCCCTCGGAAAGGTTAAATATACCGTAACCTGTTACTATGCAAAGCGTTTTGAAGCCTTGAGGCGGGTTTGCTGCCCGTCTGAGATGGACTTCATTAGATCTCTTAGCCGATGCAAGAAGTGGGGGGCCCAGGGTGGCAAGAGTAATGTCTTTTTTGCAAAAACCTTGGACGATAGGTTTATCATTAAGCAAGTGACTAAGACAGAGCTGGAATCTTTTATAAAATTTGCTCCTGGATATTTCAAGTATCTTTCTGAATCCATTGGTTCAGGGAGCCCTACCTGTCTTGCAAAGATTCTAGGGATTTATCAGGTATTGTCTCGCCAGAATTAGCACTTCTAATTAACTAAAGAATAGTTTCAAAATACATGTCTTTTCAATTGGCTAATAAATATTGAAAATGTGGTAATTTTCACTATGGATATACGTGTTTGACTTTGAAAATCATTGCTGTTTGGTTTGTTGATGCCTAAAGGTTACATCGAAGCATTTTAAGGGGGGAAAGGAATCGAAAATGGATGTGCTCGTCATGGAGAACCTACTTTTTGGAAGGAATGTGATGAGGCTGTATGATCTTAAGGGATCTTCAAGGTCTCGATATAATCCAGATTCCAGTGGGAGTAATAAGGTTTTATTAGATCAGAACTTGATTGAAGCCATGCCAACTTCTCCTATATTTGTTGGGAACAAGGCGAAGAGGTTATTGGAAAGAGCAGTGTGGAATGACACGGCGTTCCTTGCAGTAAGTTTACAACTTGTCTAGTTAACTTATATTTTGTTCCTCAGGTACATGTGTTGTGACGGTTTAGGACTTGTCTTTATATATCTGACAGTAACAAGGTAGTCTTTAGGGTGGTTTCCTAAGTCTTGCTTTGGTGATAGGATCAACTAAGCCTTTATCCCACTATATGGGATCTTTCATGTGGATGCTATGTTGCCGTTGTGCTCTTTTAAAACACATTTTCATTTAATCTGAATTAATCATGTCCAATATATCATGATTACTATTTTAGTAACCAACTCTGTTTTGCAGTCAATTGATGTAATGGATTATTCACTGCTTGTGGGAGTCGATCAAGAGAAGCATGAGCTGGTTCTGGGGATTATCGACTTCATGAGGCAGTACACATGGGATAAGCACTTGGAAACGTGGGCGAAGGCATCTGGAATCCTTGGAGGACCCAAAAACGCTTCCCCAACAGTAATATCGCCGAAGCAGTACAAGAAGAGGTTTAGAAAAGCTATGACAACCTATTTTCTCATGGTTCCAGATCAATGGTCTCCTCCCAGCATACTCCCCAGTAAGTCCCAGACAGATTTGTCTGAAGAGAATTTGCAGGGTGGAGCCAGCACCACCGAGTGACTGTGGATTGCCTGAATTGCCCTCAACTTGTACATTTGGACATATGATAGCTTTCCAGAGTCATAATTTAGCATTCATTGATCCAGTTGATATATGCATATTGGATTTTTTTTTTTTTTTGGGGTCATTTTTTCTATTCTTTTTGGAGGGAACTTCCGATATGAGACACCTTTTCTGTGATGTCTGATTGGTACTTGTTGATCAACTGTTAAAAGAGCAACAAGGTCATGGTAGAAATGCTCTGCCATTGGAAGTCTCTGCCATATACAAGTAGTAGAAGAGGAGGAGGAGGACCTTCTTCCTCTAGAAGATTTTGTATAATTGGCCTTTGTTTTGCGGGTCACTTTTCTTTTTCTCACTTAGAGGTCAACTTGTAAATGGATGTTTAATCCTTTTGTGTAATATAATATAGAATTTCTCTCGGTTAAACTTCTGTGTTGCTGCGAATTTGTGGCTTTTTTACTTTTTTTCCTTTTTATTTCCGGTAGGACATCCGAGATGGTATATGCAAAGCATCATTATTTAATAGTCGCACTGCATAGTAAGTACCTAAAGGATAAAAGAAAACTTAATTGCAGACGGCAGAGGAAGATGGCAACTGGGCATCTGATATAAATAAATTTAAAACCTTTTAATTTACACGTTTTTCTTTTGCAGCAGATACAGAGTGGTAAACATAGAAATTGCAGTTGAGGATTCTTATATTGTGTATGGCAGCAATCCAGCAGCATTGTGAAGCAGGATAAATCCTTGGCAAGGTTTTGCATTTGTGGAGTTGGCAAGGTTTGAACTTCCGATCTCAGACAGTAGTAAAGGTGTTATGACCGCATCATTGCGCCATTTCTCAAGCTCTGCCACCTACTAATTAATAAATCTGAAGTCTTCCATCATCATCTGAATCGAACTTCTTCTAAGAAGGTCCATGATGTCGGCTTCCCTGAATGTAAATAACCATCCTCTTTAAAATGTTTGCTAGCTGATGACGATGAACATTAATTCATAATAACTCACTATTATATGCACATAAGCAGAAGATGGATGATGTTTAGTTTAGTGTACCTCTGGATCGTATTATTGTTAGAAATTGACGCTGAAGAAGAATGGCAGAAACGAGGGCCTTCATCAATCCCTTCACAAGTAATCTCCCCATTTTCATCTCTATAACAAACAATTCCCTTGGATGCATCCTCAAAAACCTGCATAAAACCATCAGAATTACCGTATATATTCTTGCTAGATCCCCAGGTTCCTTAAAGATACAATCTGCATAGCCCTTTTGTAAAGTGCTTTACAAATTTTTAACAGTGCCAGGGATCAAGGATATCATCCGCTCGGAAAACTATTCGTTCCTCGCTTCCAAGCAAGTTAAAAAAAAGAAGAAGAGGATTACATACCTTGTTCCTGGTGGAAGGTAATCTGATCTGGAGTGTACTAGTGCTGACTGAGATTTGATGATCTGAATTACAATTACCCATCATCATGATCACCACTTTCCTCTTCCTCCTGCTAGACGTTAATGATGGCCTAATACTGAAGTTAGCAGATAAAAAAGCAGGTTTCTTGATCACTATAGGATTGAGAAGAGCAGCAGTTGCAGCCATTAGAATTGACCTGAATCAGTTGATGATAACCCTTTTACTTTGTTTAGTTAGTAAATTATTCTACTTTGTTTTTGTTCATTTGCCAAAAGGGAAGTTTCATTTGGCAGGGCAGGAAGCAGTTAAATAATAGAAGAACATAGGTGGCTTTGGCTGTGTAGTAAGGTTTTTCTTCTTCTATGATAATAATGCAGCATCATGAAGTACTATTTTAATAATGTCATCTTAATTCTGAGTGGAAGTCTACGCCCCATTTCATTTTGATTTGATTTGATTGATTGATTGATTATTGGTTGTATGATTAGTAGTAGTATTTGATATTTTGAAGGTAAGAAACAAGAACAAGAAAAAACACCTCAGACAGGAGTAGTATATTATTACACCACACAGAATCCATTTTGTGTTAGGAGGCATGGATATTATTATCAAAAGTTAATTGTAAATAACCCCCTCGGATTTCAGTGTTTTGTAAAACACCCTCTAGCATATTAATTTGTGGCACATTTTCATGTCTCTAATTTGTACCAATCAATCACCATTTTAATTGGGCGGCAGAAATTATGTACTTCCTCTGGTGCTTATTTATAATGCATTTCGATTTGTTTTAAGTTTCACCTAATATGTTTTTCGATTGAAAAAAAAAAAACCTTCAAACTACATTTTCACATTCATTGTGTTTTCTTAATTATTAGAAAATATTTTTAATTTTTTTTAAATGTAAAACTTAAGACAAATCAAAATACCTTATAATAAAGACTGAATGGAGTATTAAATGGGTAAATTCAAGAGGCGAAAATGTGTAGCGATTGGTATGTATAGAGGTGTTCGAGAAAAGAAGTTGAAAATTAAAGGGAGTTCATTACAACAAATGCTAATTATTGTTATAGAACTAAAGTCTTAAACCCGTTTGGGTAGAACTTACTCAGGCTGATTTGTTTGTCTAATCAATTTTTATATATCATATCATAAAGGGATTTGTCAACTTGCATCATTTTAATAGCTTAAGGTACTAAAACTCTATAATCTCCCTTGGGGTGGGGTCTCTTTGGCTTATCTTCAAACTGTTGGATTTCTTCTGGTTTGCTGAATCATCCATCCAACCCTTCTCATTTTTCATTGGTTCATCCCTCATAGTTGATACCACATCTTTTGTTTTGTTTATGAAGAAATTCCATCAAGCTTCTCTCTCTTTTTCTTTTTTCTTGATAAAAAATTGATAATTGTGAGCATCATCAGACCGAAGAATGAGATTATAAACCAGCACCTAATTTAAAGTACTCTTCTATAATGTATAAACATGGTTTCAGATCTATGAGGGGCCATATAATGAAGGGCTGAAATTCATCCTTAATTAACATTATTTAACATCCTATTGAATTACATGAAGCAAGATCGGGTCAAAAGGGTGAGAGTTTGATTTTTATTTTTTATTTTTTTTAAAAAATAATATCTGATATTAGTTGAAAGTACCTAAACTATTATAAAATTTGTATTTGTCACTAAACGATGTGCTAGTACACATCCCTAGTTTCCTCCAGAGAAACCAAAGCCTCAAAAAGATTATTTGTAATCTTAATCTTATCCTAACATTCTTTGTTTATCTATCCCAACGAACCTAATTCTTATACTATTACAAAAGGGGAAGATTTAGGAATGTTGTTTTGTTTGGTAGTAGCTAATTAGTTAGTTGTAGTTACAAAGTTCATTCTTGATTCTTGATCCTTTCGAAGAAATAAAAAAGAAAAGAAAAGAATGTTCATAAATTGTCTAAGCATGCTACCCAAAAGATGTGACAAACATTTCGTGATGCCTCCCTTATATTTTATGGCATCAAACAATTTGGCTACTTAAACATCATTTCAATAAAAAAAAAATAAAAACACACACACACACACACACACACACCTTCAACAGAGGGTTTTTTTCAATTATAAGCACCATACTATATGAAATAAAAAGAATACTGTAGTATTAAATGGCAACTAAATACAATATAATAGACGTATAGTTTATTCGTGTAAATGGGTAACAATTATATGCGTTAAATGTATTTTTATTTTACGTGATTTAGATTGCTGGTAATACTGATACAAAATTTGAGATCTCTTGTGATATATGAAGAAGAGAAGAAACCCACACAAGTATCATCAAAAGGGAACCCAAACAAAAGCCTGCATTCCATTTTTGTCAGACAAAGATTATGTTATGTCTAAACAGACATTTTTGTATAATGTGTCTCATTTATTAATTCCTAATATTAATCTTTTAGGGCTCGAGCTATCTTTCTTTTGGGGCTCCCAAAAAGGTCCCCGATTTCAATCTTTTCTACCCTTGACGAGGAGACCACCGGCAGTCAAACTTTTCAGTTCCCATTCCCCCAATGTTCCCCCCAATTCTTTAAGGTTACTATGTTGTCTTCTTTTCCCACACAAGTTCTAGCTAACTTCCAACATCAAGGAATTATTCATCTTGATATTATAACTTTATGTCCATCATATATATTGAGGTGTCACGTTAGTTTTAGTTATTTGCTTATCAAGCTAATATAATGTTCCCGAACTACACTCATCATTTGTGTCAAATACATGAGTTAAATTCGATAAATTAGTGATACCTGTTGATCAAAATTATTGATTAGTTTATATATATGCTTGTAACAATAATGCCGTGACACCTATTGATCAAAATCGTGTTTCTTTTTTTTTTTTGGGTCAAGATAGTATCAAGTTCCAAGTAAACTAGATCATTATATATGGACTCATAAACATTAAAACAGACTCCTAGCCACACTCACACTCACAAGTCCTTTGTTTCAATAGGCAAATGGATTTTCTTCTTGAAATTGGACACGGAATAACCAACAAAAAAAGAAAATGAAAGTAAAAAAGAGAGAGCCCCCTCCTTGTAAGCTAATATAATGTTATCGTACATTTGTACTGAAGTGTGCATCATTCAAAAGTCACTGTGGAATGACATTTGCTTCTTTCTGCACAGTACTCCCAAGGTTTCCTTTTATAAGCAGTGGTCAAAGCTTTTTTCATTCCTGGCAGTGTTCCCTTCTTCTACTGTTTCTCACTATTAACCTCTCACTTGTTTACCTCTCAGTCACTTTCTACAATCTCATGGCTGATACTCTTGTACTACTCACCACTCCAACTGCATCATCATCATCATACTTGACTCATAGCCTCTTGGTAGAAGCCAAAGCATTCAACTACTTTTTTACTAGATTTCTTGCATAGATTCTTAAAGCCAAAAGAAAAAAAGAAGAGTTGATAGAAAAACTTCACCAGAGGTTGTCTGAATTTTCTTCTCCATGGATCTTAGAGGTTCACCAGCCATCCATTCTCACCGTCAACAACAACAGGTCTGTGTAAACCACAACAATGCATCACCATCTTCACATTTTCCTCTACATTGCTTTCAATGTCTGTGCTGCTGCTTTTTTTTTTTCTTTTTTCTTTTTTGTTTAATTTTTAAGCCCATGTGTTTTGGAGCTTTCAGGAAGCAAGAATTGAGGGCAGTATGTTATACAGGACAAAAGCTGAGAACCCTTTTCTGGATGATGATGCTTTTCAAGTTGAAGATCCTCTTTGCAAACTCAATCTCAAGGAAACTTCTGAATTTGTCAAGTCATTGCCAAAGAATTGCAGCAGCAGCAGCAGCAGCAGCAGCATTTTGTTTGATATTTCATCAGGAGTTCAGAGAAGGAGAGAGTTTAGTAATGGAGGGAGTAACTACTACTACTCACTCTCAACAAGGAGGAATAGTGTTGCAGAAGCAGCCCCTCCTACACCTGGCCGGCCAGTCTTCAGCTTCAGTAGTACCAAGGGATTGTCTTCTAAGTGGGAAGATGCAGAAAAGTGGCTCATCAGTACAACTAATACTACTACCCATGGACATCATCATCATGATTCCCCTGCTTCTTCTTCTTCGTCTTCTGCTCACTACCATCATTATAATCATCATGGATTGAGGCCACCACCACTATTAGAGTTTGCTTCTACAAATTCAAGGGCCAATAATGTTGTTTCAGGCTTTTCCAATGAAGGGTCATCTCAAGCAGATTTATTACTTCTCAAAGGTCAGAAAGTCAGAATCTTTTCCAGTTCCTTTTTCATCATTTGTTGGCACTGTTCTGTGATTTTTCTGAGTCCAAGATGCTGTCTTTTTAAGGCCTTGTAAACAGCCTCAATTATCTTAACCTCTTGAAAAATTATCTACTGATAAACGGCCAAATGTGATTTCCATCCTAATTTTTATGTCCTCGTACAAATTGCAGATAAGTTCACAAATCATGAGGCAGCAGATTATAACAAGTACCATTTCTCCACCACCGCCAACTTCAAATCATCATCCTCCTCAGAACCCATGAAACAAGCATTCTTTTTTGGCAATGCTGCAGCAGAAAGAGAGAAGCCCGTCTTGAAAAATGCTGCAACTGAATCAATATCAGTAGTAGTTGTGAATGAAGTGAAAAAGCAGCAGCAACAGCAGCTCAGGGATATTGGAACAGAAATGACTCCATTAGGGAGTTCCAAAACATCAAGATGCCCAACTCCATTCATGAGCACATCACCGGCCCGGTATAACACCCCTGAAAATCGGTCCGGCCCGTTAGCCATTACTACACAAATTGAAGAATGCCATTTTGCAAAGCTATCATCAAACTACTACTGGAGCTCGAGAGAAGAGGAGGAAGAGGAAATATCCAAGAGTTTGAGGCATTTCGAGCTAAATGATGACAATGATCACAGTGATGATGATGAATGCAAGAAGAAGAAGGACAACATTTGTGATAACAGAAGTTGTGGCTGGGTGGAGGAACAGAAAGGAGAAGATGACAAAACAAACTGCTGCCTCAGGTAAATTCCTCAAGTCCCTCCTAAAAGAATGGATTTTTATTTGTTCTCTTTAGGTCTGGATTACCATTTACAAGTGGAATGCTGGGTTTCTTGTTGATGTGGGATGATGATTGGTGTTCAGGTATCAAAGGGAAGAAGCAAAGATTCAAGCTTGGGTGAACCTCCAAAGGGCTAAAGCTGAAGCTCAATCCAGAAAACTTGAGGTATCATATCATGTCTTTGCTATGCATTAGTCTTCCTTTTTGTTTTCTCTGTTTGTGTTTGAAATGGAATCTGTGGGGAACATGTGTTAACTTTTATCATCAGATTAACATTCCACTCTTTGATTTTTACTGCATCATTTCTAATTTTCTGTGGTTGGTCTTTGAAGAGTAATATTGTTTTAATGCTTTTGTTGCAAAACTTGAAGTATAATGTTTGATTAAAGATGAATATTTCTCGGCTTATGATATGGAGTTTGGATTGGTCTTTTTCGAGCCACCCGCTGCTACAGAACAAAACACTTTTACACCTCTTATTATTTTCTGGGCAATTTGTGCATCCAACAGTATAGTATACACGTTCTTGAGATTTGTAAACGATATTCCAAGTGATTGTCACATTCACACACGAGCCATTGGGCCTTTTTTGCTTCATTATCAATTGGCTAGATGGATTCTTGAAGCATGTGACTAATAATACATATTCTTGTGCTTTCCTAGGAAAAACGACTTTATACTTTTCCATTTTGTATTGTATTAATTTCTGACATAGTGTATTCAGAACTATCAACAAAATTGATGTGATTTTGCAGGTGAAAATAGAGAAGATGAGATCAAATTTGGAGGAGAAATTGATGAAGAAGATGGCAGTTGTGCATAGGAAAGCTGAGGAGATGAGAGCTGCTTATAGACTCCAACATTTGGAACAAGTACAGAAGAAGCCTAACCTTAACAGTAGTAATCACAATAATAATTCACTTAAAAACGCTCCAAAGATGATGATCAGCAGCAACAGAAACAGCCTAATTACTTGCTCTTATTTCACTAAACAGCCTTCAAACCATTCTACTTGTGGCTGCTTCCCATGTTCCACCATCAACCAGTTTTACTGATTGGATTCGTCTTCAGACAAAATTCTTAGCTAATCTAAACAGGTTCTAGTTAATTTGTACTAATTGCAGAACACAGGGTTTAGATTATCATGTGGTTAAGACTTGAGATTAGGTACTTCCGTATCATTATATCGTGTTTGCGATTTGAAGAATCCTTAACTCCACAACTTATTCACCGGGTTGTTTTAGGGGACTAACAAACTTCTACATTACAAATGCATTTTTTCCTTGCAAAATATTTAGATCCCCTGTCTCATTATTGGAAATTGGAGGGAAAATTGCATGGTTTCCAATTGGATTATTGCAGAAGAAAGTATACTGACACAAGTTTAGCAAAACACAGGAAAAAAGAGAGAGACCATTCAGAGGTAGAGCAATGACAGTAATATAAACAGTGAAACGGTAAGAAATAAAAGCAGGCATCCAGCTGGGCCTCCAGAAAAATTCTCAGAACTTTGCAGTGACTCAATTTAGTGAGAGTAATTATTGAATGTCCTCCTTCTCCGCATGATTATATTCTTGTTGGACAAACTAATAAGTTTAGTACTACGTCCGTCTTCTCCTGCGTGATAATCTACGTTGAGTTTTTAGTTTTGTACTATTTTTAGTACAAATTTGAAAAATCAACGTGAATTATTTTTTTTTAGGGGATAGAGGAAATAATAGTATTTAGTAATGTTTCCGGCTGGAAAAAAAATGGAACTATAAGGGAAGCTTCCAATTCCAGTAATGTTTTTTCATCACAACTTACAATCTACTGATACTCTCCTTTGATACATAGTACTGCAATAATTATGCTGAGATTTTGCCGAACAATTCATGAGTTAAGCTGTAACGCGTGGTGAGAGATAGATTCTTATCAAACCAACATCTACGAGTTTTAGCAGTTATCAAGTAGTGTTATTTTTCTTCTATATGCATCTATAATTTTATAAAGTACCTCTTTAATATAATAAAAGTATCTTTATAATTTAACCAAATACCTCTATATTTCTAACAAAAGACCTCTATAATTTTGCGACGTACCTCCATAATTTAATAAAATACCTTTATAATTTAACAGAGTACTTCTATAATTTCGCAAAGTAATTCTTTAATTTAACAGTGTACTTCTATAGTTTCACAAACTACCTATATAATTTCGCAAAATACCAATATAATTTTGCAAAATATTTCTAAAACTTAACAAAGCACTTCTATAATTTCACATAGTATCCCTACAATTTCACAAATTACCTCTATAACTTAACAATGTATATTTACAATTTAACAAAAACCTATATAATTTCACACAATACATTATAAGTTAACAAATTATTATCTCTATAATTTCGTAAAATATCTCTTTAATTTAACAAAGAACCTCTATAATTTCATAAAATACCTCTATAATTTCGCAAAGTACTTATACAATTTAACACTGCACCTCTATAATTTCGCAAAGTATCTCTATTGTTTAACAAAGCATCTCTATAATTAAACAAAGTACTTTTTTAGTTTCGAAAAGTATCTCTATAATTTCGCAAAATATCTCAATAATTTAACAAAATAGATGTATAATTTCATAACGGCTCCACCTGTCTCAAAATATTGTCCAGTTTGAGTTTTCACTTTTAGTTTAATTTGTACTAAAAATAAAATTCTAATTTGGACAATAATTTCGAGATACAAGAAGTACATTGCAACGAAAGAGAATAAAGAACTCATCGCCTATAATAAAACTAGACAATTGCTTTTGAACATCGAACATTTATGGCATAGTTGCAGTTTTCAGATGTAATAAAGACTGAAGATCAAACAATTACTTTTACCAGCCATGATTTACATTATTATAAATTTATCATTAATTAAGGAGTATGGTAAAAAAATAAGAAAGGAACTAAACAAAACGTCGACGTAATGACTAAAACACAGCCGTTTGCTTAGCAAACAAACTGCACTGGATTCAAGAATCAAAAGCGAAAAAACAACATGAATTCCGAATCAACGAAAAGAAAGAAAGAAGTAATCGTGAAGTGGAAAATCAAAAGCGTTTTATATTGTTTTAATTTCCTGCTTTATTATTTTCCAGATTTAAAGAGAAATTATTTCATCTCAGATAAGATTCTTAATGATATAACACGGATTCAGTGATGCTTAGTAATCATTTGGATTTTAGTACTACTTTCTAAGGCAAGATTTTTTCATACTACAATTCCCATTAATTTGGATATAATTTTTTTGATTTTCTTTTCTTCTAATAAAATTAAACAGTAGCGCTGGAGTTTTACTTTTTTTGAGCTATTGATTTAGTTCGTGATCTTATTGGATAGGAGCCAGTTAACACAAAAAGAAGTTTTTTTTTTTCCGTGATTATTTCTTTTATAAAAAAGATATATTTTTAGGGTTTCCATTCTGTTCCACAATTCGTTGTGAAGCTGTTTTTGGTTATTCGGAAGCCACAAAGTCGATCGTTTATTCGGATTTGCATCTTCGGAGTTGGTTCGAGAGGCTGATTTTTGTGTGGGTTTCGCTGCATCCGGGAGTAATTTGCTGTATCCCGTGTTCATTGTTTCGTCGCTGGTGAGTTTGAAGTTCTAGGTTTGGTTTTGGGGCACTTGGGATGCTCCTCTCATTGGACTAGGTAATCTCGATTTACTATTCTTTGCTCGGCTTTGAATTTGGTTTAGTCTGTTTGTTGTTTTAACTGTCTCTGAGGAAAAATTTTCTGATTGCTCGAGGAGATTGGGTGAATTTGTTGTTGATTTTTGTTTGAAAAAGGAGCATTCTTTGTTGTTGTTCGTAGCTGTTTTTGCAAAATGTATTGAAAATTTTCATCTTTCTGTTAATTGGTAGGAAAGATGTGCTGAGCAGATTAGTTTTTGAGTAGGAGGAGTAAGAGGCGGAAAGAAACTGGGCTTTGTTGCTTCTTACTTGATTTACTGTAGGAACAAGTTGTGGCCACATGTTTCACGTTCAAGGAGCTTCAAAATACTCTTGCAATCTGCTTGCCGTCTTGTCTGGTCGAAGAACTACTGAAGCGGAGTCGAAGCAAGATGCTTTTAATAATGGAAAGGGATACCCTTTTCCTGATCTTGTATCCTCCGGGCGCTTGGAGGTGCGAATATATTGGTTTCATGTTGTTCTTTTTTCAGACGCACATTTTGGTGTAGAAATATGGGTATTTCTATTTGCGTGGAACTTTGTTTCTGGTAATGATGTAGTTTGAAGTGGTCCTTTTTTCTGCGTTTTATTGTAGGTTCAAGTTTTGAACAATCCGAGTGCAGACGAGTTTCGGAAGGCTGTGGATTCATGGCAACCAAATATTTTGTATCTGCAAGGAGAACAACTTGCTAATGGTGAAGTTGGTTCACTTGAATGGAGGGGTGTTGACTTGTCCTCAGCAGAAGCCATTAGTGGGCTCTTTGGTTCCACATTGCCGACAACTGTATGTGATTCTCTTTTCCATTTTATGGTGCAATTTTTTAATATAATAGGTTTTATTGTTTGTTTTTATGCTTCAGAAGTTCTGTCCAATCTGAGTTTTTGTGAAATGCTTATGAAGGTTTATTTAGAGATCCCAAATGGAGAAAAGTTGGCCGAGGCTCTTTATTCTAAGGTGAGTTGGTAGGCGTTTGGGTGAACACATACTTGTGTATAAATAGTTATATTGAATCAGTTGTTGGTTTATGAACGATGCAATGCATTGATATTGATGGAAACTTTTCTTGTTCTCATGCTTTAACCCAGGGTATTCCTTACATTATGTATTGGGAGCACAGAATTTCATGCTTTGCTGCATGCCATTTTCGTCATGCATTATTCTCAGTGGTTCAAAGGTACTATTCATTGCTCCTCGCTTGTTTCTTGAGTACTCTACAGAGTAACTTCACCTTTCTAGTTTGTTTGATGTTATCCCCATGTTTATAGTTTATTTGGAAATTCAACTTCTCAGTATGGAGCATGAAAATGTTTTGGTCTGTGTGGGGGATGGAGGTGTTAAAATGGGTTCAAATGGGTTCTCCTTCTTGATTAAGGGGGGATTACATTGATTATTCTTCTCTTTCTGCGTGAATTGTTGCTGCACTGTTTTTCTAGCATTACCAGCTCCAGAATTCCTAAATTTGCGCAATATCAAATTGCCGAGAAGGAAAACTTTTACTCTTTTGATTGCATGTGTATGCACGTTGTTCGTATGGCATTTGATTAGTCAGAATACCCTTTCTTCGTTAGCATCCTTTTGAAAAACCTAAGGTTCTTCTACATGTTTTTAGGCAGAGTGCCAAATTCACTATTGTGCTTTATCTTTTTCTTGGAAGGATGATCAATGGATAGTATACTCAACCCTCTGCATAGCTGAATTTCTTTTTTCAATTGCAGCTCATCTTGTCATACTTGGGATGCTTTCGACCTTGCTCGTGCTTCCTTCCGGCTTTATTGTATCCGAAACAACCTTGCCCTTCCCGATAATAATATCCAGAAAGTGAACGGTAATTTCGGTCCTCAACTTCTTGGAGAGCCTCCAAAAATTAGCTTGCCTCCACCTGATGCAGCTGCTGGTGATGGTGATGGTGACGGTGATGGTGATGGTGATGGTGAAGACGAAGAAAATTCTTCGGGTTCTCTCCCTGCAATAAAAATTTATGATGATGATGTCATCCTGAGGTTTCTTATCTGCGGATCTGCACATTCTATGGTATAACTCTCTAGTTCTGCTTTTTCTTGTACGAGAAAGAGAAGGAAATATGTATAGATTTTTTTTATCTTTTGATATTTCTTTTTGTAGGATGCCAGCATCCTGGGACCCTTGGAGGAAGGTCTGAATGCATTGTTGAATATTGAAGTAAGCATTGACTTCTTGGGCACTTCTTTGTAAATTCTACTGTTACGGTTTGATATCTAAAATTATATTTGTAGGCAGTGCATTTTTTGATTATGAAATGAAGAGAAATTTCCTTATTATTGCAGACATTTGCCTTTTTAAAATTTTACCTCGACTTTTCAGAATTCAATATTTTCTTTTTTTCCATTTTCAGATGCGGGGAAGCAAAATTCAGAACCGAGTTAGGTACGAGTGGGTTGTGTTCATTCATGACCACTTTCAGCTACAGTTTTCGCTAGTTTATGTTTCCTTGAGATACTCTTGAATTTTTCAGCTTTTTATTTTGCTCCCAAATATGAACCTTCTTCAAAAATATAGGTCCGGCAAGTTTTAAGACATGCCCGCTTACAATCATTCATGAACATGTTTTGTGCAGTGCGCTTCCGCCTCCACTTCAGGCAGGGTTGTTTTCACGTGGAGTTGTGACTATGCGATGTGATATTTCTACCAGTACTTCTGCTCATATCTCACTTCTTGTATCTGGTAGTGCAGAAACTTGCTTTGATGATCAGGTATGTGGTTGTAGCTGTCCTGGTACATTCTAGTGCTGTGTGCCTTAGCTTTCTTTTGAACTGCTCTAAACATTTTATACGATCTTTTATACAGCTATTGGAGAATCATATAAAGAGTGAAGTCATTGAAAATAATCAGTTGGTTCAGGCACTACCAACTTCTGAGGAAAATAAGCAGGCTTTATCTGAACCTCGGAGATCCATTTCAATAGCTTGTGGTGCTCCTGTATTTGAAGCTTGTATGAAGGTTCCATCATGGGCATCTCAGGTTCTTCCTCTTGTCCTTTTATCTGTGAGGGCCGTTCTGTGATATAATCTGAGGAATAAAAAGTCCATGCCTACACATACAGTAGCATATTAATGTCTTGGATTTATGGCATTTCCCTTAAATTTTATCTGACTAATAACCACTAAAATCCTCCAACAGAGTTGTTCCAAATTGATATAATGCATTTCCCTTAAATTTTATCTGACTAATAACCACTAAAATCCTCTAACAGAGTTGTTCCAAATTGATACAAGGATCATAATTGTGAAACACGTGCCTTCTCTAAGACTGGTCGATTGGAATGTCACTTTTAGAAATTGTTTAATTGTATGTGATTAAATGAAAATGTGCTTGTTGACTGAGCACACCGACTACACATAATCTTATAGCCAATCACACATGATGGAATAAAAATGTAGTAGTAATTTTATGTGATTGCGTTTGCTTTCTCAGGTATTGAGGCAATTGGCTCCAGAGGTGTCGTACCGGAGTTTAGTTGTTCTGGGTGTCGCCAGCATACAAGGATTAGCCGTAGCATCATTTGAGAAGGATGATGCCGAGCGGCTCCTCTTTTTCAGTTCAAGGCAAGGGAAAGATGCTTCTTCAAACAATCTTAATATTAAGCTTCCAACCTGGTTAAGGTCACCGCCTGCTAGTAGGAAGAGAGTGGAGATGTCCCAAGCCCCTAACCTTAGTAGCTCCAGCAACGGTTTGGTGGCAGGCATTGGAGCAGTTGTTAAAAAGGAAGAGACTGAGGATAAAATATCTCTATCAAGAAATGGGGTTTTCGTTCCTGCGGGATCCGCTAGACAAAAACTTAAAGTTGCGGCTTTGAGACCCATTCCTCATGTTCGCCAACAAAAAATGCTTCCGTTTTCTGGATTTTCGGAAGTGGATGGACTTGAAGGCGGCACTGTGGTAAAGCCTAGTTTGCCTCCCGTTGCCCCCATAAAGCATAGTAATGCTGGAATAACTCCTCTTTCCAACCGCAAATCAGTGTCAAGTTCATATCAAGCTAAGCAGATTATATCATTAAATCCTCTTCCTCTGAAGAAACATGGTTGTGGTAGAAGTCCTATACATGTGTGTTCGGAGGTAAGTTGAATTCTTTCCGACTTAAATGCCACAACTGAATTTTATTTCACATTATCTCTCCGTGGTGGGCGTCTCAAGTAGTCTCTGCTATTTGCAATTTGGCTTCTGTCTCAATTGTAAAACATCCTTTTCTGCTTTTCCCTTCCTGGATTTATTTTTTATTCTTAAATTTTTGCTTTTATACCTATTTATACGTATATAGCATATTGATTTTGGATGGAAATTCTTGTTAATTTTTATGTTTCTGGGAAGTATTAATTTTTGTTCATCTTTTCACAGGAGGAGTTTCTCAAAGATGTGATGCAATTTCTCATACTTCGAGGACATACTCGTCTCATACCTCAAGGTGGGTTAGCTGAGTTTCCGGATGCCATACTCAATGCAAAGCGCCTTGATCTCTTTAACTTGTATAGGGAGGTGAGCCTTTTACATTTAGTAGTCTGAATAGCATTTCTCAAAACCAAACTTCTACTTCATCATCTTTCTATTTCCATATATTCTTAGTGATGAGAATTGCATTGTATTTGGGAGCTCTTAACCAGGTGGTTTCAAGGGGTGGCTTTCATGTTGGCAATGGCATTAACTGGAAGGGGCAAGTTTTCTCAAAGATGCGCAACCACACTGTAACGAACAGGATGACAGTATGCATTCTGAGCCTGTGACCTTGTCCTTGTGCACCTTAATATCCAGCTATTAAAGTTTGCTATTGCATTTTTGTTTAACCAGGGTGTCGGAAACACACTCAAAAGACACTATGAAACTTACCTCTTGGAGTATGAATTGGCTCATGACGATGTGGATGGAGAGTGCTGCTTGTTGTGCCACAGGTTGATCCCGCCCTAAAATTATATTCTTTGATAAATAGGAAATGCCCCATGAGTTGTATGTTGGCTAACAGTCGATGTTTTCACATTCTTCAGTAGTGCTGCCGGGGATTGGGTTAATTGCGGTGTATGTGGCGAGTGGGCTCATTTTGGATGTGATAGAAGACAGGGACTTGGTGCCTTCAAGGTTATCTACCAAATCTGTGTAGCTTTTCATTGTAAATCTGTCTAGATAATTGTCCCGAACAATTTGTGGTCTTGACATCTGTGTGTTAACTTTGCAGGACTATGCAAAAACAGATGGACTAGAATACATATGTCCACAATGCAGTGTGTCAACTTTCAAGAAGAAGATTCAAAAAACTGCAAACGGATTTTCATAGGGGTGTGTACCACATTACATACTGTTATTGTCAGCTTCTTCCTCTCTCTCTCTCTCTCTCTCTCCCCCCTTTTTCGCCTTTTGTTCTCATATATCCATCAAAGATTCTCCTCAATTGGACATGGGGAGAGTTGCTGATTTGTAGCATTAGGTCTGTGTTTATATAATCAAAGTTAGTAGTTTGGCAGAGTAGTTGTTTGGATTATGAGGAACAAGCATTGTTACTAATTAGGTAAGAAATTGAGAATACTGGAGAGAGGGAGTGGCAGAGAGGCATTAATAGCACCCATCACCATGGGGAGGAACAGTGGGAATCGGGCAATAGGCAGCGGCGATCTTATATAAGAGAACACCGAGATGATGATGGTTGTTGGGTGAATAGAGCTATTGTTGTGGTTCCGGTCAGGTCCTTGTAACTTAATGTGTATTTCTTTTTTCGTGGTAGAATTCAGAATCTATTTGCCAAAGTTCTTGGTTGTATCTTTAAATGGAAAATTTTCCCCCTAGAATGAGTTGCAATTTTCCCCTGGCATGCAACAGAAGTTACAAATCAGTTGGTTTGATCAGCCTAGCTGTATATTGCTCTTTATCAACGATTTGGACATAAGGAGGTACGCCGAGAACTTGAATAGTTACATATCTAAGACCTTTGACAAAAGTAGAAATGTTGCAAGTTCCATATAGTTTACATCTGAAAAATACAACTTTATTTAACATTTTCTTGAATAGCCACTATGATCTGTTGCATCGGCGTTACCTGTGATTTTTGTCAATGATATATTGCCAATTATTGTGTAATTTCACTGCGTGGTCCTCATTCTGAATTGAAAGTCCAGTGGGCTTTTTTTTCCCATTCCGTCTTGTAAAAGGATTTAGACGATTATTCACTGTTGGGGTGCCTACAATTCAACGAGAGTGATTAGTTATTGTTGTCGACGGTAGATACTCTGTAAATACGTTTAAAAAAAAAATGATTACGCGTGAAGTTCTTGTAGAAGTAGATGGGATGGTTAATTACTTATGAAACAGGGTCTTTTGCTTGAATCTATGGTGGTCTGGAACTGTTGTAAATGCCCGGTTAAGAGTTTATAATACATTGGTCAGAATTGAACCTTAAAAGTACTATTGAGAAGCCTAAATCCAAACCGTTCAAAGTAACAACAATTTGTTATAATAGTAAGTAATAATCTCAAGTAAAACAAGAGTTTAAAGGCAAGGGTGCTTTGAAATGTTGATTTTGACCAAAACCTCGTCTTTTTTGTTTCACATCAATCTTTCTTCCAATTAGCTTTTTCACATGAAAAGCAGCAAAATATGGAAAAACGCAGCACAAATGATTGAACCATTTGGGGGTAAATAAATAAATACTCTCCAAAAAAAAAAAAATGGTTTTGGCTAAAGTGAGAGAGAGGCAAGAAGAGAACAAAATTGAATTTTGGATGTTTTAGGGAAGGGAGGCCCAGACCATGAAGGCTGGATCATAGCAAAAGAAGGCTGGGCCCTAACTTCACTTCGCCATCATGTTGCTTCCAATTTGGCAGTCATGATTGATCCACACATTGACCCACTTAACACAGCCTGGGCCCTCCACCCTCAGACATGCACGTAATTTGGTTTGCACTTGTAGACTACTACACTTTTTGTACATTTACTTTTCACATGTAAAAAAATATTAGTTTTTGAGAAATATTGAAAGAAAGAAAATACTCGCTCCGGATAAATGAGTGAATTTCTTTTGGTCATCGTCACCTTTCCAAAGCGACAGATAAAAGTGAATGAAATTACTAATTGCTATCATTTATTGAGGATAAAATTGAAAAATTAACAATCAGTTTACCTTGAATTTATAAAAATACTTATATTTTAAAATATTCCTCCAAACTTAAAATAATTTGGATTTTGAAATGGAGGGTATGGAAATTATATGAAGGAAACCAAAGCCTATTTAATCGCGCATGGATTTTTGGTACTTCTGAAATACTAGTGTCGATTGTGTCGATTTAGGCAAAAGATAAAAAAAGAAAATCATAGGAAGAATTATGAAACGGTTAGAAAAAAAGGTTAAAAAAACAGTCCAAATAAAGAAACAGTTTATTCCACCTTGATGAACGTAACCTTGAAACTCCCAAAGCTCTGTCTTTTTATTACGAGTAATTTTAAAATTTGTATAGTAGTAGTAATATATATATATATATATAGGAGCATGGCTTTTACTCTACTGACACAGTCACTAAATTGTAAAAAAATCAGTGTACAAAAAGCTTCTCACGTGCATTCAATCAGAGAGAAGATATTATCGTCGCCTTTGTCCAAATCCCACTTCACTTCTCTCTGTTCCTTCTTCTTCTTCTTTTTTTAAATTTTTATTTTTATTTATATACTAGTATAGTATTATACAGTAGTACTACATGTTTAAAAAAAAACATAAGTCAGTCTCAGACTCTGAGGAATTAATGTCGTCCACTGTACATCGTTATGTACGAATATGGTAATAATTTACACATTATATTTAACTGCCTTCCATAAACTTTTCTACAACCACTTCTACCATTTTAAAAAAGCGATAAAGCATGCAAATTCCTTTGCAGAGGTATAAAGCAAATATAATTGCCAACCCAACACTACTCATAATTCTTCTTCTTCTTCTTCTTTTTTTTTTTTTTGGGGGGTGTTTAAAATGTAGCTAGCTGGAGAAGTAGCAATAGATTTTTGACAGGGATTGGCTTAGTATTTGATGAAAACATTTCAATAACAAAATTGTGCTTTTTGGTTTTGATTTAGATGTGTTTTTTTTTTATTTGATGAAAATGAGCACATGTGTTGGTTGTGGGGATGGAAAATGATGATGAATAATGTGGTGGTAATTGTGGGGGTGAAAGGGTCAAAATCATAGAATACTGATTTGGACTTTTTAAAATCTTTGACCACAGTCCACCTGCCCTAACTATTCCTGCCATTAACTCTCTTCCAATTTAATTTCTCATCTTCCCACTCTGCTCCACTACTATTACTAGCCCACCCACCTCATACTGTGATGGTATATATCTTCTTTTATGGTCACGTCATCAGAGTCATGGTAGAGATTTTGCGACACCGATTGAATTTCCACATTGAACCCAACCATCGTAATCAACTCTGCTATAAGTACTCATTAACTTGAACTTTTTTATTATTCGTGACAGTAATTACGTACTGATACATTCATTTTGATTCTCTGTTCATTTCCGCATTATCTCCGATTCATGGCATATTAAAATTGAAAATATACAGTCGGTACATGTTAAATGTTATAAGGTGTTTTGGTTTAGGGTTTACCTCATTATCCGTCTTATTAAAAAAAAAATCAATTTTGTTGTGATGTTTTAATTTAATGAGATAAACTATTTATCGCAAATAGATGGAGTACTAGTAGTTAAATAAAGGTTGAATAACAAAATTTAATAACCTATATATTGCATCAACAAACAAATGTACATTTGGAAATAGTATTAATTATGACTTATTAAAGAGACAAAAGAAAATCCCAAAAACAAAAATCTAGGGGAATGGATGATGTAAATAACACTACTCCAGAAGTATAATAAAGTTGTAAGGCTTACTCCCATCCTTTTCAAATCTAAAAGCAAGCCAGACCAAAATGGTCCCTCTTTCCTTTCCACCTCATTTACTCAGTAGAGTCCTCACTCACTCTCTACTCTCTACAACACACACACACACACTCACACACTACACTGACTACAGTACTCAGTAGAGTCATCACCACCCTCCTTCTACAGCCACACGTACTACTTCTCTTCTTTCACTCACATTCCACTTCTCCCTACAATTTCTCAATGAACTCCCACATCATTCAAAATCAAACCCCCTCAGAGCTCCTCCCATTCTTCTAAACAATCATATGGCTTCTTTCTCCATCCTCCCATTCCAGTTATTATTACAATTATTTGGATTGGCGATTTTCTCAGTCGCCGTTTCTGGGACTACTCAAAGGGAAGTTAAGACTTACATTGTCCGTGTTCAGCGGGATTCCAAGCCCACCGTCTTCCCTACTCACCGGAATTGGTACGTGTCTTCTCTCCTCGGAGCTCTGTATCAAGATGGTGACAAGACGAATGGGGTTGTGGATGATTCCATGATATTGCATGCCTACGATACGGTCTTCCATGGCTTCTCTGCTCAGCTGACGTCTGCTCAAGCTCAGAAGCTTCAGGACATGGATGCCGTTCTGGGTGTTATTCCCGAGCAAGTCAGGCAGCTGGACACTACCCGGTCCCCGGAGTTTCTTGGCCTGAAGAAATCCGACAGTGCCGGCCTTTTGAAAGAGAGTGATTACGGTTCTGATCTTGTTATTGGTGTTCTTGATACTGGGATCTGGCCGGAGAGGAAGAGTTTCGACGATCGGGACTTGGGCCCTGTTCCGGGCAGGTGGAAGGGTGCCTGTTCTCCCGGCAGGGATTTTCCGGCGAGTTCCTGCAACCGGAAGTTGATCGGAGCCAGGTATTTCAGTGCTGGGTACGAAGCGACGAATGGGAAGATGAACGAGACGAAGGAGTACCGGTCACCCAGGGATGCCGACGGGCACGGGACCCACACGGCTTCGATTGCCGCCGGGAGGTATGTTTTTCCGGCTTCCACTCTTGGGTATGCCCGAGGCGTGGCTGCTGGGATGGCCCCCAAAGCTCGACTGGCGGCTTACAAAGTCTGCTGGCTCTCCGGTTGCTACGACTCCGACATACTCGCGGCCTTTGACGCCGCCGTGGCTGACGGAGTGGATGTTATTTCCCTCAGCGTTGGTGGTGTGGTGGTTCCTTACTACCTCGATGCTATCGCCATTGGCGCTTTTGGGGCTATGGACCACGGGGTCTTCGTGTCGGCCTCCGCCGGCAACGGTGGTCCCGGAGGATTGACTGTTACCAATGTTGCTCCTTGGGTCACCACGGTCGGTGCCGGAACAATCGACAGGGATTTCCCGGCGGAAGTCAAGCTCGGCAACGGGAAGATTGTCCCGGGTATGAGCGTTTACGGCGGGCCGGCGTTAGCCCCACACAAGCTTTACCCTTTGGTTTACGCCGGAAGCGAAGGCAGCGACGGCTACTCGTCTTCACTCTGCTTAGAAAACTCACTGAATCCGGCGGTGGTCAAGGGTAAGATCGTCCTTTGCGACAGAGGAATCAATTCCAGGGCTGCAAAAGGCGAAGTGGTGAAGAAAGCCGGCGGAATCGGGATGATTCTGGCAAACGGCGTATTCGACGGGGAAGGTCTGGTGGCGGATTGCCACGTGTTGCCGGCGACCGCCGTGGGTGCCGCCAGCGGCGACGAAATCAGGAGGTACATAGATTCCATGACCAAATCCAAATCCGTGGCGGAAGCCACGATAACGTTCCGGGGTACCCGGCTGAACGTCCGGCCAGCGCCCGTGGTGGCATCGTTCTCCGCCCGGGGCCCGAATCCCGAAACCCCGGAGATTCTGAAGCCGGATATTATCGCACCTGGATTGAATATCCTGGCAGCTTGGCCGGATAAAGTGGGACCGAGTGGGCTCCTGTCCGATAAACGCCGGACCGAATTCAACATTTTATCCGGCACCTCCATGGCTTGTCCTCACGTATCTGGGCTGGGCGCGCTGCTGAAAGCTGCCCATCCGGAATGGAGTCCAGCCGCAATAAGATCGGCCCTGATGACCACGGCTTACACGCTGGACAACCGGGGGACTACAATGCTGGATGAATCCACCGGGAATTCATCCACCGTAATGGATTTCGGATCCGGTCATGTCCACCCGGAGAAGGCAATGGACCCGGGTTTAATCTACGACTTAACCACCTACGACTACGTAGATTTCCTGTGTAATTCGAACTACACGTTGAAGAACATCCAGCTGATCACCCGGAAAAAGAACTTTGACTGCCGGAACGCGAAACGGGCGGGTCACATTGGCAACCTGAATTATCCGTCTTTGTCAGCCGCGTTCCAGCAATACGGGAGGCATAAAATGTCAACCCATTTTATCAGGACGGTCACCAACGTTGGGGACCCGAATTCGGTTTATAAAGCCATCGTGATTCCCCCTGCCGGGGCAATCGTGACGGTCCATCCTGACACGTTGGCGTTCCGGCGGGTCGGGCAGAAGCTGAATTTCTTAGTCCGGGTGGAAGTAACGGAGGTGAAACTGTCTCCAGGTAGCTCCAGTTTGAAGAGTGGGTCTTTAGTTTGGTCGGACGGGAAGCATTTTGTGACTAGTCCAATTGTTGTGACAATGCAGCAACCTCTCTAAAAACTAAAATTAGCGTTTTTTTTTTGTTTTTTTTTTAAAATAAATCCATGCATGTGTTGGGATTTTGTGGGCTTCTTTTTTTTTTCTTTCGTTTTTTAGCTGTGGCTTATGTAAAATTCAATTAAATTAAGTTTTGTTAGCTTTTTTTTTTTTTTCCTTAAGTTATTATATATATAATAACAATATAAATATGAATGTATGTATGTATAAGGGGAATTTTGTATGGGGGTGAGCGCTGAGTTTGATTTTGTTTTGTTGTAGTTTTGTTGTACCTGTGTTTTTGGTAGCCTGAATATATGAAATCGAGAATCAAAAATGCCCTCCGAATGCGAGGAACTGCTTCTTTTTGTTTACCATTTATAGCTTATTTTGGCATATTCAGGTGTGTAGTTCTGGATTTCTGGTTGCTTAATCTGGGCGGAACTGAATGTTCAATTCCTTCATTTGCTCCAATAGGCTGTCAGTTCATATGGTGGAAATGATTAGGGTCATTACATTGCACTTTTTCCTCTGACTCTGTCGGTTGCTCCAATGTACTTAAAAATGATAGGCACCGAATCTCATACTATTCAGTTAATTTGCTCCATTGCAATAGTATTTCGTTCCAAAAGGATTTGGCATAATGGCAGAGACAAGAAGGGATGCATTAGCATTCTATTTGTGATTTGACCATAAAGTGCCTTTAAAGACACCCTTGTGAACTGGATCAGCCGATTCTTTAGAGTGCAAAGATTGATAGGACAAAAGGGAAGTCGTCAAGTCTTCTTTAATTTGAATAATGTCATATGCAATCATGTATCTTGGCTACATACAGTTATCATGCTTTCTAAAAGTCTTTGTAAGGAGGGACACAAATACAAACAATTTTAGGGGCAAATGGGGGCACACTCAAACTGAACTCAAATTTCTCCATTATGACTTTACACCTAAGTCCACATAATTACTTCACTTTTGAATTCCATTACCGACTTTTGGTCATCATTAACTTTTGCCACTCGAACTAATGGAAACTAAAAGCAGGCCAAAACATTTCTAATCCAATGACCATCCATGATTGCGTTTAAATTCTTACCATTAACAAATTTTATGCATTCTTATCAATAAATAATACTCCCTCTGTCCCAAAATTATTGTCCACTTTGAGTTTTTCATTTTTAGTTCAATTTGTACTAAAAATGAAAACCCAAACTGCACAATAATTATGGGACGAAGGCAGTACAAATTTGTACTAAAACAGTTACATCTCAACTTTAACATCTCCCTTTTTCCCAATATAACTCCTATCATTCTTAGAGAAGTTCCCATCACCTAGGCTTTGTAACAACACCAAGCACATGACATCCACCTCAAGACTCTTATCTCGCACATTTTGGATTCAATCACATAACAAAATCTTTATTTTGAAATGAGGAAAAAAATAAATAAAAAACATTCGGTCCCGTTTTTCTTTTCTGGTTTACTTCTTTTGTAGCACTCTAGGCTTGGACATTATTCCTAATTTCCCATTCATCTATGTTCCAGTTAGAAGATATCGTGGTGATTTTAGTTGGCCCAAAAAGGTTACTAGAACAGCCAGCTCTCAAAAGTACCACCTGACACTAATGGATAAGTAAGAGATGCTGGACTTCAACTGGGTAAAAGCCCGTAAGTAGTCATATCCAATCCAGTGGCTCAAACGGAAGCCCAAAGTAATTAGTAGTATAGATCAATATTTCAAAATTCTTTGTCAGGTATATTCCTTTCTTGATGCAGTAATATTTGTTATGAATATCGTGATGTCTTTAAATTTTACTCAAAACATGTGTAAGTAGAATTACTGTGATACTATGTGTGTTCTGTTAAAAGGAATCCCATGTCATGGAAAAATGGATTACTGTCATTTGGTTCTCTTAGAGACCTACGGAACTCCTACCACGGTGATTTGCTAGAATATTCTTTCAAATTTCTATATAACTAATAAGCACTCGATTGAAATGATAAGGGGTTTCGGACCTCAGTATACATATAAACATACAATAGTCACCATAATACTTGTTCCGGAGGATTTTACCTCATGAATTTATAAGAGATAAGAACGCTATGAATACCATTTTGTATAATTGTGGCATTACTCATTGTAATTTACAATAACAACAATATACCCGGCCAGTTGAGGTTTGAAAAGTTATATACAGAGACTGTTTTCGTTGTGACCCATGATAAGTTGCATCATTCGAAATGTCAACTTTCATCAACTTCACCTGAAACACTGAAATTCAAATGAATTATTTTTATTTAGTCAATTATACATATCTATAAAAGAATTATCAATGATGACTCTTTCAGTTTCACTTGCAATGGACATCGTTCACTCATCGTATCTACTTAAAAATAAAAGTTTTTATCTTTCTCCAATATTAAGAAAAGTATACCAACGAATTGAAATATTTAATTGGTAACTATAAATGATTAGAATAATAATTCGAACAAAATCCGCTAAAAACATCTACATATATACATGCAATATACGAGGGTTTTTTTTTTTGGTAGTAAATAATAATCAATTATTCCTTGTATTGTAAAATGATTATCAAGTTTGTGGTTTTATTGTTAATAAGGTTTGTATTAAAAAAGAAAAAATCAGACTAAAAAATCATTTCAACATGGAGAGAGTAAACTTTCTTATGAGAATAACTTTAATTTTATGGCGGGGGACTCTGATAATTATTCATAGCCAATTAATCAAAATCATGCAAAAATGGACGAGTTTATTTTTGTTTTTAATAAAAATTACAGCTTAAGAAGTTCTAACTTGTAAATGAGGGAACTGGTTATAGGCCATGCCTGGAGTGAGGGACTCTTTATACGATGGCACAAATCAATTCATAAGTGGTGGATTAGCAGATGAAACAGCGTCTGGTTTTGGTGTTAAACCTGGTTTACAACCATATTTAAAGGTGCACTTAATTGTAAAGATGCCATTATATTACGGCCTTCTCCTAGGGGCCAACTACCACGGACGATACATACAAGAAACAGAAGTCAATTATTAATAATGAAATGACTGCCGATTAACAAGGCAATTTGTATTAGCTTCCTGATTATTAATCGCACAGTTTCTCTAACTCAAAAGTATTATACAGTTTGGATTTTTTTTTTTTTTTGGTGTAAATCTAACATACTTATTCTATTCGCGGTAAAGAAAATATAATTTCATGATCATAATTCATATGTTATTTTATTTATTTTGTCTCTAAATAATTGTCCAGTTTTAAATTTTATTTTTAGTATAAATTGAACTAAAATTTAAAAACCAAACTAGATAATCATCTGGGAAAAAAGAAAAAGAAAAAGTGCTCCATCTATTCTTACATGATTAAACATTTTAAAATTTAACTTGAAGTATAATTTGTACTCCCTTTGTCGTGTAATTATTGTCCAATTTGAGTTTTCATTTCTAGTTTAAATTAAACTAAAAGTGAAAATCTAAATTGGATAATGATTATGAGACGGAGAAAGTATTAAAAGTGAAAATCAAAATTAGCTGATTTTATTTATTTAAGTTTATCTCATGTGGTACTTGTGCAACATGACGTCCGGTCCTTTCTTGTCAACTTTGCGGTAGATTATCTACTTCTTGCATCTTGGGCTCCAATAATGGTGGATGTTCGCTCTCTTTGGCACTCTTGTTTGCATGCCAGTTCCAGTTGTTTGCTTGCCTAGGGTTAGAAAGTCGGAGAATGGGCGGCGTCAATATTCTTTTGCCAACACTCCTACTTAATGGTGTGGAAACGGAGTGAGTGATCGTCTTAACTGTACTGATTATCATCTAATTTGAAGGAGTTTCAGTACAATATCTATCAATAATTTCTCTTTTCTAAGAAATAATAGCATGTGATGTTTGGGGTACACCTGTGGCTATAATTATCATTTGGTTCTGGATCATTTTTTATGAATTTTGAAGAGATTTAATTATTTCTTAAGAAAACCAAAAAAAAAAAAAACCAAAAGAAAAGAAAAGGAAACAGAGGGAAAAATATGTTCCTTAAAAAATTAATAAGCCTAACCATGTTTGTCAAATAATAGAACTACACACTCATTCTAAGGTCGAAGCTTACAAGCTCCCTACATTATTGATTTGTTTCGATATTTCATGCAAAATTATATAGTATGATGGTTCACGTATGGAAAAAATATCGTTTCTACCTAAAGTTTTACCCTCGTCGTCAATCATACTCAATAGATTTTCGATTAGTCAACTTTACCCTAATGTTTGAAATTTTCGCCAATTTCGTCCAATCGGCCCATTTTCCATCCAAATTAACGGATCTCCGTTAGTTTTTTAATAAAATAATAAATTTAATTACAAAAACACCCCAGTAGTTTGTACAAATTTTAAAAATAATCCTTAAAATATATAAAAATAACAAAATTGTCCCTTTTCACTTTTTTATTTCATTTTCTCTATTTTGTTCCATTTCTCTCAACTACTTTTAATGACCAGAAAAATATATTATATGAGTTTTTTTTTAAAAATATTTATTTATTTTCAAACTCTACCGTAAAAATTAATCTTTGTATTGTTGTAACCCATGATTGTATTTCTATAAGCATGTTAATTTTTTTAATAATATATTTTAGCAATAAAGACACTATTTTTCTGATTTATTTTATTTTTCCTAACGTAAAGATTAAAAACATTTAAATGACACTAATATTTCACATAATAAAATATTAGCTCAAATAAAAAATATTAATATATTTTAGTATAATAAAATTTAACTCAAGAGACTATAACTTGCATTAATATACTTTATAAAAATAAAATAAAATATAAAATAATTAAGACACTATTTTTTTGATTTATTTTATTCTTCCTAACATAAAGATTAAAAATATCTAAATGAAACTAATATTCCACACAAGAATAAAATATTAGCTCAAATAAAAAAATATTAAGATATTTTAGTGTATTACAATTTAACTCAAGAGACTATAACTTGCATTAATATAATTCATAATAAAATAACTAAAATATAAATAATTAAAATCTTAAAACAAATCCTCCATACATAAGTTTTCCTTCTTGAATTTAAAACCTATTTTCTATCACAACATCTTACTATCATATTTTTACCTCCATTCATTTATTTTAAACTGAAATCATAGAGAATAAGCTAGTAAGACTTCCTCTTAGTTAAATATATTAACATCTCAAATAATTATTACAAAATATTAAATCCTCGCATTGATAAGTATAAACGTATTTTTTATAAATTATATTATGCCATGTAGTCTCTCTAGTTAAATTGTAATACACCAAACTATACTGATATATTAATTTTTATTTTAGCTAATATTTTATTTTTATGTGGAATATTTTTTCTTTTAAATGTTTTTAATCTTTACGTTAGGAAGAACAACATAAATAAAAAAAAAATAGTATCTTTATTGCTAAACTACATTATTAAAAAAATTAACATACTTATAGAAATACAATCATGGGTTACAACTATACAAAGATTAACTTTTACAGTAGATTTTAGAAATAAATAAATAAATATTTTTTTTAAAACTGATATAATATATTTATATGGTCATTAAAAGTAGTTGAGAGAAATGGAGCAAAATAGAGAAAATGAAATAAAAAAGTGAAAAAGGATTATTTTGTTATTTTTATATATTTTAGGGGTTATTTTAAAATTTTTACAAACTACTGGGATGTTTTTGTATTTAAATTTATTATTTTATTAAAAATCTAACGGAGATCTGTTAATTTGGACGGAAAATAGGCCGATTGGACAAAATTGGCGAAAATTTCAAACATTAGGGTAAAGTTGACTGACCGAAAATCTATTGGGTATAATTGACACGAGGGCAAAATTTTGGATAGGAACGACATTTTTTCCGTTCACTTATGGGTTCCATAAAACATAATCCAAAAATAAAACTGAGTAGTGGGGGTCCCAACTTTTGGCAACTTGACTGGACATCCTGATAATACAAAAATAATAATAATATTATTATTATTAAAAAACAAAAAAAGTGGTCCAATCTTTAATTATTTGGATTTTTGGAATTACTTGTGAAGTGATGAGCATTATTACATCGTTAGCAGTTGCAGCCACCTTCCCAACTTGTACGTATTTATATTCTTTATTTCTTTGTAATTTGGGTTTCTTATATATCAACTTGTGTATTGATGTGCGGAGTGGAGTACGTTTTGTGTATCCTACCACATAAACACCTACCTTGGAAATCTTTTCTATGTATATATTTAAAAAAAAATAAAAATCTTTCTGCAATCCAAGCAGGATTTTCTTCTAATACTATAAATAAATTATATTCAACATTGTTTATTCGTATATATAATGCATATTAGTGACTTCCCACTCCCACCAAAGGGATGGGGAAGAAATTAAAAAATATTTAGAGTTATTTGGACTCTACCCGTTCAAAAAAAAAATTATTTTCACATTTTCATTCACGAAAAAAAAAACTTTTACGATGAGATAAAAATATTAAATAAGAGGAATAAGTCTAATATATTTTTTGTAGTGAAATTAAATAGGCTTTTTCTTGTTATCTTGTACTATCATTTATTGAACGTGAATGTTGATTTTCTCTTTTGTTATTCTACATATAAACGTTGATGAAGGTAGGTTTAACTTTAGAACGATTTAATAAACCCGTGCATATTTTAATCTTGCTCCATGAAAGCAAAATGTAGCTCAACGACTTTTACTATCTCAACAAAATTGATTTATAATTCAAGTATCATACAATAGGTTAAATGGAAAAATGAAGTTCAATTACATTTGATGAAAATGAATTTGGTGAAAGGCTTAAACGAAAAAGAAAAAAAAAAATACAGAAAAGACGATTGGGTTGAAGATGTTCATGAACCTTTTTTGGGGCTAACTGGGGGTGGGTCGTGGGCCTCAAAAGGTCTTCTATTTAGAAATTGATATTTTTGAGATTTATTGGGGTTTCTTTATATTGACGTAATCCATTTTCTTTGTTTTATTTTTGGGCTATCTAATCCACCCATCCACGTCAGACTCTGGTGCAATGCACCTTAAACTTTTCTCTATTAAGTTAATGGCAAAAGAAATTCTTTTATTTTTTTTTTTATGACGAATGAAGAGTGGCACAATGAATCAATGATGGTGTCTGTCTTCAATGCTAATTTTAGAAACTTGAACAAATTGTTTTATTCCTTTTCTTTTTAAAAAAAATTGACGTTAGATGATGCATAGAAAGCATTCATAATACTAGCACTACAAAAGTAGTTAATTGGGGAAAATGGTAAAAAAAAAGTTAAATTTTTAAAAATTGTTAGTAACAAACTCTGTTGAATTATTATGCTCCACATACGTCGGCAATTCAACTATGTAACTAAGGTCTCAAAACACGTGAATTATACTCCCTCCGATAAATTCCTCAACAGAAAGTATTTTGATTTGTTATATATATTTTATCGAGTATGTATTTTTAATTGACAAAAAAACCTTAAAATTATTTCTTAATAATGAAAAAAACACAACGAATGTGAAAATATAGTTTTAAACTTTTTTTGTCAATAAAAATACGTATTAAGTGAAATTTATAATAAATCAAAATGACTTATATTAAGGATTAGAAGGGGCACAAAATATTGACTTACAATATTGTCAATAATTAGAGAAAAAGAATGAAGAATGAAGATATATATTGACTTTCTTCCACACGCAAAGCCACCAACCACCCCCCGTCACTGTATGTTTTACTCGTATGAATTACATTGACAAGTGACAACAACGCACTTCATTCTTACGTGTGGGAAAGCAAATGACTATATTGCCCCATCAACACACCATCTTAAACTAACCACGAAATACTCTCTTAATTAAAGAATAATTGTCCGATTTTAAATTTTATTTTTAGCATGAATTAATAATTATAACAAAAAAATTTCAAATTAGACCATTATCTCGGACAGAAAAAATAATACGAATATGTCACACGTATTGCTGTATAATTATCCCGATCCGGCCGCATAAATTCTATGTGATATTCTTCAAAGACTTTAAATGGAATGTTGTGAGTTCAATTTCAATTTTCAACCAAATACGAACATATACGAGTACAAGATTTGAATCATCCTCCACATTCCTACACAAAGAAAAAGCATGTAATTTGTTTTGTTTTTTGAATGGTTTTTTCATAATATTAAAATAACAATTGTTCCATCTCAGCATACTTTTTTATATTTTCAATATATCTTTTTATATTCCTAATAAAAAAAAATCTAAAAACACATACTAAAAAACGAAACAAACATACCCAATAGTTTCCAGCGGACAAAAAAAAATAGTGATGAAAAAGAGTAGCAAACCATTATTGAACATCGCTGCAGCATATACCATAGTGTAGGATATAAGGGGGTGATAGGGGAAGCTTCTGATTGGACTGAATATCACAAATGAGTAAAAGTAAAAAGTTGATAAATTATTGCAGTCAAAAAAAGTTGGTAGGTAAAAGTATTCTCATGGAATCCTACAGCAGAAAATAACACGAGTCCAATTTTACGAGTTTATAGTGATTAGTCAACTTTTTTATTTTAATAATAAAAAATACAAAGTTAGGCGTGCATGCATCGAACCAACTGCCCCATTCCACAAAATCAAACGTCAAAAAGCCTTTTTACAGTCATCCCAAATTTTGTGTATTCTCAGGTGCCTTCCTGATCCATCTAGACATCTAATTACATTTGCAACACATCAACATGTATAATATAATACTGCTATTTGTTGTTAATTGTTACTGTGTTTGAAAGGGTTAAAAGTGTTGATAGGTAAGCCGACTACTGTTGGATCCTTCCAAAATATAATTTTGTAACAAAAGCAGTCTTTTGGATTTTTAATCTTAGACGCGTTTCAACTTTCAATATTTAACTGATTTGTAAAGAGTGATGATACATACAAGGAAAAAATAAATAAGAAAATTAGTAAAAATTGAGGTGTCTAAATCTTTATTATCCTCTAAGAGTTAAGTGATAAATCTCGAAAAGAAATTATGTAAAATTTTAGGACACGAATCACTATTCATTTGTAAATGTCGCTTCTCTTTAATAGTACTAGTTATACCCCAAAACCAAATAGTATTTTTTTACATTATAAAATAATTGTTTATTTTAAATTTTTAAATTTATATTATTTTTAATATAAATATCAAAATTTAATGTGACTTTCTTTGAGACGGGAGTAAAAATATTTTTATTCTAATGATATCGTAAGATTAAACATATGATCTCTCTTTTTTGCTTTTTACAGCTCTTCAAGGTATCTCACTGTTGTGTAGTAAGTTTGCAATGTTAAAAGTCGCTGTAAGTATTTTTTTTTTTACTGTACATGATATTTCCAGAATCATCTGATTACGATTCCTAATTCCTAACTACCAGGACCAATAAAACTGTGATTATCACTCTAATCACAGGCTAATAACGTAAATTCATCAAAGCAGTCCACCCCGTACTCTCTCCTCACCTCGTTCCTGCCGTCTTTCTGCCACTCTCTTTTTGCTGGCAATTTTTTTATAAATAAATTCTGAAATCCGCCATTATCAATCTCTCTCTCTCTCTTTCTCTCTCATTTTCTCATTTTTCACTCATCCAAAAAAGCAAACACCTAGAAAAATTCCAACTTTTCATTTTTTTTTTCTTAGTCTTTTCCGTTCCGATATCGACCAGAAAGAAGGAAGTAAATCAAAAATCCAGCCATGTGTGGCGGAGCTATAATTTCCGATTTCATACCGCCGAATCGGTCATCCCGGCGGCTGACTGCCGAGCTGCTCTGGGGCCCATCCGGCTCCGATCTGTACGGAGGTTCCAACAACAATAAGAACAACAAAAAGAAGAACGCCCAGAGCATCAGCAGCAAGAACAATGGATACTCCTCCTCGAGGAAGCTGTCGCTGAGATCTAAGAAGTTTCTCGACTTCGAGGATGAATTCGAGTCTGATTTTCAGGATTTCAAGGATTACTCCGATGATGAGTATGTTGATGATGACGTGGCTGCCGAGGAAGATGAGGAGCTGGAAGATGTCAAGCCTTTTGCTTTCTCTGCCTCCACCAAACAGCATTCTTCTGCTGGGTCTGCCCCACTAGGTAAATATAACGATTAACGAGCATTAATTTCTTTTTTTACCTTCTGGGTCTTTGGGAAATATATTTTTGCTCAACATGATTGGATTTTTTCTGTGCTGTTTACTTTTTCCTGTTCAATACCTCATTAACGATTTTATGCTAGCTCAATATTTACTTTTATGTTCTGATCAAGATTGATCTCTTCTTCTTGATGGGGAGGTTATTTAGGCTACAGAATACTTTTTTTTGTTTAGATTCTTAGATGGTTTTTCATTTTATACTGGTGTTGTAGGATGAAAGGTTATTCTTTGTGTAGTTATAAATGCTAAAGAAAAGGACACATCATGCTTTATGTGCTTCTTGGATAATCTGATTAGCTGTTTAGTAAGTTTGGGGTTCAAAATAATCTGTACTGAAAAGGCTGATTGTAATTTGATTTTTTTATTTTAATAAGTTGGAATTTATAGCCAAATCTAGTGTTGATTTGTAATCTTGTTTGATTGAAATTTGAGCCCCCCGTGGTATTTATCTGCAATCTTTTTTGAGCTATTTCTGTTCAAAAGAAGAATTTTGAAGATTAAATTTTCCCTGTTTTTTAAATTTAAAGTAATAATTTTGGAATGATATTCTTTCTCTTAGCCCTCCCAAAAAGCAAGAAAGGGATCACCTTAGCCACCAGAACAATAAATGCAAAAGCCTTCTCTTTTTTCTTGAAATTTATGGAAAAACCTTCTCAATTTTTGTGTGTTGGATAACATGTTTATATCCTGCAATGGTTTTTTTGGATTTGTGAAGATAACTTTATTCTTTCTTTTGATCTGTGCTAATTTTTGGAACATTTTTGTTTTCTTCTTCAAGGCACCAAATCTGGAAAATCTTCTGACTCTAGTGATGAAGGCGATCATCAATTCTCAAAGAGGAAGAGGAAGAACCAATACCGTGGTATCCGACAGCGTCCATGGGGTAAGTGGGCAGCCGAGATTCGTGATCCAAGGAAGGGAGTTCGAGTTTGGCTGGGAACTTTCAACACTGCTGAAGAAGCTGCTAGAGCTTATGATACTGAGGCCCGGAGGATCAGGGGAAAGAAAGCCAAGGTGAACTTTCCTGATGAAACTCAAGCTGCTGCCTCAAGGCGTACTGTGAAAGTGAACACGAAGAAAGTACTTCCCAAGGAAAACCTGAGTTCGGTTCAGCCATGTGTGGATGAGAGTGTGACGACTTTCATGAACAACTTGAGCACTGACTACTACAGCTCCCTGGGTACCGTGGAAGAGAAACTGCCAAAGCAACAGCTTGATTATGTTGGTACCTTTCCTGCTGCCCCTGCGGGTGACGAATTCAAGTCGTATTCTCCGGCCGAGGGTGCTAATCTAAGTAATCTTTACTTGAATTCTGATCAAGGAAGTAATTCGTTTGATTGTTCTGACTTTGGGTGGGGAGATCAGTGCGTCAAAACTCCAGAAATAACATCTGTTCTCTCCGCAGCTATGGAGGCAGAGGAAGCTCAATTCACTACCGAGGATGAAAATCCCGCAAAGAAACTGAAATCTGGTTCTTCATGTGATGCCCCTGTGCCTTGTGATGATAATGCCGTGGACAAGCTGTCTGAAGATTTATCCGCCTTTGAGTCACAGTTGAAGTTCTTCCAGACTCCTTTCCTCGAGGGCAATAACTGGGATGCTGCGTCCATGGATGCCTTCCTCAATGAAGGAGGCGCGAGCCAACAGAATGGAGGAGTCAATGAAATGGATCTTTGGACATTTGATGATATATCAGCCATGATGGGGAGTGTATACTGAGCTGCTGTGCTTCCTTGATTCCTGTGTGTAAATAAGGCTGCATGTTAGTGAATTTTATATTTGCTTTCTCGACTCTGTTCCATTATATGAAACCTGAATATGCTTTTTATGTTTCATTTTGAATCCAAATTTGATGAGTATTTCATTGTGGAAAATGTTCCATCTCTTGGTTGTTTCTTTCAGGTGATTTGTCGTGGTTTATGGGGCATGCGTTAGCCATGGATGGTGTGCTATGCTGTAGAAGAGGCATGGATGGAAAAATTTGGGAGTAAATAGGTAATATTAGGTTAAAAGTTAGCTTTGTCATCGAGATTGTTAAATTTGAGTAATGATCATCAAGATGTAATCTGATGTTTGTATGAACCATTGACTTTGTACTATTAAATCTAAACTTGGTATTTTATATATACCCCTTTGCTGCTGCTGTACTTCTCTAATACCAGCTCAGGGTGGGATGGATTCCTTTTTCTTTTTTTCTTTTTTTTGCCTTCTTTGCGTGTAGTACATGATGTATTATTTCATGTTCTCCGCTTTGGCCGTGCTGTGTTTCCTCGAGGGATTGTGCATATATTTTCTTGAAAAATTAACCTATACGTGTCTTAACAATGCAAACATGAGTCGGCCATTGTTTTGGGATTAGGTTGAAAGGCCTCAAATTGTATGGGAAATGGACGAGTGTGAAAGTGTGTGATGAAGTGATGATTGAATGAATGAGTGATGGATGATGAATGGGTCCTCCATTTTCATTGAATTGGGGGCATCGGATTAGGAGATATGAAAACGATACAAAAGTACATTTAGATTTAGGCTGGGTCAAAGGCTCAAGTTGGGAGCCAAGGGCCAGTCCACAAACATGTGGGGTTGCCTTGCCCAGATGAAATGGACACAGACAAAGGGTACTTCCCAAAGCCTAAAATAATCCCCCAATTGGACACTATTTTATTCTGCCATTGTCCCTTTTTTATATTGTTTCCTATTTTGTCGTCTTCGTCTCCTTCATTTTCTTTCTTCTTAGTTCTTAATAGTTTCCTGCATTAGCTCAGACTTTGTGAATGCTGTATTTGTTTGTCTGCCGTTTGTTGTGGTCACGACTCGCAGCTTGTAGCCGTCATTAATTGCGTCAGATTTATTTAAGTTATTATTATTGGTTTATAGTTTTATATGAGGAGTAAACGGTAAAAGAAGGGGAAAAAGTCCACTGTTAAAACAATTATTATTGGTTTACTAGTTTGTTTATTTTTGTTTAATCCCATGAACGAAAGACTAGCAAAATTTGACTAAAGAATTAATCATCCGCGATCAAGAGTAGGAAACACAAATATAGATGCATCATTATTGATGCTTCTGGACACGCATAAAAGAAGACAGTAAAATGAGTTTTGATGATCCTCTTAAGATGGTTAGAAGAGGGCCTGGAGATTGTACGGGCTGACAATGTCGAGAGGCCCAGCCCACATCAGCTTAGCGATCAGCCAATTAGCGGCCTCAGTCGGATGATCCGAGTCGAAAAACAAGTGGTCACTTGGGTTGTCGCAAAGCTCAAATTGTGAAATCCCTCTTCTGCCCCCACAGCTGAATTCCCCATTCAACGGACCACTTCCGCAACATGCACTCTTCACTTCTTTAAAACCTTCACAAAATTCAATCACATTCATTATTCAGAAAAATAGTTCGCATTAAGACTTTGAAATGTTTTAATAATAAATCTTTAAAATTTAACGCGGAATATTTTTCCAAGAGGGAAGGATTACTAGTTTTGATTTTAAAGAAAGTGTTATAATTAGTCCTCGCATGTATCGTTAATGACATTTTTTTTTTTTTTTTTGAATCAGAAGCTTACCAAACGCCGATGGATCGGCCAAAACTTGGAGGGAAGCGTTAAAAAAATCAAAAAGTGAATATTTAAAACCGGGGAGCTCTTGTTGTAAATATTGGAGTGTTTGGGAAAGCAAGGCATTGTGTATTTGTGCAAGACCGGTGGCGACTTCCAGGCAGCCTCCGTTGCCTCCGGCCGACAGGTTGGCCGCTCTCAGCCCTGGAATACAACCTAATGGTGCCTGATTCACTATTCCAAATTTTCTCCCACCTCGCCTGTAGATTTCCTGTTCGATTGTCATTTGAAAAAGACATTAACCACATCAAGAACAATTAGAACAGAAGCAATTTTAAATACTCCTGCATAATACGTCATGGACAACAAAATCTCTTCATAAAAATGAATGATAGGATAAACTAGCAAGCAAATTTATTAGGGAAACAGACGTCACGTACCACGATAACTTGGGTGAAATTGCCGACCACCATAGATGCGTATTCTTCCGGGGTGTGGGACGTAAATAAAGTGGAATTGGAGGACAAGGGGAAGAAATAATCGTTGGCCCCAATGTTGAACAAGTATACCGCGTTGCACACCAATTTGTTGGCCGCTTTTCTCCCAACATCCGACCTCAATTGCTTCACAGCAGATTTGAAGAACCTTAATTGTTCTTTTAGATTGATCACCTGACCAAAACCGAGATAAAAAGTTAGCAGCAAAAATCCGTACTCTCTCTTTTGTTCCGAAATTATTGTCCAGTTTACATTTTCACTTTTAGTACAAAATACAAAAATATTTGTAGCTGTAGATACACAAGGATCATGCAAAACATATGTAATCACAAACGAACGTACCAGTCCTGCGAATGTTTCACTAAGAGCACCAGCACCCCCAGAAGCAAAGTTGAGACCAATAGGACCCAACTTATTAAGACCACCATTCCCAATAAGTGGTGGAATCAAAGGCAATCTTGCAAATTCAGCTGTTGAAATCAATTAGGAAAAAAAAAAAAAGAAATTACGAAACTAACATATATACTCCTACTCCAACTAAGAGTGGTAATCTTCTTTTAATTAAAAAGCGTCTCATCGAACACTTAATAAAATATGAGTAATGATTATCACGGTGAAATTAAAAATTACATAAAACGACTTTCTTCCTAGGGGTATGAATGGATGTTATAGAGATTCAGGGGTACGTACCAATGAAGTCGGGGACAATACGGCCATCGCAAAACCTACCAGTTGGGTAGTGAAAAAATGATTCACCATAGGGTGGGAAATTAGCCTGGAAAAATGGGGTGGTGTTCACATGATTGTTGTTTCCAGGATCAAAGAATGAATCCCCAAACACAAACAGGGCGGCATTTCCATATCCACCATGTTTTGATGATTTTTTTAGAGGAATTTTATATTTCAGAGTATCAGAGCTATCTGATGGGATTGCAAAACTTGCTACAACACAAGTAATCAAGATTACAGCTGGGAGGATGTTGGTTGCCATGTTAAGCGATCAGTTATATCATATATGAAAAAAAAAAAAAAAAGAGACCTGAAAGAGAGATTGAGAGTTAGGATTTGATGAGTTCAGATGGATCATTTGGTGATTTGGTCAATATATAGATGTTCCAATTTTATTTATTAATGCAACTGACCAACATGTTGTTTTGTGATAGTGAAGGTGAATTAGTTAATTAATCTGGAAATCCAGCAGGCTATAGCTCTTTTAATTAATTAATATGTCAGTTTCCCAATTGTGATTATTATTATTGGCTCTTGCTATAAATTTCTAGCTCAGCAACAAAGGTAAACTATCATTACCGTGCCTGCCGTCCATTTTTTAAGAAAAAGGGAAAGAAAGAAAGCAAGACAGACAATGCAATTTGAAGTACAAGCATAATTAGCTATCTAATAAGCTCGTTTATGAATAAAAATCATATTTATTAGTACATTAATTTAACAAACACAATTCTTTTCTTTGTAATGGAACAATGGAGTAAATTACATTCTTTTGTACTATATGTATATCATCATACTCGTCATATATAATAATTTTGGTTTTTTATTAGTACTTCTGTGTGTGTATAGATATAAAAAAAAGTAGGGTTAATTACTGTTGTGGGATAAATACCCAAAGAAGTATAGACAACTAGTTATATGTTCCACACTCAGTTGAATTTTAACGAGTCAACAACAAATGTATATGAAAGCCGGCTGACGTTAGAAGAGCGTTAATATAATCAAATAATTGCTCTAAACACAGTTGAAAGCATGGAACAATATTGTTCCCCACTCATTAAACCCTCTTGTGAAGACATTTTCACAGAATGGAAGTTTTCTTCTTTGGTTTTTCCCCCAACTTCATGAAAACAAAGATGTGGGATTAACATTCCAGCTTGAGCTAATGTCGACTTCCTCCAACAAATCTTTACTTTCTACGCCTCAATTTGGCTGATTTTTTTTTTTTTTTTTTTATATATATTTTCCCCCAAATAATACTATCCCCTTGAGTCTGCATAAGAAAAGAAATAAGAATTCCATTTCTGATTTTCTAAAATTATTTTTCTCATTCTCGGCAATCTCCAACTTTTATCGTTTCATCCCTCTACTGTCCTAATCATGCCTCCACCAGAATAAATAAATGAATACAAATCCTGCAACACACAAGACAATTTCATAGAATCATAATAATTTTGATGAATCTAATGAATGGTGGGATTTTAGAAAATAATAATAATAATAATTACACAACTGTACATTCTTGTAATTGTGATCCCTACTTTAAAAAACCAATTTGTCTTTGCTAATTGTCAACATATATACTGCGTTTGTCAATGTATAAATAAATTAGCAATTGAACAAGGCCTGGAGATAGTAGTGGCCGGCGAAGGATGATCCATTCCACATCTCCGCCGCCATTTGGCCGTACACGGCCTCGGTAAGGTGGTAAGAGTCCCAAAACACGTGCTGTTGTGGATTCTGGCAGAGCTCAAATTCATTCTCCACCATCGGCCGCCTCCCTCCGCAGCTGAATATCCCTTTAAATGCTCCAGCTCCACAACACGCCACTCTCCCTTCCTTCAACCCTACATACAGTATATATTTTCGCAATGTTAATAAAGATGAGTTTTGGTAATTAATTCTTAAAAATCCAAGATCATCCCGGCCAATGATCAGTCATTGGTAGAGTAATTAACCATGCCACAATTGTTTAATGAATCGTGCAAGCAATGATGTGCCGTGAAAGTTTCAACATTTATACAACTATTTCCGTCTCAAAAAATTAGTCATATTGAACTTTCAAATTTGTACTAAAAATAATACAAATCTCAAAACTCAATTTTAATTTTAATTTTTTTTTTGGAACAGAAAGAGTATTCAATTTATATGTCAACATAATGAATTACATTTCGATAGTAGGATGATGGTGAGGGATATTTACCGAAATGGGAGGGGTGTTTGATCCTTTGCCTAAGGGCTCTATTGAAGTCCCCAAGTGAATATTTGAACCCTTCCAGCTGATGTTCCAATTTTGACAACAATTTGTAGAGTTCAAAATTATGCAATTTCGCAACCAATGTTGCTGCTTCCAAGCACCCTCCCCCATTTGATTCCAAATGTAGCACCCTAAGTCCAGGCAAACATCCCAAGTCCCCCAAGTTCAAGAACCCAAATTTTCTACCTCCTTTCTGATAGATGTTCTGCACAAATCAAGTACGACAAATTGGTTAGTGAAAATCCAAAATAAATGAACAACGATTGAGGGGAATGGGGTCATATGCAGGGATTTGAGACTTACTTTAACAACGTTGGATAAGTTTCCAATGACCGTATTTACATAACTTGAGAAATATGGTTTGAACGATGAGAAGTCCGTGAGGTTGTTGGCGGAAGAATTTGTTAGAAAATAACTAAGGTAATCATTGGTACCGATACTAAATAAGTACACCGCGTTTGATATTATATTTTTCGAGATAATTTCACCTAAGTCGTGTCTCAACTTTATTTCTACCTTTTCGAAGTACATCAACTGCGTATTTAGATCGATCACCTGAAATGCAATTTAAAAAAAAGGTATCACACCAATTCAAAAACGTATCTTCTTATGATAGAAATGGAGGAGTGATTAGTTTGGAAATAATCACAATATATAAGACTAGTCTCATAATAATGATAAATTTTAAAAATAAAAGGCAAGATGTTACTCTTCATGAATTGGATGGACCACCCCTCTTAACAAGACAAATACATGTTGGCTTTTTGGGCTTTGGCCTGATTCGAATAAAAATTATTGCTCACATGTAGTAGTAAGAAAATTAAGGCCCCACATTAATACGTGGGGTGGCATTTTCAGCCCATCACTGAAGGATGGAGAAAGTTATAGCAGAACCTCCATTGCCAAAAGGAAGTAATATTCGCTGTGCTCGTGATTCGTTAAAATTTGGGTTTTATAATCATCAGAAATATAATCACTGCTTCAAATATATTCCCTCTGCTCCTTAATAAAATCATTTTGATTTATCCCACGTTTCACATAATTCACATTTTCAATCGACAAAAAAAATCTTAAAAATATGTTTTCACATTCGTTGTATTCTCTTAATTGTTATGAAATATTTTTAAAATTTTTTTGTCGATTAAAAATACGTATTAGGTGAAATCTAGAAAAAAAATTAAAATACCTTTATAAAAAGGGCCGGAGGGAGTATTATCTAATTTCAATTAAAAATTCAACACGATGATCATTTCAAGCAAAAGAAAGTAACTACTCCATCTGTCCCAAAATTATTGTCCTGTTTGAGATTTCACTTTTAGTACAATTTGAACTAAAAATAAAAACCCAAAGTGGACAATAATTATGAGACGGAGAGAGTACTACAGTAGTTAAAATTGCATAAACGTTGTTTCAGGTCATTTTCTTAGCAAAGTTGTCAGTTGTCATAATCATTCTTAAGAACTTTAATGTTAGGTACAATTGGAATTATGTCACTATTAATGTTTTCTTTATGTATAAGCATATCCAATCATTCTTGTTTTATGCTAGGTAATTGGTATAACTAATTTAAGAAGATAGGTTTTTTCATGTTTTCTCAAAAATCACTGTCAAATCTATGGACTACAAAAAAAAAAGTTAGGGATGATGTGTATTGTGTAGTAATTCACTCACGAGTTACTCTGACTTGTGTTATATTATTATTTACCTAACGTCGTACTTACTTCAGAAGCAAGGTAAAAAAAACAAAAGAGAAGCTGTCTTGTTAGTAAAAAGTAAAGCAGCAACGACGAGTAAGTTGGTGGAAATTGAGAGGTCCTTAAAAAGATTTGTTGCTATCTTTTCACACAATGTACATATATATAGACTTACCGATCCGCGAAACGTGTCCACCAATGCACCGGCTCCAGCAGACGCAAAGTTCGCCCCACGCCGGAAGTCACCGGTTTCCGGCTGCTCCATAAACGGAGGAATCAGCTCTTGCCCTGCATACTCAGCTGCAGGGAATCAATACAACTATATTAAATTATTATCATTGCATGGTACCCCGGGACCCAAAAACCAAAAAAAAAATAAGGAAGGCGATAAGTTACCAACAAAATCGGAGATTAAACGGCCATTGGAGAACCTGCCGGTGGGTTTGTTGAAGTAGGATTCGCCGTAGGGCCAGAAATTGGCTTGGTCAAGTGTGGTGGTGTTAATGTAGTTGTTGTTACCTGGGTCAAAGTACGAGTCCCCAAAGATGAACAGAGCCGACGACGATGCTCCGCCGGCGCCGGCGGCCACTTGAGCTGGGGATGAAATGTTTAAAAGGGTTAATAATAGTATTGGTAGCAGGATTATTTTGACGGACGACAAGTATGATCCAGCCATGTATCAAAGCAGCTACCAAAAGCAGGTATTGTGAATTTGTTTCTTCATCAGTACTGACTAGTGACTTCTCCCTATTTATTTGGATAACTTTTTTCCTTTCACTTCTAAAAGAAAAATTGTTTTGATATTTTATTCCCTTGTCTAAATGTGGACTGTTGTGAACATGAAGATGGGAGGGGCTATTTCGTTCCCATTACTATAAACATTTCTGATGATTTAATTCATTTTTTTTTTTTAATTTTCCTTTTTGGTAATTAAGTACGGTAATGGGACTTCCTACCTTTTCGTACAGCTTTTTTCCCCCTGTTTTTCTTTGACCATATACGCTTTCAATAGTTTCACTAGTAAATGCCATATTTTTATCGCGTTACATTGAATATATCTTTTCTCGTTTAAAAATAATTATCGTGTTTATTATGTTAGTTTAATTTTTTGTATAAAAAAATGTATTTCCTCCGTCCCAAAATTATTGTCTAATTTGAGTTTTTACTTTTAGTTTAAATTGTATTAAAAATAAAATATCAAATTGAACAATAATTTTGGAACAGCGAGAATATATATTAGCGTGTGTTTGATCACAGTTTGTTACAATATTAACACAACTTTTACATGCAAAAAGTTTGAGATTGAGTTACATGTTCTATTATTTAATGAAAAGGGAAAGGTTTTTTTCTATCTTTTGTGATTCGGGCCGCATTTGTTTTCCATGAACTTTCTCCATGAGGAATGTCAAAGGTGAACTAAAATGTTAGGCAACTCGGCATTATCTCATCAAACATCGATGTCCGTGATAAGCCCCACGATGTAAACTGTTAAGAAGTGATTAGTATAATTTCTGAGAATTAAAGTAGTAGTATCATGGATATGTTTAGAAAGTCAATATTGCAGCCAGCTCGCCTACCAAGAAGACTTGACTGATTAATTCAGATTCATGAATGATGAGTTAATACCAAAGTAGTAGTTGTAATACCAAAGTTTTCAATTTGTCGGGGGATTTTAAAATATATACTATGTCGAGCAAGATGCCGACATTACTTACTTAAAAAAGTCTTAAAGTGATTACTTGCCGATTACATATATACTCCCCGTCCCATAATTATTGTCCAGTTTTACTAAAATGAAAGATTTTATTTTTTGTTAAATTTAACTATATTTTATCTTAAACAACCAGATATATACATAAGTAATTGTTTGACCACTAAGATTTTATAGATAATGTTTTTTACTAATGACAAATATGTAACTTGATCCATAAAAAGTCAAATTGGACAATAATTTTGGCACAAAATTTTTTGGGCAAAGTGAACAATAATTATGGGACGGAGGGAGTATTTTTTTTTTTTTTACCCATGTTCCCTCCATCTCCCAACGATTATCATCTTTCGAAAAGAAGAAATAATCTAATTTTCTTTTCCCCAAATTTGACAATTGGAAACATGGGAAATACATTATGCGTCCAGGTTCTACAGTATGTGAGTGGTGTTAAAGCATTGCTCATTAATTTGGTAATCTATAAGTCAATCAACGAATCTAATAACTGAATTTACTAATTGTTTTGCGATATACAATTCATTTCCCTTGTTATGTTCAATTTGCTTTCTTAATTAGTTTGCTTTTTTTTTTTTCAGTTCTCAATTTAATCACACTCTTAAGTTTTTCAACGATTGTTTCTTTCTTTAATCATTTTTTTAAGGAATTCGACATTTACAACTATTAAATAAATTAAAATTGATAATATCAAGGAGGACGTTCGGATTGATAATTAAGTTTTTTTCTTCATGGTGACTTAATTATACTACATTCAAAAAAAAAAAAAAAAAATTTCTACAAGAATTTTATAAATAAAGTGCAAAGGAGCATTTCTTGGAGAAGAGTTTGGAGACCTGGGGAAGAGATGCATACCTGCGCAAAGAATAAATCCCATCAACACAAAAATAAATAGATTAACCAATCAACTAAATTATCATTTCAAATTAATTGTTGGTGGATGAATACGTACTTAGACCATGACACCTCTTTCGTTGCTTTCAGTCTTCTCATTTTGGAACCGACTGAAAGTTGTTTTCGATCCATCCTTATGCCACAGTCCACGGCAATCTGTCGACGTACGGAAACGAGAAGCATAATTGATTACGTAGAATGTGTAAAACTTTGATTAGTTATATGAGTTAAATTTAAAACAACAAAGCAAAAAAAGAAGTTTTTTTTTTTCCTTTCCAATACATAACAAATAAATGAGATGAGAGATTGAATATCATAAATTACTCTAAGAAATAAGAATTTAAAAAACGAACCCGAAGCTTTGGCAAATTGATGCGAAATACCCTGATTCGAACTCCAATATCGCCTAAAATCCTCATAACTTGGGATACGTCCTCCTTCTTTTTGTCATCCGCCAGCGTAGTTGGAGTTGGAGCCATAATTTCGTTCACGTTCAAGCACTGAAGAATAACTTGTGTTGGCAGGCTTGTGTTCTTGCTGTGTGGAGGCTGATGAAAGCGTGGAATTTTAATCATTCCAATTACCGTCCCATTTTGCCCTTCAAGGACATGAAGCCTTGACGATGTGTAACTTATGCCAAACTTGTTCGGGTTCGATGCGTTTAAGGTAAAAGAAACAAGGGATGAAAGGAAAATTTGGTTGTTGTTATTGTTGGATTGATGATCAAGCATCACATCAAGTTTGTAGGATTCTATGTCAGTTTTCTGGATGGTAAAAAGAGGTTTTTTGGGCTTTACTATGACAAATATTATGAATGAGATGAGCCCTAAGAAGAGGATGATTAAAAGAATAAAGGAGAGGAAAAACAAGCAGCTTCTCTTGATCAATGATGAAGGGTACTTTGAACCAGTTATTGGGAGTGTGGTATCCATAATTGGAGTTCTTCATTTTTCTGTCTGCCAGGGGAGTTTACGTTTGCAAATATTAAGTTATAATGTTTTGAAATTAGTGATTCACTTGATTAGTTAAGGAATGGTTCTATTTCCAAGCTTGCAAGTTAAGTTGGAATATCGTTTTTGGTTTAGAGTCATGTTAATCTTTTCACAAATACCTTTCTTCAAAATGTGAATTCCTTTACATTTTCTCAACTCTTCCATTCGCTAATTATTTAAAACGTTTTGATGTTAGGTAACTTTTAACTATAACTTGGAAAATGCCACTTTCAAACGTAAACCATAATTATTCAAATGGAAGTAATAACAACCGTAATTAGCATATACATCATTTCAACAAAATCATAAGAACGTACGAATTGGTATAATTGTCTTGATTTATGCAGCTTTCGGAACACCAATAGCGGACAACTTTTGAGAGAGAGCTGCCTATGTTAAATTTGTGGTAGAGTTTTTTTTTTTACTCCATCCGTCTTAAAATTATCATCTAGTTTAAATTTTCGTTTTTTAGTTCAATTTGCACTAAAACTGAAAATTCAAATTGGAAAAAAACACAAATTGGAGAGCTGACTTCAAACCAACTACCTACACACGTAGACAGCTACAGATTATGAAAAAGAAATGTGTGACACAAAAATGTGAAAGTATTTAAGCTTAAACTCAAAAAGGAATCGACATAAATGTGATGATAAATATGCCTAAAATTAATTGAGGCTTGGGCTCTTCCTAATGAAGTACTAAAAGTTCGGTTGAAACCAACAACTATACAATTGTTCTTGTGATCCATCATAATGCCCTAGTAATTCCTCCTCCTCGTCATCATTTTCTCCATTGGTGTTTGAGCAATGAAATCTGCCAGTATTGAGAGAATAGTATACAATTGACTCGTGATAAAATCTGGGGAAATAAATTCTGGTTCCCTTGGCAGGAGTTTCAGCATCTCTACCAATACTTGACAATGAAGATACATAGAAATTTTTGTTCTTCAAGTCCTTCACTTCCTCCCAAACCATTGTTGATCCGGATCGATTCAACTTGAAAACTCTCACCCATTTCCAACCCTTTCCAACAATAACTGACATAATATCTCCATCACAATCCACCAAGAAATATGGTAAGTGAGACAGTTTTGTGTTCGACACGGTAAGTGTATATGGTGGAATCCTTGTCAGGTTCAGCACAGGAGTTGAAGTAAACTCGATTCCCTGCCTTTTCCGAATCAGTTATTGTAATCGGGCAAGCCAACGGTGGATTGTCAGTAGCGACGAAAAAAGCCAAGTTTGGGCAGCTCTCCACCGCACTCCAAACTCGTTTCAAGAAATCGAATTTGAAAACCGACACGCCCATCGATTCCGAGGAGTCTCTTACTCCCGCGGACAGATTTTCAATAAAAAACAGGTCCCCAAAAATTTCCACCAAATACCTGTGAAGTTGGCCTCCAGGCCCTGGAAAATAAGAGGAAGGAGCTCGGCCGAAAGGCCTGATGACCAACCGCCGGGGCTTTACCATCTCAATCTCCGCCATCAAACCGGATTTGGAGGTGAAAAGGTATATCCTGTCATTGCAAACTGCCGGGCGAGTGAAGTAGTCACAGTTGCACCCGCACCCGGATTTGATCCCTCTCATCAGCCTGAATTCTTGTTCGGAAACCCTGGGGGTCCAAGTCATTGGATCATCCCCAACATAACAAATCATAATGGTACTAGGATTTCCGGACAGGAATACCAGAAGGGCGCTGTCGGGATCAGAGGGGGGCTTGGTCAGAATTATGTCTCCATGGTCACAGTGTTTTGGCAGCAAAAACAGGGGAGGCAACTGAATGGATTCCATAGCTCCATCACCAACTTATCCTCTTCCGGCGGCGGTGGACCAGAATAAGAATCGTAGTTGGGGTAGTGACAAACAATCCACCAGCTACAGCGGTGACTTGAGATCGCCACCGCGTCGTCCTTGAGTTCGGGTATGGATTTCATGTACCGGGTCTTGCGTTCCGACACCACATCATCATACATGCATTGATCTCTTTTCTTTTTGCCATAAGTGAAACTCAGATACGGAAATCGGTTCTCGGGTGGTGCTGATCCTCGGCTTGACCTCTTGTTCTTCTTCTTCTTTATATCTTCTCCTTCTTTCCCCCCATTGTTTTTTTTTTTTTCCTTCTCTTCGTTTCTCCTTCCCTTCTCCTTCTCCAGGAAAATAAAAGTTTCCAGGATCAGCGATACGAAAGGTTTATAGGAATTAATTTGACAAATTTTGGTTTAAAAGCCTGCAAGTACAAACGGCTGGGCCTGGGGAGTACTACCGTATTGAAGCCCAATATAGAGGGCCTTGTAGACTGACTACATTTTTTGGACAACTGTTGAGGTATAAAACTATAAATGCTGGTCTGAACTAAATGTGTTCTTGGTCACTATAATTTTACTAATTTTGTCGTAAATTAAATGTTTTATGCATTGTTGAGAAACTTATGTCTCCTGAAAGGACCTATCCGACTTTAATTCGGATTAGTCGGAGTAATGATTTCGGATATCAAATGCATAATATACTAAAAAAAATGTTTTATGTATCAAATTGAGAACAGTTTAGAGTAAGACTTTTTGAATGGGACGGATAAGAGTGTCAATTTCGAGGGCTTTTTCACGAACAACGCTATCGCTGAAATAGAAGGATTTCCTCCAACAAACGAACAAAGTAGAAGAAAATAGATCTCCAAATTTTGACTATATATTTAAACTAATAATTGATTCCAATGCCACCTACTACTGGCTGCTGTTGATCACAATCATACATTACTACCAATCATATGCCAAAGTACACTATGCTTTAAATTCTTCAGTCAATTAATGTTGCCCTAATAATACAAACTTCAATCCCACAAGAAAAGAAGTCCCCAACCCTTTTTGAGATAATGGGCAAAAGAAAAATAAGCAAGGTTTTTCATCTCTGTTTCACTTTCTTCTTCTTCTGCATCTTCCCTTACTTCGTTAGCCCAAGTACCAGTCTTGCTGATGAATGCTCGATTTCCAGCACTGTTTCTAACGTCGATGACGTCAACGGCAATCTCCCACCAAATAACAGAAGGAAAACTACAGTATCATCATCGGTTCTAATTGCTGATGTTCCTCTGTTTGTCTTCGGGGATTCCCTTTATGACCCCGGGAACAACAACTACATTAACACCACCACCGATTTTCAGGCCAACTTCTTGCCCTACGGACAAACCCACTTCGAATTCGCCACCGGGAGATTTTCCGACGGCCGTCTCATTCCCGATTTCATTGGTAATCTGTGTAGTCTGCTCTGCAGTTGTTTCAGAGTTCCTTTTTTTTTGTCCCCCCTTGTTCTATGCTAGTAATTTTTATTTATGGGTTTTGTTTGTTGGTATTAATTGGTTGGTGCTGGCAGCTAAGTATGCCGGACTGCCGTTGATCCCGCCGTATTTTCAGAGCAGCTATCATCAGTTTGGGTATGGTGTTAACTTTGCATCTGGTGGCGGCGGAGCTCTGGTTGAAACTTACCAGGGACTGGTAAATTTGCTTTTCTTTTGTTTTTTTTTCAACATCATTAATTAACCACTACTAATGATTGGAAGATAAGAAAATCATGCGAATCATGTGAAAATTGTCCGAATGTGACAAATTAATGCGTGATTTCTTAAAGTCATTGAAAACTTCTTCATAGGGGATTTCCAAATTTATGCTATACTATTTTTAACATCCAATCTGATTTTTTTTTTTTTCACTAACTAATTAAAGTTTCATTCGATCTTTTTTTGTGTGCAGGCAATTGACTTGAAAATGCAATTGCTGTATTTTAAGGATGTTGAGAAACAGTTGAGGGAAAGAGTAGGTGACAAAGAGACCCAAAAATTGATGTCTAATGCGGTGTATATGTTCAGTATTGGGGGGAACGACTTAATTGCTCCCAATCCCATTTTTAGCAGCTTCTCCTCACAAGACTACATTCATATCATTATCGGCAACTTCACCTCTGTCCTCAAGGTAACCTTGTTCACATTTCAGTAATGTGTAAACTTTATAGTGGCAATTCTTCCTGAAATTTGAATGAATAAGTTATTTATTACACATCTTTTTGATTATTTTCGCATTACGTACCATTCTCTAATATGGATGTATCAATTTTGTGGGCAATTGTTAATAGGAAATTTACAAGGCAGGGGGGAGGAAATTTGGGTTACTTAGCTTAGTGCCAGTGGGATGTCTACCATATATTAGAGTTCACAATGGAGATGGTAGTGAGCTTTGCGTGGAAGAATTCACAAAACTGGTGAATCAATACAACGATGCACTTTCTGAAGCAATTCACCAGCTTCAGAACCAACTCCAAGGCTTCATCTACTCCAAGTTTGATCTCTACAATGCCGTTTTCCAAAGGATCCAAAACCCCTCCAAATATGGTAATCTTTTGATCTAGACTTTTAGTAAATGAGTAGAAACTAGTGGTTTCTTGTGTTTTTCATCCCATTGTATGTATGGGTTTATTGCATATTTGAAATTAACATTACTGACGTGGAGTCGTAGACTATTTTTTTGGGAGAAAGGTAATATTTATAACGAGAAAAATATTTGATTGTGTCTAATGTGGTAAAGATTGTATGTACATAGGTTTCAAAGATGTGAAGAGCGGATGCTGTGGTAGCGGTATATACCGAGCAAATTATACATGTGGAGGTAAAAGAGGAGAGGAGCAGGAGTACGAGGTGTGCGACCATCCAGAGGATCATTTCTTCTTCGATTCTTATCATCCCTCTGAAAAAGCCTACAACCAATTATCAAAGTTAATGTGGGATGGGCCTCCAAGTGTTACTAGCCCATATACACTCAAGGCCCTGTTTCAGCTTGGTGATTCGGCTTCTGCCCACATTACACAACAAGAAGAATACCTCTCGTCCGATATTCCTGAATTTTGTGAAGAGAAAAATTAAAGTAGACGTCCTTTAATTTCAGTTGTACTATTATCGAGTGAATGAATAATAAGTTAAGTAAATCATTTTATCTTTTTCTGTATTCACGTATTCCCTTAGTTCTGCATTGAGTTTTGAGATTGAACTGCAAATGTCAAAACTGTGTGAATTATTTTATTTGGGACAGAGATGGTATATCACAACAATATAGCTCTGAAACTGAAAGAAAGTGGAAAAAATTAAGTAAAATAAAGGAAGTTTCACCTTTCTTTCTAAACAAAAGATAGGGCACGCGAATTGTTCTCATCACCGTTGATATTCCTGATTCCTCAAATGGCTCGGTTCTTGTTATTTATAATACTTGACACGGTAATGTGAAAGATCTTACAATCTTCAAATATCAAAGACAGAACAAGTGGTACTACGTACAACTGAGTTTGAAGAGTCCTAGCTATAGTACTTATCTGGTCATCTCCTCTTTAATTATACTGCAACTCCTAACAATGGAAACTCGTACTTCCTCAGTTTTTATTTTTAATTCGTGAAAATTATTTTAAAATAGAGAGAGTATTCATTTATCAAATCATCCCTTCTGCGTTACCTCGTATAGATATTATATGATCTAAGTCGTCTCTTTATGTTGTTTTATATATGATACAATAATAACACGTTATTTCCTGTTATGTACTAGTTTAAGAAGTAAATTTTGAGTAAGTTATAATTTTTGCTGGAAAATTAATATCAAAATAGGTGGTCTTAATACTTATAGTACAACTACTAGTTGTACTAATCTTTTTTTTTTTGGTTTAAAAGTTGTACTAATCTTTTTAACTAGATACGTATGGGAAAAAAAAGAAGGACGTTTTATAAAGTTTGAATTACTTTCAAATGCTCCCTCTCCCGCCATGCCAATTTACTTAGCCGACCCAAAATGTACGTAAAATAATAAACAATTATCTTCGAACATATTTTCTTACATTAAGTAGTAAGAGCATCTTCAGTGTTTGAAACAATTTGTTGCACACCAAATCATCAAAATTGCTATTTTGATATAGTTCATTTCCAACCCTCAACTTTATTTTGTGCAGCAATGTTAGTGGGACACCCCATTTGCTGAATTTATAGTATAGCAGCAAATTTGGTGATCTAATGTAGCAAAAGCAACACTTTACTATTTGTTTTTTTTGCTATTTTGCTGCTACATTGGAGTAGAAATACATCAAATTTTTCAACAATTTGCTGATTGGTGCAATATTAGGGATGCTCTAAATACCGTACAATCTCTTTTATCGATTTCCTTCACATAACTTTTGTTTGAAGCTTAATTCAGAAAATGGAAAATCACAATTAACTACATTTGTAAAACATATTATCTTGATCAAAAAGAAGAAGCTTGCATGTAGGGTTGATTCAACTTCGAACCTCTTCTTGTTCTTCAAGAAGGCAGAAAGAAGTTAGTTTCTGCAAGCAAAGGTTGACAAAATGTAGGAACCCTAAGTTACTTTTTCGATAATCTTAAACACACCCTTGCATAATCAAAGTTCAGATGGAATAGTGGAAGGGATTTTTTCAGCTCTAATTCTAAATCAAGAATTCAATATTTGACATGAATAAACAACATGCTTAATTTTCCTGAACATATATTCTAATATTTTACTCACCGAATTGTACTTGTAACTCATTAAGTGAATTAATCATTATAACTAGCGGTGAACACTGTATTATATATTAAAAGAGGAAAAAATATTATCTTTCTTTTACGTAATTAATCTTTTCCTTTATATTAAATACTATTTGTGATCGAAAACCCCTAGATAGAGCTCAAACAACTTCAAGAATTCGAGTCAAAATTTAACTTAATTATTTTGGGAGTTTAATTAATACGTGTACACCTGAAGAATCCATATGTACTCCTTACTCTTCTTCACTATAACGTATGGAAACGGGAAACGTGCATTTAGACATTAAAGTTGACGCATATAAATATAATTCCTTAATCCTGTAAAATTTCCGAAGCGAGTTGTAAATTGAGGGGCAAAGGCACCATGTATGCTTCCATAAATGTTTTTATTTATTTTAACCACCACACCTGCGGCGGTGGTCCACTTTGACCGCCGTCGGTCGTAGATCACGCCGCCGGTCCTCCAATCATTTCCTCTTTCGTTCTCCGGATTACTTTATTGTAATTTGGCACCAAAAAAATTATCGAGTGCAGCTGCTGTATCCTGATTTTAGTGCAGTAATTACTAACATCCCTCTATTTTGGTAGTATAATTCCCGTAAAAATTATCTTTCTTCTCATAAAATTATTACTTTATTCTATTATTGTTTTGATTGGACAATTTTACGTGATAGAGTAGTTATACCGAATAATTTATCTGGCACCCGACCCATTCTTAGGACGAGATATTGTTTCGGGGACGCGTGGCGAAAACGTCGGCTCCAGCAAATTAGACAAGACAAGGCGCCCATATTTCACGTGGCGGGAAAGTACATCCACAGATACCTATATTTAACTCATTTCTTTCTTTAAATACGTCATCATCCGCACTTTGACAATTTCATATCATCATCTCTCTGTTCTTCTACCCACGTCTAATTGTGCTGATTGAATTCAAGGTTTTGTTTTTCTTCTTTTATATTTTTGCTGGGTGTTCTTTCACCTATGGTAAAACGTCGATAAATTAATAATCAACAAATTAATAATTTCTATGAATTAATAATTTTCTCCGGTTTTAACTTGGGATTAATATAAAAAGTAATAAAAATCGATAAAATAATAAAATAATAATATTTTAAAAAATCACTTATATATCTATAGATCCCAATAATACTATAAATTAATAAATGTCCTAAATGCAAATATATATATATATATATATATACTAATAACTAAGAAGATTTAGTAAAATATGAACTTATCGATATTTGTTTTTTCTTAAAATTTATATCAAATGAAATTTCATTCTTGATTTGTCTCTCATTGCTCTTGAAAGCTCTGGGGTTGTATTCTCAAATTACAACAAGAAATTGTGAAAAGTTATTGCTGATTTGAGTGCTTCTTTTCGTGTGACTGGTGCCAAAAGTATTGAATCATCATCAACTTCATCTTCCATTGAACTATCTTCAAGGACACTAGTCGCAATATCTTCAAATGATTTGACCTCTATAAACTCATCATTTTTACCTAGATAATCCACCAATTGATTGACATTCATCCTATTGTGATAACCAAAATGATTAATCATGTTCTGAAACTCATGAAGTCCTTTATGGGCTGCATCATTTGAATCCAATGCCGATGCTTCATTTATTGAACGAATTTTACAATGATTAAAACAATTTGCTATTGTCTTTTGTTGGTTTTTGATCAACCGTCCAAGATGAAACTGCAAGATTGATGGCCTTTAAAACATTAATATAGTAGGGTTTTTTTAGAAAAGATTTTTAAATTAATAATTTATTAATTTATCGATTATTTAATAATTCGCTAAATTAATAAAATTTAGTGGTCCCAACACTATTAATTTATAGAAGTTTTACCGTGTATAGAAAGTAATTTTAGTTTTAATCTTTCTATTGTGATGACGCGTTTGATTTCTCAATTTGGGAATGAAATGTTTCTTCCTTCTTATAGTTTTCACAAAGAAAAAAAAAAAGATAAATAAAAGATGAACTGAACTCTACAGAATTAAAAAAATAAAAAAGAGATTTTGGTCCACATCATAAGGTCTGGCTGCAGCTTATCAAATTATGTGAGCATTTGGGAGCTGCCGCGTTGCATCATATCATCATCACATCAGTAGAAGATACTACAATAACCTATTTGACTGCTGAAGCTACCCTCTCTGTGTTGTGATTGTCCAACCAAAATGGACAGCATGAATAATAATTGAAGGATATAGAAAGAAAAAAATGAAAAACCAACCACAAATTAAAGCTTTGTTACGAAAGTTCTATTCTTTTCTAGTAATTTTTCTTTTAATGTATGTTGCATATATTCATCAATGAGAAAGAAGTATTATATGTGTCAAAATGTTATGATTGATTTAAAAGACATCATTAATTACGTACTTCCCATTTACATTATAGCTTTCATATAACTTAATACACTCTTTGTATACTTTATTTCTTTCGTTTACCTACTTGTTTAATACACGCTATGTCTTACCTTATCATATCATTAGTCATAACACAACAACTATTAACAGTAACTCATTACCCAAAGACAGATATTGTCATCACATAACTATACTAGTTTATTAATGCTGATTTGAGTTTTGTATACAAAATTTGGTTTTATCGAATACAGATGTTACCCTAGCAATCATTCACGTTACAAAGAGCACGTTTGATATGATATTCCCTGATGATTTTAAATCTCCCAACCCACTGACTAGACTACAATTAATCCTAATTTGTTATATTCCATGATGTTAAATCTCCGGACCTAATGACTATAGTCCCTATATAATCACATCACCCAACTCTCTTACCCCCTACCAACAATGAGTTTGTATGTGTCGTAAGACAGTGAAAGATTGAAATTAATTAGTTTCTCCTCAAAGCAAGTCTAGTGGCTACTTCTTTATTGGGATTAATCCGAGAATAATGAACAATCAAACAAAGATAAGTTTAGGGATTATATGTTTAAAAATCAAGAAGAATAGTAAAACGTTAAAATCTGTTTAGATATTTTAAGTCATTTTTATAATTAATAGTCATGTTGTTGTGGAATTTAGAACTGAAAAGGACGTGATTCCGCCACAAAAAAAAAGTCCCGATCCCCATTGCACGCAATCCTTGATTGTCTACTTTTGCTACCAGGTACTATTATTTTGTCACATTTATTAAAACACATTTTTAATTAAACATCGGTCTTCACACCCCCAGGTTGATTCCGTTCCTCATTTGAAGTTAGAAATCTTGGAGAATATACGTAACACATGATTCTGTTTTAACATTGTAAAGAGATATCATAAATTCCGCCATTCACCTTCGTCATTTGCAGTAACAAGATATAATATTATTCTAAAAGAATTAAAAAAAATCTTCCTCAGCTGCTTAATATAAGAACAAAAATATCTACCTAGAATGCATCAGTCAACATGATTATTGTTTATATTTGTATCTATAAAAATAGCAGATTGGCATATTCTCGTGGGAAGTGGAGGTCTCATTCGATTAATGAATCGAACATTTGTGGTCGCCAAGCCGTTAGTTATTGCACGAAAGAGCTTCTAATAGGCCCTAACCAATCAACCGCAATCGCTTACCCTTCTTAATATTCTTGGTCATTATCCTTTTATCTTAATTCGAAAAGGAAAAAAAACATTTAATATACAGTAAAGCGTCAGTAAATTAATAATCTATAAATTAATAACTTCCAACAATTAATAATTTTTTCCAGTCCCAACTTGGGACCAGTACAAAAAGTGAAAAAAAATCGATAAAAATGATAAGATAATAATGTTTCAGAAAATCTCCTATATATCCATAGGTTCCAACAATGCTATAAATTAATAAATACCCTAATAGAAAAAATAATAATAATTACTATAAATATTTAGTAAAATATGAACTATTAATATTTATTTTTTAGTCCATGGAGATGATATGAACTATGTATAAATTTTTTGTGTGTTTAGAATAGTTTTAATACTTGATTGATTCGGATGTAAAAACAACTGCAAATTAAGTAATTTAGTGACGATTCTTTTTTTTCTCACACAAATTCTTTAAATTAATAAATTTATTAATTTATCGATTGTTTAATAATTCGCTAAATTAATAAATTTTGGTGTTCTCGACACTATTAATTTATAGAAGTTCTACCGTACATGCTCTGTATTATAAGCAAATATGGTATTTCCCTAGCTTAATTTTCCCTTACTCAATGTAGTATTTAGGTTGGTGACCAGGAATAAGTATTCCTAGCTTAAAAATTAATGGAAAAGAGGAAAAGAAAGAAGAATAAAAAGACCACAGGACATTAATTTCATAACACAAATTAGATTTGTATTAATTTCTCTGTTTGATCAATTGATCCGAATTCTAAACTCCAATAAAGATATTACACTAAAAATGAACCAAATAGGGTTACTACTCTACAAGTATATTGTTTGTAGATTTGGCCTTCTTGTTAACTTACCTACAAATCAATCCTAGGCTCCTAGCTAGATTTTAGTGTGTAGTGTGTACATATACGCAAATGAATTAATGATCATAGAGAATGAGAATGTAACACTTTGCAATTTGTACGTAGGCATTTGCAGATAATATTTCACGTTGAATTTGTATGTATGTAACACAGATAAGAATTAAATCACGGTATTAAAAGTTGGTTTCGAAATTATTTAAAAAATTGGTTATGATAATGTGAAAAATGTAAGCCAAATAATAAGTCAAACAACAGAAAGAATCTATTACGATGTACATATAATTGCGAGGAACATAGAAGGGTAATACGGCACACCATTAGCTTTCACGAGAATGTAAAAGTGCAAACAAAAATGTAACGATAACAAAGTCTTTGATTGGATAAAAGATCAGTAAGTTTTAAGATACTTTTTTGTTATAAAAATTTGCTCTGCCTACGTATTGCAATATTCCTTTTTTTTCACGTTACTACACTCACGTGCCATATCCAGGCAATCTTCTCCTTTTTTTTAATTATTATTATTTTTTTTTTACGTTATTACATTCACGTGCCATATCCAAGCAATCTGCATTTTGTTTGTGTGTGTTTTTTTTTTTTTAAACTTAAACATGACTCAAAATAGAAGGAGAGTGTAAAATGTGAACTAGGAAATCTCGCAAACCTCGTGTCAGTAGACACTTTAACGTTGCGCAAATAACGTTTCCAAGTTGATTTCTCACGAAGAGAACCAAAGTTCTAACAAATTGATTTTTCATGTGATGAATTGATTTTTCAAGTTGTTTTTTTTCATGTAACGTATGTTTGATCTCTCACGTGAATTGGGGGGGGGGGCAAATTTTATATCAGGTAACGTATTTTTTTTTTTTTTTGATAATCACGTGAAGGGAACAAATTAATACTAGTATTATTCGCAAAAAAGTTAATCTAAAGACCAACAAATACTAGTTATTATGAGATTGTGGAGCGATTGTTCGAAATATAACAGAAGTTGGAAAAGTTGATAATTTCTTACATATGTCAATTGTGGATTTGTATTCTTGTTATGTTTGCTTATGAATCATAGTTTCACAATGAGTGTGTTAACACACGAGTAACGATGAATAAAGAAGACGTTAAACTTAATCACCCTCGAATATGCAAATATTTTAATTTGCGTAAATAATGTGTTCAAATTGAATTTTCACGTGAAGAGGACATAATTTGCATCAATAACGTATGTTTGATTCTTCAAAAGTTGTTCGTCATATGACAAAAGTTGGGGAAAACAATTGAATATTCTTACATATGTCATTGTAGATTTTTGCTAATAAATCATAGTTCCAAAACGAGTGCGTTAACACATGAATAACGAGAAAAAAAAAAAGATGTTAAACTTCATTAATCTTGTTTTTTTGTAAATATTTTAACTGGGCAGATAACGTGTTTAAGTTGAATTTTCACGTAAAGAGAACATAGTTTGCACCAATAACGCATGTTTGATTTTTCAAAAGTTGTTGGTAGTAAAGCATGCTTGATTCTTTGTTATGTTCGCTTCTGAATCATAATTTCACAAATGAGTGTGTTAACACATGAAGAACGATGATGTTAAACTTCATCAATTTCGTGATATGTAAATACTTTAATCTGTGCAGATAACGTGTCTAAGTTGAATTTTCACGTAAAAAAAAACATAGCTTGTATCAATAACGTACATTTGATGATCCTTCACGTGAATGGAACAAGGATGATATATGCCGGTAACGCATGTTTGATTTCTCACGTGAGCAGTGGAGAGAATGTAAAACATGTAGATGAAAAAGTTCTTAAATTAGTGTATCAAATTAATATTTATTTAACCTCAGGTTAGTTTTTGCACGATCATTTTCCATTTTCTTATTTTATAGTACACATTCACGATTTTTAACTTCTATAAAAAAAATTGGGATAAATTACATGTATGTAACGAAACATGTATATGTATTCTAGAAATCAATTGAGAGGAAAATGTTGTAGAAATCATACCCTCCAGAACATTCAACTGTTAACAAAACCTGCTCTATCCTATATTCATATATTCGGGCAAGTTATATTTTTTTTGTTGTGGTGTTGCAAAATTCAATTATTTCACGAAATCATTTTAATAAATTTTTTTACTCTCTCTGTCTCGAAATTATTGTTCAGTTTGAAATTTCACTTTTAGTATAATTTAAAGTAGAAATGAAAATTCAAATTGGATAATAATTATGGGACGGAGGGAATATTGTAAAGAAAGAACCCGTTCTGGTAATAAGATAACGAAAACCTACGTAAAGGAAAAAGAAAGGAGTGTGTTGTTATTTCTTTTGTGTCCAACTCAGCCCGCAGTCTTTAGGGTGTCCAGTCAGTCAGTCAGTCAGGAGGAAAGGAACAATAATGATTGAGTCGCAGTTAAAAAACAGAAACAACCAAAAGTCAAAAGTGGCCGAAAACTCCCCCAAAAGACAAGAAAACCCTCAAGAGTCCAACTAGGTAAGAAAGACTAAAAACACACCAACGTTAATAATCCCGAATTGGCAATATTTCATTCACTTTGTGAATTTCAGGTCAAGCTTTCTGTATCTGAGCTGTCTTTTATTCTCCAAAAAAAAATAAAAAAAAACCTCAATTACATAATCTATAATTTGAGTGAAAATTAGTAGTATATTTGATATTTGTAAAAACATATCATTTTGGTTAACAATGATATATGAATTGAATGTACAAACAAACCAAAATCTGAGAGGAGTGATTCATTTTTATTTACTTACTCAAAAATTTGACTCTTACATCACTTACTAATTTAACTCATAAATTTACCACGTCAATTTACTCCTCAACTTTTTGAATTACCTCTGCCTATAAATACGGTACAGGAATAAAATAGAGTACTCCGTACTACCAATAATAAACTGTATTTTTTTAATCTCTAAGTATTATATTCAGACTTTACTATCGCATTTCGTGGTGGTTGCCTCGCCACGGAACACCCGTCCCCTTGTTCCGGTAACCATTTCCGATCACCTTCTTCCTCCTCCGGCTTACCCCTCCCAATTCATTCATTCATTTCTTTTTTCAAGTCACCTTTATACGTTTTTCCACATTCCTTTTCTACATAAATTTAATACTTACTTGATTCTAAACCAAAAAAAATTTGAAAAATTTTATCAATTTTGCGGCGCCATCATTAATTTTTTCTGCCCTTGATTTTATTTGTATTTTTTTTTTTAGTTTGGAGCTGTCTGTTAATCCTATCTGTTTGTTTGGTTTTGAAGGAGAAGGGGCTCTGAGTTGAGTTGACTTGGCGGATCACAAGGATGGGGGAGGAGCAGCTGCAGCAGCAGCATCAACAAGAGGAGGAGGTTCAAGTGGTCACGGCGGAGGAGGAGGTGAAGAAACCTTCGAGGACTGATTTGCAGAGACAGAGCTCCCATCAATTCAATTACTTTCATAAGTACAGGCTGTATCGGACTCATTCGGTATAAACACCAAAACATCATCTCTCCCTCTGTGTCCTCTTGGGTTCTGTTTCCTATTTTTAATGATTTGATTTTTCTATTCAGTTTATTATTGAGGTTTTTGCTGCTTTGTTTGTGGTTTGAAACTGGATATACAAAATGTTGTGGAAACCAGAAGTGATCCTGCTTGTCTACGTTTTCAATTAGACTTTTTGGTTTTTATGTTACTTTGTTGTAAAATTAAGAATCCCTTTTTCCATTCGGCTTTTCATGATATCAACCCTGAAATTGTTGGATATGTGTTACCACCCCTTATTTACTCCAAAAATTTCCTGAAATCGTTGGATATGTGTATCTGCCTGTTTAGTTGGACCGAGGCGATGGGCCTGTGAACTTCTGAGATTGCAATGTGCTCCTTGTTGTGTTTGTGATACACTCTGATGAATTGCATTACACTCGTAATTACTTCCACATTCACGTGATTAACTGTAGTTATCAAATTACCATCCCTTTTAAAACTGTTTCAAAGCTTGCCTTATTCTGTATGAGTTAGGTCTCGTCAAGGGTTTTTATACATGATTCTTCCTTTTGGGATGGTTGATTATAATTTTGTTCGGGTTGTAATGCATGTTTGGTTCTTATATCACAACTTTCCATAAAAAAACCCTGATATCAAAATCTATTTTAATGAGCACTTAAGTCCATTGCTAGTATTCTTCCGGGGAGCACTTTTATGATAAATGTTTGACCATTTCATTAAGTCATTCATTCTATCCCATTTATTATTTCTCTGCTGTCCCTAACCTCTCTAAGAGGTCCAGGTTGTTAGTCGTGACAACTTAATTTATGGTCATGATTTAGTTACTGGACCTAATGAGTTCTTATTGCTTGTTAGCCATTTGTTTCCTTCTGTTAATAGAATTTTTCCCTTGTGCAACAGAATTTCTACATGGTTGGGTATGACAAGAGCAAAACCTTTTGGAAAGTTTTAAAAATTGACAGGCTTGAGCCTTGCGAGCTGAACCTTTTTGAGGATCCAACAACTTATTCTCTGTACGAGTTCCATGATCTTTTCACGAGAATTCATATCGGCAATGAGCCTGTAGGTGGTCTAGAATTTGTCACCACTTGTTATGGCATTGTTGGTAAGCAAATGTTGAGTTTATTTTTGTTTGTACAGAATTGATTTCTACGAGGAGTATAACTTAACAATTTCCTTTTTTGTGGAAATAGGTTTTGTTAGGTTTTTGGGCCCTTATCATATGATACTTATTACCAAAAGAAAGAAGGTTGGCAAGATTTGTGGTCATGCTGTGTACTCCATCGCCAAGACCATGATGATCCCAGTTCCCAATTCTACTGTGCTGTCCAATTTGGCTTATTCTAAGAATGAGAACAGGTCTTTTGTCAATTCTGTGTGTAAATGTAATATGTATTTGATAACTTTAAATCAACATTTATTTAATTTGAAACTGCTTTGTCCAATTTTGGATCTTGATGAGATTTGTGCTTAATGTATTCCACTGTTTTTATTGTTTAACTTTGATAGAATTAGTTTGACTGTTATGAAAGGCTGCCTGATTCCACCGCATGGTGGTAATCTCTATACCATTGTTTTGGAAATGCCCCCTTTACTTATGTGGGGACAGACCAATGCCAAATCCATGGGGCAGCGTGACTTTAGTTTTTACTGGTGCGTAACAGAATTCTCAATACAACTAACTCAGATTTGTGGAAGCTATGCATTTTGCTGTAGTTAAATTGTTTGTAGAGCTTTGCCAGTTTATCTCCCACGATTGTACAAGGGGAACATTGGTCTTCTGATGTTAGTTTTGCATGTTGATTCAGACAAGGTATCTCATTTGGGTTATTGGGGGAGATTCCTTTTTTTTTTTTTTTCTCTTTTCTGTTTTGGTTCTTTTCTGACTAACAGAATTGTTTTCTTTTTCTCTTTATCTTCAGCTGTGATAAATTTCTTGTAACTTCTCTTTCCCTTTTTTTTTTTAATCTTTATTCTATAGATATAAGAAGCTCTTGTGCGCCGTGGATCTCACAAAGGACTTCTATTTCAGCTACACGTATAACATCATGCTTAGTGTTCAAAAGAATCTAGGCAATCATGAAAGTCTTGGTGATCTTTATGAAACAATGTTTGTGTGGAACGAGTACTTAACTCGCGAGATACGCAGTCAACTTCAGAATACTAGATGGACTGTAGCTTTGATCTTTGGGTTTTTTGAACAGGTATGTTTCGTCTACTAGGTTTGTTCTTCAGTTTCTATTATGTGTACCTACTTGAGGGTAAAGTGTATGGAGTTATTACTTATATTTTACTTTGTCTTGTAATTGACAATTGCTTGCTCATATTAACAGGTAAAAATTTTAGAATCGGGAAGGAGTTCCATATTGACACTTGTTGCTAGACGATCTCGTCATAATGCTGGAACCAGGTCGGAATTTCTTTTGCAAATGTTTCTCTAGTTGTGCTTGTGCTCGTGACTCAGACATGTACTTATTAATGGTGGTTGTACTCTTCCTCATTAACGTTTAAAAATCATTGCACACCCATGATTGACCATTATTTGTTTATGAAGGAAGATATACTAATGTTTCCTTTGGGACATGATAATTTACATTTCAGGCATTTCTTACGGAAACACATATGTTTTGCTTTTGTCCATAAGATTCTTTTCCTTTTGTAGTTTGTAACAGTCTTGGGGTTCTATGCTTCTTAGTTGAACACTTCTTCTGTGTTGGTTATGTTGATTTTTTTCCCATTTTTGTTTTAGGTTCTTAAGGCGAGGTGTAAATGAAAAAGGTTATGTTGCGAATGATGTGGAGACCGAACAAATTGTGTATGAAGATGTTTGTGATACGTGTTCAACGCCCATCACTTCAATTGTTCAAAATAGGGGTTCAATACCTCTTTTCTGGTCGCAGGAAACTTCACGACTCTACCTTAAACCAGACATTATACGTAAGAAGCAAGAATGTTGATATCCAATATTTAATCTGGAAACTTTGTCACTTCATTATTAAATCACTAAACCTTGTCTTGATTTTTAGTGTCCAGAAAGGACCCCAGCTATGAAGCTACGAGACGTCATTTTGAAGATCTAGCTGAAAGATACGGCAATCCAATAATTATTATGAATTTGGTTAAGGTGGTTTCTCTTTTCTTTTCCTCTCTTTTGTCTATGTGCGTATGCGTATATGTACAAAGACCCTTGCTCTCTACTTTAGATTATATTTTTATTGTTGAAATTAACCTTTGTTATATATATATATATGTTTTGTTATAGACAAATGAGAAGAAGCCCAGGGAATCAATCCTCCGTGCCAAATTCATTGATGCTATTGAATTTATTAACAAGGACTTGCCGGGGAAGAATCACTTGAAGTTCTTACACTGGGATCTCAACAAATCCTCCAAAGAGTACAATCACTTACACATTTTTGTCGTGGTTTAGCCAAATTTATACTTATATATGCCATGTGTAAGTTGCTTTTTATATTTTTACAGGTGTCCAGGTGTATTGGGGCGTATTGTGGGTGTTGCCTCTAATGCATTGAATCTAACAGGATTTTTTTATTGTGAAAAGGGACTTACCTTTTCAAGTGACGCACTGATGAATTCGTCGTACTTCGAGTAAGTTCAATTACTAGTTCTTTCCTATAGTTTTAATTGATATAATTATGTTAAGGGGTAGTTTATGCTGGCTAAATATAGGTGGTAGCCATTTTTAGTATCATTTTCATTAAATGTTATGATTCACCTCAATTAAGTTGCCTGTTGAGACTTTTTAGGAGTAATAACGCTTTGGATTATGTGAACCATTATGCGTATGAAACGGCTATGTTTGATTAAGACTTCCATTATTATTATTTTTTTCTTATGGGAGATAATGTTCTTGTTCTGGAATTATTCTTTAATTCTTTTTCGGTGTTAGTAATGATTTTACCATATAATAGTTGTAGTTTCCTTGAATCCATATATTCTGTGTATTTTGCTCCGTTCCCATCTAATATTAGCTAATAAGTTCCTTTGTCTCTCAACCTGCTATAGGGATAACACCCAGGAAGAAATCAATGAGACTAGGAGCACTACCCTTGAGGAATTGGTAGGTGAAGTTGACCATAAAATTAGTGGCGAGAGTGGATTTTTTAATCAAAAGCCTGTGATGTTCCAAAATGGTGTCTTGAGAACAAATTGCATAGATTGCTTGGATCGCACAAACGCAGCTCAGTATGCTTATGGGCTAGTTGCTCTTGGCCGTCAACTCTATGCTTTAGGATTACTGGATGATTTCAACATCAACCTCGATTCTGCTCTAGCTGAGAAACTAATGAAATTGTATGAAGAGATGGGAGACACTCTTGCCTTACAGTATGGTGGTTCTACTGCCCATAAGAAGGTACATATTGATTCCATTCGTATATATTAGAGTGGACACTGCCATGCTAGGTTTTTTATTCAACCCGAGGGTTGTATCCTATAACTTCATATTTGAATTTGAATGAGGATAAGTGCTTTTGACAGAGCACAAAGGCATGATATGAATGTTGTTGTCATTTTGTGTTAGATATATTTGTTTGTAGTTTTGGACTGTTAAAACATATGTGGCACTGAACAGATATTCTCAGAGAAAAGAGGTCACTGGAAAGCAGCTACGCAGTCCCATGAATTTCTTAGAACTCTTCAACGATACTATAGTAATGCCTATATGGATGCCCAGAAACAAGATGCAATTGATGTGTAAGTTATTTGTACTTGAAAAACTTGCTGTATTGCTTTGTGATAAGTTAAAAGAACAAGGATTATAGTTTGTGTTTCTGTTATAAGGAGTGGCATCACTGAAAGTTACCATAGAATCTAACCATAGTTGTGTCAAATTTGAACAGGTTTTTGGGAAATTTTAGGCCGCAGCATGGGAAACCAGCCCTGTGGGAACCTCACTCTGGTCCTTACGATCTTGGGGCACATATTTCTGATTTTGCAGATGAAATTTCAAGGTAGCAATATCTGTTGAAAATAATTTCATTTATTGCTATCCATAGTGAGTCTATACAAATTATATCATTCTGGATTTCCTCTGAAAGCACGCATTAGCTATATAGATACATTGTCTGTAGCTTCTTTGGATAATGTTAAAGAGTAATGATGTGATTTTGCTTTTAGGTTTGCCTGTGGTGCCTCATTTACATGCATGGTTTAGTGGTTTTCCATTCTGTTGTACATGAAAGCAGTGAACCCTTCTTTAATCTGAATTCTAGTTAGTGTATTCAACTTTTTTTTTTTTCCTCCCCAATGGAACATTGTTATTTGAGTGAGAATTTCCTATCTTCTAACAACAGATAGCATTCATCACTTATTGCCTTTTCCATTCTTGAATTAGTATGATACCAAATTTTCAAACTTTTGAATCTCTACTCTCGCACGTACAGATTCATGAAGCGATCTTTGTCAGATGGGAGTATCCTTTGCCAGAGTAAGTCTGTCGAAGACCCTAATGTTGAACTGGACCAAGATGATTTGCAAAGTGGTAGGGGTCTCTTAGGGTCCACCTCAGAGATTGCAGTTTGTGAAAGTGAAGACTTTTCCAGGTAACGTTCTAAAGTTTATAGACAAAACTTTCATATAATTGAAACTTTCATGTAATTGCTTAAGTTTGTTGTTTATACAATCAAAAAAAGTTTGGTTACCAAATATGTGGAAATTGTTCTGGTTGGATATGGATATAACAGACTAGTTGTTCAAGATGTTTCTTTTGTAGTATTTTGTTTTTGATTTTTTTTTTTTTTTTGGCCAGGCATACTCCATCAGTATCTTGCAAGCATATGTATCCGATTTCAGAGCCAGGCATTGAGAGCGATGTCATGTGTGTTGATGGGCGGGATACATTAGATTTCTCTAATTTTATGGACATTGACTTGCTATCTTCTTCTGGAAATTCTATTGAGGATGAGACGTACGAAGGGTTAGTTTTGTTGCTTGAGAAAAATATTTTGGTTGTTTCGAGAGGATGTATTTGAAATTTCTGGTCCTGATATCAGTCTAATTGTTGTATTTGCAGATCGACTCTCATCAGTGCTTCCTCCAGTGACTTTGCAACCTACGCCAATGCAAACCAATTTAAGGATGAAAGAAACTCTTCAGCTTATGCATCAAGTTCTGGCTTCAAGGTTGGTTAATCACAATCTTTGCAAGGGTTGTGTTGTTCAAATATAAAGTCCAGTAAGATAACTCTTATCATCTCATTGCCCCTCAGTTGTCGTGACATTTTCGCTTTTCGTGACTTTTTCCAGGGGGGGCAGCAAAGTTCATCTCAGATTCAGGTTGGTGCTGAGCTCATGGAAAACTACTCTGAGAAATTCATCAGTTGGATCGATGGGGATATGTTCTTCTGAAGAACAGCTTCGGTCCTATGCGACTAATATTTTGAATAGACTACGACCATCCAAAGGATGTGTCACTTCCTATATTTCTTCTATAATGACCGGTAACAACAGTTTTAGAAGAGTACAAAGAAAGCAGAAATTTTGTGAAAGGTAGATTAGACTGGTCAGAGAATTTGACTATCAAAGGCAGGCTGTAAATGTGAAGGAATTTGGGCCTCGGCTCTCGGTGTCCCTAACCCCCCTCACCCCTCTCCCTCATCCCCTTCCCTCATCCTTTAGCTCCCTTTTAAACGGGATCATTTCTTTCTCTCTAGAGTCTAGGCTAACTATTCTTTAGGGTCTGATCCTCTTGTAAATAATTGTCATCTGTCTCAAATTTGAAACATTTCAGTAATTTAAACTCTATTTAGTTATTTTCATGATCTTTTGTTGTTTATCTTTCTTGATAACTCAAGACAAGATGCTTTTTTAGCACTTTTGCTATGTTTCCCATCGATTACTATGGATTACTGGTTACATTCTGCATATATAGCAGTTGTACTCGGATGGTTTTTGGTAATATACTTGCATTTATGATCAATAGCCGTTATCTCTCCTCACTGTATATGGTACAGGTTTGTACTTGTAGGAAGTCAAGTACTGCTATACTTGAGCGTGATATTGAGCTGTTCTGATGGTAAGTTTTGGTTGGCTATATGTGTATTTATGTACGCACAGCTGTGAAAAATGGAAGCCAAAACATAGCTACCGTCGTAGGCGCAAAAATGTCAAATAGGGAGAAGAACTTTACTTAGGAGTTGCGGAACATTTCTTGGAAAAGAATCAAATAGGTTACGTTTGAGAAATGGTCTAGCCAGACCTACCCAGAGTTGACAAGTGAAAATTAAGCTGCAGATTTTCAGCCAACTCACTGTACCTTAGTAGTGGAAATTTACCTTTACTTGAGTAAGAAGGAGGCAGTGTGATTTATGTGTGATAGTTTATTTCCTGTGTGCCTTTCTATGTATGCATTGGCCATGTGACTCATATCTCGAGCTTTGAGAAATTTCACACTGCATCTCACAAATTCATTAGTCCAACCCGGATGCCACCGTTCCTCATTATGATTATATTTTTTTCTTCTTTTATTACTATTACATGGTCAACTGTCAAATTGGTAGGCTTTTATTTCATTTTTTTACTATACCTTTCAGAATGTCATATGCATACACAGAAACTCCAGATCAGAAATTGGCTCAGTCAGTTTCCCATGATTTCCCATCTGGAAACTGGCAAGCTAATCTATCTATCTTCTTCCGTTCAGCCTGTCTGGAATCCCCCATGTTGTAGCATGAATGCTCATTTATTTCTACTAAATGTGATGCAGAGCTGACATTAGAGCATTCCTCTCATCAGACCAACCTGGCCCCCCTCGTTTTTTCTTTTAAACTGATTACTTTCTTCATGTTTCCAACTCTTTTAATGTACTCCTTCTCAATCTGAATTGGATTACCTCTTAGTTAATGAATGTTATGTCACCCATATACGTATGCATATAATATATGTACCTGCCTATCTAAAGAAAAGAGAGGGAAGAAAAAAGATCAGAAGATGGGGTGTGCAGCGTCTGTAAGTATGAGTGTAAAGAAGAAGAAAAAGAACATTCCCCAAGTTTTCTTCTTTGTTCCACCGATTCGTGTGCCTGGTGAATCCAATCTTATGAGATCTCTTAAAGGCATGATCCCTCAGGACCTCTCTCATAAGATGACTCAACTCAGGAGTCAGATTATGTTTGTGGCGCAAGATACCGGTATGTTGCCTGTGTTTTCTTGGACATTATGGAGTTTATGTATGTTTAAACGTTGTTAATCCTCGTTATCCCTTGGTGGTTGCTTTTTTCCCCTTTTTTGGGCCATTTTCAGGTGGATCTGCGATCGAGGAATTACAGAAGGCACTTGATGAGTATCTGCCCCTCCTTATTGGCCTAACTAAAAAAGGTAAAACATTCATTGTTGGAACTTCTCTTTATTACAAATTATATGAGAACCATTAGTTAAAACCACAATACCTTACAGAATATGGGCTTCAAGAAGTTGTGGAGTTTAGCTGGAAGAGCTTGGATGGAAAACAGGTACTTCAGAATTTTGTTTGCAGGATCTTTTCATTTTCTACAGTCTCTTTATCATTATTTCTTAGGTTTTTTTCCCCCTTTTCTGAGTTACATTGTTAAAGAAACTCTTTTCAATCTAGGAAACTTGCATTGCAAACTCTTGCTTCGAGTTGCTTTCGGTTCTTCACATGATGGCTTTATTAACATTGATGGAAGCTAGCTTGAAGCTAATGCCCAAGAACAGTAGTAGTAGCGGATCAGGTGAAATGGTTGTCTCCCCAGGTTAGTGCGGTTTTCTCCCTCATCAATCTGAAGGGAACTCATTTGACCAGGAAAGCCAAAATGAGAAAAAAGAAAGTAATTAATGAATGTTGGTTACCTAATATGTATGTACTTGATCAGATGGGATGAGTGAAGCTGTTGATTTGCTGTTAAAAGCAGCAGGGTATTTAGACTTCTGCATCCAGGATGTTCTTGGTCGACTTCCGCCCGACATTAAGTATGTAGTATGATCTACTCATGGAACTTGTAATCTCTTTCATGATTTCTGCTGGTCTTAACTGATTGGATGCCAGGGACATGTTGCCCGAGGATTTACAAGAGGGCGTCATGGAAGCCTTATTGAATCAAGCACTTGCTTTGGTAAGAAGAAATAGTCTTTGATGTCATTTATTGTATACTGAAGCAGGTTCTGTACAATCCATTTTTTGCACATAAACAAGGGGTTTGCGGTAACCATCTTCAACAAATGGACTTGTCAGGGAACTGAAATACAACTTGGACTAGCTATTGGAAGCCAGAATGCCACTTTATCTGTGAAAAGGAGGTTGGCCTGCGAGCAACTGGCCTACTATGGGCAGGTATCTTTATGAGTCTATAAACAGATTTAAAATGATTAATAGATGCTGCTCTGGAATTGTTGCAAAGTAGGAAAGTGCAAAGGAGTCACTAGGAGCATCTGTCTTTTCCTTGTAGGCTCATCACTGCTTATCTAAAGGTATGAACAAGTATGAGGACAAAAAGAAACTTCTGTTGTTTATCAAGTGGAAGTATCTTCAAGCCAAGGTCACCTTTTCGACTCCCTCTTAAAAATCTTTCAATTCTATATCTCTCAGTGGGTAAATAAAAACAGCAAGTGTACCTTCTAAATACCATCATCAAACATATCACAGGCTGCAGCTTACTATTACCATGGTCTGATGCTTGATAAGGGGACCGAGCCATCAAGTCATGTTAGTGCATTGTCTTGTTTCCTTGCTGCCGAAGAACTGGTAGCAGAGAGTAAAAAGGCGTGCTTAAGTTTCGGCCTTGCTGACCCCATAACCAGGTTATTTGGATGTGAGATTGAGTTTCTGATCAAATTTCGAGAATCCATCTACTTTTCGTTTCTGAATGGTTTTATTCCTTTTCTTCTTTACAGGGCACCTCCACTCTGGGGTGTTATGAAGCACTTAGATAAGAAAATCCCTGAAACTGCATCCAAGAAGTTTCAGATGCATGGATACCTATTAGACCAGGAAAAGTGAGAAATCTATTCATATCTCCACGATTTTCCAGTTTCTTCAGTTCTTTTCAAAATAAAAGGTTTTTATGGTTTCTCAAGTTGCTTTTCTCCATTTTTAATATGCATTAAGCTGATTTTTCAATGACAGTGGGTTAGTTGATTGAATTTCATTCATTGAACTACACATTCGACCACTTGACAAAACTTGAGTGAACAATGTGTGTTGCAGGGGCCTTCGTATATTGCCAGATCTTCCAGAATTCCAGTTGTCATTGAAACCCGATGACTATGAATTGCCCGACTTAAATCCAGCTTGGGATAGGGAAAATTGGGAAACCATCCCAGGACAAAGACTAAAAGAACACCTCGAAGATAGCGAAGACGAAACAAAACCTGCAGCAAAGTAAGACAGGCGCATGTTTTTCTTTCAGCATTTGGATGTTCTCAAGAACCCAATTCAATGTTTTATATATATATTTTTTTCCACAGATGAGAGAACTTTTGGACATTGCCAGATACATGTATGGAAATGATCAAGAAAGTAAATTCCACCCGAAGAAGGCGAAACGGATCACATCAGAGATGCTGAAATTCGAAAGCAGGCGATGCTGGTGTATGAAAATCTCATCATCTGTTGCCTGCAACTTTCAACAGATTATTATTGAATGAGAGATCCCAAAGTTCATAAAAGGTCGACAACAATATGATAAATATCGTGTCACTATTATTCCTTGAAATGTGTACAGTCTAAATTCTATCTTAATGATACACCAACATCTCTATCTTCTTCCGTTTACTCTTTCTTTTCATCTCATTCGCAGTTAGTATTTCGCAACTCTTGTTATTGAGCATTTTCCTCAACGTAACTTTGCATTTTCCTTTCATCACAAACAAGTACTAGTATCCCCCATGTGTAATCCTAAGCATCAAAGTGTTTTCTCCCAAATTACCTATCTCCAAAAACTCCAATCCTAATTTCAGTCGGCTTAGTGCATTAACGAACTATGCCTTCTCTTATGCCACTTGGTGGAAGATTCGGACATGATCCATCTCATTCAGGATAAGGTAAATGATCACTCACAACGAAAATATCCTTATCTCAAAATTATTATCCAGTTTGTACTTTTATTTCTAATTCAATTTGTACTAAAATAAAAACCTAAAGTGGATAATAATTTCGGTACTTAACAGTTAACACAATCACTTCACTATATATTGACAAATTTTCCATTTTTTTTCTAATTACCTCAGTGAACAAGATACTACATAAGAAGAAGAAAAAAAAAGGGTGCGGGTTAAATTCGGGTATACGAGTCGGGTAATTCGAAAATTGGACCCTTAAACCCCCAACCCTAAAATCATAAACCTTTCTCTTCTACTCCCCGAGAGCAGGGGAGCTTTACTCAAGACGACAACAATGGCGACTGAAAAAAAGCCCAACGGAAAATCTAAGAAGAACTCTAAACCTCATGATGTAGAATCACTGAAATCCGACGTAGCATCCTTTGCTTCCTCCATCGGTCTATCCTCCTCCACAGACGCCGCCGCCGCCGCCTTCTCCGGTTTCAACGACTCCGACTTCCGAAAGAAAGCCCCTGTCAAACCCTTCAATAAAAAAGCGACCGAAGCCAACCCAAACAACAAGAAAACGACGACTCCCGCTTCCACCAACCCCCAAATCAATAAACCCAAGCCTGCAAAACCCGGACCTGGGCCGAGCTTCAACGCTTTAACTGATTCAAGTAACAACAGGAACGACAAGTGGAAAAATTTGCCAAAGCTTCCGCTGGTCCGGGCTCATGATTTGGGCTCTTGGTATGTTGATGCTGCGGAATTAGAGGAGAAGGTGCTGGCAAATAAGGATAAGAAGGTGGTGATTAAGAACTTGGACGAGTGGAAGAATCTAGTTGAAAAGAAAAAGGAGCTGGGGGAGAGGTTATTGAGTCAATATGCTGGGGATTACGAGTCTTCAAGAGGGAAAAATGGGGACATTAAGATGCTGATGGCTACTCAGAGGTCCGGGACAGCGGCCGATAAGGTGTCTGCTTTCTCAGTCATGGTTGGGGACAATGCAGTTGCTAATCTCCGATCACTTGATGTGCTTTTGGGTAATTAAGATTGAAATAGGAGCGTGAAAGATAAAACTTTTGTTTCTTTGGAATGAGATGATCGATCTGTTTGTTTTGATTGATGGGTTTTTTTTCTTCATTTTACTGCATGTCTGGTCTATAGTCCTTAAACTTTATGATTTAGTAACTTTTTTAAATATCCATTAGGTTGCAGCTGGAGAAGAGAAATCAGTGAAATTCTTGTCCGCAGTTAGTTTTTCATGGAAAACTTGAAAGAATTGATACAAAGTTGCCCCCGAAAAAAACACGATTTTTATCTACGAATAATATCTTGTAGATCTTCCCATTTGAAATGAGGTCTTCTTGTCGGGAAAGTTCATGATTTATGTAGTACTTCAATTCCATTGAAGTTGAAAAAGAGATGATATAAACATCTTTACTTGGTCAGTTCCTTTCCCTAGGCAAGTAGTAAAAGTAGACATGAAGAAGAGAAAGCAGAGAAGTATATTCTTTATTCTGAGTAATGTGGCTTTGAGGTTACTTGTGTCAAGAATTAGTTGTTTGTCTTTCTGCTATGTTGGCCTCTTGTTTTGCCTTTAGATGTATGTCAATTTCATGGAGGTGTGAGGTTGATTGTGCTTATTCACATTGAATAATCTTAATTTGTATAAAGTGTTCTGTGTCAACAACTAGGTAGTAAGCTGAAATCTCTCAATTTCCTCAACTGTTTGTCATAGTGTTGTCTATCTGAACTTTGTCATCCTAAATTTGCTCATATGGTGATTATGCAAAAGGCTGATAAAACAAACTGACTTGCAGGGATGGTAACCTCAAAATTCGGAAAGCGCCATGCCTTGACTGCTTTTGAAGTACTGAAAGAGCTTTTCATTTCTAGGTGAAGCACTAACCATTTATGTTATTCGTTTCCTTTTTCAATTGCAAGGCTCTGCATCTTCTATGCATTACTTTTGGGTTTATGATTATCTTAGTCACGATCATAGAGAGGTCAGAGGTGGGAGTTTAGGGTTCTGAAGTGAGAAATTTATTTTTACCAAAGCTTATGTATGGCATGATATGGTGGCACGTTATTTGTATGTGCAATGCTTATGTAGTAATATTCATTGTTTTAATTGTAGCCTATTACCGGACCGGAAGCTAAAGACCTTATTTCAGCAACCCCTAAATCTTCTTTCTGAGACTAAAGATGGCTACTCTCTTCTTCTGTTTTGGTATTTTGAGGATTGCTTGAAAGAAAGGTATGTATATTTTATTCTGATTGCAACCTTCACGATTTTTTGTATGTTAATTAACTACTAGTTTTGGATTGATGGACATACATTGACATAACGCTGTTTGTTGTGTGGATGCTTATGTTTCCAGTCATAGCTTTCATATTAAGTGTTTTAAATAATTAATTTGTCAGAATTTTTCTTTAAACTGGTGTTGTTACTGCAGGTATAAACGATTTGTTTCTGCTGTTGAGGAAGCCTCAAGAGATGTTTTAGCCATACTTAAAGACAAGGCTGTAAAGGTGGATTGCTCTCTACCATATATGTATACGCGTGCTTCATTTTTTGGTTGCTGTTTTATGAAGGATATATATCAGACGTAGCATAGTTTTTGTTTCTGACCCAATGTACCTTACTGTGGAATTAGATAAAGGTTTGTAACCAGAGGTTTTTGTTGCTAATATCATGACAGGCCATTTATGTTCTGTTAAAGAGCAAACCAGAACAAGAGCGGCTCTTGCTTTCTGCGTTAGTAAATAAAGTAAGTACCTTGAATGCCCTTCCATCCTCAAATATTTTCTATGTTAATGATTTATGTTACTTTCATTTCATTTGTAAATTCATAACTTGTGTAAATCCTTCATTTGATTTTTCTGTTTTGCCTTTCGTTGACTTTAGCTGGGTGATCCCGGAAAAAAAGTTGCGTCTAATGCTGATTTTCATTTGTCCAAACTTTTGACCGACCATCCAAGCATGAAGGTACTCCGATCATCAACGTTGATGCATTTCTTAAAGTTATCTTCTTGTTTGTCTACACGATTCGAGTGAGTCCAACTCAAGTCAAACTCATGTATGAAATTTTATTCTGACAGGCTGTCGTTATTGAGGAGGTGGATAAGTTTCTTTTCCGGCCTCATCTGGGATTACAAGCTAAATTCTATGCTGTAAGTTGTATCAACTAAACTCTGATTTGTATGCGTTGTTTGAATGTTGGAATCATGGTGATGTTCATGTGGGTCACACGATTTACAAGCACATTTACATTCAATATTGTTAGTATTTTTAGCTTTTAAAAGTAATTTAGCAACTGTTTGTTATCAACGATTTATTAACTTGCTCATTGTAATTTAGCGGTAATAGCATTCCAAGATTTAGTTTTTCTGGTGGTGTTCCTCTATCTTTTGTGCTCTTTGATTGGACTTGATAGTCTCCTCCTGTTATTTATAGGTTAACTTTCTTGCCCAAATCCGTTTGAGTCACAGAGGAGATGGACCAAAAGTGGCAAAGCGTTTGGTCGATGTGTATTTTGCACTATTTAAGGTATGCTTAGAAAGCTTTGCTTTTCTTTTCTTTTTTTTCCCCCCAGTTTAAACACTTGGGTTTTTAAAATTGATGAGTTAGTAGTAATGTCCTGTTGTCTTTGGCATCTATTCATAATGATAATTATCAATACAAAAAGCTGATTATTAATAATGAGTCGCTGTTTCAGATACTGATTTCCAACTCCAATGGGGAAAGTGGGAAAGACAGTAAAGAGAAACATCCCAAAGCTTCCAGTTCTAAGAAAATCAAAGCAGATACTCCATCAGAATCTCATGTTGAGATGGATTCTCGGTTGTTAACAGCCCTTTTGACAGTATGTAAATATACCTTCCTTCTGCCCCCTTTTTACTTGTAATAACTTGTTCATAAAAGCATCCATTATGCTATTCCTTTCCTATGCAGGGTGTAAATAGAGCATTTCCTTTTGTTTCCAACGACGAATCAGAAGAGATCATTGCAGTTCAGACACCAATTTTGTTCCAGCTGGTAATTAAATTGTTAACCTGACAGATAAAGAGTTCAGTCAAATAACTTGCCCCGTTAACCAAGATATTAGTTTAAAATATGATCTTTCATCCTTGTTATTTTCACTAGGTTCATTCAAAGAGCTTTAATGTGGGAGTTCAAGCACTAGTTCTTCTTGACAAGATTTCATCCAGAAATCAGATTGTTAGTGACCGATTCTATCGAGCATTGTATTCTAAGCTTCTCCTACCAGCTGCTATGAATTCATCAAAGGTGTGTTTTCTGAAATTCTGTTTAATTTTCTGTTACTATTAACCCTCTTTTATCAGTTGATTCTGTGGTTGTGAAATGAAGAATTAAGGTTTTCATGGCTTCTGAAAGCACAAACAATTTGCTTGCTCTATACTGTAAAACATTCAAGAAATGTTGTTCTTGAGATATTTCTGAAGGAAAAGAATAGGGCCAGGAGCAATTTTTACCCTTTTTTGTTCTTTTCCCTCTTCTTTGTTTGTCGGCCAATCCAAGTATTCTCTGAAGCTCGCTGCCGTGGTTTTTGAACTAATTTAAATAAGGGCTGTGAAGCTTTATTTTAGTTTGCTACCTCATTTTCATGTGTTTTAAAATTTAACATTAGATGGAAAGCCGATACTGTGGGTTTCTTTGGTGTTTGTGAAAGTGTGGAATTGGCGACATTGACCTTTTTCAATATCTTGTATGATCAATGCATTTTTTTTTCTTTTCTTTTTTCAGGAAGAAATGTTCATTGGGCTACTTCTAAGGGCAATGAAAAATGACATCAATTTAAAACGAGTCGCTGCTTTTGCTAAGCGTTTGTTACAGGTTTGTGATGCTTTTTGTATGCTTTGCACCATTTGCACCATTCATCTGTATACTGATATTATTTTTAATGTGGATTTTTCCCCATTCTTGAAAGCTAAGCAAAGAACTCTTTGCCCATGCCCACAATATTGACGTTTCATTGTGACAATTTTATATCTGTACAGGTTGCTCTCCAGCAGCCACCTCAATATGCATGTGGATGTCTTTTCCTCCTTTCTGAAGTTCTTAAAGCAAGACCGCCCCTTTGGTACGGCCACATATTTGTGAACACTATGGGCATTAATTACCTTTGTTTCGCCCTAAACTCAACTGCGAGTGATAAAGAGTAGTACTTTAGCACTTTACAGTCAGGGAAAAAGTGCCTTTACATTTTTACAAGTTTCCTTACTCTAGTTTTCGTCATCTTTTTGCTGATTGTTGATTTAACGTAATTTTTATAATAAGTTTGAAAAAACATTGTCATGCAGGAATATGATGCTTCAGAATGAGTTGATTGATGAGGATCTTGAACATTTTGAGGATGCAGCCGATGAAGACGATGCCTATGAATTGGCTCATACCAAAAGCAATGCTTCCAGTGTCGCAGACGATAAGAATTCATTGCCTCGTGTCGATGGCTCCTCAGCATCTGAGGTAGGAAGAGATGATAATGAGGGAGCATCAAAAGCTACCAATCTTGGGTCTGCATTGCCTGGAGGTTATGACCTGAAGAAGAGGGAGCCGCTATACTGGTACCTATATTTCTTTACTCATTGAGAATATTAATAGCTATATCTGCTTTTTTTTTTTTTCAATAAGGGTGATTTTGTGTTCTAATTTGCTGATATTCTTGCTTTATGGATTGACAGTAATGCAGATCGAACAAGCTGGTGGGAGTTAACAGTGCTGGCTTCACATGTCCACCCATCTGTTGCCACCATGGCCAGAACGCTACTTTCCGGGGCAAATATAGTGTACAATGGCAACCCACTTGTTGATCTTTCACTCACTGCTTTTCTGAACAAGTTCATGGAGAAAAAACCAAAACAAACTACATGGCACGGTGGTTCCGACATCGAACCTGCAAAGAAGGTTTGTCCTATCTTCTTACAAGTTTGTTCCAATTTGATTATTATTATGCAAAAACTGAATAGTGCCGCCTAATTTATAGATTTTCTGTCTTTCAGCTTGACATGAACAACCAGTTAATAGGAGCAGAAATTCTGTCACTAGCGGAATCAGATGTACCGCCAGAGGATTTTGTTTTTCATAAGTTTTATTCGAACAAATTGACTTCTTCCCATAAATCTAAGAAGAAAAAGAAGAAGAAGACGGAGGAAGATGAGGATGCAGAAGAGTTAGTTGGTGATGACCAAAGTGATGATGAAGAGATTGAAAATGTCTTGAACGCTTCAAATCCCCCCGTCGAAAGCGACGATGAAGAGTATGACTATGACGACTTAGACAATGTCGCTAATGATGATGATGATGACTTGATTGGTCGTGCTAGTGATGAGGAGATGGACTTCCCATCATCCGAGATCGTTGGTAAAGATTTTGATTTTGATGATGGTGACGAAGACGATGACAACCATGATGATAATAATGGTGAAGAAACAGCAGTATTTGGGGAAGAGGAGGATGATGAGATTGATGATGAAGAGGACAACTCCTCCAAGAAGAGAAAAAGGAAAGGAAAGAAATCATCAGATAAACATAGTTCTGTTTCTGCTTCTCCATTTGCAAGCATTGAAGAGTATGAGCACCTCATCATTGAGGATGATAATCCCAAAGGGAAGAATAAGAAGAAGAAGAAGGCTTCTTCTCCTAATAATGACAAAACGAAGGAGCCGAAGAAAACCAAAAAGAAGAGGAGGAAGTCATCTGAATGAGCAGCTGTAGAAATTTGATGTAACTAATATCTTCTGAGTTTTGAATTTTGGGTTCTTACCCTTGAAAATTTTGGTCGGCAACTTGCCATTGTTGTCTATTGATTAGTCTTTTTAGAGGAATTAATGTAACAATTACGAGAATTTTTCTATTTTTTGGTGGACAAAATGAAGAAACAAACACTTGGATCATTTGATGGGTCAGAATGGATTTTAGTTGGAGTAATTTTTTAAAAAAATACTCTTTGTTCCAAAATTATTATTTAGTTTGAGATTTCACTTTTAGTATAATTTGAACGAGAAATGAAAATTTAAACTGGACAATAATTATGGGACGGAAGGAGTAATTGTTTAATTATTTACTTGGATTAACAGCTTCATGACTAAACGAAGTTTAATTATTAGATCCAAGAGGTCACCCTGATACGTGGAAGAAGGCAGCATAAACGAGTGTCCATTGCTCTGGAAATTACTTGACCATTCTACACCAACGTTTTTAACCCCCTGGACCATTCTCGAACTTTCCTTCCCAAAACCTCTTTTTAAACCTCCACTCCAGTCCCCAAATTGCTCAGCCCAGTGAATCCCAAATTCTGATTCGTACTTTCGAATTCGTGTTCGTAAGCTAAAACCCTTTTCCAAAGTTGCAATCTTTATATTGCTGCTCTACTCTTTCTTGATTGCCGGCCGTTGATTAAGCCTGAAGGCTGAAGATTGCGGGAAAATGAGTGCTGCAGTGTTGGATGCGGTGAACCATCTTCTTGGTCTTGTACCCGTGCCGGAAACGCTTGAGAAATTCATGGTCATTGAGGATCCCCGAGGCGGTGGCCACCACCAGAATGCCGCCGAGGGAGGTGGCAACAGAGGAGGAGTCGGAGGCGGAGGAATTGGTTCAATTCCGGTGGACATTCTTGATTCCCCAAAGGAGTACATTTTCTACATGGATGTTCCTGGGCTCTCCAAATCTGACATTCAGGTAATTTATTGCATAAAGCTCTCCTTTCTTTAATGATTTGAGGAATGTGCATTTCTATCTTCCGGGTTGTAATTTTGGTAATGTGTGTAACAGGTGACAGTGGAGGAGGAAAACACTCTGGTAATTAAGAGCAATGGGAAGAGGAAGCGGGAAGAAGTGGAGGAAGAAGGCTGCAAGTACTTAAGGCTGGAAAGAAGGCCACCCCGGAATCTGCTGAGGAAGTTCCGATTGCCGGAAAACTGCAACGTTTCGGCTATTACAGCTAAATGTGAGAATGGGGTGTTGACTGTTGTGGTGGAGAAGCATCCTCCACCACCTAAGTCCAAGACTGTTGAAGTCAAGATTTCTTAATAAAAAGACTAGACATTTGGTTTAGTTCAAAAAACAATTAGTTGATCATGTGAGCATCTCTGCTTAGTTTTTTCTTGTTCAGTTGTGTTAGCTGTTTGAAGTTTGAACTATCAACTATAATATGTAGGGTTGTCTATGAGGAAGATTAGAGTACTTATGTAGCCTCTACCTTCCGGTGTGTTACTTATGTGTATATATATAATGTTGGATGCTGTCAATGTAGTCTCTACCCTTGGGTATATATAATGTTGGATTATCTGTCTCACTCGTTGTGTTCTAAATAGTGTCATCATTTCAGTCATCTTGCTAATTTGTGTTTCACTTGCTTAGATTGTAAACATTTCAATACTAACTGTAACTATAAGACAATATGTACTGAAGAACTGCCATAAGGAATGACCTGATATTGGAGAAACGCAAAATACTAACTGAATACCTTATACCAAACTATTCCAACATGCTTGTAATGACTGAACTGAAGTACTGAACTATAATCTACGAACAATCTCCTCTGGAATAGGGTTTAACAGCAACGGATGCCTTCTTATGGATGATCATGGTTTACTCAAATGCATTAGCTTCACAAGGGATCTTCAACACACCTTGATTACAGAATCCATACTCCCCAGCTGATCTGCAAAGAAGCTCTAAGAATTCGGCATCACAGAAGGCCTTCCTTATATCTACCATGAAAATCTTCCTTTCACTACCATGTGTGCCGACTGAAATTGGAATATAACCTCTTAGTGTTGTTGGACATGATCCATTCTGATGTTTCACCTCACCAAATCTACTGCGAATCATGTTGCACACTTCCTCAATATGCTGGGCTTTAGCCCCATTTATCTTTTTCAAGTTAGCCAAGTAAATTTATGAAGATCGACTTTTGAGGTTTTCCCTTTTTTTTTCTTTTTTTTTTGTTTGAAAGGGGAGTTTTGAGTTCAAAATGAGTCTCTTTAGGGAACTATGAGGACACAGGTTGGGAGGGATGGGTGTTGAACTATTGATGATGTTTCAACTCCAGAGCTGATGATGTTGATTAAGGATATTTCTTGGTTGATTAATATAGAATTAATCATCAATTAGGACAAGAGATGAAATCTTGTTCTTAGTGTATGTTGGCATTTGTTTAGCTTAAAATTAGTGGACTAGGTGTGATTAGAAAAGAGGCTTCCTGCCGTCTCTACAACAAATGACAATGTCATGTATCAATTTTATAATTATTTTTTGCTTTAGTATGCTGTCGTGATGGTGGAGTAACTTCACTAAACTATTCAAGGTTCATTTTTGTTTGGCCTCGTACTCTCGTTTGGGATAATTGATTCGTCATGGAATCCTAGGAAGATCTGTTAATCATTGCTTATTGGTGCAATCAACAATGATTGAAAGGTTTCTTTTTACATCTATCTATAACCCCATTATAGCAAAAATTAAATTTTGTCTAAAATCTCAAATGTCACATTATCCTCAAAAATCTCTCAACCCAAAATTTAAAAAAAAAAAAAAAACCAAAAATTAAAGAAAAAAAAAAGACGGCCACTATATAGTTTCCCAAAAATAAAAACTCCAAAAAAAAAACTAAACAAAGAAAAAAAAAAACATCTCCATAGTAATCCGGATTATTTGGTTAAACAAAAAATGCTAAAAAAATCTCATGTTTTCTTTGGTTTTGATTATCTTCCATATCTAACACCTAATTTCTATCCAAATATTAACTTCGAATTCTTTAAGTAAATTCAGTACTTCTAGAAGAACAAGAAAACTGCAAATCTTATCATTTTATCCTCCCAAACCAAGAATAACCTCCTTTACCTCTTACAATCTTAATCGATCCTCAATTTTTTTATTTTCTGCAATGAAATCAGTTTGACAAAAAAGAGTGTAGAAAGAAGGTACAACGTTTTCTGTAAGAGGCCGATTGTGATTTCTTTTTCTTTTCCTATTTGTTGATGATTGTCAGCGAAAAGATTAGACATGAGATTGTTCACGAGAGCCTAAGGAACTATACACAGTGTTAATGTATTATCTCCCATTGATCTATCCGAGTGTTTATAATTATAAGAAATGTTTTGTTAAAAAAAATTCCAAACCTCCTGTTTTGTTAATGTACTGCTTGTTTTTTTTTTAAAAAAAATGCAGAGACAGAGTATAGAACTTACAATTAAGGATATTCGAGTGTCACCATTATAACAAAAACCACTTTCCCCCCAAAAATCCAAGTATCCTTATTTGCTTAAAAATCTCCTCTCTAAATTTTTCAAATAAATCTAACAAAAAAAGTATTAAAACGGGAATAATAAATTACACACAACATGAAATTTTGGCCAAATTTTAACCAAAATTTCAAGTTTCAATCTATTAATAAAAGTTTTCTGTACAATTTATTTACCCACAACAAAGGTTCAATTTAAAGAAAAAGAAAAAAAATGAATCAAAGATAACTCCCCCAATCCGCACTACACGTTCTTTCTCCTCAAGAACAAAATTGAATCAAATGCTCAAAATTTCCAACTCCTAAAACTCTGTAAAAAATTTTAGTCAATTGCTTTCTCAAGCAACATAGAAAGAGAATGAATTTAGCAAAACATTAGTATTCTTAGACTTTGGATTCATTGGCATCTAACGATAAAGATTTGATTTTCTTTCTTTTTCCAATTTCAGTTTTATCTCAATTATGATAATTGAATGTGAAATATACTTTATTTGTGTTTTCAAAACTTTTGCAATGCAAGTTACTTCTCTTAGTGGGTGCTCCCACTTCTCCTTTAGTTGAAGAGGCAAATTCATGCTCATGCTTCATTCAATACTACTGAAGAGTCTGCAAAAAAATAAATACTTTCTTTTAAGTTTTCCTTTCTGTTTTTAGGACAAAAAAATCTGAAAAAATTAAAACTTGATTTTTGTTTCCGCTATGCTACTCTTTTTTTTCTAATTTGTTGGAATATTGTTTGATGTCTGCAATGTTGTTGTTCAACTCAAAAACTATTTTGTGTGTTGTTTCCAAATATATTTATTCGTTCTAAACTTTTGGTTTTAGTAATATGAAACTCTATTTTAACATTCAAAATTATTCAAATTTAAATAAATGATAGTTTAGTATATAACCGTGCCAATGCATGGGTTCAAAACCTAGTTTTTTTTTTTAAGTAATTATTTATTAGGAGGTGATTTTGCCGAAACAAATTCTAGCATCCAAAACAAAAATATATTCTTTTTCCAAAATTATTCCTATGAGTCAAAAGACTTCCTCCTCTCTATTCTCTCTCCCATACGTCTCTCTGATTTTGTTTTCTCAATTTTCAACACCCAAAAGTCCACACATTGGACTGTTCCACGAGGCTCCAGCTATATCAATTTAGTCCCAATGCAAAGTAAACTCTATAGGATATAGCTTGCACTAAGAACAAACAACATCAGTCATTTCTGCTCAAAACTTTAGAGCAAGGAGTTACCGAATTCAATGAGAAAGATGTAATTCAGAAAGTTTAGACGAAGTACGAGCATCAAATTCAACACATTGCAGTTTTGTACATAGAAGTTTTTTAATTTAAAAAAAAAAAATCTACCAAGCAAAGGACGAAAGTAATTTTTTTTTTTTTAAAAAAAAAAAATCTATTATTGAAATCTCAATCAAATTGAAGCAAATGACTTTATCTGGTGACTGGATCTTTAAATCTTGATTATGGTGTTCGGAGATGACAGCCGCGATTTAACCCAGAAAAAAAAGGGCTATGTGATCACTGGTGAAATATTCTTAAAATTCGTTCCAAGAGAAAAACATTGCGAACAAAAGATTATTGTTATACTGCATGTCCTTGAAAGTAACAAATTAAAATAAATGAATAGAAACGGGTAAAAACTAAATACATAACAATTTTATGATTTTTACTTCAAAATTTATAAAGAGAAAAAATTTGATTACAACCACGTATTTTTTAAATATGGAGTGACAATCTATCTCACAAAAAATTACATAATTGCGATTCCGTGAAATTACCATCCTAGCTATGTATCACAATTCAATGTGAATTATATTTTTGAAACTGAGTAAGTATGTTTTTTTCTTCTGAGCAAGTACGGATCAATGTATCTTTCAATGTGATTACTCCTATTTTCAAAAATCTTTATTTCACACAAATACTCGAAAAAAAATCATAACTGGCACAACGTTTGGGCCGCCCGCTAGTTACTACTATTCTATATATGCAAGGGAATTTGAAATAATTTTAGTATTAATTTGTATCTTATAAATAAACTAATATAGACTATTTAACTTGTTTATTTATTTATTTTTTTCAAGATTTCAACATCAATTTCTTCTTTCTGTCTATGACAGTTCTAACTGATGTTCAAAATGATGGTCATAAGGATTTTAACAATATTTTGAAGATGAAAACATTGGGTTTGATTTATTGTCAATGTTTTGTTGTTATGAAGCAATATTGGGTGTTTGATTTATTTTTCAACGTTCTGTTATTTTCAACGTAATAATATGCTTCATTTGATAATTTCCAGTTGAATTAGTAATAACAAATACTCCCACTTTATTTAAATTAATATCAAAAGCACCCCTTTACCGGCGAAAGTTAGAAGTCAACCGGTGAAATCAACAAAATGACCAAAAGTCCAAGTGAATTCGGCCAAGTCATATACTCCCCTCCATTCTATTTCAATAATCTCACTTTCCCTTTTGCGATGTTTCAAAACTTAGTCCCACTTCAGACAATTAGCTTTTTCGATAAATACCCTTCCTACTTTCACTGAAATCAAGAACATTTAATTAATTTCAACTATTACTCTCTCATATCAACTAATAACTCACTGGTCATTAATAAAGGTGTAGTAAAAATTTTATTTAAAATTAACTACATAAACTACATTACCCACTTTTCCTTAATCCATGTATGTGTTTAAATGGGCTTATTGAATTGGAATGGAGGGAATATTTATTTTTATTTATATTTTTTTTTTCTCAAAGAATAAACCATACAATAAAAGACCCAAACAAATGCTCCAATACATGGACGAATTTTGTTTTGGTCAGTTTGCTCCCAGGATATCCATTTTCATTCGCAGTCTTTGATAGTTGACTACCCAGTCAAGGGGTGTCTTTGATATTTCTTTAAAATATGAGTGTATTTTAGCTATTCAGCCTAAACCTCGGGGGTGTATCTGATATTAACCCTCTACAGTTTTCAGTTTTCACATCCGATTTCCACCTATTCATTTTCCAGCTCGGCTCAGTCTTGCTACTGGTGGTGCGGCCGTGACGCAGGGTGAGGCGGTTGAACGGAGCTGGCGAAGAACTGGTAAGCACCAATCCATAAATTTTTTTTTATTGATTTTCCGATTGACCAATAGAATGAGTATACAAGTAAAGTTTTTTTTTTGTGTTAAATTCATTTAATATAAATTGTTGGTTATGCTGGAATACGGCTTGCGTGAATCCGATTTCAATCAGTTGCAGGATTCCAGTTTCTTAGGGTTTTGATTGGAGTTGAGGTTAGCCATTTTGATTTCTAGCTGCTGAATTGATTTCGCCGGTGCCTCATTTGGTGCTTCATTTTGGTTATTCCTTAGAGGATTACTATTCAATTGCTTAATGTGTTTCATAGAGACCTTTCGTTGTATTGGTAATTGGTTCTGGAACTTTGTTTCATAGAGACCTTTAATAACTATATATGTAGGCTTACACTTTTCAGTTTGATGTGAGACTTGTAAGTCTTGTAATTGATTGTGCTCTATTCTTGTTCAGAGAACTTGTGAGTTTGCTCTTTTTATGTTGGTTTCGGCGAATTCACTCCTGCATTAATGTTTAAACATATCCTCTTTATAGTTGCTCCCGTTGTTTCAAATGAGCTAACTACTTTAGCTATGTTCGCTGTTACACCTAAGCTTAAAGTGCGAAAATCCCTTATAATTTTCTTATTCTAGGGCATATTGAAGGGTCTCCCTAGGAATGTCAAGGTTTCGTGGATTATGGCAAGCTTCTGTCAATGCTACTAAACGAGGTACTCCCTCCGTGCTGAAATAAATGTTGTTGAAGAAAATTGGAAAAATTCCAAAATAAGATTGTTCTCTATTTATGAATGCAAATTTTTTGTCCAAACTTTCGAAAATCACCATCAAAAGTAATTACATTAATGATACCTCTTTGTTTTATTGGGGTAGGTTACGAATAATTTAGTACTAATTTGAATACGGTAATTGAATGCTCCTTAAACTTTGTGAAATTCGTTTAATGACACTTACTTTAGAATGGAGAGAGTACTACGTTAGTGTGCTACATGACTCATAACTGTCATTGGGATCAATATACATAGCATATATGCTTTCTGCTTGCTGTCTTTGAATAATTTTGAGTTCTTGTCTGGTTCTACTGGCTTTTTTGAGCAGTTCTTATTAGTTATCACTTATTTGTTCTTTTCGCATTTTGTAGCTCTGACATGGAATGTTGATGACTGGGCTCCTCCAACTGAGAAGTACATATTCTCTTTCAGTTCCAAGGATGAGCTCAAAAAATGGCATTTATACTCAGACTCTGAATATGGAGGTTCGTCTTGAAAATACTTATACTATCATTGCGGTTTGTTGTGGTTTAAGTGTACTATATGGGCATGCAGGATCTAATACATTTCGCGTTATAATTTCCCCAGGTTTGTCCTCAGCATCTCTAGAAATCAAGGATGCTGAAAGTGCATCAAGTTCTACCGGTCCGTAATATTGCAATTTTGATTTTGATTTTGATTTTTATGATGATGAGGATTTTTCAGTGTTTGCTATCCATGTTTTCTTTGTATCATTATTGTAGATTATTTCCCTTGGGGGCATTTGCGAACAACAAAACTTAAGTTATAGAATGCCTGAGAAAAAAGAAATGTTATTTTCTTTGAGAAACTGGGATATAGTTGTCTTGTTTTACATGGGCGTTTGAAATGATTCCATTTTCTTTTATTAGGTGTATTTTCGGGGAATCTATCTACTGATATCTCTGAGGGTACAAAATGGAATATGAGTCGAAGTGGCTTTTGTGGAATGCGTTCTAAGAAGGTGCAAATATCTTCCAGCTTACTCTGAACATGCAGTTGCAATCTATCACTAGATTTTTATCTTATTGTGCTTTGTTTCAATTCTTATCCTCTTTGACCCTCCAGTTTGATGGATTTATTGACTTGGAATCATATGATACGATAGCCCTGAAACTTAAAGGAGATGGAAGATCCTACATTTCTACGGTGAGTTCCTCAATTTGCATAAGTTCCTGGAAAAGGAAGAGAGGGGAAGGGTGTAGGGAGAGATTTGTATGTGAAAAAAGTGTTGAAAGTTGGATACCACTTTAATCAAGTTTGGGTGCAGATTTATACGGAAAATTGGGTAAATTCTCCTGCACAACTTGAAGATAACTCGTGGCAAGCGTTTGTTTTTGTACCTAAAGACAACTGGTATATAGCCAAGGCAAGTCCCTGGGTTTTATTGCTTTGAGATCACATGATTTGTCCCCAAAACATCTATTGATCCATGTTAAGCCCTACAATGTGCTTTTGTAGATACCTATTTCCCGATATCTTCCAACGTGGAGAGGGAATGTGATCGATGCAAATTTGGAAATGAATCCATCTAGAGTTGTCAGCATGTCTCTATCGGTCAATGCTGGAGGTGGAGTTCCCGGTTCCAGGACCGGTTCAGGTGATTTTCGTGTTGAAATTGAATGGATCAAAGCCTTGCGAACCATGCAGTGATTTGTAACTAACTTTTGTTGGACATACATCAATTGTCTGCAAGCAAGGTTTACATCTCATACTATGGCATTGGGAGATGGACAGTTTTCCCCTCATGTTCAAAAGAGCTAGTTTTGTCTAGTAGAATAATTGAAAATCATATGTTTGGTAAGTTTCTATTGACTGAAAATGAAGTTCATCAAAATTGCATCCTTTTTAGGTTACTTTATTCAAAATATGGAAGCTTTGGTAGAGGAACTGTGCATTAACAGATCAATGAATGTATGCTTCTCGTTTTTGTGGTTTTCAAATATAGTAGTGTGTGTAAGGAGAAGACTTGACAAAATTCTAACAAAAGATCTTTGGTCACTTTCACTACCAAAAAAGAAAAGGAAGAATCGATGCTTCATTATGGACTACTAGTTATTGTGCCATTTTAACTAAGATAGCCGAGATACTATTTAGAAAAAGGCCAGGGAAAGCAAAACAACCACACTGGCTGCATTGGACACGTGAGTTCCAGGAGCTTCCTAGGCCTTCTGTGGCTGAAAGTCACGTGGGCTTTTTCGGCAATTTTCTCGAGCACTAATTCATAAGTCTCATTCTTAGGACCACTTCTTGGGTGGATGAATGGATGGATGGATGACATGCTTGAATTGAAATGTAGTTTAGAAGCTTCTTTTCTTCAGCTGTCAATTCATCAGACAGTTTGTTTTTCAGTCTCCAATCTAATGATTTAGTTTGAGAAATTTGACTTTGTTGTCTTAAATGTGTAACATTTGCACTAGATGTGTGATGAAAAATGGTTAATGTTGATCATAGTTACATTAGTAGCCTAGGGCAGAAGCTAATATGTCACTGAACTACTGGAGTGCTGTCAAGAAGTCCTAGATTTGTGATGGTCCCAGGAATCTAAGGAAGTATAACTTTTGGTTTGTTGTTACTTGTTACCAGTTTGTGGATCAGGTGGAATCTCCAGTCAGTTTTTTTCCAGAGTTTTTGAGAAGAAATATGAACTTTTTTTTTTTTTACTTGGGGTTTTTACAGTTTTGAATCAGTCAGCCATTCCATTCATTCATTCACTCATGGTGGAGCTGGGAATTAAAAGCAAGTTGGATTAGGAACATTGCACCATACATATGCATGGAGTCAGAAAAATAATTGAATTGTTTGCTTTTAGTTCATTCATTCCAGTAGAAAGCATTACTTTTTTTGCAAGTTGCAAACTGCAACTCTCTTCAACTGCAAGTTGATGGTAGAGTAATTGCTGATTGGCTTAATCCACCTTTTTTCAGAAAAAGATGGTAAACGTTTTCTACCAGGTTCTTTTTAGGCTTTTAGCACTTAAATGTACGTTTGTACACTAGCAGTGTCGTATTCCTACTGTTTAAAAGAAAAAGGGTTCCCAATTTGCGTTCTCTTTTTCTTTTCCTTTGTTGTGCAGAAGAAGTAAAAAAGGGAGAGGAAAAAAAAAAAAAAGGTGATTTGATAGACAAGATATTGCAACTTAATCAAATGGGGTCAACTTTGTTTTCCAAATAAATCATCATTCAATTCATAAAGTAAAATGCATTGTCTATCTACGTAGACTACGTACACTAAATATGATGGGGGTTGTTTGACATGGTTAAGGGGTTGATCAAGTTGATTAAACAACCCAAAAAGGTAGTCATCTTTGTTCATTGATTGCTTTTATACTCTACTGATTAACATATATTTTCTGTGAAAGATGCATTAAAGGGATCTACCTCACATCTTTTTACAACTTGTTAGAGTTCAATTCGTTACTCCTCCGTCTAATAATATTTGGTTGTAGTATTATTTTTGTTGAGTAAATAAAATGAGGTGGAAAAACTATCATAATGTACTTCGATATCGAGTCTAAAGCATATTTTATTTGCACCACAAGTTGGTTCTTTGATATTAATAGTATTTACCCGTTCATGTAAAATATTTCTTTCATATGCTTTCTCTGTCTTAAAATTATTGTCCAGTTTGAAATTTTACTTTTAGTACAATTTAAACTACAAATTAAAATTTAAACTGGACAAATAATTATAGGATAGAGGGGATACTTATTTAATTGATGAATACATTGGACGTTTATTTTGAAATGTAACGAGGGCTCGCTGCATTTTTTCGAAATACAGCACAACTAGAAAATAAATTCTGGTCTGGGGTGTTACCATCAAGCACGAATTATGCCCAAAATTCATTCTACTAATTTTTGAACGCCAGTTGCATCGGAGTGGACCCGAATACCTTTTCCTAAATCAAATCAGCCCCCCACACCCAACATCATATAGCTTAGGTTTTCACTAACAACCATATTTTTACATCATTATTAGCATACACCTTTTCTCCTCCTTAAAATAAAATACCCATCAAATCAGATATCACATCACCCCTCCAAGAAAAACAAAATAAAATAAAATAAACGTCCCAAACAAATACAGTTAATTCAGAACTTTCTGGAGCCACTACAAGAGTAGGGAAGAAATATCTACCTCCACAAGCCCAAATCACAGCCGTTCATCCAACACTATCCTTATCCAACCCTTCCAAAAGAAATTATTATTAAAGAAAAAAACAGGAGAAAGTTTCATTTTTTAGTTTTACTTTACTCAACCAAGTTGCAACAAAATTTTTTTAAAATTTCCCCTCCATTTATATAAATAAATAGTCTTTTGCTGTGTGCTATGTTTTTTTCTGGATGGTTCTGTAGCCTTAGCGTGAAGGGAGCTCATTTTGTTTCTCTTTTTTTTTTTTGGCCTATCTCCAATGCTTTGCTAAGGTTCCGTGTCCATTTCCCATTTCTTCCCTTCATTTGCATCATCTTCAAAAGCACCTTAAATTAGTTCCACTTGAACGATCGGTGGGTCTTCTTAGTATTTGTTAAATTTGTCGGCGAGAGAAAAAAAGGGTTTTTTTCTTAGTGTATACAACATTTGCATCGTCTTCTTTCAATTCCGGCGGAAAGAAATTGGGTTGCGGTGGGTTGTTTTGAGTTGGGAAGTTCGAATTTGCATTCATTTTGTTGGCGTTAAAAGGAGTATACTTTGGGGGCAAATTTGGGCAGCATTTCGACCCGTTGAGCATGCATGATTCAGTCGCTTTTCTTTTTCCTCTTCGGTGAGTTGCGGTGAAGCTGAAATTGGATAAATTGATGGGGGCAGAGGAGGAGTTTCAGTACTCTTTTTCATTTGGTTTTGAGTGAGTGTTTCTCTTTTTGCAGCATCCTTTTTTTAAAAATTTTTTTTTCCCTATTTTGGGCGTTGATCGTGCGAAAGATTGAATTTTGTGAGCTTTAATTGTGCGAAATAGTGGTTTTTTAATCTGGGGGGTCGAAATTCGTTGGATTCGTTTACAATTCGTCGACAATTCAGAACAATTTTTTCAGAGTCTTTTTTGGCCGGGTAATTTGTGATAATGGCCGGAGAAGGAGGTGGCGGAGGGGCGGATTTCTATGCGGTGCTTGGATTGAAGAAGGAATGCAGCGCTTCAGAAATCAAAAGTGCTTACAAGAAGCTTGCCCTGGTTAGAACTCATTCTATATACTGCATTTCCTCTGTTTCATTAATTCATTTTCCGGCCCTGTGATTGTTGTTAGAGAAAAAAACCCCCCAAAAAGAACATTGGAATTGGAAGGAAAAGGAAAAAAAAAAGAAAAGAAAAGAAAAGGGGAATGATGTTTGTTTGATGGATTTGCTCGTGAATGTGTCAATTTTGGTGGAATTAGTGAAAATTTTCTCATTTGATTCGATGATTCTCGCTTGCCCTGTTCAAGAATCCATCTTCAAGTTTTTCCTACTCCAGTTGGGGCATTTTGATGAAGTTCTCCCTGCCACTTTGGATTTTATGGAAAAAAAAATCATAATAAAGTTGGAACTTTTTAGTTTATTCTTTGCTAATTGATGATGGTGATTTTTTACCAAGTTCCTCTGGTCTGACGGTGAAATTTTTCTTTTTATTATATTTAGCACTGGGATTATTTTGGCTTTAATGCAGAAACTTCTCCTCTATAATGCTGTTATTTTTCTTCTTTTTTTTTTTTGGCCAAATTTTTTTCCGGTTTCTCTGATATAGAAGTGGCACCCAGATCGTTGCAAGGCCGAAGATGCCAAGAAGAAATTCCAGGCAGTCCAGCAAGCCTATTCCGGTACAATTCTTCTTTTCTTTTTCATTTCTTTTCTCTCTTTTTTTTTCCCCCTTTCAAGATTATGGTATAAGAATCGAACAGTACTTTTAATGAAATTAAGAATGATGGAGATTCTCCTTGCTTTGCTGTTTTTTCCGGCGGTGATTTCTTTGAAACAGTGCTGTCGGACGAAAGCAAGAGATTCCTGTACGACGTAGGAATCTACGACTGTGATGATGACGACCAAGACGCAAATGTAAGTCTAACCGGAAAATCAAAACCGCTCTCCCCTCTTTCTTATATTTCGAGTGGTGGTTTTTATTTTTCTATCGCTTCTACTTTTTTTTTTATTTTTTTATTTGCTTTTAGTTATTGTTAATGTAGAATCGAAGTAAAGTGAGTTTAAAAATAACATGTGAAAAAGTTGTAAGGTGAAAAGGAGTTAGGAAGAATTGTGCATTTACAGTGCCACAATTGTTGGAGCTGAGAGTTTTCGTATGTGATTTGGTTCTTAACAAAAGATATTGTAGTTTATAATGATAAAATTAGGTTTTGGTTTGCTGAATGTTTTTGGGGTTTTCCAATGGAATTCAGGGAATGGCGGACTTTGTGAATGAAATGGTGGACATGATGAGCCAAATCCCATCCAATGTGAGTTGCTTTTTTTCCTTCGGTTGAATTTGGAATTGAATTGTGTGAATACTTCTGTTTGATTTTGTACACCATTAGCCATAACGATCAATTTTCGACCCTGTTGAAATGTAGTTTTTGCATTGACAGGAAAACGAGGAGGACTCCTTTGAGAAACTGCAGGAGATGTTTGAGGAGGTGTTCCAAGGGGACCTAGGGTTCAGTTCTTTTTCATCATCTTGCTCCTCCCGAAGCGAGACACCATCATCAACTACGTGCTCGACTTCGTCGCACACATCTGGTAGCATTGATAGTGGGAATTCTACTAGCCAGAACAGCAACAACTTCAAGCGGCACGCTCCCGGAACAAGCTCTTACAGCTTCAATCCTCATGCCGCTACTCAATTCGAAGGATTTTGCCTAGGGGTTGGTTTTTAACCATCATTGTCATTTATGCCTATATGTATGCATTTGTTTTACCGTCGTAACTTTGTTGTTTGTATTTTGGCTGGTTGGCGCAATTTTGAAGAGGGAGGGAGCATCCGGGAGGTGCCGGGAAGAGAAGAGGAGCCGGAGCAAGAACCTGGGTGGCAGGGGTAGGAAGCAATAGGATGGCATGAAGCAGAAGTAGCTTGTGTAATTGTACTAGTCTCGATGGAGAGCATTTCGGAATTGAATCATAGGTCAATCCACAGTTACTGTAATTGGGAGTTTTTGTTGTGGGAACAAAGAAGTTCAGTACTTGCTGGACCTAATTCGCCAGAATTAATGTCAATGACTAACCACAGGATAAAAGAGGTTAATGAATTAAACTTAATCAAGTGGTGGACTAATTACGTGCATTACCGATTATTTAAGGGGGAAAATCACTTGCAGAGTTGGATTTTCTTTTTCTTTTTTTCATTTTGTCTGATGTTTAGGAGTGAGGGAACAAAACTACAAAAAGTTAACAGAAATAAGTGAAGCTTAATTATTGATGAACTTAATTAATATAGTATTTGGGGAAGGTTTGGGAGAAAGGATGATCCGGAGTGGTGGAATATGATAGGACCGGACCATGTTGGCCACTTGGTTTTTAACCCAGGTTGCCAACTTGCCGGCACCTGAACCTTCTTCTTCTTTTGTCCGAACCTAGCGTGGGTCCCGCTTCACATTCGTGGCTGAGTCAGTCAACTGCTCTGACTCCCATTCCCTGGTCCAAACAATGCACCAATCCGAAGCTCCGAATCCAGAGCTTTTTCTAATTATTCTTTTACATTTTCTCGATCATTTGTTTATCTGTTTTTAAAAATAATGATAACAAAAAGATAGAGCACGAGCCGTGCACGTGAATATCGAGTGTAAAAGTTGATTCATGCTTCAAATGCCATTGAGAGCTTCTGCCCACAGTTAGAGGGATTCGCTAAGTTATGCACACACAAAATAGTCATTTTTCAAATCTGGTTATTTTATGTAATAAACTTTTTGGAGTGTGGGGAGGAAGAAAAAAAGTAGGAAATGGATGGGTGATGAGGATATCCGTGCAAATTGCAATTTAAAAATCATACATACACTGTGGATCTTTGCAATACCTCAATTTGTGTTATATTTTCTTTGTCCCAAAAAAAAAATAACAGGTTAGTTTTAAAATTTATACTAATTAAAACTCATATTTTAATTTTAATTTTTAGCAGAGGTGAGTAGCTAATTGCCTAACTAGCTAGCTAGCCTGCTTTTTTTTTTCTTTAAAATGAATCCCCTCAACCTAAATTAATTCCTCAAAAGCTTTTTATAAATACCATGCCAAGCCTTCGTCTATACAAGAATTTTCTTTTCTTATTTTATTAATAAAGCAGTGGCACAATAATTATGACTTCTATTTTGATAGTGTGAGCATTGAACTTGCATTTGAAGGTGGTGAAAGAAAGATGTACGTAATTATCGTATTGGATATCTCGATGGGATTTAACTAAGCAATAAGCCGTGTTGATATAGGTGAACCAACGGTTTCAACTTTAGATTTAGTAACCAACAACAAGTGAATACCACATGTAGTTTCAGTTTCAGGAAATTAATAAAAGACGACCTAACGTAATAACTTTGATTTGTAGGTGAACTGAATTCAAATGCACAAATCTTCAGCTTGTTCTTCTTCTCTTCTGCAATGGACGTCTCATATATGCCAGAATCTGACCATATGGGTTACAGTGTGAATAACGATCAATCGTTATTAGTTATTACCTATCTACATACATATAAAGTTACAAACAAATTATTTTATATACACTTGCGAATTTGTCAGATGATTATGAAAATGACAGACTAACTTATTTGATTAAGAAAGTTCACTGAAACAAAAGTCAGCAAGTGGACAACTTGCTCGACATGAGCTCGTGATCGGATATCCCCTTTGCTATTAAATTATTGTCTAATTTGATATTTTACTTTTAGTACAATTTGAACTAGAATTAAAAACTTAAACTGGACAATAATTATGAGACGTAAGGAGTACTACTAATTTCTTTAAAAAATGTTATCAATTTCGAATAGAAATATTCTGAAAACTCCAACTTGCTCCCGTATTTCTAGACCCATCCACCCTCTGTCCATTTGTGTTCAAGACATCAAAGAAATGTCATTTTTGAAACCACCCAAAACCACGGGAACTAATGACTATGAATTCTAGAGTTGTCTTGACTGGTTTTATCCCCTGTTATATAACCAGACACACACGCACATTCATTCTTATCTAGCCGGTGATTGATTGACACCAATAAGTGTCATATTGACAAAACCGAATTAGAGGAATGATTTTAATTTAACGATTAATAAATGCCACGCTCCCTATTCTAAATCGTTGCAACATGTACAAATTAAGTAAAAATTAAAATGACAACATTACATCGAGGTGTCTATAATTTAATGAGAAGAGATAATCATTGTTATAAAAGATAAACACTCCGTAAACGAGCATATGTGTTTGAGCCAGAGTCGAGAGAGCCATTTTAATTATATTATTTGATGTGACGTAAAATAAAATGTTGTTGATGTATTTTCTTCTTTCCTTATCCTTTTTGTGGTGAAAATCGCAAAGGCGGAATCCGCTACTTGTTAACACAATAGCTTCAGCCAACGATGAGTGTTACAACTTCATATTCATTGCTTACTCGGTTCCACGAGAAAGAGTTGTGTTTGACTTACAAACTAACGAAAAAAAAAAAAACAGACTTCTACAAGTATTTGGGAAAAGGACAAATACCCCTCTGAGTTATGTCCAAAGACAAATACCCCTGACATTTACTATAAGGACAAAAATCCACCCGAGTTATGTCCAAAGGACAATTTTTCCCCTGCATCAGTAAATTTCAGTGCAAAAGACAAAAATACCCTTAAAGTTATTATCTTTTTCAAAACTAAACCTTCCCTTCAATCAATTTGTTTATTTTTTCAAAATTATGAATTCTATTATGTGTCATTTTAAATCCGTCGCTGACTATGTTTTGATGCATTATTTCTCCCTATCACTGTCGTATCAATAAAAATAAATTTGAGAGTGAGAATTTAATCTATCAAAACCATAAATTCTATTTATCGAATTTATAATTTTGATAATTTTAAATACAATTCCTGGGTATCGAATTTATGATTTTGATAAATTAAATTATAATTCTCTGGTTTATTTATATTGAGAAATAAATAGAATTTATGGTTTTGATAGATTAAATTATCAATCTCGGGTTTATTTTTATTGAGATGGCAGTGAAATTGAGAAATAATATAACAAAACGGAGTAGCTGCGAATTTAATTGGAGCCAAATTTTTTAAGGATTTTTAAAAAATAAAATAAACGAATTGATTGGAAGATAAATTTGGTCTTGAAAAAGATAATTTCTAGGTTTAAGGGTATTTTGTCTTTTCGCACTAAAATTTACTGCAAGGGGAAAATTATCCTTTAGACATAATTCGAAGGGTTTTTGTCTTTATGGTAAATGTCAGGAGGTATTTGTCCTTTGGACATAACTCAGGGGGTATTTGTCCTTTTCCCTAAGTATTTTGGTAATGGACGAGTGCAATATTTTTCCCGGGAGTATTAGTTGTAGTATATATATTTTTCTTATAGTTTAACAATTTCTAAACCTTTCTTATCATCACTCATCAGTGCATTACTCATTTACATATTCCATCCGTCCCATAATTATTATCCACTTTGAGTTTTCATTTCTAATGCAAATTATACTAAAAGTGAAATCTCAAAGACAATAATTTTGGGATAGAGGTAGTAAACAAATAAACTACCGTACATACTGACTACTGTAGTTGATCTGCTAACGAATTAAACCAAGCCCATCGGCTTTGCTAGAGAAATCCTATTTGGGCTTCTAGAAGTGACTGCTAGCTATATTAGACAAAATTTCCAAATATCAACAAGTAGTCTACACGTAACATTTGGTCTTCTTTTTACAATATTTCCAAATATCAACAATATTCTTTTTACATGAATATGGGCCTTACTTATGGACTCCTTCTGGTCCTTATTATACTAAGTCATTTTAATTTGTACTAAATTTATCTTAAGTTTCATCTTAAAAATATTTTCTAATAATTAAGAGAACGCGAATGTAAAAATATACTTTCAAATTTTTTTTTTTCAATTAAAAATACATCTTAAATGGAATCTAAGATAAAATCAAAATGTCTTTTAATAAGGAGCGGAGGGAGTATAAAGTGCAAAATAAGTTAGACACGGAGAAAATGTCCATCTTCATTTTATTTTCTATGTTGGGATGCCATTTTCCACGTCATTGTGATTGATTAAAAGTATGGTTTAAACTGGATCAGAAAGATAATTAGGTAACACTTTAAAAACATTCTCGTTTCTCAACCTTATCCAATGACGTGGTAAATCGGAGAATAATGAGCCTTCTTCCATCGCCCCGGCTTCTAACAGTTGACCGGCTTGCAACAATGCATTGAAAAATTCAACGGCCAAATCTACAACGAAAGCTTGTCGTTTCCCTCATTTTCTTCCGTCCAAAATAATAAAAAATATATATATATATGGAGGGTTATATTATTGTGTTTTTGTGAAAAATGTGATTCTTGATTAAAAACTTTTTTTAACCGGTGGTGGTAAATCTTGGAAACACATAAGTACTACGTAAGTGGTAACTGCCTCAGTAAATTTGAATGGTCCAAAATTACAAAAGCCGGATGCAACCCTTCATTTCCCAAGCCATCGGAATCACTCCCCTCCATCAAACTTACTACTATCACCGTCCTTGTTCTTCCTATAATTACCTCCAAATTTCCCCCATAAACCAGTTTTCACCCTTTTTTTTTTACCACTATTGGTTTTTCGATAAAATTAAAAAACATAGTTTTATAGTTTCCCATTTCTCTTTGTAACAGTCGTTTATAGGTTGGTATCACCAACGTATTACCCCCCCCCCCAAAAAAGAACAATGCTGTAAATATTATAATAATAGAGTTAAAATTAAACCGTAAGAAAAAGTCAGTGATCATCAGTGATTCCATCACCTTATCTCGGTTGTTACAAAAGAATTATTATTAGTAATTAAATTAGATCAGATATTTTACTACATTTTTTATTTTCTCACTTTTAGAATCCAAATTATGGGTTTTCTTCACAAGTTATGGGACGAAACGCTTGCCGGCCCAACGCCGGAATCTGGTCTGGGCAAACTCCGCAAGTACAATTCCTTCTCTGGATCTCGTTCTTCTTCCTCGCCGGTGCCGGAGGGGGCGAGAGATGACGCTCTAGTCCCCATATCCAGGAGCATCACCGTCCTCCGTCGTGGAACTCCGCCAACTGTGGATGTCAACCTCGCCGGAGATTCTACCGGATCCGTCCCTTCCTCTCCTTCAACTGCTTCCGCCACCCCTACTTCCCCGTTCTCACGTAAGGATCTTCACCCGATCCCCATCTTTTTCGGTTAATCCGTTGGAAATGGATTTCTCATGGGATTTATTTACATTTTTAGAAATTTTTTTTTTTGTAGCCGGTGCTCCTGGTCATGGCGGTCCTTTCAAGGAGCAGACCCGGAGGAAAATAAATCCGGCTTCCGGCCCAAACCACAACGGAGAGCCCAGAAGCCCAACTCCTCCTGACTACGATTCTTATTGGTAACGTTCTTCATTTCTTTCCCCCTTTGGTTCATCTTTGGATCGTGCATTCAACAAATTCGTTTGACTAATCACCACATTTTTTTGTTTGTTCCTTACAATTTTCAAGGTGAAGAAAGGATTCAAGATATACTTTCTCGTTCTAAAATTATTATTCAATTTAATTTTTTAATTTTAATACAAATTGAATTAAAAATAAAAGTTCAAATTGGACTATAATTTCGGACGGACGAAATATTGAATTTACCTTGTATATCATATATTCATACACAGTATACAAGTGCAAACATAATGGAGAAAAAAAAACAGTTTTTCGTGCATCCATCTGAATCTCAAGCTCCCTATATGTTGCTTTGAATTTGGTTTTGTAGGAGTAATTCTTATACGTTTGTTTTCTTGTTGTGATGTTATATTTTTGCAGGATTGTGCTAAGTCATGCTTTGGATCGATCCTAAATGAACCACCCAATCCCAAACCAAATAAAAAAACTACAATCACAAAATAACATAACTGCTCAACTAAATTAAGGTCAATCGTATTTTGTCTCCCTTTTTTGTACATAAGATGTAAATAGTTCTGTAAATATCGAGTTGCCCATCCCCCTGGATGAATATGCATAAGGTGGGTTGAAAAAGAGTGATGGTATTAGCTATATGATAAACACACCCCCAAAAAAAAAAAAAAAAAAAAGAGTGATAGTAACTAATTTTTCTTTCTTTTTTTTTTCTTTATGAAGAAATGAATCTCTATCTTGCAAAATAGGGATTATTAGAACCTTGGATTTTCGGTACACATGCCTAAAAAATTAGTAGACTGCTTTGCATTAGGGGAAAAAAAATGTATCCTTTGGTTTTTTGTTTTTTCATCATTCCCTCGTAGTGGGAAAAGTTGTGTACATAAAAATAGTGTCGATGTTGCTGAAAGTAGAGATTTGTATCCTCTCTCGGCGACAAGTTTGTACGAACATCTTCTCCTGTATATAAATAAAACAAAGAAGTGGTTTTTACTCGTGTATATATAAATTCCAGTTTCATGTAATTATAGGATTTTGGAAGAATGGAGTATTGTGATTGAGGTTGTGTTCTAGGGCGATTTTTGTATTAGTATAAAAGTCATGGGAAAATAAACAATTGTCCGTTAGACATCCCACCGTGTTTGACGAAAACTACTTATTCGGAAAAGCTTTAACGACATGGAGTTGATGAACACTATTTTCACATACAAAACGTTTTATTTCCCTCCTCCTCCTCCTCCTCCCCCTTCCGGGTTGAACAATGATGCTGTGTGCGCAGATTTGTACTCCTTTCACGAGAGCATTTCCAATCAAATCACGAAAATACAGTATAATTAACTCTAAATTTCAATATCTATATCGATTGTTTTTGTAGTCATTAGATCCCAACCCCACAACTCTAACCCTGACACGAGAGCAAATATTTGATGTAACTTATATTAATGGCATTCTTATTTGAGTGGATTGAGTTTTTTTTTTTTTTTTTGGGCTGCACCTATTGGTGCTTTAGAAATACTTAGACTATTACAACGGGAATAGAGCCTACTAGGAAAGGAAATAGTACTACTAGGGGAGACTCGCGTGCACTTCTTGCTCGGACGGTCCGGTCCTCCGTGGCCGATGATAGCAAGTCTCCTGCCTGCTTAAACTGGTTGCTGGCTTCCCCCTTTAGCTGTCTGCTTCCCGCGTCCGCGGCAGGAATCAAACCCTAAAAGGTACAACGCCCTAACCACCAGGACACGACTCGATTCCTAGTGGATTGAGTTGATTTTAAAATAATGTCCAACATTTAGAATCGTTCACGAAAATATTGAGGACGAACATGAAATTTCAAAAAGTTTTGGGGACTATCTATAAAGATCGGATTTGGGGCGCCCTTTGGATTATTTCAAAAAAGAAAACACAACTCCACGACGCATACTAGGCACTCAACTCTTGTCTCATTTTCAAATTTCAAGAAATTCCGAGACCGGAAACATTATTAGATTTTGGGTTAAAGGCTCAATCTGCGAATCTCCTCGCAAACGCCGGAGCGGCCATCTCCTCCAGTTCCTCTGTCTTTGAATATGGCCGGAGAACCTGCTCCGCCGATTCGCTTCGTTTACGGACTACGGTTGCCAAAATTTTGGGCTTGTGATTTTGCCGTTTTCTTTTTGTTAATTTTTCAAATTAGGGTTTCAGTTTATGCTATTTCACAGGTGGTCAGTCCGTGAAGTTCGAATTTCGGTTTTGGTTGTCCATTAGAAGAATGAGACTGCAAGTTTTTACCATGGACAGGATAGCATTATTTTGGTGTTAGGCCATCTGATTTATCGAAGCCATTTATACATTTCGCTCTTTTGATTAAAGAAAAGATGTAGAATCTATGGGGGAAGAATGAAATTTCAGTGTGAGGATAGAATAAACCAGCATACAGCTTTTATTAAAAATACATAATTTCAGACTGGGCACTCAGCAATCAAGTTTTTTTTCCATCTACTGCTTCACATGTTGTTAAATTGTTTTTTTCTTGACTTGGTTCCCGTGGTGGTTTCATATCTTAGCCTTCCTGTTTCGTTTTGAATGTTAATATCCCAAGTGCAATGTTTCCATCTGTTTGCTATTTTTTGTGGACAAGAATAAGATTTTCTTTAATTGTGTCCAGAAAGGAAGTTCTCTGTCTACTGGTGCTTTCTTCTTTTCCTTCAACCTCAACACTCTATGCTTGAATAATGATTTGTGGCTCTGCTGAAGCCCGAGTTACGAGATGGATGATCTATTTTCACTTCACAGTACTCTAGTTGTTTTTATACCTGTAATGTAACTGCAACATTATTTACCTGGCGATCAGCTCACAATGCTGTTGTGTCACAGCTTCTTGGGAGAAGTAGCTGTTTTGAATTACCGCGAACTGAAGGCATTTGGCTTTGGAGTGCACCTAAAGGAACCGCGCTTGATGGATCCGAGTATAATCTTTAAGTGCTGGCTCACAATATCGTTTGAGCTGATGCATCTGATCAAAAGGTTAGTGTCTCCCCTGGTACGCTTCTTTGTGTACAACCCCTTGGCAGATTTTAGCTTTATGCTAAGAGTGGGCATAGTATTCTCCGATGATCAAGCCAGGTTGCAAAATGTGTCTTATCTATTCTGCAGAATGTTCCCCACCCATTTCCTTCAATGTAACCCTTTTTATGTTCTGCAATCAAACTTGGGAATTAAGAAAGAACTGTTCCAATACATCTAACTATCCGCCTTCCATCATTTTTGGGAACATATAGTACTCAGATAATCTCCTTGGCTGTACTCCTATCCTATCGAGTATAGTCATTTACAAACAGGTTAGTTTACACTGTGAATGAAACAGGCTGAAAGCTAAAGAAAGAGAGTGTCCCCTCACACCTTATTTTCCAGACTATTGAATTAGGTCTGCAAATTGGACCTCTGCCCAAGATGAGGATTTAATCTGACTGTAAATAGCTTTATAAATTATAATGAACAACGGCTATGCAATATAGAAGGATTTTCATGCACTGCAGCTCACTTGTGCAAAATTAACTTTACCTTTGGTTGGTCTTACTCTTATGCAGGACAGAGAGGAGGTTTTTTCGGGTCATGCTTCTGAGAAATGTAAAATTCTTCTTGCACTGAAATTCCATTCAGTTGAAGATGACATCAGTTTTCTGAAAAAAAACAGCTAAAAGCTGCTGAGGAACAGTCTGAATATTCGAAGCTTTATGAAGATGCCATCCTTGAGCACGAGAAGTGTGCCTATGAGTACACGGCAATTGCAGTACACTGGAAACTACTAGAACGTCCGAATCATTGGATTCAGCGAAGCAGGAGTTGGACGAATGGGATAAGCAGTATGAAGAGCAATCGTGTAGCAGAAATCTGCATAAGACCAGAGTGTCCACTGTTGGCAACAGTGACTAATCTTCCTCGCTCATGATAGGTACTTCAAAAAAAAACTGACTAATTAAACTAAATTATTCGTCCTATACCTCTGATTTTTTTAATTTTTTTTTTCACTTGCCTTCTTTATATTCTTGCACACTACCATCACCTTCAACCTCAATTTTTGCTGCAGTTTAGCAAACACAGTTTCAATGAATTTTTTTTTTGTAAATTGATCACATTCACATTAGATGAACAATGTAAAAATTGATACCGACGAACTATATCATCTGCACTCATTGTCATCTGCTTGTGTAACTCGAGTAAAAACTAGAAGCAACTTAAAAATCTTTGAAAAGAATACAATGTTGAGTTTTATAATTCGTATTTTAGTTTTGAAATGTTTTCTTATTTGTCGGTATCATTTAAAAGTCACAAAAATACTACTCCCTCCGTCCCAAAATTATTGTCCAATTTTACTAAAATGAAAAATTTTATTTTTTGTCAAACTTAATTATATTTTTACCTTAAACAACCGGATATATCTCTACATAAGTAATTGTTTAACCACTAAGATTTTATGGATAATGTTTTTTACTAAGGACAAATGTGTAACTTGATCCATAAAAAGTCAAATTGGACAATAATTTTGGGACAAAATTTTTTGGGCAAAGTGGACAATAATTATGGGACGGAGGGAATATTTATTTTTACACGATTTGTTTTTGTATCGATATTTTTTTGTTTTCCTAGAAAAACTAACAACAAATTCAGCAAAAGGTGAAAAAAATTATTATTTTTGGTATTATTTTCATAATTTTTTGATACATGTTTATGTGTTATAAATTAATTAACCGTTACTTACTTTTTTGTAAGATTCACAAAATGTTTTATTTGCGGCGAACCTTTCTCAATGAAATTCCGACGAGAAAGTCTACTTTACAACGAAATCCGAATTTGCAGAGCCGGCCCGATAATTTTAATTACCAAAACAACCCAACCGGTAAATGAAACACCAAACCCAAATGTCTTCGGTAAATCTTATCGCCAGCCGTCACCGTCACTGTCACCAACCCACGTTGTTTTAATTTCCCGTCGAACCAAAAACCGGTAACATTTGTCCGTGAGGTAGAAAAGAAAATAGTTTTTTTAAAATTTTTTTTGCCGTGTCCGTTCAAAAGTCGTCAGGCACGCATAATATTAACGCCCGTCATTAAATTCGGCCGGTCAACCTAACAAACGCACAGCCCTAAATCAAACAACCCTCTTTTCCTCTATAGCCTTCTCTCCCTCTCTCTCTCCTCTCTCTCTTCCGCACTTTCTCTCTCACATAGTCACACACTACCGCTTGATTTCTTATCAGATCGGAGAAACGGCGAACACCGACATGGAAGACGACGAGGAAGTTCAGTCTCATCCGTCGGGAGGGAGCAGATCTCCATCTCCGGGGTCTTCCACAACCCCTCCGCCGTCCTCGCGCTCCAACGGGAGGATAACGGTGACGGTGGCTGCAGTGCCGCAGCAGACACAGTCTCAGAACAACAACAACAACAACACCTTGACTCTGGCTTTGCCCATACAGCGCGGCAACAGCCAGCAGCAATCGGCGGGGACGAAGGCTGCCGGAGGTAGCGGCGGCGGCGGCGGTGGAGGAGGAAGGGAAGACTGCTGGAGCGAAGGGGCGACCTCGGTTTTAATCGACGCTTGGGGTGAAAGGTACCTGGAGCTCAGCCGGGGAAATCTGAAGCAGAAGCACTGGAAAGACGTCGCCGACATAGTTAGCAGCCGGGATGATTACAAAAAGACCCCCAAAACTGATATTCAGTGCAAGAACCGAATTGATACGGTTAAGAAGAAATACAAGGTGGAGAAAGCCAAGATCGCATCCGGCGGTGGGCCCAGTAAGTGGCCATTCTACGAAAGGCTTGATCATCTCATTGGTCCTTCAGGTAAGGTAATCTCAGGCCCTTCTTCCTCGTCTGCAGGCCTGCTGCCGTACTCTGGTAGTGGTGGTGGTGGTGGTAATAATAGTCAAAGAGTACCCATGGGGATTCCGATGGGAGTTAGATCAGCTCCCCCTGCTCAGCTCCGGCAACCGAAACATCAGCAGCTGTTTAGAAAACGGCAGCAGCCAGATTCCGACGAGGACTCCGACGACGAGGAGTCAGAACCAGAACCAGAGCCCTTCCGGAACTACACAGCTGATGATTTTCCTCCGGACAGGAAGCGGCCGAGGATGGTGATGACTCCATTGATGCCTCATAATTCGAGGACGGTGGTTCCCAGTAACAAAGATGTCCTGAAAAAAAGGGATCTTGGAGCCGGGGAGAAGAAGAACTATTCTGAGAGTCCAAATTCAGATTCGGTGAATGAATTGACTCAAGCGATACTGAAATTCGGGGAAGCTTACGAGCAGGCGGAGACCTTAAAGCTACAGCAATTGGTGGAAATGGAGAAGCAGAGGATGAAATTCGTAAAAGAGATGGAATTGCAGAGAATGCAGTTCTTCATGAAGACGCAGTTGGAGCTTTCACAGCTTAAAAGCAGTACTAGTAATAGTAGTAGTGGCGATGGTGGCGGTCCTGGGAGGAGGGTGGTTGGAAACAGTAACAATCACCACAACCACCACCGGGGTAGTAGTAATAATAATGCCAGTAACAACAATATTGGTGCTGCCAATCACAATGCCAATGACAACATAAGTGATAGCAGTAATTGAGTGATGGTGAGGATGTTGTTGATTGTAGGTGTAATCTTTTTAGGTTTAATGGTTTTAGTTAGTATGCATTGATCCTGTTTTCTTATGTAGAAGTGGAAGTATTGACCCATCTGTTGTGGAATTGACAAAGTGTATACCTGAATCAGTAGCTTTTAAGGAAACATCTGTTGTAGCCTGAATTAGTTGTCTTTCATGATTGGATAAGTTATTATCATTCAATGCTCAAACTGGAATCTGTGTGTTATCTTTATGGTTAGAATGGTTCCATTTTGATCTGTTTTTTTCTCTGGTGAGGAGTGGAGGGTTGGGAATCTGCATATTGCCTCCAGCAGTGACTCAAGCCCTCAACCTGTCTTGTAAAAGGGGATGGCTGTGTATGTGTCTTTCTGATAAGAGTAATTCAGGGTTTCAGGGGTGAAGATACTGCGCTTTTAGCCTTATTCCAAAGGGGCTTGTGTCATCCTGACCAATTTAAGGACATTCACGGGATGCTACTTGCATAACCTCTTCCTATTTGTGAAGGGCGTTCTCCGGAAACTTTCTGCAATGTCGAATTCTATATTAAGCATTGGGGAATTCAGAAGAAAGGAATGTGTCGAATTCATATGCTGCAGAATTGCATATGCACATATCTCTGGTAGTGGTTCGAGCTTCCTAAAGTAGTGAACCAATATAGTATAACCAAATAGCTACCAATGATGTTCAGCAGATTTGCGGAGTTAGGAAATGTAGTGAGTTTTCAGTACACATCTCGCAACATAGGGATCTTTCGGGTGTGGATCTCTGTCTCGATTGGAGTCCAGAATCATTCTCCATTTCTCCTACTTTTTTAATGTAAAGAGTGTAGACGTTACAACAATAACTGCTAGGGTGGTTTCAAACTTTCAATTAATTGTTTCTCTTTATGTCGGTATTGCCCAGTGGAACGAGCTGCATTGGCAGAAACAACTGCAGCAGACCTTTGAAGAAAGATTGGTCCAGTTTCCGTCTTCGACACACAGGTAGAGGAAGACCCCGTTTCTGTGTCCATGAGCCATGGCTGAAGTTGATCATCATTCAGGCACCAGCCCACGGAGTTTTCTTCTTCTCTTTCTTGCTGCTTCTTTATATAGCTGCTAACAGCATCCTTTTCCCAGAAACTAGAGTAATCCCCCATTTAAATGTCGAAAATGATCAACAAAAGAATGCGAGATCATCATCAATGTAAAACCTCTAGCAAGTCGCCAATTAAATCATGAAATATACAATTTATGGCGCGCTGATAAGTTGCACTAGCGTTCTTGAGATCGAATGGCATTACTTTTTATTGGAATATCCCTAAAGCACCTAGAGGGCGGAACACAGTTTTAGGAACATCTTTATGGGCGATATATATCTGGTTGTAGCTCGCATTACTATCGACAAAGCTAAATATTTCAAATCCAACCAATCTGTCAATGAGAGTTTCTGCAATGGGCATCTGGTATTCATCCTTTGGAGACGCCAAGTTTAGGTTGCGGAAATCAGTGCATACTCTTGTTTTACCATTTTTCTTGATGACCGGCACAACATTGAATAGCCATTCGACATAGGTTGCAACCTCTATAAAATCGACGGTCAGTAAACGTTGTATTTCCTCTTTAACCTTACCATCCACATTTTCTGAAAATCGTCGTGAAGACTGTTTAAAAGGTTTGAATCCAAGTTTAAGTGGGATTGTGTGTTCTACTAACTTGCGGTCCAAACCATGCATGTTTGTGTAATCCCACGCAAAACAGTCACAAAAAGACTTGAGCAACGTGGTAAGTTGCTGCTTTTCATTATCAAACAATGTAGCACTGATATAGGTTGGTTTGGGGATTGTTCCATCACCTAAATCGATAATAATCATAGGATCCTTAGTGGCTACGGAACCATCTTCTAACTTGTCTGCTTCGACTGCCAGTTCGTTGAGTTTAATAACATCACTATCTACTTCTGGATCTACATCATAAATAACATCTTCCCAATTGATCTTTGGGTGTTCCGTCTGAAACTTGCGTTCATCAGCAAAAAACTTTAAAACGCGTTCAATAGCGTTCCGTTTCTTATAGCTTGTACTAACTCAATATCAAGAGAATCATCATCCATAACTGATAATTGTTCAATTTTCTTCATCAGGAACTTCTTCAATGATGATAGCTGGAGTCGACGGTGGAAGCAACTGATAATTCTACGGCCTGTTGACTTCTTGCCACAAAATCTTTCATTCCGGAAGAGTACAATTGCGGCGCATGGTGGCCTGCATTAGCCTACCGTACTTATCAATCCCTAACATCCGATAAAGACCAGCCTCTTTGTCATAGTAATAAGCTTCAACTGAATTCGTTTGAATGGTGAATGGTGCTGTGTCAGCATTGATGATTTCTGGACCATTCATTCTCTAAAGAATAATGGCTTGATGCAACGAAGAAGGCATACAACGGGCCGAATGAATCCAATCACGGCCTAATAACGCATTGTAGGATGCTTTCGTATCCACCTCAAAGAAAGCAGAAACAATGGATTGCGAACCCACCGTGACTTCCAATGGAAGGATTCCTCAAGTACTAGTAACATCACCGGTGAATCCACTAACATCTCCGTTGGAAACAGGTCTTGCATACGTTTTCTTAACTTGCGCATAGCTGAGAACGGTAAAACATTAATGGCTGCACGATTGTCGACTAAAACTCATTTCAAGGGAACACCATCCATAGTAGTACAAATGAATAAAGGGCGAATATGAGTAGTAGCCGGGTCATCCATAGTAGCACCTTCGATGACTCAAGAGGAAATGTTAAGTTGTCTTATTGGCAATGTAATTCTCCCTACTGTTATATTCATGGGAGGTCTTATGTTTGAGTCCTCCCCCATTCACTAATTTTTTTTTCTCCCGTTTTCTCCTTAAACCAACCTAGATATCATTTTAAAAAGGCCCAAAAAAAACACTTAGGAAGGCCCAAAAAAACACACAGGAAAAGCCTACAAAAAGCCCCCGAAAAAAGCTAAAAAAAGGTCTAATAACAAAAAAAATGTTCAATTTATGGCCCAAAAATGGAAAAAGCTCAATTAGAAGCCCAAACCGCCAAACCGTCCAAAGCAAACCGTTCAAAACGGATTGGATTGGTCCGGTTTAAGCATCAATACGGTCCGGCTACGGTTTAAAATTTTAAAAATTGTAAGTAATGGTTTGGTTACAGATAAATAGTAATCCAGTCCGTGAACACCCCTAGTGAGTGCTGATCCTGAAGTGTTCATAGTAGGAACAGTTCATACAGTTGAACAACAGTTGCATCTAATTCGACAAATAACCAGAGAGGAAGTCAAAGTAACCATGTGGGGAATTCATAGTAACAAATGTCCTGGTCCAGACAAGTTTGAAAGTGACTTCTACAAAGCATCATGGTAAGTAATTAGAGTTGACATCACAAATGCAGTTTTGGAGTTTTTCAACACAGGTCAGATTTTAAAGCAAATTAATGCTACCTGTCTTGCTTTAATTCATAAAATCGATGTTCTTGAGAATGCTGGTCATTATAGGCCAATTGCGTGCTGTAATGTTTTGTACAAGTGCATTTCTAAAGTTTTGTGTAATAGATTGAAAGATGTGTTAGCGATGTTTGTTTCTAAAAATCAAAGTGCTTGTGTTAGCAATAGACTGATTTTACATAATGTATTGTTATCCCAAGAGTTAATTAGACTGTATAGGAGGAAGGGGATTAGTAGCCGTATGATGATAAAAATTGATATTAGGAAAGTGTATGATTCGGTGCAATAGGGGTTTGTTGCAGAAATGTTAGAAGGTTATGGTTTCCCTGATATGTTTACATCTTGGATCATGGCATGTATTACACCTTATCACTAAATGGAAGTCTAGTAGGATTCTTCTCTAGGAAAAGAGGGCTCAGGCAGGGAGACCCTGTGTCTCCTCTCTTATTTGTATTGGTGATGGAATACTTGACACGGGGATTAAGTATAATAGTAGTTCAACCAAAATTTAAGTTTCATCCTCTATGTAAAGCATTGAAGTTGTTTAACATCTATTTTGCTGATGACTTGATGGTATTTTGCAAAACCGACAAGTTTACTGTGAATGTCATTATGGATGTGTTGTCCCATTTTTCTAAAACTACTGGCCTGATAGCTAATATTCAAAAATCTGAGATTTTTTTGGAGGCATAGATGCTAATATGCAAAAAGAGTTATGTCAGCTTATAGGTCTGAAACTTGATTGTTTCCCTCTGAGGTATTTAGATGTTCCATTGTCACTTAACAAATGGTCCCAGGCTGAGTGTCAGAGTATTGTTAATAGAATAACTAATAGGATCAAGTGCTGGAGTAGTAGACATCTATCGTATGCAGGAAGGCTCCTTTTAGTTAATTCTGTGCTAATGCAATGGCTAGATACTGGTCTTTCACTTTTATATTACCCCAAAGTGTCACAATCAGAGTTAATCAACTCTGTAAGGACTTCCTGTGGAGTGTTAAAAGCTCGGGTAGATCTATGGCTCTTATCAGATGGGAAGAAGTTTGTAAAAAGAAATCACAGAGAGGATTGGGAGTGAAAGGTGCTAAGTTATGGAACAAAGTTGCAATCTTGAAGCAAGTCTGGGCCATTTCACAAAAGGAAGATAACTTATGAGTAAAATGGATTCATGGTGTTTATTTAAAAAGGTGTAGTATTTGGGATGTTCAACCTAAACTTAATGATAGTTGGCATTGGAAATAACTACTCAAGGCGAGGGACCGGGGTAGAAATGGTTTTCGTGGAAGCTGCTGGACAGGTACGAAGAGTGGTAAATATACCATTGGATCTGGATATGATGGCTTGCTGGGGATAGTGAAAGGGTGAGGTATGCAAAATATATTTGGTCTACGCTTAATGTGCTGAAACAGTCTTTCATATTCTGGCTTGTGTTGAGAAGAAGATTACTGACAAAGGATAGACTTGTTAAAATGTCTGTTGATGTTGCTGATTCTTGTTGTTTATTATTTGCTCTAAATGATGAATGTTTTTTGAATGCTGCTACTCTGGAAGACTGTTTGCTTTAGTTTTAAACTGGTTAGGAGTAAAGAGGATGCCCAGTGTGTATCAGAGATGGATTGTGTAGATGATGTATGCCTAGAATTACTCAAAGTTCAAGAAACAGCTTTTAAATGTTGATGTGGCTGCTTCTGTGTATCATTTATGGCAGGAGAGGAATTTCAGGCACTTCATTGGCAAGGAGCGGGACGTGCATGATATTTTCAATTTGATTCAAGTTGAAGTTCAGATTAGAGTTATGGGTTGTAAAAAGAAAAAGTTTACTCTTAAGGAGAACTTGATATGTAGTAGTTTATTCTTCCTGTTTTTGCCTTAATGTAATAGTGTTTATTTGAGTTTTTGAGAAGTTGTATGAAATAGTGTGATTGTGGTTTTTCCATGGTGATTTCAATATAATTAGAATAATAATCACATATAAATAAACAGTAGTGATTAAAATAAGAGTGAACAACAAAACAAGTCATCCAACTATTGGGTAATTTCATCACATGTCATCAATCGAATTTATTTGTAAAATAGGTCACCTTACCAAGCCAAAAATTCATCCAAGATCATTCTGTTAATTTTGGCTGTTAAATAGTGACGGAAAGCCACTTTTTTGTGCATTTGGGTTTAGGGATATTTTTATCATTTTGTCATTTTTAAATTTTTTTAAAAAAATTTAATTTTTAATTTTTTTTTTCAATTCTACTTCTTATTTCTAAATTGTATATGTTGGTATTGTAATTACTAAATTTCAAAAATTAATTAACTTTTATAATTTAACTTCTAGATTATAATTTTTTCAAAAACAATTAAAAATGAAGAAAAATACTCGAGGAGAAGTAAAAATTAAAATTAATAGTTAGTCATTTTAAACCAAAGATAATTCCATTATTTTATATTGGTTAAAAAAACTATTAATATTTTAGTTAATTTTTTTTAACAATTCTTCTTATTTTACTTCCTAACTTGTATATATTGGTACTAGTATAATTATTAAATTTTAAAAATTTACTTTTCATTTGTATATTAACTTCTATATTATAAAAAAAAGAAGAAAAATTTAAATTTAATTTAACGTAAAAATTAATAATTACAAAATTAAATCGAGTTGAAAATAATTAAATAACTTAGAATAAACAAATTGTCTTAGCGAATTTGATAGTTTCACTTTTTGGTTTAAAATGATTAACTTTTAATTTTCATGTCTACTTTACCTCAAATTTTTCTGCTTCATTTTTAGTTTTTTTCTAAAAAATTATAATCTAAATGTGAAAATACAAAAGTTAATTAATTTTTTATTTATTAATTATAAAATACCAACATATACAAGCTAGGATGTATAAGAAGAAGAATTAAAAAAATTAAAAAATATTTTTCTTTTTAAAATAAAAAATTCATTAAAAAAATAAAATGACAAAAATACTCCTAAACCCAAAAGAATGTGAAAAGTAGGTTTCCGTCACTAGTTAACGGTCAAAATTAACAAAATGATCTCGGATGAATTTTTTGCTTAGTATGCTGACCTATTTTGTAAATAAATTTGATTGATGACCTGTGATGGAATCACCCAATAGTTCGATAACCTGTTTTGTGGTTCACTCTTAAGATTATTAAATGTCAATTTATTTTTTCTTCTCTTCATCAGTTACTCCAAAAGTATACTACTAAAACTTTATCAAAACTCACTATTTATATATCTCTATAGATATTAAAGGAGAGTTTTCAATCGAACACATACCATAAAATTAGATAGAGTAATCTACATGTCAAAAAATTGGATAGTCAAATCCACATGTCACAACCACATCACTCCATCATTTAATGGTATCTTTTTATTTGTAAATTTGTAAAATCTCTAAATAACCAATTTACCCCTTTTTTGTCATTAACCGAGTGAATCATTAATAAATTCTTTAAAATCGCAAGTTTGAGCAATGAAAAATTTTTCCACATACATATACCCCATCTCATACGCATTGTTTCCAATTTGAAACAGCTAGCAGTGATAAATACTACTATCTATAGAATTATTTTCTGTTACAAAACATTATTTGTACACAATATGTATTGACCTAAAATAACTCTAAAAAACTGATTGATTTTTTGGTCACGCAAAAAGTGACTACTTCTTCAGTGCAACTAAGAAGAATGGACAATTGAGTTCTAATTGTGGTCACGATTAATTTAAACATAATCATTGAAAATCACGAGCTGTAAGTATATAAAAATCTTAATATATAACAGTATAATCAGATTATAATTAAGGGTTCCAGTTCCGGAAAAAGTCCGCTGATGTACATTTTACCCCATAGAAAAGGGAACCAATTTTTTGAGGTATTAAGGTCATTTAAATTATTATAATAAGTAATAAAAGATAAATATATAATAAGAAGTATAAGATATTTATCTTTTTACTTTAAAAAGTTATGTTCGAATGACCAACTAATAAGACAATGGCATGTGTTATTAAAGATTACTAACGACCTAATTGAATGATACGTGTCAAGACTTTGTTGTACGGATTAATTTCGTCACTCAAAAAAAATAAAGTTACATAATCTAATTGCTGGATTGTTAGATTGCCGACAGGGAACCCTCAATCACGGGTCCTAAGCAAAATTGCAGTGTTAACGAATTGAATTGGTATAGGGTCATCGATGGTGATCGGGTAGAACATCACCGAAAAGGTATTTCTGTATTGTTGTTCGAAAGTCATTGCCGATAGCAGAATTATCGGAGTAATCCCATATATATTTTTTAGCTATTATGTTGAGGGAAATTATTAATAGGTAATAAAGGATAAATAATATACATAATAGATTAACTTTTTAAGTCACATCGTCCTATCATTTAATGGTAATATTGTAATATTTTATTTTTTAAATCCTTAAAATGTATAAATAACTAATTTACCCCGTTTAATTTTTTTTACCATTAATCGTGCAAATGATTAACACCATTAGAGCATCCACAATAGTGCTTAATAATTAGAAGATAATCACTTTATTATAACTATTTATCATTTGTGTTGAGTGCGATGTAAGAATTTTTACACAGTTTATTACACTTTTTGGGGTTAAAATATAGTTAATGTGATTTATGGTACTAAAACTATTTCAGTTTATTATAATTTTACAGTATAAACCAATCTAATGAAAATTTGAATAAAACTATAATATTAAAATTTATGACATTATACTACAAACCATTGTGGATATTCTAATAAATTCCAATCTTTTCGTTATACCATGACCATAATGATTACTACCATACTGATGATGAGTTGCTGATCATTAAAAAATTTAATTCCATTCACATTGTGCATGAGAATAAATATTAAATTATACATAATTAAAAATCAATATTAAATAAGATAAGTTTTAAAAAAGAAGATTATAAGGAATAAGTATTAAAATTAATCTATCCCTTATAACATTAACACGACCGGATGAGAAAAAGGAACTAATAAGATTCATATTTTCTGTTACCCCTAATCAAAATTATTTCATCGTAGTTAAAAGAATTAATACTTCATAGGCCAACGAGCTGTACTTTAGTGGTAAGAAACTTCACTTGTTGACCAATAGGTTACGGGTTCGAATCACACCAAGGGTAAGTAGGGAACAACTATTGATCCCTTTATATATATATATATTAAAAATAATTAATACTCCATATCGATAATAAATATTTTAAAAAAATTTTACAACATTTCAAGAAATGAAACTTTAAGAGAAATCATCAAAAAAATTTTTAAAAAAGGTAAAGACTATGCAACTAAGAGAAAAAGTGAAGTAAACACTATATTATAGGAAAAATGAGCAAACTTCTAAAAAAAGTTGCAAAAAGGTAAAAAACTATGGAAAATAAAGATAAGTTTATAGAAAGAAATGATGAGAAAATTTTATGACAGCGGGAAAGTTTAAAAGATAGGACACAGACGAAAATATATATAGAGATCATAATGAAAAATTAAGACAATATTTTTGAAAGATATAAATTCACAAATGAACAAAACAGAAAAGATGGACAATAAGTTACAATGGATAATTTTGAATATTGAAAACTGAAAAGAATTCCAATTATACTTAAAATATAAAACACATTAACACTAAAAACTACACTCTGATTGCAATTTATATTATTAAATTATTTTTTTACATATATCACGTCGTCGAAAATGGATGACTCAATTTCCACGTTGAGATGAGAAATATTTTTATCGACTAACAAAATTTTTCAAAAAGAAAAAAAAAAGTACATTTTTTTCAGGAGATGCTCTAACAAACTAACTACACCAACCTATGACGACCATACATGTGTTTATAAACACAAAACTTTTATACTCTTTCTGTCCTGAAATTATTGTTCAGTTTGAAATTTTTATTTTTAGTACAATTTGAACTAGAAGTGAAAATCTAAACTGGATAATAATTCCAGGACAGAAAGCGTAAAAAAATAATAGGAAACCATATTACCAAATTACTGTAGAAGAATGGGAAGATATGGTCATGATAAATATAAGGCGAATATCGAAAATAACCCAAAGGTTCAGTCTATTATCAAAACCCCCCCTCACCCTTTTGAAAAATATAAAAAAATCCCTTATTTTATTTTTTTTGGTTCTGAAAGAGCTGGAGTACATACAATAGGAGGGAAAAATTGGAAAGAACAAGAAAGAAAGACAAAAGATAAAAATCAATGGATCAAATAATTAAGATAACCGTTGAAATCAGAATCCCCATATATATGAATTGAGTGAGTGTCGAAAATGACATTTTTGGCTTTTTGGTGGGGGGAAGTGGTCCTTTCTCCTTCTGGTTATTCATTCTCTAAATACTTCTTTGGAATCTTATGTTGTTTTGGTGGGAACAATGAGGATGATAACGTTTTCCTCCATATGAAATGTTTCCGTTCACTATGGAAACACATACTTTGTTAATTTACTGTCTTTTGATAACAATTACGTTTATATTCGGATTTTCAGTTCATTTACTTTGGGGGTTATCTATGTATATAGAAGTGGTTAATTTAGATATCGTTTTTTCTGAATTAGTTACCAAGGTTTTGTTTGGTAAATTTTACCAAACGTTGAGATGAATAGATGGTACAAGTATCAACCAAATGTTATAATTTTCAGAAAGCTGTAACCCCCACCCCCAAAAAAAGAGAGTAAAAACATGAGTTTTCAAGAGCAAATAACAGCACATCTTTTAGAGCAAAGCCCAATTTAATTTCATGAATTCCGTGGTTCATAAATTGAATATTTTTAACTTTCGTTGAAAAGAATTAAAAAGCAACATGTGCAACAAGTTTAACTTTTTCTACAGTAAATAAAGATTATTAATTTAATTTACTGACAAAATATGTGTTTCAATATTCTTTTCAATAATATAGTATAACCTAAACAACCTAGAAGACCATTTGCAAGTTTTCAAGGTGTTTAGTTGATCTTGGAACAGGTCACTTCAAATGTTTGTCCCAGTGATTGAACTTTGGATGGTTTATTTGGTTTTTTAAAAAGTATATCTTTTTTCCGTCTTAAAAATAAATAGGGTGTCAATTTAAGATACGATTTACATAGACAACCCGATACTGTACAACATGATTGACACGATTTAAGTTTTTATCACATTTTTTACTCTAAAGAGTCGCATTAATCATGTGAAATACATAAACGAAATTGACCCGTTAACTCGAATCAGTATCATATATGTGTTTTTTCTTTTTAATAAATACAATATAATTTTTATATTTATAAGAGTTATCTCGAAATTCATTTATTGACTAGTAAGTCAAAAAAAATTACATCATCATATATGATTTGTTTTGGAAAAAAAAAAGAAAAATTCTCTGTGTTATATGCATGTGTCATCCATTTAACACCAAATTTTTTTTTTTTTTTTTAAAACACAGAGAGCACCGAGAATTCAAAATTAGAGGGCTTTATGTCTCTTCGGGGTGCAGAAAAAACAATTAGGAAAAGAATTTGGGGATTTCTTTCTTGACTTAGTTGTAATAATAATATTGGAGGAGTGAAAGAAATCCATCTCATCAAAAAATCAAAATCATTTTGTATGAACAGCCATCAACATCAACAACAAAAGTAACAGTCTTCACCGCGATTTCTTTATTATATTATTTTTTTTGGGGGTAATGTAATTCGATTTTTAGTTGAAAGTTCCATTACCATTTCGTCTTTCAATATATGTATCTGTGAATATATGTGTTTAGAGAGAGAGAGAGAGAGGAAAGAGAGAGCAGTGCGGTGAGAGAAAGAAAGAGAGAGAGAGAGAGACAGACAGGAAGAAAGAAAGGGCTCCATTTTCATGGTTGAATGAGGAGTAAAGCTAACAACTTTATCGCATTTGCCTGCTGAGATATAGCAGACATTATTAGGGTTTGCTTCAAACCCACAAAAACCCTTTTCAGTTTTTCCTCTGAAAGGGAGAACCCACCAAGGATAATCAAGGAAAAAGGCCAACGGTGAATGTGATTGGAAATGTGGGCATATGCATAAAGTGAGATTGGATGATCCTGTTTGGATTTTGAAGATCTCTGCATTGTAATTGTCTAGGTAACTTCTGATTGCCACTGATCCTGCTGCATTTTTTGAATTTTATTTTGCTGTTTCCTTCAAGTTCCTTTTCTTTTCCCCCGTTCTGGAAGGAGATAGGGAGGGGGTTAATAAAGATTTATTTGTTGTGAACCCACCTGAATTTTGTGTCAGTTCCCTGTAATGGAGCATCTGCTAAAGTTGAACTAATCACATGGGCTTCATTCTGAACTGAATTCTATTCTCACTTCATTTTGCGCATCTTGTGCGATTACTGAGTATAGTCGGCAGGGGTTTGGGTTACATTTTTATGTTTTTTGGATGATTAGATCTGGAGAGGTTCTTAGTGTAGTTCTCTCCGAGTGAGGTGCTTCATGTATTAGTTACATTTAACAAAGTAAGGATTTTGAGGTGCGATCTGCCATCGATTGAGTACTTGTTGCATTTCTGTAGCAATAGACCTTCCCGGGGCAGGAATTCTAAGGCTGAATATTTATTCCCCTTTATTTTATTTTGTGAATTATACGCAGAATTGGGAGAAAGCTATTGGGTCTGAGATTTTGATTGGAGTTGGTGATTGAATGCTCTGATTTGGGATTTAAGGGCCGGAGTGCACTTGTGGAAAATTGCGCCGAGGCTCTGCACTTTTATTTCCAGAATTGACAATGAGGTCGGATATGCCTCTTGACTATGCATTATTCCAGCTGTCACCGAAGCGATCCAGGTGAGATTTGTGTTTGATGAGACTATTTACTGGGGTGGCTTTGAAAATGTTCCGGCTTCTCTAACTAATACTATCGAGTTTCCCTTTGGCAGATGTGAGTTGGTTGTTTCCAGTGGCCGATACACAGAGAAACTAGCGTCTGGATTGGTGAAGCCATTTGCTGCACATCTAAGGGTTATAGAAGAGCAGGTCGAAGCATCTGTTCACTCCATTAAGCTCGAAGTTGAACGGCGAAATGATGCTGAGACGTGGTTTTCTAAGGGAACACTTGAGAGGTGCTGATCTCATGTTTCTCAACATTGAACATTTTTAAGCAGATCTATCAGATATAATCTAAAAGTATTAGTGTGGCTTCATCATTCATTCCAGGTTTGTGCGGTTTGTTAGTACACCAGAGATTTTGGAAATACCAAATACCTTCGATGCAGAGGTTGCTCAGTTAGAATCAGCTCGAAGAATATATTCACAGGTACATTTGAAGACTTGTACATCCATATATATCCAGGATTTTTTTAGTATCTGTTTTTCCCTAAAGTAGAACTCATGGTTTTCTCCCTAAATTACAGGGGACTGGAGATCAGCTCTCTGGCACTGGTAAGTTTTTTCCTGTAGCGGCTTCCATGCGACTCAGTTTACAATTATTACTTGCAATAGACGCTTGACATACAATTGTTACCGATTTTCCTACCCAATCTAGTCTCTGGATGAATTTGGATCTTAATAAACAGAGATTGACAGTAGAATCATTGGGCTATATTATTTCCAACCAATATGGAAGAGATTTGTTGTATAATATATGTACATTCATTAACAATTGAACTTCCTTTGAAAGGGAAGCTTTCACTAGCTTGGCTTTTCAAATAGCCGTTTTGTTTCAAGGAAATTCTTTTATTTTCATACACTACTGCCAGAATGCATATAGGTGGTGATAGTGACTGTAGTTCTGGAGTATTAACTGTTTCAGCTTTTTATTTGTTAGTTTTCTTTAAATTTTGGGTTTAAAAGTTTTATTTTAATTCCAGCTTGTTGATATGGCCTTATGGACTTGTTCTAGGTGGGGCGGGATCTAGTGCCACAGCAGCAGCTGATGCAACAAAGTAATGAGTCGCCCTCATTCTTCCTATCATTTGCCTCAGTCCTCTCCCTATCACTTTTTAATTCTGAAACTTGCATTTGTATGCCTAGGATGCAGGTTTTTGATCACTTATATGTTAATTACCATTGAATGATTATAGCTAATTAATATTTTATTGTGAATTAACAGGAAGGAACTTCTGAGAGCCATTGATGTGCGGCTTGTTGCAGCGCAGCAGGATTTAGCTACAGCCTGTGGTCGCGCTGCTGCTGCTGGTTTCAATCCCGACACCGTGATGGACCTTCAAATGTTTGCAGATCGTTTCGGTGCCCAACGCTTATAGTAAGAGATCCTCAAACCTTACTTTTTTTTGTGTGTGTTAAGTTTAACAATATTGTGCTTGTGGTTGCACATTCACACCTTACATTTCTTGTTTGTTCCCAGTAAAATCCACTTGAACAAATAGCCTGCAGCATCCCCTGCAGTGAGATGAAAATGCGTATATCACTTCTAAAAAGCCAGGATATAGTGATATGCCTGTGGAATTGTACTTCTTCCATCTAACTAGTTAGAATCATGTGTTACCATTATACTATTTATTTTTTATCCTTTATCTTTTACGGTTTGGAGCAAGATACAAAACAGAAATTGAGCTATCATAGACTACATTTAACTCTTAACTTGTACCCTCGCATATGTAAATTTAACGGTGCAAATTCACTTTTTTTTTTTGTGTAGAAACATAAGTTTACACATAAAGGCTCATTTATTATTAAACGGAATATAATTTAATTGCTGATTTAGGGCTTTGTACCTTAGAAATTTGTAGTTTTGAAACATGAGTCTGTTCTTGGAATGATATGTTATTATTATCGAATTGGTTTTATTCTTTGCATTATTATTACTATTCGTTGAAGTTTATGGAGGCAAAATGAGATGTATAATTATCTGATCATATGGGGTGAAATAAAAACATGATTAAATTTGAAGGAACAATTAAATCTGGTTTAGAGTCGTATCACAATTTTCCCTAACTAATTTGTATTTTCTATTATTTTATCTCTTTCCTTCTGAGAAATCTTTAATTATTCTTTTATTGTTACTTTTTTTCATTTTATTAACAGCGGATAATTTGTCTGCAGTGAAGCATGCAGCAAAATCATTTCCTTGTATGAGAGAAGACCGGATTTGATTGGTTCATGGCAGAAGGCTGGAGGAGGAGACGACTGGGCTGCCGTCCGATCCTCACATGGGTCAGACATGTCCATTGATGAGGAGCCCACCACTCCCCCTGAAAGCCAGCCAACAGGTTTCCATCAACCTCACCTCAGACATGAACAACAAAAACAAAGAGGACAAGACCAAGAATCCAAAACCCCTTTAACATCTCATGAGCCAAAGCCCTCATTTACCTCTGGGGTGAAGAGCCGGGAATCGAGTGTTGAATCTGAGGAAGTAACTAAGCAAGACAACTTGGGACCTGAGACGGGCAAGAACCAAGAAGTGGTTGAGACTCCTGATCAAGCTCAATCGATCCAGGCGAGTCAACCATCAAGGCGGCTTAGTGTGCAGGATCGTGTGAAGTTGTTTGAGAATAAGCAGAAGGAGACTTCGGGAAATTCTGGTGGTAGTGGTGGTGGAAAGCTGGTTGTGGGAAAATCCATGGAGTTTAGGAGACTTTCTTCTGATGTGTCGGCTATGGCTTCTGCGGCTGCTGTAGAGAAGGCGGAGAGGGCGGTTTTGAGGAGGTGGAGTGGTGTCAGTGACATGAGCCTTGATTTGAGTTTTGAAAAGAAGGATCTTGAAAGCCCTCTTTGCACTCCGTCATCATCTTCTAAGCCTGAGGATCAGAAAGATACGGCTAGTTCAAGTAAACTACCTGAGATGAGGATTCTTCCGGGGAAGGTAGATAACAGTGCAGCTTCCTTTGATAAGTCAGAGGAGGTTTCTGAAGGATCCAAGTTGAATTCCAGTTCGGCTACGGTTGATAGTAGTGCTTTGAAAGATCAACCATGGGGAAGGAGTCAACCGAAGTCATTTTTGAACAGTGCTGAGGATAATAGTCTGGCAAACTCTGGAAAATATTTGAGGTCTTTTTCTAGTTTTAATACTGGGGGTGCCAGTGGGGCTGAAAGTCAACACAAGTTTAAAGGTTTCGAGAAAAGGGACGAGGCTGTCAAGATGAAAGGGTCAGCGGCTTCTGAGGTGCAGGCTAAAGGAGTCTCTCAGCTGCATGTTGGGTATTTTAGTGGAAAGGGTGACACAAGCTCAGCACGTGAACCTACTCCGATTGAATTCAAAGAAGTTGGAGTCAAGGATAATTTTGTTTCGGAAAGTCACTTGAAGGTTCCTCAAGGGTCATCAATGCTAGAAGGAGGTCTGGGATCAAGAACTGACGAAAACTTTAGTGGCCAGTATAAAGGAAATGAAGGTGAGAATTCATCTTCAAAATCCAGGGTTGAGTTCTCTGCGCTGGAGACAAAGGATGTAGAAAAGAAAGACTTGGCTTCTAATCTTTTTGGTGGTAGCTCTGCAGTAAAGTCTGTAGATTCAGGACCCCAAAAGACAAAGGGTGATAAACAAATTACTACTGCCTCTGAACATGTGAAGAAAAACAAAGTTCGGGGAGATGATAACACTCCAGTTTATGGAACTTACAAGAATTCCCTTTCTAGTAAAATTGCAACTGATATTCCAGAGGACTTTGGTTCTTTCACAACCCCTCCTCCTCCGGACCATTCTCAAAGGAATAGACAGGCAAAAGGAAACCAGGAACTCAATGATGAATTGAAAATGAAGGCTAACGAGCTGGAAAAGCTCTTTGCTGAACATAAACTTCGAGTTCCTGGAGATCAATCCAATCCTGCTCGGAGAAGTAGGCCCGTTGACAAGAAAATTGAGCAGCCGGTCAATTCGTTTTACAAACCCTCCATAGATGCTGCTGCTGTAGGGCATTTAGATGATGATATCAGCCCGTCTACTGTTGCTGGAAGTTCAAAGAACATTTCCAAGTTAAATGATGCTCCACTGGCTAAAACTAGTAGTAATTCTTCTGAGCTAAATGCTTCAAGTGGTTCTCGAGGGAAATTCTACCAGAGCTATATGCAAAAAAGGGATGCAAAACTGAAAGAAGAATGGAGCTTGAAGAGAGGAGAAAAAGAAGCCAAGTTGAAGGAAATGCAGGATAATCTTGAGAGAAGTAGAGCTGAAATGAAGGCTAGATTTTCAGGAGCAACTGCTGATAGTCAGGATTCACAGTTTAATGCTCGTCGCCGAGCAGAGCGACTGAGGTCATTTAATACCCGGTCAATCATGAGAAGAGAGCAGGTATAAATTACTCCGTCTTATTTTTTCTTTGCATTGAAAAGTTTTAGTTTGATGTAGGAGTTGATTGGGAGTTTTTTTTTTCTGTCATGTGTAACCGACCATGAAAAAGTTTCCCCTTTAACAGCAGCAGTTAGATTTTGGGCAAAGTGACAATGATGAAGACAATGGCTCTGAATTTCCTGATCAGAAATATTATGTTGAAGACAATGGGCCTTTAGATGAGGCTACATCCTTCATTGACGGTTTGTCTAGAAGTAGTGCACAGAGTAAGAAAATTGTTCAGGCTAAGAACAGTTTGACTTCTTCTACACCTCGCTCATCTGCAGCACCTGTTAAAGCTGCTTCTCGCGCTACTGTTAATTCCAGCCGCCGCAAGTTGCAATCTGAAAACCCTCTAGCACAATCAGTTCCAAATTTCTCTGAGCTGAGGAAAGAGAATGCTAAGCCCTCTGCAACCAGTAAAATGACACGATCACAAGTGAGAAACTATAACCGCAGCAAAAGTACGAACGAGGACACACAATTTATCAAGGAGGAGAAGTCATCACGTCGACCACAGTCCCTCAAGAAGATCTCGGCAAATCCCGTTGATTCCATCAGAGAGATTTCTCCGTTGGACTCTGAGGTGGTTTCACTGAATTCAAAGACACTGAATTCAAAGCCTTCCCGTAAAAAGGGTAGCATAGATTTTGGAGTCATTGATGATTTGGTCTTTGAGACAGAAAACTGTGTGGTCGAAGATGAAGAAGAAGATCAATATGAGGCTCTTGAAACCAAAAGCTCTGGGGAAAATGTTGTAAATCAAAAATCTGAAAAGGGCTGCTTTGGAACAAAAACCACTGTAGCGAGAACGTTTGATGACATGGACTCCTCATTGGTGGTGGCTGAATTGCCTGCCTCTGTTCCTTCGGATTTGCATCCAACTGAAAGTGCGCATGATTCACCCGGAGAGAGTCCCATATCATGGAATTCACGATCTCTTCATCCATTTTCTTACCCTCATGACTTGTCCGACATTGATGCCTCTGTTGATTCCCCAATTGGAAGTCCTGCATCTTGGAATTCACATTCTCTTAGTCAAACAGAGACTGATGCGGCTCGTATGAGGAAGAAATGGGGGGCAGCTCAGAAACCAATGCTGGTTGGCGGCAACTCTTCCCATAACCAGTCCCGCAAGGATGTGACTAGAGGATTTAAAAGGTTACTGAAATTTGGAAGGAAGAGTCGTGGCACGGAAAGTTTGGTTGACTGGATTTCTGCTACAACATCTGAAGGAGATGACGACACGGAAGATGGGCGTGATGTTGCCAATCGGTCATCAGAAGATCTGCGGAAGTCGAGAATGGGATTTTCCAATGGACATCCTTCGGATGATAGCTTCAATGAGAGTGAATTTTTCAATGATCAAGGTACATCATTCTTTTTTCTGCCTAAATTCATTATGGTAGCTCTTTTTTTATTTGTTTGAGCAATAATCAGGGCCCATCTTGTTGCGGTTTCGACATGCAATCAATGATGTGTACTTGCCTTTTTCAATCTGCTTTTTGATTGTTGATTTATTGTATGAATTAGTTCTTTGTCTGGAGCAGTTGAACTTTGTTAGTGTTTCTGTAGGCCTGAATAAACGTGGGATCTTAGATTTCAGTATTCATCTTGAATTTTGTGCATACTGCCATCTACCTATTTCTGCAAAATGTATCATGAACATGTGAAATACTGTAATTGGTATTCTTTTTCTTCTTTCCAACTTTTTAGCATCTATTAGTTTGCCTTTCTCATCATTTTTAGTATTCTTCTTTTTGCATGCAAAACTCAGAAAGTTTCCTATCTCAAGTTTAAAAATTTGATGCTTTTAATGATCTTGCAGTTCAATCCTTGCGGAGTTCTATCCCAGCACCTCCTGCAAACTTCAAACTGAGGGAAGACCATTTGTCTGGAAGCTCAATTAAAGGTACACTGTTTATTTTGTTTTCAAGGGAATTTTTTTTTTTTTTTTGCTGCATATCCTTTTTGTTACTGTTGATTCCTGATCGTGTTGATTCAGTTTAGAACTAGTTGGCTTGGAGTTTGATGATATGATTCTGGAATTTTTAGTACCAGAGGATATGCCTTTAGGTTGGATTGGGTCTCAAAATGTTTGACTGGCCACTATCAGTGCATTTTAGTAGGTAACTGAAATTTGTGAACCAACGCTCTTTAGAACTTCACGCCATTTGTAAATGAACTCCGTGTGTTACTCAATAGTCATTACTGCAGGTATCCTCTATTTGGTAGTTCCTGTATTTAATAAGTAACTTGCTCTGCTCTCCTCAAATGCATGATCAGGCTGCACATCCTTCTTGTTATTGTTAATTCCTGATTGTGTTGCTTCAGTTTGGAACTAGTTGGCTTGAATATATGATATGCATCCGGAATTCTTAGTATTGGAGAATACCCATTAGGTAGGATTGAGTCTTAAAATGCTGACTGACCCCCATACTTCAGTACGTAACTGAAATTTGTGAGTTGATGCTGTTTAGAGCATTAGTGCTTTTTGTAAATGAATTCCATGTGCACGCAATACTGGGGGTATCCGCTATTTGGTAGTTCATGTATTTACTAAGTAACTTGCTCCGCTCTCCTCAACTGCATGATTTGAATCATTTTTCTTTGGCAGCCAATGTACTTAACTATCTTTTGTACCATCAAACTAAGAGTTGATTGTGTGAATCCATGTGTAGTAACTTGTGAAATATATTCTGATGCCGTGAGTTACTTAACCTGTTTGTATAGCTTCAGATGAACTTCCCTTTTGATTTTAATCCCCGAGCTTAATAACTTCCAGATCTTTTAAGTGCTCAAAGAGAGAGAGTCCTGTTTTAAATTTGAAAAACGTGTATTTTCAATCTATGACAGTGAAGATCATGTTCACAAATTCTATATCAGCCACTGATCAGTTTATCCTAGGAAAAGTAGGGTTTACTACTGTTGTCTTAAAATTTTCTTTTCATGTTTGAGATGACCAAATCTTTCCTACTTGTACAGCACCGAGATCATTTTTCTCCTTGTCAACATTTCGGAGCAAGGGAAGTGAGTCAAAACCTAGATGATTGTCTTTCTTTGCCCATCATTCAAGTTGTGTTGTCCGAACTTAAAGCAATATTCATTGGAGATTCCTGATGATGGAACCGAATAAACTTCCATTGGCCTCAACTTAGGAAAGTTGAGCTTGAATACACCTCATGTACAAATTCGCGAGAGTACAGTTTCAATTGGCGGAATGATATGTGATTTTGGTAGTGAAAGAAGCATTTTCCCTATTAATTCAGGTAATTTGTAATAGATTGTGCAGATGTTTGTCAAAAAGTTAGATTCTTGTCAAAATCATCATATATTGTAAGAAGATCGAAGAAGAGGTCTACTGTTTATGCAATTAGAACAGCTTGTAAAAAGACGGTGTACTGTTGACAGCTTGTAAAACAGACAGTGTACCACGAGTATTATGTGCACCTTGTCTTATTTTTGGCGCTTCCGACCATTCCTTGTTGATAAGATGATGATTGTTACTACGGTTGTGTAACTCTAATGGAAATTTAAGGTAGGGTTTATGTATTATACAAGTATCTTAGTGGCCGATCCTTCCCAAGAAAAAGTACATTCTGGAGTTTTGTTGAATGGGTTGGGATGAGAAATACTAATACTAACAAAGGATCATCCTTCTATGCCAGTGTAAGTGTTGTAAACATGTCCCGTATGTAGCTTAAATCCTTTGAAGTGGGTGGGTTTTTGGCCTTACAAAGATGAATTTGGCGTGATCTGATAGTGAAGTATTACATATTTGTCATATTAGCTAGTAACCCGTTTTTGTCCTAAAATAAAGTCTGCTGTGAGCACTTGAGAATTTTGCCCAGTTTAATTCTAGCATTTGGCAAGTGACGCAGAGCTAATTTGGGTGAAAACTAGCAAATTAAGAGTACAGATTGGCAGCTGAAACAGTAAAGCAACGGGAGACATATGCCAAGTGATCTATTGTGTCTCGACTTTCAAGTGTGGGAGCAATTTCTGAATCCGGCCACTGAAAAGCAGGCAAAACTATTGGCAAAATGGGTTGGCTGCTCTTGCAGATTGTGACATTTGGAAAGGTTCCTATCATCTCCCACAACATTTGACTTATTAGCTCGTGAACTTTTGGTTTAGACAACTTAAAAAAAAAAAAAAAAAAACTACAGAACTTGAAGTAGATAGGTTCTTGCATAATATTTTGACTTGAGCATCTTGCTACGAATGTGACCATGATGAGGTCACATGTTTTGACCAAATTTCCTCGGTGTCAGAGGTTCTACTTTGTAGTTGCCGATCGCAATGTGGTAATACTGTATCGCATTTTGTGTCGTGTCACAAATTCTCATCTCGCACATTCCAGTGAATCCAATCCTACATGGCATGTTCTGACTTGGTTTGAATCATAAATTTGTCATTTTGGATTATGAACAAGCCACAATATTGTTGCTTGGGGGGATTTATCAGAATTATAATAATCCTGTTTGAGCAGTAATTACAATTACTATTTCCACAGAAACTTGGATGCATTTGAGAAATGTCAAGCCGGCTTAGCCACGTTTTTTGTTTCTTTCTATGACATTTAGAGCCGGCAACCTCGATCAGGTTCAATACAAAACATATTATTGTATACTAAAGCTAAGGGAAAAAATGGTTGGTTTCCTTATTGAAAAAGGGTGGTGACATCTATTCCTATGCCCCCATCAAAATCATCATATTTCCTTATCATCATACTACTGAATTTAGCTTGGATTTACTCGCTTGCTTAATACACATATTGGCTTATCATCAGATTGTTCCATCATCATTAACTGTGCAACTCTAGTACACATAAGTTTTGACGATAGATAGTTAGACAGACGTAATGGAACAAAAATGTGATCAGGTTTGAGTGGATTCAAAATTTTACCAGTTTGTTTTTGGTTGTTCTGAAGCCCTGGATACTTGGAAAAATCCATCACCCGGGCGTGGATTTGTCTGAGTCCTTGTGTTTTGGATAGCTAATTCTGTTTTGTTTGTATAAGAGTATCACTACCTGATCATGGATGATGGATACTTCTATGAAATGGAGCAGCATTCGAGAAATGCTTCGCCGGGAGGAGTTTCTCGCAGGCGACACCATACAACCCCTGTAAGATATCAGCCTGAATCTTCTTCATTCTCCACTGCAAGGCCACAGCACAGCAGGTTGCGGCCCCGAATCCCAGCTCCAACCTCCCCTTTCGCGGCAAATGATGACAGGTCGTGGCAAGGAGAGGTGTCTTGGCAATTTGAGCCGAGTGGATGGCGTGAAAATCACAACAATCTTAGTGCAGCACTCAGTCCGTGGGCGGCTGCCAGCGCGGCGTCTTCGCCATTTGGCCAAAGCAGAATTTTCAGGAGATCGGCGAATGACTACTATAATCGGGGTACTAATAATGGTGGAGGTTACTCACGCAGCTTTGTTAATCAGTCCTACGATGCAATGCCCGGCCCATCATCATCCCGTAGGAGGCGGCTTGAGCTCCAGAGTTTTGCAGCCAGTGAAAATATTGATAATGGTGATTCCAGCTTTATTCCCGGGGTCGTCCAGGCTGGTGGAAATAAAAAGAGCCCTGTGAAACACAACACACCCTTGTCTGACAAGGATGAGCTCAGTTTTGTTGATCGTGAAATAAACCTGTTAGGAGCTGCCAATTCAGGTAACCAGAACACCAGCTGGTTATCCTTAGTAGATGCTTATGATGCTGGAGGAGAACGTGACAATGAGTTTACGTCTCATCATACTCCTCATAGGCCTAATTTATTAGATGATCACCACAGAGGAAATTATTATGATCAATTTCATGATAATTTTGACATTAGCCATCACCTCAACCGTGAGGGTGGAGTGGAGATGGCTTATGGTGCTGAGAATTATGATGAAGATGATGATGAAGATGTGCCACCTAAGACAGTGGGGCTGTTTGGTCTATTCAAATACTCAACCAAATTCGACCTAATTCTCGTGTTTTTCGGTTGTCTGGGATCGTTCATTAACGGTGGCTCTCTTCCTTGGTATTCGTTGCTGTTTGGGAAGTTTGTAAACAAGATAGCTAGGGAATCAGCTATTGACAAACACAAGATGATGAAGCAAGTGGATGAGGTAATATTCTATAGTTCCTCAGATGCGAAATTATATACAACAGATTTGAGGAGTGCCTTTGAAGTATTGCTTAGCACATAAAAATAGTTGATCATTTGCATTTCATATGAAAGTGTACCGATGACCTTAAGAAGTGGTTCTTTGGTATCAGATTTGTGTGCTTATGACTGGATTAGCAGCCATAGTGGTGATTGGAGCATATATGGGTAAGCTACTGTTATTTCTCTTCTTTTTCTTAAAATTGCCTTTTCCCCTAGCACCCTGATATATTGTTTTTTTTTTCCCATGGTAGAAATCGCTTGCTGGAGAATGGTTGGGGAAAGATCGGCTCACAGGATAAGAACTCGGTATCTTAGAGCAGTTCTGCGACAGGACATTGGCTTTTTTGATACAGCCATCAGTACTAGTGACATTATGCATGGAATTTCAAGTGATGTAGCACAAATCCAGGAAGTGATGGGAGAAAAGGTGAATGTGAAGGATAGTTTCAGTGCACAGTTTCCCTTTAAGTTGGTTGATCTTAAATGTCAATTCGTAGTAAAGTTTTTCAAATTATTTCTTTAAAAAAATGTTATTGTTGGTTATCAGTTTGCCTTTATTTCTTTTCTTTCTTTTATGTGTCGTTATTGTTGTTACTTCACCAATGTCAGTTCATAGCTCTTCTGTGCCAGTTACTCTGTCGCACTTCATAATGTAGACCATAAATGAAATTGTAGAATAAGAAAGATCTCACATATGCTCTATATAGCCGACTTCACGTAAGGATAAAGACTCATTGATAGCTAGTGGTTGAACGCAAGGTTTCATTAGTTCAGCTTTTGTGTTTTACAATGCAGATGGCACATTTTGTCCATCACATATTCACATTCATCTGTGGCTACATTGTTGGTTTCTGGAAATCATGGAAAATTTCGCTGGCGATTTTTGCAGTCACACCTTTGACTATGTTTTGCGGCATTTCTTACAAGGCAATATATGGTGGTTTAGCGGCAAAGGAAGAGGTAAAGGAGGAGATATGTAAAGTTTCAACTCCGTCCACCATTCAAGATTGTGTCTGATGATCTTTTCCCATGTTCTCTTTACTCTTTCTTTCAAGGAATCTTACCGGAAAGCAGGCAGCATTGCAGAGCAAACCATATCATCTATAAGAACGGTATTTTCATTTGTTGCCGAGGACATTTTAGCTGGAAAGTATGCTGAGTTACTGGAAATGTCAGTTCCACTAGGAAGAAAGATTGGCTTTGCCAAAGGTGCCGGTATTGGAGTTATTTATTTGGTTACCTATGCGACTTGGGCATTGGCTTTCTGGTATGGGTCGCTCTTAGTTGTGAAAAAGGAGATCTCAGGAGGTGCAGCTATTGCTTGTTTCTTTGGTGTTACTGTTGGAGGAAGGTAGGTAACAAATCAATACTTCAAAATATTTTGTTGAGGTTAATGGTAAGGTTGGATTGCTGTGACAAAGAGTATGATTGTTTTCTCCAGGGGCTTGGCTTTGTCATTATCATACTTTGCTCAGTTTGCACAAGGAACCGTAGCAGCCACAAGAGTATTCGAAATTATAGACAGAGTTCCGGATATCGATCCTTACAATGTAGAGGGTAAACGGCTGTCAAACATAAGAGGCAGGATAGAGTTCAAGAGCGTGAACTTTGCTTACCCTTCTCGTCCAACAATCAGAATTCTCCAATCCCTGCACTTAGTACTTCCAGCCTCAAAGACTTCTGCATTAGTTGGTACTAGTGGAGGTGGCAAGTCCACGATTTTCGCTCTTATAGAGAGATTCTACGATCCCATAGAAGGTTAATCTCTGATTTCTACCATCCCACAAATGGAAATGATATTGTGATTTGACTTTTTTTTATGTCTGAATGATTTCTGCAGGGTCAGTTAGTCTAGATGGTCATGATTTAAGAACATTGCAAGTTCAATGGTTAAGAAGTCAGATTGGTATGGTCGGTCAGGAGCCTGTTCTGTTCTCGACTTCCATAATTGAAAATGTGATGATGGGGAAAGAGAATGCCACCAAGAAAGAGGCAATCAAAGCTTGCATTGCTGCAAATGCTCACGGCTTCATTTCAGAACTTCCACAGGGTTATGATACAATGGTAACACAATGATATTATAATGCTGAAATGTACTTATCATCATTCGTCACCTCTTCAATATTTTAAGAGAATGGTCCTCCTCAACAGGTTGGAGATCGTGGGACGCTACTCTCTGGTGGTCAGAAGCAGCGAATTGCCATAGCTCGAGCAATGGTCAAAGATCCAAAAATTCTTCTACTGGATGAGCCCACAAGTGCCTTGGATCCTGCAGCCGAGGCGGTTGTTCAACAGGCCATTGATAAGATTTCTAAGGGCAGGACTGCCGCTGTCATTGCTCATCGTCTAGCAACTATCAAAAATGCTGACAAAATTGTAGTGCTTGATCAAGGTTCTGTTGTTGAAACCGGTAATCATAATGAGCTAATGGGGAAATCTGGAACTTATTATAGCCTAGTGAAGCTTTCTGCAGAACCAGTCTCATCAAAACCATTTCAAGATAATCAATATGTTGAAGCATCAATTTCAGCTGGTAGACAGAAAAGAGAGCAAAATGCTTATGAAATGTCAAGATCAAAGTACATGATGTCAATTCAAGATGAGGGCCGAGTTGAAGAGGAGGTAAGAGAAGAAGAACAGTCAAAGGCGAGGAATTATAAACTCTCAGAAGTATGGAAACTGCAGAAACCTGAACTCTTTATGCTGTTTTTCGGGTTTATCATGGGAATTCTTGCAGGTGCAGTACTCTCTATCTTTCCTTTAATTTTAGGCCAAGCCTTGAATGTCTACTTTAATTCGGACAATCATATACTGAAAAGGGAGGTGGGGAAACTCTGTCTGATACTTGTTGGACTTGGATGCGGGTGCATAGTCTTCATGACCGGCCAACAAGGATTTTGTGGTTGGGCGGGTACCAAGCTCACCATGCGAGTCCGGGACTTCTTGTTCCAGGCTATACTAAAACAAGAACCGGGCTGGTTTGACATTGACGAGAACAACTCGGGGATACTTGTGTCCAGGCTCTCAATTGATTGTATTAGTTTCAGATCAGTGTTGGGTGATAGATTGTCAGTTATGTTAATGGGGTTGAGTTCTGCTGCTGTTGGCCTTGGGATTTCGTTTTATCTTGATTGGCGACTGACCCTCTTGGCTGCAGCGCTCACACCATTCACACTTGGCGCGAGCTATTTCAGTCTGATCATTAACATTGGACCGAAACTAGACAACAGTTCTTATGCAAAAGCGAGTAACATTGCTGCAGGCGCAATTTCCAACATAAGAACTGTGGCCACATTCTCAGCGCACGAGCGTATTGTTCAATCTTTTGATCAAGCTTTATCTGAGCCGAAGAAGATATCAGGCAGAAGAACACAAATTCTCGGCTTAGCTTTAGGATTCTCTCAAGGTGCAATGTATGGGGCTTATACCTTAACTCTATGGTTTGGTGCTTATCTTGTGAAACAAGACTATGTCGACAACTTTGGGGTGGTCTATAAAATCTTTCTGATACTTGTCTTGAGCTCATTTTCTGTGGGACAACTTGCTGGACTTGCTCCTGACACTTCCATGGCCTCGACTGCAATTCCTGCTGTTTTGGATATACTGAACCGTAAGCCCCTCATAGAACATGACAAAAACAAGAGAGGCAAGAAGATAGAGAAATCAAAACCATTTGAGATCGAGTTTAAAACAGTGACCTTCGCATACCCTACAAGGCCTAATGTGACAGTCTTACGAGATTTTTCCCTGAAAATTAAAGGTGGTGCAATGGTCGCACTGGTTGGAGGAAGTGGATCAGGAAAATCAACAGTAATATGGATGATACAGCGATTTTATGATCCCATTCGGGGGAAGATTTTGATGGGAGGGGTCAATATAAGGGAGCTTGACCTGAAATGGTTGAGAAGGCAGACGGCCCTAGTTGGTCAGGAGCCTGCCTTATTTGCTGGGAGCATAAGAGAGAATATTGCATTTGGAAGACCTAATGCTTCATGGGCCGAAATCGAAGATGCAGCCAAGGAAGCGTTCATTCACAAGTTCATCAGTAGCCTTCCTCAAGGTTATGATACAGAGGTATGTCTACTCTAAATCTCTAATAGCATGCACAAGTTTATAATGTAGAAATAATAGGTTCCGAGTTGAAGGTTGCACAAGTTTATTACTCTGTGTATGATACAAAAACAGCACATTAGTTCTGGTGATGTTATTACAGGTGGGAGATAGCGGGGTGCAACTGTCCGGTGGCCAGAAGCAAAGAATTGCGATAGCCAGAGCTATATTAAAGAAGTCGAAGGTTCTACTACTTGATGAAGCAAGCAGCGCTCTTGACTTGGAATCAGAGAAACATGTCCAGGCAGCACTAAAAAGAATCGCCAAAAGAGCAACCACAGTCGTCGTGGCTCATCGCCTTTCTACAATCCGCGAAGCAGATGCCATTGCGGTTGTCAAAAATGGCGCAGTGGTAGAGTATGGAAGCCATGACAATCTTATGGCTTCCCACCTTGATGGTGCATATGCTAGTCTTGTTCGGGCAGAAATGGAAGCCACGGCATTCGCATGAGTGTCCGAATACTCAAACAAAAACAGAAAAAAAAAGATCAGATGACAAGGCACATTGACGGATGAATCATGTTAAAGTTTTGAGGGACTGCACAAATCAACCATAAGAATTCGACACAAACTATTCGGATGGGCCTAGCTTCGGTTGTTTTTTGTTTTCAAACCTACGCAGAGAGTAAAGACTGCAATCTAACTGTAATGTTTTAGTTGTTAGGCCACAGAGTAACATTTCATTCTGATTTAACGAGTTGAATAAATAACTTCAGATTGCGAAAGTGCTACCGTTGTACCAATAAATCCTTTGCTTTATATCCCAAAATGGCAACAATTTGAAAATAAAAAATAAAAAAAAAATCTCTTCGGCTCCAACAAGTACCATTTCCTTCCATTGCAAATGAAGAATTGTCCTAGCTTGGAAATGTGGTTACTTTAAAAACACTAGAAAATATGTAGTAACAAGTTTCCTAGTGTGCGTTTGATCTGGAAGATTAGTGAAGTCAAATACAACCAAACCCTTTGTCTCATTTGCTTCTTTTGCAAAATTCCCCCTTACGAAACTGCATCACTAAACCAAAACATTTTATTCCTCGTCTCATTTTAATAGCCTACATTTTCTAATATTCGCTTACTTTGTGTATTATTTATGTTTGGATCTTGAAATCAATAGGATCTATGAGTTGGGGAGATAAAAAGAGTTTCTAGCAACTAACAGTACTACTCAAAAAGGGCAGAGCAGTCATTCAGAATCAGACAAGAAAGGGTCATTCACTGGACCAAACAATGAATCTAATTTCCTTTTCTTAGAAGCCAAGTGAACTTAAGTAGGATGGTTACTTTCCTGTAATGTTAAGCTATGTCTTTTGGTTTAGGCTCTTTGTTTTTTGTTTTCGTTTTTTTTGGGTAAATCATTCCCCAAACAGAGTACTCTGCATTCTTGTTCTTTTTGTTCCATTTTCTAGGAAAATACACAATTTTATTGTCTCCTCAAAACACACCAATGTTCCTTAAATGAAAAACTGACCTTTCTTTGTTAGGTTTGGTTGAATGAATGCAGTTGAAGGGTTGGGAAAAATAACGAGGAAACAGTTGAGGGGTCGACAGATTTTCCAGCATTCTGATAATGAGAAATTGTAACCTCTGATCAATCAGCAAAAATTGGGGGAAAGAAGAATAACTGAGGGAAACATGGCATCCCTCATTCCTGGAGTACTAATCAAGCTTCTTCAGACAATAAACTCGAAAAATGTCAAAATTCGCGGCGAATACAGGTCCGTTCTTCTCCAAGTGATAAGCATAGTTCCGGCCTTGAACGGATCAGAACTGTGGCCAAACCAGGGATTCTTCATAAAGGTCTCGGATTCTTCCCATTCAACTTATGTATCACTACAAAAAGACGACAATGAGCTTATCCTGAATAACAAGCTCCAACTCGGGCAGTTCTTGTATGTTGACAGAATGGAACCAGGAACTCCTGTCCCTTTTTTGGTCGGGGTTAGGCCGGTTCCAGGCCGACATCCATTTATCGGTAACCCGAAAGATTTGATGCAGATGACGGAAGATACATCCACAGGCCAGGAAAGCGATGAAAATTTGTTTTCACTGGATCAACAACTTGCTCCACAACCAGCAACAGCAGCAAAAGAAGATGGTTTAAAGAAGAAAATTGTGATCAAAGAGGAAAAAGCAGTTGTATCCTCCAGATATATGCAAGGTGTGTTAACCCCTAATGCAACAAGAACAAATGGAGCTGATCATGCAGAACCTGGTAAAAAGAATTCACTACTGAAAGGGAAACAACAAGAGATTAGAGGTCAGGTATGAACAATCTTCATTTCACCTCATTGGACTTTGCCATGTTCTTGTGATAAAGAGAAACAGGTTGATTCTACATAGATGCTAAAGAACAAACCCGAAATAATATAAAAACAACCAATGAGAAACAATACAGAGAAGACAAGGAAAGAAAAGAAGTGGCCATGGTCTTGAAATTGTACTCCTTTCGTCCCATTCTAGTAGTTCACTTCATTGTATCACACCCTGCAAAATTCATTCCGTGAACCCGTACTTCAATGCTATAATTTACTAGATATGAGCTGTGTATTACATTTCAGACACGACCTGTGACTCCGCTAAGAACTCGCCCAGATGGATCCACGGGAAATATTGATGTTGATACTTCAATCGACAAAGCGGCTGGGTTGTCTTCTTCGCGATTTTCAAATGTAAAACAGTTGAGTAGCAGCAAACCAGCAGACAGCTCTCGTTCAAGTTCATTGGCCACAAGCAATCATCAAGGCAAACCTCAACCTCATGATCAGGCCATGACAAGCTGGTCCAATTTGCCTTCCAACCTTCTCAAGATCGGAAAGGTAATGATCAGTAAACTAAAATGCACCAAACTAAAGTAAATACCAGCAGTTTTTTTTGGACTGTTTCTAAATCCATACTACTAAAATAAATCAAATGACGAAATCTGCATTCCCCCCCTTCATGTGGCAACTATCAACTCAAGGGGTTGATTAAGAGGAGAAATTTGGCGACTTTAGTAGCCGCCGAAGCCCAGAAAGAAGCATCTGCAGCAGCAAATATAGTCAAGTGCCTCAGGTTAGTAGTAAACAGTTTTCCTACAATCTTATTTCTAGCAGCGGCCTGACTGTCTATCAGCTGCAGAAAAATTCAGAAAGAACTACTTGCATTTCTAGAAATGATCACGTTTTTTTCTCTCGTTCGGTACAATAAAAGAGCCAAAGCCAAAAAGAACATCAATTTGGACACATTTAATCAGATTGAATAATTTCTGAACTGTACTGCATGTTTTCATGTTCATTTTGTTGTATGTCTTTGTAGCATATTTTCAGATCTCTGCTCAACTGCCTCGCCTGGGGAACCCCACATCTATTTGTCAATGTTCTTCACGCTGCACCAGCTAATTGATCAGCCAAATGTTATAACAACCACCGTACCTAATGATACATCAGATCACTTTGCTGCCAACTTAGCAGCAGTGCAAGGTAAAGATCATCAACCAATCAAAAAGACATTTTCCTCACCAATAAGCAACAACAACAAGATGATGAAGCTTAGTAGCTCAGACAAGCTGGAATGGGCAAAACTCGACAGTTTAGCAGAAATCAAAGAAATCAGGCAGGCTGTTTTGAATGAAACAGAAACATGGTTCTTGAAGTTTTTGGAAGAAGCACTCGATGCTGGTTTCCGCGGCCGTAGTAATAATCAGAACATCAACAAAAGGGGAAGCAAAGACAGTGGCCAAAATGCAAAAGCAAACCAAATGGATCCTGGTAACCAGATTGCCCTGACATTGTCACAGCTTAAGCACGCGAACGAATGGCTGGATCGACTCAGAAACAATGCAGACTCAGAGAAAAAAGATTTGGTGGCAGAAACTGTCGATAAGTTGAAGCAAAAAATTTATTCCTGTTTGCTTCTTCATGTGGATTCAGCAGCATCAGCTTTAGAAAGCCGATCCAGCATATGATCATGAGCGACAACAACAAAATTAATTATCTATACTATCTTGCAGCAAGCTTTAAAAAGTACTATTTATGTGCCCTCTAATGCCCTGTACAAGATAATTTATGTTAGAAACATTTGTCCCATTTATCACCAAGCCTTCAATGTGAAGTTTACTAGTATGTACAGAGAAAGCAATAAATGAGAAAAAAGGTAACCAGAAATTTTTACACACTAAAAAGATTGAAGAATGGGGTATAGCTTAATTTCCCAATGTTTTTGTCCAACTCATTTTGGTTACAACACATTGTTTAAATTTCCTTTCCGGCATTGTTTGCTGGAGAGTTGGCCTTTTGGCAGAATGATTTATAGGAGTTGGTCTGAGATGGAGGATCAGGGCACATGTAAAAAATGTCCGAGTTATGCTTGCAAGTCTAGCATGTGCCCTGCTTCTCCATCTTGGGCTGACCCCTAACTGAAACTTAATGTAACAGAATGACAAGGACTCGATTAGGGAATTGCATATTGTTTTTTTCAGCAATCCCCAGGGCAAAGTACTGTATGTGCAGCTGCTGCATATGAATTTACTCACATATAAAAATGTAACTGAGAGGCCAACAGCTTTTCCTTTAGTAGGTCAGATGGTTGAGCTTTTGTCATCAATAAATTTACTTGGATTGTTGTATCAACAGAAGCAAGAATTTCGAAGATGATTTGCATAAAAAATGTATGCTCGTTAAGCTATGTTACTCGGACTCTTTTATTTGGGGAGAATACCCGTGTCGTGTCGCGTTGACACTAGTATGGGTATGAGTGTCGGGGGTGGCATTTTAGTATAAAATGTCCAAGATTTCTAAAATATTGGTATGAGTGTACCCGATACGACACTGGTATCCATAACATTCATGTCTCCGCGCACCCGATACGACACTGGTATCCATAACATAGTCGTTAAGTGCTAGATTGTTTTTAGAAAAAAAAAAAAAAAGTGCCAGAGGTTTAGATTGTTGAAGTTTGGCGGCCAAAAAGGAATACTATAAAGCAGCAAAATTGATAAAACCGATATTGACCGAAATCGGTTAATCGGCCAGAGTGTAGGATTTTGCGACGTCCATTTTGGTCCAGTCCATCAACACCGCCACTTTAAAATTCCAACCGCCCCCTCTCCCCCGCCTAGGGTTTTGCTAAAGAGTTCAGTCAGAAAAAGATGTTCTCAAGATTTTGCGGAACCGGTGTATGTTTATCACATTTCAATTCTTTTTCTAATGTATTCCTTTCTTATTCTTTTGTAATTCTTATGAATCACAATGCGCAGGTTGAGAGTAAGAAGTCCGTCATAAGATTGGTGGCAACTCGGGGAGCGCTTTCCGGTCCTAATAATTCTCAGGTAATCATAATTTTTTTTTAAATCGTTCAGTGTTTTATTTTTCAATGAATTTGCTGCTGAAGGTCTTCATTTTTTACGCTTAATTGCTGCTATAACGTGTTTGTTGATGGGTTGGGGCTGTTAGGGGATTAGGATGGGGATGTTCAATTCTCGCCACATTCAATTTAAAACGAATCTGTTTGTTTGGTATGTATCTTATGGAGCTCTGTGTTTATATGATACTAAAATTATTCATACTAACGGGTTATTTTGTTGCATGAGAATTCTCACATGTTTGTGTTGCTCTCGACAAATGTAGTATTTTGGAAACTTAGGCTTGGATATCATGGCCCTGAATTGTTAGGACTATTTTCTCCATCGGTTTCAATAATCATTGCAATATGGCCTGTTTATCTGAGATCAATGTTTTTATTAAATCATCTTTAGCTTCCTTGTCTCAGTTTTCGAATTGCTGTTAGTTGGTAACAGTTTTTTTTTTTTTTTTCCAGTTATTAGGCTCTGCATGTAGCATGTAGTTGCTTATGTAATATGTTTTAGATTGCCGTTATCCGTCTACTTAAGTAGTCTTGTAATAGGTAACAGTTGTTTCCCAGTTATCAGCCGCTAAATGTTGTTGCTTATGTAACTGTCTTAACTTCAGGCTGATGCTGCCTGGAGGGCTGCTACATGGGAGCTTGGAAACAGTACATGTAAGCACTAGCTACTTCAAATTGAACTCTTCTTTTATATCGTGCCCATGATGGAAACAAATTGTTGGAAAGTCATTATCTTGCACTCAGCACTTGCGTTTATTCATCTACAACCTATTTACCAAACTCAAGACCTTTTTGGAGTGCAACTGATCTAGTTTTGAAGATTAACATGGATAAAGAACATCATATTCTGCAATCATTTTTTTTAATGTAAAGTTGTGTCTCATGTTTTCATCCGATGCATCCCGCCCTTTCAGAATGCTTGTCTAATAGTTTCTAATTAGGTACTCTTCAATTTGGAACCAGGCAATCAACTGGTATTGATTTTCCTCGGCATGTGCTGAATCATGTTCAGGTAAGATGATTTTCTTTCAGATTGTGTTTGCATAACTTGTCATTGTATTCTTTGAATGGCAATAACTTTGTATGCCGCTTACCTTTACTAGTCCTTGGATTGTGTTTGGAACTCCCACCTAAGTTATTTCTCCTCTTGTTGTTCACCTCTGCCATGTACAGATGAGACAAGAGATAAGTGCTATCGGAATTGTCCCTAATGATGCTTTTAAAAGGTGGGTTCTCCACTTGCCTTATCACTATGCGCCATCTCGTAAATCATATGCAGTTAATGGAGCTTTGCATGGGCCTCTTGGAGCAGTTTCTTTTGTTTTAGAGCCTAGTAGTAGGGGTTTTGGGACTGGTCCTCTCATCATCAAACCTCCAGAAGAGGTTATCTCATTTCCAAGATATGATCGTCATGGTATTCCCTCTGAGGTAAGAATTTGATTTTTATTTCAGTTCTTATATTTTAAAAATTTTTTCTTTCTTTTTTTTTGAGGATTTTTTTTTCTCTTTTCTCTTTTGTAGGAGGAGATAAGAGAAATTCGACGGTTGTACGAGCCATTTGTGGAGTTGTACATGAAATCGGACAAAAATAAGCAGAAGAAGAAAGTTACTTGGGGGGCTCTCGCAGAAGCAATTATGCGAACTTCTTTGGAAAACAGACGTTCACTTCTTAAGCAGATTCCAAATAGAAATTTGGAAATTGTGGATGATAACTCTCTTAGCGATGTGTGTCTGGTTTTTGAAAAACCAGACTTTAGGTAAGATCTCTTCTTTTTTAGGTCTCCACTTGACATTGATGTGTAAAATCTACTGTGTTATTTTTAGTTTAGGGCTGCACTCAAGTATCTGCCTAGTTGCTTTTTGAAATTGTCAATAGATGAGACACTCAACTCTCAACTTGTTCGCTATATCCCATTAAGCATGGTTTTCATTTTAACTTTTCAGTTAAAAAAAAAAGAGTATTTTGATAGCAGTTCTCCTTAGCTTTTCGATTTAAAAAGAATTTTCCGCCTTTCCTTGGCTTTCTGATTAAGAATTCTCCTCCATCGCTAGTTAACTTCATGGTTTCCTTATAGACCTCTATTTTCTAATATACATGTAACTAATAATCTTGAACAACATCTAATTAGTGCACCATGATATAGGCTTGTCCATTTTGGAACGCATTCTGTTGGCTACTCTCTTGTCTTTCTTTTGTTCTCTTTTTGTTTGCAATTTTCACTCCATCATTGAGTTAACATTTGCTTAAAAAAATTTCTACAGTAACTATGATCTAATGATTAACACTAAAGCAACACCCCAAGATAATAGTCGCAAGAATCATGTTCATTCCGTTATTGTGAGAAATACGAGGGGTGATTTGGAATTTTGGCACAATGAAGTGATAGAAAACGTCCACATCCATCAGGTGAATTCTGAAATGCAAGCAATAACTCTAGCAGGACAAATTCTTAGGAAGAAAAAGGATCTGAAGAATCTGAAAATTCTGTTTCGGTCAAGTTGCGAGAGTGCTGTAAGGATAGCAAAGTCTGGTTATATAAACAATAAAAAAGGCGAAGCTTTTGTGAAGGTTTGTAGGTATGTTCTACGCAATTAAATATAGTAGTGACATCCTAATTTTCTAAATGGGTTTATAGCTTCTTATTCTTCTTATTCATCCTTTTTTTTTTTTCCGTGCAGTGACTTGCACGATGAAATTCATAATTTGCGTAAAGAAGGTTGTGAGGTGGAGGTGGAGCACATCTCGGCCGAGGAAAATTTTGTGGCAGATGCAGCTGGTCATGCATACTTTCGTAACAAGACTCAAGCAAACATTGATGGGAAAATCAATAGTGCTGTGAAGCAAAAGGTTGAACATAACAGGCATCCTTTTTTAATTTTCAGAAAGAGAAAAATTCAGTTACAGTCCAGTTGAGGCACATCATCTAACTGGGCGAAGGAGGATGCTTTATTGCTTTTAGTTGTATGCTGGCTACTCTTTGAAAATTCTTTAGTAACTCATGCCTACTTTGCCTCTTACGCTAGGATCTTCTGTGAGTATTTAGGTGAACAATTGGTAGTGATGAAAATCCCTTTTTTAAGGAATTTAGAGGAGAAGAAACCTGATATTTTGCTTTTATGGTAGCTGAAGGTAAAAAAGTTCAAGTGGTTTGAACTCTGGCACCAAAATCCGGAGATTTAGGTTCGATTTTTACCCGGGACAATTTAGAATTGTAAGTGTTAGTGTGCAGACATTTCAAGCACCAGATGGTGCTCCTCAGTAATAAATAAAGAGGATGGGTATAGAATTTTGTTGTTACAACAACTACTTTTGATGTTTATTCGAAATGCCTCCTCACTAATACATAAAGAGGATGAGTAAAGAAGATAAAAATCAATCTCTTAATCTTAATTTCGAAAATAAGAATTCCCTACTTCATATATGTCTAGCTAGTGTATTAAATTTTTTTTTTTACAAAAAAAACGTCATATTTAATGAAATCTACTGGCATTATTTTGTAAATAGTTGATGTTATGATGATGTAAGAACTCTGAAACATCCTCCAATTGGCCTTTGAAGATAAAGAAGTAACTTCAATATGAGTTTTTGAATGTTTTATGATCACAGCTTTGCTTCTAACTGTTCTACCAAACTTCAATTGTTTCAGCTTATCTTCAGCTTTTGCCGAGCTTGGTTTTTTTTTTTTTTTCCTAAAATCGCTAGCAAACAGAAGGAGTTAGTTCATGACTTTGTATTGATATTCTTTAGGGGAAAGGTGTCACAGATATATAACCACCACCATAGTCTATACTTTGGTGGTGGACTAGGAATTCAACCCGCCCCGGTGATGCTTTTGCTTTTTGGGGGTGTTTGTACTTCAAAATTAGTTCGTCTAAATACAGGCTGAAATCATTAATGACAATGCTGGCCATGGAGCATTTCTTCCTACTGGAAGCGCTATCAAAGGCAGCTAGAATTCAAGGTTGGGGTGAACAAGTCTCGAAAAGTTGGCACTGGGGGTGTGGGCGCGGAGAGAACTTCAGGAATCAGGACCCTGATGCAGAACAAGCTTCAAAATATTGCGACTGATGGGAACTAAAGGCAGCCAAAATCGAAGCCCGGAGTGCAGAATATGATCAGAGTTATGAAACACATGCTCACAAATGATCTTGGAATAGCTTAGATCTCGCAACCTTTGTTGTATAAATTTTTCTTTTTCAACTCAGATGCATAAGTTGACTTCTGTTTTTGGATCGATAGAAAATGTGGTTCAATGATATTTTGGGTGCAGGGCTGCAAAAGTGTGGGAAAAGTTGCGGGCTGACCCCTAACTGGAACATTATCCCCATAACCTGCTGAAATCTGCAAATGTATAACAGAATGACCAGGACTCAAGTAGCGAATTGGAGATTTTTTTTTTTCCGGAAATCCCATGGCGAAGTACTGTATGTACAGCTTGTGTAGGTCAGGTAGTTGTGCTTTTCCGGCAATAAAATTACTCGGATTATTATATCAACAGAAGTAAGAATTTCGAACATGGTTTGCATTACAAAAGTGCCAGAGTGTTTTCAGGAAAAAAAAAGAAAAAGGAAAAAAGAAAGTGGCATAGGTTTAGATTGTTGAATTGGCAGCCAAAAAGGAATACAAAGCAGCAATTAGTTTCATTGATGCAAGAAGTCCGAGGTCCTTAAGTGGGATCAATCAATACTAATACAAACAGCAAGGCAGATAACATTTTTCTAAACAAACCTAGTTGTCAATACTCCCTAAAAGTGAGGTTCAGTCTGCCAGGTCTCAAATTTGTTTCCTCTGAAAGATACTTGGGAGCCGTGTCTGCAAAAATAGTCGATACGCCATGAAAGATATGCCTAGCTTTACCACCGAATATCAACACATCCCCAGATTCTAGGACCACTTTCTCCACCTTGTCAACATCTCTCTGGTCGCCATACAAAAATTCTGCAGAGTCACCTATCGAAAAGGATACCACAGGCAGCCCTTTACTAAGACTCTCCTGACTTTCATCTTTGTCCTGTAAGATAAAAGGAAACATACATCGGTTTTACAGCACAAGAATGATTAAAGGAAGAGAAACAAGGATATTAACGCTAGTTATAGAACCTGATGGAGTCCAAGCTTGCCAGTCTTTGTATAGAAATTGACAATGCAGATATTAGGTGTCATTGATGGCAATATATCTTCAGCAGTTTGCGTCTTGCTGCCTCTATTCCTCAAATGAGAATGGGATGCCTTGATGGCGTTCAGGACCAAATCATGAAATTCATCAGGAATGGGAGGAGGTTTGGATCTGTCACAAGGCCTTAAGTCGCCGTACTTACTCGTCTCAGGGTCCCAATTTTTCCCTAAACACATCATTTTTAGGCTCAGTTTTGCTCCATCTTGATATCCAGGTTGATAGAAACCCCCAGGGCCAACCCCAAGTTCCCTGCAAGATCTAATCACTTTCACCTGAAATGCAAAAGGCCAGTAGAAACATGCATAAGCAAAAAGGAAATCCGTAAACCACGAACCTAAATGTAAACCAAAATGCATCAGATCATTTTCAAACCTGATCATTCAAGGAAATGAAATGTTTTAAGAGAAGCATTCCCGGCCTCAATACTTGTATGCAGAGTCCATCAGCTCGATTTTTCTCATTCCTTATTTCTCTATTCTTCAAGTGAAGAGGGAGATTAAGCTTAACACTGGATCTGTTTCTGAAAGGGCAGATGTCATAGCAGAAAACAGAATCGTGAGCTTGAACATCAGCACCGGATACTCTCTTTAGAGAGCTTTCTTCGATATTAAAAACCTTAACTCCATCATCGAACACGGACAGTTGAGAGAGTTCCCTAACTCTGTTTGATTCAGCAACAGAATGTGAGCTTCTTTTATCTGCATTACCTGTTTTCCCTGCATGAGCTCCTCCAGAAGTGTATTCACTGTTGCTGCCCGAGACAGCAACAGAATAAGAATTTCCTTTACCGGCATATTTGATCTTCCCTGAACGAGCTGCTCCTCCACTGGGAACAACCCATGTATTACTTTTGCTAGTTCTGCCCAGATCAGAAACAGAACAGTAGTTTCCTTCATCTGGAAAACCTATTTCCTGCGACAATTGAGCTCCTCTGGAAACAACAGCAGTGTCATACTCCCGAGTATTGGCCGTGTCATCTACAGAACAAGATTCCAGCATAATTGCTTTACTACTGTTGTCCGAATCACCAGCATTACATGAATTTCCCTTGCCCGCAAACCCTGCTTCTCCTGAATGAACTCTTATACCAGGAACAACTCTAGTATTAAACTCGCGATGGCTGCCCGAATCCGCAACAGAAGGAGAGTTTCCTTTACCTGCATAACCTAATTTCCCTGAATGAGCTCCTTTAGGAACCCACTTAAGAGACCCGTGAGTGCTACCCGAAACACCAACAGCGGACCAGTCTCCTTTACCTGTATAACCAGATTGGCCTGAACGAGCTCCTCTGCCAACAGACCTAGTATCTAGAGAAGAAATGTCCTTCCTGAAACTCTTTCGGGAAGACCATAATGATGCATTACTTTCCACCAACGTATCATCCATCACTTCAGTGTTCTTCTGATTCATTGACACATATTGTCGATCATCACGCGTGCATTGACGATGGGCTGATGCTGAATCATCTCCACCATCAGGATCAGAAACTTCCTCTGAATTTTTCTTCATCAAGATATCAAATTGTTAACACCCTACAAGAATCAAAAGCTCGAAATTTGGGTACTGATGAATCACTGAAAACAAACCAGCAAAAACAGCCAAGAAGGAACCGCATACATACTGATCTGAGGATGAATATATATACAATTTCGGGGGAAAACGAAAGATCCCAAATATCTTCGTCGAAATTAATTCAGTCCCATCTAACAAAAACTTTTCGTCTCTTGTTTGGTCGATTCCCTTTTTCAATAACAATATTCGTCGGGTTTGCATGAACGATGACACGTTTTCCAACGTTAAAACAATTTTGATCAATCGTTACCAAAATTATTTTTGATTTTTTTTTCGAATAATAACAATGTAGAACCGTCCTCTAAAATTACACACTTTTGCGGGTAAAAAGTTTATTCATTGAGTTTTTGTCTTAATAAGAACTAGATGCTTGGCCAGGCAGATGCCCGGACGCCCTTCTACTTTAATTTTATGTTAATAGATAAATGAATTCTTAATTTGAAAAAAATAAAATAGCTACACATTTGTTTTTTTTTTTGTTTTTTAGTAAAAAATAATTATAAAAATAAAAAAATCATCTGCCAAAGGAGAAAAAATATTGAAAAGTACAACGATTCAGAAATCATACAAAAGAATATGGAGTAATAAAGGGGATAAGTTTATGGACAAATTTAAATACTATTTTAATTTGATTGATAAATGATAAATGTTAGGAGTTAAAATTGTATAGTTATTTTTGTAAAGTAGCTTTTGTTTTTCTGGATAAGAATTTTTTTTTCTTTTAAAAAGGGATGACACGTGGCAGAATGGTTAATGCAATATGGTGCATTTGGAGCCAAAAATTTTTGATAAGAAGTTGCCACATCAACATCCTGTATTCTGCTTTAATAGGGTAAAAGGGATGGTATATTGGCAAGATCATGCTATTTATTAGCTATTTTCCCACCTAAAATGCATTATCAAAATTTACTTCACTCTTAAGTTAAAGAAAAAAAGAAAAAGAAAAGAAAAACTTACAATATATATTTCGGTATATTGGCAAGATCATGCTATTTATTAGCTATTTTCCCACCTAAAATACATTATCAAAGTTTACTTCACTCTTTTTTTCTTTTCTTTTTTTTTTATTGAACTTTCATTTTTTTTTTTTTGACTGCCACGGTTTCCCAAAACTTTTGTCCCGACTAATCCGTTGGTCGACCGGAGCTTTTCCAGAACTTTCATATATTTATTAATAGCAAGACAAACTATTATAGAGAAGTATCTAGTTGAAGATACACCTTTGCTAACCTATGCGAGCCTTCTACTATGTCTCTCCTAACTTTAATAATATTACATTCAACCACTGACAGTTGAAGGTACATCGGACATGCTTTCTTCTGTGTGATATACTCCACCATATTCTGGCTATCAGTTTGGAGCTGACAATCATGTAGACCCATTGCTACTGCATCCTGTAATCCTAGCAAACATGCTCGACCTTCAGCATCTTCAGACGACCTTGCATTGAACGCCTCCATTCCTGATGCGATGTGACGACCTTGATTCGTGATTATTTCCCATGCTCCAGCACCGTGGCTCGTAGCCTCAAGAAAAACACCATCTGTACGAATATAAAACATACCTCTCATCTGATCCCTTGTAGTTTCACTTGCACAGTTCTTTTCTATAGAAGTTATCGGAGTGGCATTTACTTGATTTCGCTGTGTTGTTTTAAAAAACATCTTCCATTCGCTCATTGCCAGATGTTGAACCTGACCAGGTTCTTGCAACTGTCCATCCCATACGACCTTGTTCCTGGCTAGCCAAATGTCAAAAAACAGAGAAAGACTGTTGAATGAGCCCTTTATCTGGAGCTGTTGTAAGCCAGCCTTCGAACCATTCAGTCAAAGGTATTCTAGACCCAGAACTAAAATCAAACCCCAAAGGGAAGCTTCTCCAAATTCTCTGTGACTGATCACATTCAAAGAAAATGTGTTATGTGTTTTCTTGATGTATTTCACATCTAAGCACACAAAGTCTGTGTGATTACTCCACGTTTATTTAGCGATGTTTGCCGATGGCAAAGCATGATTCACCATCCTCCACCCCTAAGTTAAAAAAAAAAAAAAAAAAAAGAAAAACTTACAATATATATTTCCTAAATTTAAATTGAAATTAGCCCATACTTATGCCAATTTTTTTTAAAAAACCACAATCTTATTGGTTTAAAGATGGAAGTAACCAATATTTTTTAGTTTTCATATGTTCATATCAAATCAGTCAATTCAATTAATATATTCTGAATTAATTTTCAATTCAAACTGAAAAAATTCAATAGATTACACATAGTACATTTTTTTTTTTTTTAATATAGATATGACAAAACACTTCCACTTATTAATCTTCTCCACACAAATAAACCCCGGCACTTGAGGTTTAACCACAGTCGACAAAATTTTTAGAATTTTTAATTATAGAGTTTTATTTGTAATGAATATAATTTGTATTGTATTGTAGAAGAACTCTTACTTTTAAGAAAAACATTAGCATAAAATCTCTATAATAATGTAAATTAAATCTAAATTTTGTATAAGTATACAAATATTTCAAAACCTGTAAACCGTTGGATAGATTATTCAAGAGTAGCCACTCAATTTGTGAAACTGTATTGCGATTCAAGATATTAGAATGATTTCAACATTATATAGTTGTTGCAAATTGCATTCCTATATCTTAATCAAATACTGAAATCACACCGTCTTAGGCTTCGACCTCTTTTTTTGTAATTATAAAAAAAAAAAGAAAAAAAGTGCATTGCATTTTTGAAGTGTTTTTTACTAAATGAGTTAATACAATAAGAAAGCAAATAGTGTGCAAAAAGTTTAATTTTAAAAGTATTCTGGACTAATTTGGTAATTTCGTATTCTGTCGGTCCTAACACCTAACGGAAGGGAATACTGCTGTGTGTTAAGATCCGGAGTCCCTTATGGTACGATTCCCCTCCGCCTTGTATTTCGTTTTGGTTTCCACCCACCCAAACTTCCCAATATCTCTGAATACAGCATCTCGGCATTTCTCCGAATCCGATCTGGGGAAAAAGTTCCGGGGACGTTACCGTAACCCTAGCTCTGATCATAATCACCGCCAAATTTCAACTTAATACCGGAGATCGCATTCGCTTCTGATACGCATACGTTTTACCGAATCGGAGGCTCGTAAGCGTATGAAACAGCCGCATCTCCGCTGACTGATTTGCGAAATTGAGGTACCGTACAACGATTGCGTTCTTTTGTCAATTTCCTCAATCAAATTGCGTCAATTTTCCCTTCGGTATATTTGTGTTTACGGTTTCGAGTTGCTGGAGATTGAGTGGATTGGTATTGCATAGCTTTAATTTTTATTCTTGTTAATTCTTGGCTTCGCTTTTTCATTATTTTTAGAGTTAGCAACTTTCGTCAATGTCCAGTATTACGTCTGATCGAGCTGCAGACGATTGGGGCGTTTTTTTTATCTTCCTATTTGCATCTTTGTGCTTATGGTTTGATACAAGTTGCTGGGTATTTAGCCAGCTGATTGGTGATTGGCACTGTTTTTATGGTTTTTATTTTTCCGTGTAGGTGGAGGAGGAATATTGAGGAAAGAAGAAAATGGTGAAATTAACTATGATTGCTCGTGTTACTGATGGTCTTCCATTGGTGGAAGGACTAGATGATGGCCGAGATTTTCCTGAGGTTGATTTGTACAAGAAGCAAGCCAAAGCTTTGTTCACAAATCTATCAAGGGGAAATACTGGGGATTCCAGGATGTCAATTGAAACTGATCCTTATGTTTTCCAGTATCCTTTGGTGTAGGTGTTCCTATTCTTGTTTTTTTCCTCCTTAAATTATTTATTAATTGTTCTGTTTTGACAGTATTTGAAGTCTGGAATAAAGGATAGATGGTTGTAGTTTTTGTATCTTTTGTTGTGTTATTACTTGTTATAGAACTCGCGTTCTATTATACCAATGCTTTTTTAAGTTTTTCAATTGTCTTCCTGTTAAGGCTAAATGACCCAGTCTGCTCACTCTGGTAGCCTATTGAGAGTGATGTATTTTGGTGCATTTTTTCTTTGGGTTTTGCTTTGCCTAGATTCCTATAAATGGATGGATCCTAGTTTTCTTCTTTGGTTTGCTAGAATTAGATCTGAACTTATCTAAAACCATGTACTTGAGCATTTTGTTTTCTTGTTTTTTTTTTTGGCATGTTGATTGGTTTAATCCAATTGAAAATTGTGAGTATGAGTGTGAATATGGCCAGTTCAATGGGTGACGGAATTTTATCAGATTTGTCTACAATAAACTAATTGATCTTTTAAAGGGAGGCTCATTTGAATCATACTTTGAAAGTTGTTTGTGGCTTTACTGATTTACCCGAGATATTCAAATGCATTATTTTTTTATCCTTCATTTTGGGTTATGCGCTATTTTGTTTCCTTGATAAAGATCATAGCTATATCATTGAAAGGAAGGTTTGTTATTTGACCATGTGTGACCGCTCTTACCCGAAGAAGCTTGCCTTTCAATACCTTGAAGATCTCAAGAATGAATTTGAACGTGTAAATGGGAGTCAAATTGAAACTGCTGCTAGACCTTATGCGTTTATAAAGTTCGGTAAGATGATTTTTCTTGATATCTCTCCATTCTTTATGTTTTAATCTATCCCTGTCTTTGCTTCTTTTACATCTGATGACTCGTTTACCTTCTTGCACATTGCAGATACATTTATACAGAAAACAAAAAAGTCATACCAGGACACAAGAACGCAGAAGAACATTGCAAAGTTGAATGATGAGCTTTATGAAGTACATCAGATTATGACTCGTAACATACAAGAAGTTCTTGGTGTTGGTGATAAATTGGATCGTGAGTCTTTTTCATTTCGATCTCCTTTTGGGGTATAGCATTGAAATATGCTAAAACTGTTTGTGATATTGTGATGCGACATACTCTACTTGTTTGAATTTATGTGTGAACTGTTAAGTTAGAAACCGACGTGAACCTCAGTTGCTAGAATATCCAAAAATAATGTTTTGAAGTGCGAACTACTTGTTCTGATTTCTCTGAAACTTTTTTCTTCAACATGTAATCTCACTGTTTTGGATTATGGTTTTTGCGGGGTGGAATTTTTTTCGTGGACGTTGCTGCGAATATTATTGCACCTTACTCCTCATCTGGCCTATGTGTTACTAAGAGAACTTTTAACGGCTGTTCATCACTCATTGCCCTTTGGCAACATTAAATAGCTCATCTGGTTTTCAATTTTAGTACTTGATCCGTGGCTGGTCCTCATGTATTAAACTGTTTATGTTTTATTTTGTAGAGGTGAGTCATTTGTCAGGCAGATTGACTGAGGAATCTCGCATATATGCAGACAAGGCAAAAGATTTGAATAGACAGGTAAGTCCATAAGTATAGTACAAAATAAATGCATTTGCTCTTTGTTTCTAATTTTACTCTTTACTTTTTGTGAGTCCATGCAAAGTGTGAATTTCTTTTATAATTTTTTTTATAATGAAAATTGATGTCACTCATATCATTTCTCTGGTATTGGCTAGGTGAGTGTAAAACAGACGAACTTATTTATTGTAATGATCTTTTTCGGTGAAGAAATCTACCTTTGTGAGATACTACCTCTTGAATTCTTTTGAGTGTAGCTTCACAGTAACCTTTTCTCCTTGAAGAAATTTGTTTTGCCTTGTATTTTCTGCCTCAAGCATTTTTTACTGTGATGTATTGTTATACACATGACAGCAAGAAGCAGCCTTTAACCTGCTATGTGGGGTCGGCTGTATGTAATACAAATGTTGGAGAGAAAATTTTTTGGTAGTCAAGTCTTTCAGTTTTTGAATTTGACATCTCATCTCAAGACACTCCCCTTCCTCGATCGCTTTATAAAACTAATGTCTTACACACTTAAATTTCTATAAACCAAGAGTAGAGCCATGGCTATATCGTGTTAGGTGGATCTTCATATTTTTGTGTAATATGCTTTGTTGAGTGTCTTTATTCCCTGCAATGATGCGGGATGCCTAACATCTTTTCCCTACTTAAATGTACAACCTAGTTAAACTGGTATTCCCTTTTTTGCTATCTGCGATTCTTGATATTAGAGTTTTCTGTTTTAAATATTGAGTATATGTAGGTCGTCGGTGACTTCTTTGCGTGAGTAGATGTGTTGACTTTATTGAGTAGTTGTTATCGGGCCTTTCCATTTCCAATGCTGAAAATCTCATCTGACGTGATCATTGAAATCTTGTAGGCATTGATTCGGAAATGGGCTCCTGTAGCTATAGTATTGGGTGTTGTATTCTTCCTCTTCTGGCTCAGGAGGAAAATTTGGTGATGGATCTCGTTTAAGAAACACTCCCCGGAGCGCATGAAGACTTCTCAACCACCAAGGGTTAATATGAAGATTGAAGACAAGCTTATCTTAGTTTTCTTAGAGTAGTTCTGCGGCTACCTGAAAAATGGATGATTATGAGGCTTTTGTTTAGAACAGAAAGAAGCATGAATGTTAATTGAAAACATCACGGGGGAGGATGGAGCTCATGATCTATGATGGGCTGGTACAGTTTATATATGGTCTATGTCTAATATCATTTGTCTTTCTTTTTTCCGGCCAACTGATAATACATGTAATACACCTTCCGAGATTACATATATTAAGATGATTTGAATATGAAGAAAATATATAAACAAGCACAACTAGTCTAACTATAATATTCCATAATACTTAAGATCACAAACCCTACTCCAAGATCCAGAAAGACAATGAGCTAATCAATAATGTCAATAGACTTGAATCAATAACGTCACATAGGAGAGGTGCAGAATTATCCCTCCAATTAGTGTTATCAATAGAGAGTTACAGAATTTGCATCACCATTTACAACTATATCGCGGCCACTTTTGAATTCTTTTTCTCGTTCCTGCGGTTTGGATTCTCCTCTTTGCCTTACATTTAGATATTCAGACTCATCCATGAGAGGGAATATATCAACTGTTTTTCCTGCCACCTTGACATGCCGACAAAGTCCCAGATTTGTTAAATGTAATTGTAGCAACTCTATCTCTACCCTTGTGCTGGATTTCACCAAAATGTTCCGGAACCTCCCAGTTATTTTGAGCTCCTTCCTGTTTTTCTATTTCTGTTGCATTCGTATCAGTCAGAGGTTCCCCGATTGTAAAAACGCTACTCTTTATTATCACGTAAAATCTGAGTTCAGAATCTGTTGATCCCAGTTACTAAATATCTTTCCTCGGTATCTCTATATATCAATTGACCAGATTTCACTGTGATGGCCACTAACAATCTACATAAAGTTCTGTTTCCAGATCCCAGACACTTAAGAACTTGTCCAAATCATATTTTTACCAGAGTCCAATGATCCAGTTGCTTATCTTTTTCTGCCTTTAAGGCTTTATCCAATGATGCAATATCATCGATTTCTCCACCATCACTCAACAACGGAATCCTGTCAAATTTGTCACTGAACTATTTGTAGTTTTGAAATGATCATTACACTAACAAAAATTATTTCAAGTTGGAATTTAAAATGTAAATCAGAAAGTTATTTGGATAATGTTTTCTTTTCCATTGGGGTTTGTGTTTAAGAGGTAAAATGAGACAAAACGCAAAATAGAAGGTTGGCCAAAGAAGTCTTTTGATTTTCTACATCAACGGTAAAGCCAATTTTGGAATTCGGAAGGAAGGAATAAGGTTTATTCTCTTCTCATTCCAACCAATTCTCTTCTCATTCCAACCAATGACTCCGTAAGCTCCCGCTTGGATCACATAAAAGATTCCTTAAACCCCAAAAGGTGAAGTAACACAAATGGTTTCTGCGGAGAATCAGCCCTTTGATATTCAATGTGGGTCATCGTCATCGGCTCTCTGGGATTCGGATGATTCCCAGGATGACCCGACTTTTGATCCAATTGAAGGGGCTCGCTCTAGAATCTCCACCCTCTCGATCAAGAGGAATCCTAAACCCGCCCGGTATGTTCATGCTTTTTTTTTCTCTCATTGGATTACTGTTTCATTGTACATTTTGATCTCCAAAAGTCTGTGAAGATGGCTACTTTGATAGTTTTATTGCGTGAATTTTATAGTGAAAATCTTCTATATTGGCTACTTCGATTACTCTTCTGCATTGAATTTAATGACAATTCAGTCTTGAGGATATTGTTGCATGACATCCAGTAATCCGTTTGTTTAAAAATCCAGTCTTGCAAAGGAAAACGGTGCCCCAGAAGTTATATTAGGCCAAGACAGTTGCCAGATTGGTGAAGATATCATAAAAGGTAAGTACTGTATTGTATTGTTGTTCCATTGCACTTTCAGGAATGGAGTTTTCTAGTGTGTGTTTCCACGTATTGTGGTGTCCTGATTATCATGCGTTTTTGATTTGCTGGCAGCTGGACAATTGGAAAAGCTCAAAATTGAGCAATGTAAGGTCTATTTGCGGAAACATGGATTGAGATTGACTGGGAACAAAGACACCTTAATTCGGCGTATTAGAGAACATCTTGAGTAATGTTCTCTGTCACTCCCTTTTCTTTTCATTTAATCGTCATTTTGTCTGGAGAAACTGGTATCTTTTGGCTCGGTCGCCCCTATTTTTATTGTGTTCACCTTTGTTGATGTCATTGACAGTGTTGTCGATGGTGGGGGTGAGCAGAAATATCCGGCTGCTAGTTTTGTGGTGAACTGCAAAGGTAACAACTTACTAATCCCATCGTTAATATTGGTGTCTTTTTTCTTTTGGTTCAAAACTTTTAAAAGGGAAAGCTATCTAAATATTTTCTTGTCTTGTTTGAACCAAATGTGAACAAAATGTAAGACTTCTCTTTTCTGATCATGCAGGGGATGCATGCACTGGTGATGTTGTCTTGTTTGAACAAAATGTATACGAAATGTAAGACTTGGATTGGTTAAATATGTCACCTCATATGTTCACTGGAAAATGAGTAGTTTTAACATTTCCACCTCTCAGGTTCAACATTGCTTCAAGGAGTGCCACTGGTCCCCCTAGCGGCACCAGATTAGTAGCAGGCAGGATTATAAAAGAGAGTTACGGTGCTGAGAAGCAACAACACACTTTTACGGTGAGCCCAGTAGAATCAACTTCTTAGATCTGATTTCGTTACCAAGAGAAAAAGATTTTGCTCTTCCTTTAAGATCAACTCAAATGAGCTGAGCCTAATTGTTTTGAGTTCCCATGCAACAGCACTTATAAAAGAAGTTCCTTTGGGAGTTTACTATTACTGATACATAAACATTTGTGTAACTGCATTGTACAGATTGAAGTATTATGGAGCAAAGGGGAGAAACCACTACCCCCACTTCATCAACTTCTAATTAAGGGCAGAAATCTTTATAGGCTAAATACAATGAGACAGGTCTGTCCCGAACTGGCAAAATGTTTTCTGTTTCATTCCATGTGTCTACATCCATCAGGCTGCACCATTTTCCTTGTGCATTTTACACTTTTCAGAAGTGGGAAGATGAAACAGAAAGGGAAAAAATGCTGTCAGAAAAGCATGCCAGAGGTTCTGTTGCCCGTTCAAAGAGAGAAATCCGCATGCAAGAGCGGGCAATGCGAAGTATGCAGAAGTTAGATAGGTGAGAAAGTTAAATTAATGCACAGTACAGAGGTTACCGCAAGAAAAATGAGCATGAACTAATAATGCTTGAAAAGTTCCTTTCCATCTCTTTATCTTAATCTGCTTTCATTGTTCTTCCTTGTAGAATACTGAAAGCAGAAGACAGGAATAAACAAACGGATGTGAAGAATACATTGCAGACCATAAAGCAGCCATCTAAGCAACCACCGCTGCATGATATGCTGAGAAATCCGCTTTCTGGAGAGTTGAGAAGTTGTAATGAAACTACTTCTGCTAGACAAGAAATCCTAGTTTCGGCACAGATGAAGCCCACATTGGATGTGCCACTGGAAAGGCAACCTTTAACCGTCATGAATCACAATCATTCAAAAGATCCGCCCAAATTGCCTGTCTCTGAGGTCCAAAGTAAGTTTACAAAACCGGTGAACACCCCAGTTCACTGGACAGGATCTCATTATGGACGAACTATTTCTGAGGTCCAAAGTAAGATCACAAAACCGGTGAACAACCCAGTTCATTGGACAGGATCTCATTATGGAAGGAATCTGAAACACAATTCCTTCAGTCGCCCTTATAAACCTGGCGGTTACAGTAGCAACAGTTTTACCAATCGTTCAGGTTCTTCAACACAGACGCATCAAGGTGGATTTCACAATCGAGGTCGGCAGAATCATAATGCTCAAGGGAATCATCATAAGTTCCAAGGACATTCATCTCAAGGAACAAAGCAGCCATGCAAGTATTATGCTGCAGGATTATGTTACTATGGAGATAGATGCAGGTGGTTCCATGGGGTATCAGGAAATCCCAAACAACACTAAAGTTTTTCTTTCTTTGTGTCTTCCCTCCAATCAGCTCGAGTTCCTTTCTAGCTTCAAGAATCAATTTATACCCAATTCTTGGTTCCTTCGAGCATTTGTTCAGGGCTCGAAACACATCCCAGCATGCATCAGTTCTGATTCAAAAACTTAGGCCTGTTTCTTATGCAAACCAAATGTTACCTGTTCGTCCTACTTTTGCTGAGGAACTTTTCTTGGCAAGTGGTATTTTGGGTTTGTTTTGTTTTTTTCCCTTTTACTTCCTTAACCGTTAAACATTTAACATAAACAAGAAAAGATCCTCCCTAGCAAAGGGACAAAACAAGCCCACACAGAAATTTAACTAGGGAAAGTAAACCAACACAGTACAATGATGGCAAATTATGTGTAAAATCAATGCATATTCATATGGAACAATGGATGCTGATTTGCGAATGAGGTGTTCGCTCTCTCCAGAAAAGTATTGAGTTCAACTCCCGCCTTCAACAACATGGATTGGGGACTGGATTTATTTCTAGACATTTGCCAACATGAACTTCCAATTTCGCACCCGAGCCAGCCAGAATAGGAAGCAAATTTCTACTTGGAATTGGACTGAACTTCCTATTTAAAGAAGCAAAATAGAGATTTGGATGGGTACCTCATACCTGTGATGTGCTTGCTGACTTAACTTCCTACCCTGTCTTGATCTGTTAATAATTATATTAATTCTAAGGCCACAAAAAGATATTATATTTGCTATTATTGGCTGTTTGTTAGTTGCAGAAGTTCTGACATAATTTGTCAATTTGGTTTTGATATTACTAATTCTATAATTTTAGCAGAGTTTAATCTTGACTTCACAGCCTGCTGCCTGCTGCCTGCTTGCTCTTCCTTGTAATATCCATTCCTGTCAATCAGGAGCAAAAGAGGACTCTTTCTTTATCCCGTCTTCTTCTTCTTCCAAGGTAAACACATCTCTGGTTATTATTCAAGTTCAATTTTTTCTTATCCCTTCATAGAAAGCTTAGAGTGCCTTCTTTCTGCCACCGCCCCCCTTTTTTTCCCCTTGTCCATTTTAACCTGAGTTGAAGTTTGCTGCTCTGCCCTGTTTATGTATATGTGTGAGCTTGCTGATCCATTGCTTTTATAATGTTTCTTTTGCGTTTTGATTGTTATTTATTTATACAAATCATGGATATGTGTGTGTATTTGGTTTTTTCATGATTTTCTGCAATACTTTTACCTCTTACCAGTTTGTAGCAGCTGGGGTAGCCAAAAGATCTCAACTCAAACCAAAGCAATTTCCCACTTCCACCCCATTAATTGGAGTGAGATTTGTTTTTTCAGGATAAAGAAAAGAAAATGCATTTCTGTTTTGCTCCCCTAATCATTGAATCCCGGCGGTTTTGGTTTCGGTCCCTTATTTTACAAGATTCTAGCTTCTTGTCCCCACATAACAATTATAGCAGTCCAATGAAACTTTAGTGCAGTTCAAATGATCGATTTAATCGTATGTAACTTTCTTTATATCAAGTAGGCATCAATATTTGCTATTTTCAATTGGCTAACTGAATGCAGAAAAGCTGACATCTCTTCTGCAGGACATATTTTTGCATGGCTGCTGAACCTACAAATGTCAATGAATTTCAAGAACTTGCAAGGCAAGCCCTTCCAAAAATGTACTATGATTATTACGCCGGAGGAGCTGAGGATCAGCATACTCTTAAGGAAAATGTGGCAGCATTTAGCAGAATCAAGCAAGTTTTTTACATTTCTATCAGTTGCTAACATTTATAGATAGAAATGCAACAGAAAAGAGTTTTAACCTGTTCTTTTGTACAAATATTGCAGTATAATGCCAAGAGTTCTCGTTGATGTCAGCAAAATCGATATGTCGACGAGTATTTTAGGTTACAAAACTCCAACACCTATTATGATAGCCCCAACCGGCCTCCACAAATTGGCACACCCTCTAGGTGCACAAGTTAACTTTTACTTTCACTATGTTCTTTCTCCATGGATTCTTTGTGTTGTCATATAAGATTATTTATGTTTCCCTTTGTTTCAGGGGAAGTTGCAACTGCGAAAGCAGCGGCTGAATGTAACACTATAATGGTCTTGTCCTTCTCCTCCTCTTGCCGTATAGAGGATGTTGCCTCCAGCTCCAATGCTATCCGCTTCTATCAAGTTTATGTATTTACTCTTTCTATTGTTGACATTATCTTATCATATACTCTCCTTCAATGTTTTTACTTTTTAAGCACTTATCCCGGCAGGTGTACCGAAGGCGAGACGTATCTGCTCTTTTGGTAAAAAGGGCAGAAAGAAATGGATTCAAGGCAATAATCCTTACTGCTGATACCCCTCGATTAGGCCGAAGAGAAGCAGACATCAAGAACAAGTAATAATCTATCCACCTTTGGTACTATTTGACAAAAATCACTAATACGGATCTTTTCTTTATCTTTTACATCCAAGGTTAATTTGCAGATAGACTTGGCTTATGCTAAATTTCCACGCCAAGAAACGTGTACTGAACCTTTGTTAATGACTATTGCAGGATGATTTCGCCTCCACTGCAAAATCTTGAGGGGCTTATTTCAACTGATGTTGAGTCTGTAAGTCAAAATAATGTCAGCCATCAATTTTACACAAAAGGCAACTGAGGAATTTTAGATTGAGAGTAGAAAAATCAATGTTGCTGCCTATCCTGATATGTTATAGTAATAACAAAGGCTGAAAAATCAAAATGTGGTTGAGAAAATGACTTTTAATGAGAGTTGGCTGAATATAAATTGACAAATGAGATGTGCTACTTTTCCTTTCTCCAATCATATATTCCCTTAGGTTAACGAAGTAAACTATTTTTCTAGGACGGAGGCAGTATGTTCTTAGATTTATTTTATAATTTTGATGAAGTCTGCTATTTTTGAAGGAAAATGGTTCAAATCTTCAAGCCTATGCATCGGCAACTTTAGATGATACCCTCAGTTGGAAGGTAGCTGTTATGGCCTTTTAAGATCATTTAGGGTTATATTTTGAATCTCATCAACTAAATCTTAAATCTGCCCCTGGATCTCCCGGTTTACAGGATATAGCATGGTTGAAGTCTATCACAAGGTTACCAATTCTCATTAAGGGTATACTTTCTACTGATGATGGTAAGGTTTTCTCTTGTGCTTCATGAATCTTCATGTAAAGCTGTAGTAATGACTCCTAATCACATCTTCCATTTGATACCTATATACATAAATGTGGCTTGTGCAGCAATCAAAGCCTTAGAAGTCGGCGTTGATGGAATAATAGTCTCTAATCACGGAGCTCGTCAGCTGGACTATTCTCCAGCAACCATTACGGTCCTAGAAGAGGTATCCATACCCTTCATTTAACATTCAAGTAGCTGTACAAGTGCCGAAATCGAATTTTGCAAGAACTTTCATTTTCTCTTGAGGAGAAGGGTGCAAATAAGATGTTAGAATGATGAAATCAGGTCCTTTGCCAGTGTCAATCTTTTCATTTAAAACTTGAGTACAAAAACTTTTTGGTGGATGGAGACTGATAGAAAGGGCTATGGTAAAAGATGAAATGGAAAGTATCTATTGAAAATATAGCGCAGGATCTGAACACTACCCTTCAATAAATAAGATTGTCTGTATGTAGAGGACAAGACTCCTAATACAAGACTAATTTCTGAACTATCTTCTCCCCCCTGAAACAGATCCTACTACTATTATTTATACTCAACTAAATAAGTAACTGCAACAAACTAAACTGCTAAAAATAAGGACAGATAGGAACATGGGGTAGTAACTGCTAACAAGTAGAGTCTAACTCTATCAGAGACCTGAGTGATACAAGAAAATGGAACTGAGAAGAACATTCTCTTCTACATGACACCTTCTGATGATAAACTGAAGCACATTAGTATCAGTAAATTTAAGTCCTGATACTGCTTTTTCCCCATTGCAATGACTTTAGGTTGTTCATGCTGTTCAAGGGAAAATCCCCGTCCTGCTTGATGGAGGCGTGAGGCGCGGAACAGACATATTCAAGGCCTTAGCCCTCGGCGCAAAAGCTGTTATGGTAACATTATTTTTTGACACTGAACTAATGCAATATAATGTGTAACTTTCTTGTATAGCAAACATCATATTGCCAGATATGCCTAATGTATGTATCATTGGCATTGTATTACTTGCAGATTGGGAGGCCAGTTGTGTTTGGTTTGGCTGCAAAAGGTGAATCTGGGGTGAAAAAAGTAATTAGCATGCTTAAAGAAGAGCTTGAGATCACCATGGCGCTTGCCGGCTGCTGCAGACTGGAAGACATCACTAGAGGCCATGTGAGGACACAAACTGATAGATTGAGATGCAAAATCTAGTTCTTCTTTTTCTTCATTTCTTAAAAAAAAAAAAAAAAATTCTTTTTTGTTTGTTCAGCCAATTTCATGCTCAATTATATGCGCTTGCCTTTTTATATAACGTGGCCTTGTTTATGGAATTGGATTTGGCCATTGACACTGTCGAACCTCTTGCTGAAGAAAGCATATAAAAGTTCATATTTGATGCGCCATCCAATGATACAATTTATTTATCAAGAGCATTTGAACACATTACTTGTCAATTTTCGTAATATATCAATTTTGTCCCAAAAAACTGAGCCTTTACTCATGATCTTTGGCGATTTTCTCAGATTCTCATGAATGGGAATCCTCTAAACCTCCCAGTGCCAGCAGTATATTCGATTCTTGGATGGACGCGTGATTATTTTCCTTTTTGGTTAAGTTTTTAGAAGGTATCCAAGTTTCAAATTCTGTGCATATATGAGATACCATTTCCTATCCAAAACTGAACTTTGGCACGTGATTTTTTGAATGTTTAGAATTCTGTATTCTATTCCCGTATTTGACTTTATATAAGATCCTCTTTCAATCAATTTTGAAGATTGTGGCCAAAACCCGAAAGATAATCTGCAATTTTTATTAGTCTGTCAAAATTAACTTTCCATTCACATTTCACATTGTAACCATAGGCAATTAGACACACAGATGTTCCAATAAAATTTCTAGATACTTCTATACAGATCTGAAATTACAGAATGAAAGATCTAAACGGCATAATAATTCCCATCAGAAGGGTTTCACCAGAACCAAAATAATCAAAAACAAAAAATAAAAAATGCCAGCGACAGTTTATAAGCCTTGCTGGATTCCTCCCACAATAGAACTGATAAAAATTCCACAGCCACTGGTTAAAAGTCTACCTGTTACTAACACATCGAGATAACTTAGTTTCATGGCTATTTCTTAAATAACACTCAACAAAAATGTCTACTAGTGATTTTGATATTACGTTATCTGCTTTTCTGCCATCCACTGGTATCACAGTCAATATTAATTAATATTACTGATCCTACGTACAAGTACAAGTATGTACAAGCTGAGAAATAACAGAATAACTCAACCACTTTTGCACACAAGTTCCTAACTATAGATCTGCAGCGTTGCATGTAGCTGAAGGGTTCCCAGAGCAATGAATATTTCCCTACCATATTCACGGAAAAAACTTTCTCTCCATGCACTCACATATTTGGATAAATCAAAGGCATTTACCTTCAAAATTCAGCAGAATGATAATGGCGAGTTCAGTTCAATTACTCTTGTTGGCCCCCTGTAGCTCCATCGGTGAATTAGTGATGCTACCAACAGAACCCAGGGTCTGCGAGCTCAGTTGAGGGCTTGCTGGCAAAGCTTCTTGATTGCCGCCAGTACTCATGGTATGCACTGCCCCAGAACTTAGTTGAGGGCTCATTGGGGTTCGTTGACTCATCTGTTGTGGACTAGCTTGCTGTAGTTGCTGCTGCTGTTGTTGCTGATTGGTTGGCTGATTCAGCTGCTGCGGCATTCCCATATTAGATGGTGAAGGCGAACCAACCTGGGGAGGCGTAACAGCCTGCATTGGTGAAGAAGTTTCCTGCTGTTGCAATTGCTGCTGCTGCTGTTGCTGTTGTTGCGGTAGTTGTTGCATCTGCTGCAACTGTTGCTGCTGCTGTTGTGGCAGTTGCGGTTGCATCTGCTGAATATGCTGCAACTGCTGCTGGGCAAGGTAAGAACTGTTGCCAGTCATTACTTTAGGCGGTCCCATATGTCCAATGGGCCGCTGCATCTGGTTCATGTTCCCCCGATTCATAGCAGTACCAAGCATCTGGAGACCTGCAACAGCACCGGTATTCATCTGCCTTCCACCAGCAATACCTCCACCACCAGCCATACCCCCAGAGATATTACCAGACTGAGAAACAACCCCAGCAATGTTTCCTCTGCCCATCTTTGACATTAACATACTTTGCAACGGATTCATGCCAGGACGTAATTGTGGATTGATCATGTTGCTGATATTTGAAGCTGGATTAAGAGTCAAAGGGTTCTGCGCCATGTTTCCCATACCTGCAATGGATGCCATCGGCGAGGAAATCCCTGTGGCACCAACTCCCCTCACACCCCCCATGGCCATCATATTACTAAGGGCTCCAAACCCAACCATGTTATTGGCCATGTTGCCCACACCGGCAGCATTACCAAGACCTGGCATCATCTTTCTCTGGAGGAATTGATGCGATTGATGTTGCTGTTGCTGCTGCTGCTGCTGCTGCTGCTGCTGAAGCATCTGATGTTGGAGGTGTGTAGATTTATTCGCCATAAAATTACCTAACTGCATATTAGCGTTCTGCCTGATAGTAGGCAACATGGGATTAGAAGCCAGAGCAGCAAAACCCGATCTTTGGAACTGGGGATGCTGCGATGGCATCAGCTGTTGTGGATTCTGCTGTAGCAAAGATGCTGCTGCTACAGGATCAGGCTGTTGTTGAGGCCTAGGTGGCATTGAGACCGTGGATGGAAATCCCTGAGAGATCTGGATTCCCTGAGTATTCCCGGGGGCAGCTAGCATCCTTGTCCCTTGTAAATTATTTGATGGGTTGAATGAATTGCTTCCGTTGTTTGATGACTTGCTAATATCGCTTGATTGCGGACCCGAAACTACTTCCGAATACTGCTGCATTTCAGCGGTTGCATTATATGGGTGGCTTCCTGGAGTATTTGGTTGATTGCTAGTGGTATGAATATGTGGGACTGACTTTGGTTGGACATGATCGTCAACAACATTATATCCATCACGTTTCATCTGCAAACGAACATATAAATTCAAATTTACCCTAACCAGAGGAAAACTAACATTGAATTCTAATAAGTGAGGAAGAGGAGGTGGGGAAGTGACATACCAGTGCAGAGAATTGTGCAGCGAGCAAGTCCGCAGTATGCTGTTACAAAGAATCAAAATCTAAGGTCAATACAACACAAAACCAAGCAAAGGCACTCAATTAAATCAATCACATCTAGATTTCAAGGAAGAAAACTAAATTCTGATGGCATGAAAGATATTACGAAAAAACTTGCATTTTCCTTTAGCAAAAAATAGCCAAGAGTTAACATGAGTGGTTTCAGTTTTTATATCAGAATATCTGACAAAAATAGAAGATGTGCATTGAGTAGGATTTTATTCAACTCCCAAATATGATTGCTCGATGCTTAAGCCCCAGAAGGAATCTTATTCAACTACATCTAACAACTCCAGTAAAATGTGAGCGCATCACCTTTCAACCGATCTCATTTACCATTTTTATCACTTCTTAACATTCTCCATCCAGCTTTTCTTTTTCTTTTTCTTGGTTAAATACATCCAACAATTTACATTCCAACACAACTTCTTGTTATTGTTTACATTAAAACCAAAAACGGCAGTTAATACAAGGCCATTCTTTCATATCCAACAAAAATTATTAAGGAACTCACGGTATTAGGCAAGGTAGGAAGGTAATCCTCAGCAGCCAAATATTGAGCATCTTCTATGTCTCCAATATGAAAAGCCACGGTACCATCATTAGGCTTCTCTGACATGATCAATCTGGTCCGTGCTCTAGGGACAATCGGGAATCCGTTCCCTGAGAAATATTTAATCCCAAGCAAAAAGGCTCAGTTAGATAAACTTCCTCAAGCTAAATACTCAGGCTAATTGTACCAACAACACACCTTGTAGGTTGTTGTCTGTCAGTAGAAAATTTAAGACCCTAATCTTGCAAATATTCATATTGCCTCCGACGAGGGATGTGGACAACATTTTGCAGGAGTCATCTTTGAAGCTCTCGTTAGTGCTTAAATCACTAGAGAAACAAGCCGAAAGCTCCTGCCCAGAAAATATTTTCCTGGCAGGGTACTGATCGACCTTAGACTTTTTCCGGTTAAGTCCATGCCTGCAACCAAAAATAGGCAGGAAACGTATATGAGCAGCAAAAATTCAAAATTTGACAAACTATGCACAATTTGCTATTAAAGAATACATGATTCAGATTCCAAAATAATTATGTAGATTCAAACTAATTTCACATAAATATGCAACTTTCAGTGTGAATGTCACCAGAAAAGGCAGAGATCTAATAGATAAACTGAGCTTAGATAAAACATAAAAATTAAAGGTTGATCTATATGTGAATGGGTTAAATGGATCACTCTGCGATCAAGCTCTGCAATACACATTTTTTAATTAAAATTCAGAAAAATCAGAAGTGTTTCTTTTCATTTCTTTTTTTTTTCCTTCTTTTTTCTTTTTGGAAATTCAAAGTAACAAATTCACGAGAGAGCAGTCAGAAGAGGTAAGTCCAGTAACCCAGTAACTTCACAAAAACAGCTTGATAGTGCAACATACCTCATTGTCACTACATTGATTTTAGTAAACTTATCGAACAGTGCATCAGCCAAAGGAGGATTCCCCATAGGAGGACTGGTGACATTTATCGGCATGCTCATATTATTAACACTAGCGGGGGAACTGACCCCACTCATCGCTGGGGCTTTGGGTAGGGAGTTCGATCGTCTTTTTGCAACATGTTGTGCTTGATGTTGACGCTGCATCGAGTCATTAGCACTGGACGTCACAGATGGTTCTGCCCCAGCCATGGACGGCACCAACATGTTTACCTTTTCCTTCTGTGAAGGCAGATAGCTGCTTGTCACAGCTGCTGCTCCAACCTGGGGTCCCACGGAACCACCCGACACTTCTCCTGATTTTGATGACAAAGGAGACTGAGGTATACCACCTCCAGCAGAAACACGAGGACTTTGAATTACCTTCCTCTTCTGGTAAGGATCCTCCTTTCTCGAATTATTTTCAATTGGAAGACCAAGATTGTTCCAAGGAGTCTGGGGAAAGTTTGAACGCATAAGTTGCTGGGGTATCCTTTGTGGCAGGCGCGACTGTGAAACATCTGTCTGATTCAGTTCTGACTCAAGCCCACCATGCATTTCGTTCCTAATTTGACCTAATGTTGGCTTGTCCAATCTCTCAGTCTCAACTGGTTCTTCTTTTAAACCATATTTTATTCCTCCTTGTGAGAATGGCACTGACCCAGGTTGTTCTTGATCCAAACCTGCTTCGAACATTGGCAAGGGATACTTCTGTATCCCAGAATTATTGGCATAAGGAATTCCTCGTTGTAATATTGTATTTTTCCAATGGGCATCCTGTCCTTGGAAGCTGTCCATAGGTGATCCTATATGTTGCTGTTGGGTCCCGTAAGCGCCAACAGTCGTATGCCTTGCTCTCTTATTTGCATTTTGTTGCATATCTTGATCTCTCTTATTCAAATTCTGTGGCATATCTGGATTATCTCTCCTATCGGAATAAGATATAACCATGTTCTGTCCACCATGTGAAGCACTGGATGAATTTAACACAGATGACCTAGGATCCTGCATAATTCTAGGGCTCCCTACCCCCATTTGATATTTGGATGGATTAGATGCCATAGGTGATGATGGGACCGATGTATTTACCCCGAGGATATTAGACCTGATTGCAATCATACTGTTTGGACCGTTATTCTGAGTTTGCAGATTCTCTTGGACAGGCTGCTGAAGAACAGACCCTGAATCACCAAACCTTGAGCTCTCCGGAACTCGGTCAATGCATACCTTTTTCCCGTGGGTGTTATTTGTGACTGTGACATCAGGTATCTGCCTTAACCTCTTCCTCATGTTGCACACACCCAAATTTAACTGCCAACAAAACATGGAGTTTTGAATTACATGAAAATTTATTGAGAAGTCTTAATAAAACAAGCCATGAGAGTTTACCTTCGTGGCAGCTAGATATTCACCAAGTCTTTCCAATTGTGGGGTTGGGTCAAGACACAGTTTTGGTTGTAGGGCTTTCAGTATTCGAGACTCAACTTCCTGCGTCAAGGGAGAAAAATGAAAAATTGAACAAATGAGGTAACATAACTCTTTAAAGGAAGCAGAACAATTGTTTTCTAACTAACCATAAGATCACCATAAGTCCAAGCACCATCAGAGATTGATGGGATATCCTTTACAACGTTCTCCAGTGACATCCTAAGACGTACTTTATGAACTACTGGAGAACCAGCGGTGGAAGTAAGATTACCTCCTGCTTCAGAAATACATTTCCTGTAATCCCGCACCTGGCAAGCAATGAGACCAATAACAATCACAAACATGAGAAAGGAATGGCAAAAAAGAATGATCTAGGTATTAGAATGGGCCACGTTAACTAAAAGGTGTATACAAACTTCTAGCAAGAAGTGATAGGAGCCAGCAGTGTATAGTAATGCATGACTTCTATCCAAAAAGCAAACAAGACAAAGAAAGCTGTATCATTTCATTTAAATCAATCATCAGTTATCAGCTGAAACTTTTGATTCTTGGGAGCGCAACACGGAACCAATCACTGATCTTAGACTGAGACAAAGAACATAGAACACATCTATACCCAAAAAGAAAAGCAACATGTCTGGTTTCCATGTTGGATATACTCGTAAGAGTTTTATATCATTATTATAGATTATAGAAACAGATAAAGTTACCTCACAAATAAGCACCCCGTTGATATACTTGCATGGTATGTCATCAAGGATATCTCCAGGCAGTTTTCCAGCCTCAATAGCCTTTATACACGAAAATGAGTCAGACAAAAAAGGCAGTAAAATATAGTGGAACAAAAATCACCAAAAAATTTATTTTTTTCATATAGATAGATCCTTGAATACAAATCACGTCCGACCTATGAGTTACGGTCAAACAAACTCAACTTAAAAAGGGAGCAACAAATGTTCTCTTCGTTTTCTCACAACGAATACAGTTAGGAAATAGTAGGTTTCATTAACAGAATGTATTTAATAACTAACGCCAAAATTGCAATACCAAGCAAAAACTAGAAAAATTCACAAGAAAATAAAGTGAAAAACTAAAGAACAAAATGTGTTAGCATATACTCACAGAAAAAAGGGTTTCGGATGCCCTATCATATGGATGTAAAAGTTTTGGGATTTCCATACAAGTCTGATTAACTGATGGCCCCTGGGTCAAAAGGACAAAAGAATAAATGAGACTAACTGTACTAGGCATTAGCCAAACATTCTACTTCAGTTTCTAATCAAATAGTATGTGTGTGTGTGTGTGTGTGTGTGTGTGTCAAGCACAAACCTCAGAGGGCTTCCCAATAGAATATCCATCTAGAAAAAGGCTCAATGTAAAGGAAACTTCTGTTTCTGCAGAGAATCACTAAGGATAAGGGAAAGCAGTACATAAAACTAAATATGGACAGCGCATAGTCAAGGAACAAATCAAAAAGAAGGGAAAAAGCACACCTGAGATTTCAGAAGCATCCCCATATTTGTTGCCGAAATCAAACTGTTTCAGAAAACAAAAGTAAAATACAGTTAGAAGATGATTAAAGCCTTGGTTTTCAGTTACAAAGTCAATATTTCCTCAATGTTCTCAAACCGAAAACCATCAACAATTCTGCCGTCGTATAAAAAGCTAGAATTAAGCTAATTGGAAATTGAACCAGAAGATCATTAAAGAATTTCAAAATATGGTTTCAGCTCTACTATTAACCTAAAAGAAACAAAGGTGCGAATCAAGTTATATTATTCTTCTATTTTCCTTCATTGAACACCAGATTCAGGATAGAATAGTAATGAAAATTCTCACCGTAGATCCAAATTGTGATAATTTAGAAAAAAAGAAGGAATCCAATGAACATGAAAGAAATTTAGCCCCGGCCACACGTAAAAAACCAAAAGCATCCAGAATTGAAATTTCCCGTCAACAAGAAACAAACTGTAAACAATTCTGATCTATTCAAGTCTAAACGAGTGCTTCTCTAATCTCAGTTCAACCGGTATTCCAAATGGAAATAGAAATTAATATGCTCGTGATTCAAACAATCAACCACGAACCAAACAAGCTCACTGTAGAAAAATTGCAGATATTAATAATACCGTAGATGAGTTCCGAGGTAAGGCGGAAACATTTCGGTTGCTTCCCTTAGAATTTCGGAGAACGAGGTTGTCCTGGCCATCATTATCCTCCGCAGCAGCAGAAACGGAGTTGTCATCGGATTGCTTGACCGGTCTGGGAACGAACCTCCGACCGGTCTTCGAAACCTTGAACGAGACCCCCATCCTTCGTGACACTCAAAATTACTCAATTCATTCAGGAATCGGTATTAATTAGGGTTTTACGAGGTAACAAAATCATGGAAATTGGGGGAATTTTGCTCAGGCCAAGGATTTAAGAATTATGCTCATAGTAAATCCAGTGAGGAAGATAACAGAGAAGCTTTTCGAGGTGGCTTTTATAGTAATGGACTGACTTAAACACAACCACCTTATTACCAAGTGGATTTTTATACGTCAAACTGTTGGGCTGAGTTTTAACGGCTGAGCCCATTTTCGAATTGATTTTGTCGGTGAGTGTGAATATTATTTATTTCGCTTACTGCTTTCTCTGAAAAATTTACTCCCTCCATTTCAATTTGTAAGTCGTTTTAAGTTTGGAAATTTTTTTTAAAATATAGGTCGTTTTACAAATTCTAGGAAAATTAATAACTATTTTTCTAAATTTACTCTCAATAAATGATGCTAATCTATTTTCATTTAGTCTTGTTTATAGTTTCAATGTATTTTAATGAGGGGTAAAACAGATAGTTAACATACAAATTAATCGTTGAATAATTGTCTCTTTAGTTTACATGCAAAGTCTAAAAAGACTTATATTTTGAAATAGAGGGAGTAATATTTATGGCAAAAATTAAATCCTTATAATGGTGAAAAAAAATTAAAAATAATCATTACTCAACTTCAACATACTTATTTGGCACAAATTTTTACGAAATGTTTTTTTTGTTGTAAAAAAAAAAAAAAAAAAAGACGCTACATTTCATTCATTGTACTTAATTAGTGCTTCAGTTGGTTAGCATTTAACAACCACCTGTGGAAAATTCTTATTCCTCAAAAGATCTTGGAATCAAAGACGACCATGATAAAGATAGTCGCTGAGAAATCTAGCCCGGTGGCTGAATAATCTCACGTATCAGTTGTCATTTAGGTTTCAGAAATCCAGCACTCAGACATGAGTTCTCCCTCGTATGCATACAGCAATAACTTCTATTCCAATTGCCTCTTAAAAAAAAAATAAATAAATTGCCCAAATTTTAAGGAATACAAGAACATAATGATACTTTTGCAAATCCGATTCTGATTCGGAAACATAGACAACGATTAACAATGCTTGTAGTCGGCGGAGTATTGGAAGAACAATGGCTAAAAAACCACCCAATTCAACCACTCAAGGAAAGAAGAGGGGTTAAAATAGTTTAGAGATTTCTCTTATCTTTTTTTGCCTTTTTTCTTTTTCACAACCACCATGACTGTACTTCTAGTTGCCCGATCTAAAATACTTTGGACCTCTAAAAAACTCCAATGAACACCACAACCTATCATACATTTGATGTGTCCTTCAGCTTCATCCACAAGTGAAGCCAAATGAAGACTGATAACTACTAAATGGCAAAAGAAACCTACTAAATTTTACATCACGGCAAAAGGGCAAAACCTTGGCACGATGCGAACCAGCCTATAGAAATTAGGAAATTGTTGCTTCTTGAAGTGCCAGCATATTAATGGAGTATTCTCTCTCAAACAACAAAAATTCCTGCGACAAATGCAAGAACTGGATAAGTCCGCAGCACGTATTCCCGACAAGCATTTCAAGAGAAAGTAACGAGGTTTTTCAGGCTTCATTGCAGGAAGACTGAATGATTTAAACTGTTTATACTAATCCTCACGAGGATCTGTAACTGCAGTTGTAAAAATTATTTTCTGTTCATCTTGAAGTTCATGAAATACCTAAATTTGTAGGAGAATAGCATATAGTAGATTGAAGGAAAACCAAAACCAACATATTTACTCAACAATGTGTACAAGGATAGGAATCTAGCATCTGTGCTCACCTGCATCTGCCGCTGACTAAACAAATTAAGAAAGCTAGTTTCTGGAGAAGAGACTAGATCAATCAATTCATCATGATTTTCAGGAGGATTGCCAGACTCCACCAGTGAAACCGAAACCTACAAATAAAGCAAAATAGTTTAACTTCAAAATTTCTGTCGCAAGTTTGCAGTTTACAGCCTAATGATTTGCTTTCCCCTTTGTTCTAGAATTACATATCACTACCTGCATACAGCGAAGAGCGACTTCTGGTATGCAGCATCTACGACAGAGGCCTCGCAGAATATATGTCGCCGGACCATCCATAACACCGTCATTGTTTGAATACCATGCATCTATTCTCGAAATCTCCAATGTTACCCCAGCTTCAAACCTGACTAGCTCACCTGTAATAAAAACAATCAATATTGATTCTGGAATAAATTATAGACCCAATTGCAAACTTAAAAAGGAAATCATTCAAATTTTTCTCCTGATATTGATTGAAGTAGTCCTTAGACGACCGGGTTCTACCTACTGAAATCCAGCCCTTGAAGCATCCCACTGTAACTAATTTAAGAAAAGAACCTCTTGTTGATTCCAGGATAACACAACTTAACCACTATCCCTACTATATCGGATTATCTATGTGGATCATATGTTGCAATAGTCAGTCAATTAATTTAAATAGACAAGAATCATGCATACAAGGAATAAGTGGAGTTCTAGCCGTCACAGAAACCAACACCGAAATGCCAGACACCATGAAAGTTGCACTCTATTATCACCAATTGCTCCTGTGACAACGGCAGGATACCAAGTCCTGGTGTCATAAAGAAATAACTAGCCCTCCACAACTACCACAGGCCAACAAGTGCATGACTTCAAACTGCACACACCATGCACAGAAACTAACACGAACACAACAAAGTAGTACCTTTAAAGCCAGCAGCAAGCACGGTAGATAAAATTCCGCCATCATTGAGTTCATGTGGCCCAAGCCCATCACCTTCAGCTGCCAAACAGCGAAGTGCCACCTCAACAGAGTATTCATCTCTCTCAGATCTGGAGACATTTACCTGCAATCCAGAACAACAAGTTTTAATTAGACATTAAACGAAGAGCCGCATGTCCTTCAACCCAAGTAGTGATACAACCACTGCAGCTGACAGAAGATGCCAGTGGATTAAACAAGTACCCTCTCTCCCTCTCTCCCCCTTGCTTCTATCTCTCTATAAACATGAGGGAATAAGAATAACATTTAGGCTGCAATCACCATTTCTGGAAAAAAACAACATTGAACTTACTATGAGATCCCGTTTCAACACTTCCTCTTCAGTCAATGATGAGTACAGAGCACTAGTTAAGGTTGTGCACAAAGTGGCATCCGGAGAGATGCATTCACCGGAGGGTAGGCAGAGTGTGGCAGTAGCATGCAGTTCAAGGAATACAGGTTCTTTGGATTCATAAATATGATCTTCGGCAAGAACCAACCAGGGGTTTTCCTTTCCTGAACAATTATGAGGATTGGAAGCTTTAATTTTCCTAAAACAATCTTTTTTTTCAGTCACAGGAATATGTTAAATGAAATTATAACCTAATTGGTCACTGCAAATGGAAGTAAAGAATAATGTATTAATGGCTACTTCAGAGTTGAACATAAACTGCTTTTCACCGTAAGCTCACTTTTTAGTAATAAAAGGGATGACTCCAGAGTCTCTTTAGCAGCTGCAATGACCCTTTTCTCTTCCTCGACTGAAAGTTCCAGATGGGGGACTTCCGAGTTTTCTAACGCAACTTTAAGCCAGTTTCGGTAGGTTGCATCACATGAGTAATATTCATTCTAATTGAGAAAAGAAATGAAAATACTTAAGTAATGGCAAACTTCTGAAGGTGCTAAATCACTTAAAATATAAAAGGAAACATTAAAAATAAATTTCAGATAGGTACCCAGTCCTGGAATTCTCTCAAATTCTCAGAAACATCACTATCCTCTGTAGAAAGAAGAGTTTCAATTGGATCTTTCAAAGGCTCGGCAAGTAAACCAAGAAGTGTGTGAGCCCCAATGGGCATCGCTGGCACCCTCCACATTGAAATGAGAGCAAACTCCCGAAAGAGAATGTTGCTATAGAAATTCAATTAACAAAAAAAAGATGGGTTCAGTATATGGAAATTGGAAAGCTATTAAGCAGATCATACTAGATCCCAGAAGTGTTATACGTTTTTCACACTGTTGCATCCCACTATTAAGAATTAATTAAGGAATTAACAGAAGATGATTGATAAACATGTGCAACAGTATTTTAACAAAAAGCTTTTCCATTATTAGTTGTAAAATCAAAAGACAACTGAATATCTAGAGACAACTGCACCACCAATATTTGCAGGTTAGACCGTCAAACAATGTTAATTGTTTCATCAGATTAGTTCTAAAGAGGAAAGTAGAGCACATTAGCAATCTTGTTTGATTCTGACAGAAAGTCATCTTGCAAAGAAGATCAAGAAATGACATTACCTATGCATCAATGCTCGAAGAAGTAGTTTGAAACTAACATCCTTAGAATCCTTGATAGTAGATGGAGGTGTAAAGCAAAGCCATTGGATGACCATGGCTTTTCGAAGACTCTCCTGCCGGTAATGCTCTGCTATGTTAAATGACCCATCGTATGTTCCCGCAGAAGTCTCTCGAGACTTTGACAGAATCCTGTAAATAAATTTGCAATTAATCCACCGACTTGAAGTCATTACAATTACTCTTCAGGAAAGAAGTATACCTTTCAATCACTTCTTCAAAACTGCCTTTTGAATCATCACCAGCAGAAAACGGCAAGTACTCGATGGCAGAAAGAAATAACTTATACCTTACATGCACACTGTGACCAAAAAAATGAAGCAAAACACAAAAGTTAACAGTCAGAAGGGAAGAAAATCATAATTATAGTCTAGTAGCAGCATCTTTAGACAGTAACTGTTATTTTTAGGTATGCCACCTCATTTTGCATTACAGCGGATTTGTGGGGGGTTGGGGGCGCGGGAGGGTGTACTTTATCAAAAGTATACCTGCTATTAAGTCGTAACTCCATCATATGAACAAAGAGATCAACACAACGATGGCGTGCAAGCTTCGAAGCATATATGCCAACCAATTCTTCATGCTTCTTTGTGAACAAATACATGGTATACCTGAAACAAGGAACATAATCAAATTATCTTTATACTACAAGCTACCATCAAAAACTTTAAACTTCATACGGTTTCAAAAGCAGCTGTAAACTCTATATGGATTGGGTGGACATTATGAAGGTGCATTCAATGTAGAAAATGGTATGCTTATGTTACAAAATTATTAAAATCTCTTAATTCTCATGCTCCAGCATGTTTTCAACAATGCCATGGGATCAAATGTGATAGGAACAGTAAAGAACAAAGAACAAAACAAGATAAAAATGATGATTTAATGGAGAAAAGTGCAGAATCTGGATACTTTCTTCCATAAATCAACCAGCCTGTTGGGCAAGACTCTTAGTACAAGAATATAATTTCTGAATTCTCTTTCCCCCTAGAAACAGTCCTACCACTTATAATGGTAAACATTGAACTGAAAGATAATTAAGAAACAACTACCCTAACCAAAATACTAGGATAACCCTTTCAAGATAAACATGTTGGTAAGACTTGGTTCCCTCCTGGAAATCTGGTTCCCATCAAAATGTCTCTCAATCAATACTTGATTGGGATTCAAGACACAACAAGATCATGGGAACTATTGCTAGAGTAATGGTTAGTTCAACAAGCGAACCTTGCAGGCAATAAACATAAAGGTTTGGACTTCTGTAGAAAAAACCAAGCCTTTCCTTATATTCCCACTTAATTCATGTAGTCACCAATTAGGATAATTAACTTACATGTGAAGAATAAGATCACCAGTTATCATGGTTTTCTCAACAAAAGGACCCTTCATTTGATCAGCTAGCAGATATCTAAGTACAAGCACCAAGTGTGCCCCAAACCGCATCATCTGGGGATCACCATGAGGCCTACAAAGAAAAGAATCATGCTTCAGGTGAGTTTTCTTCCCCTTTATCTTTCTGGGTTCTGAAAGAGTACTTAAGATCTACCGAGAGCAAGTACTTGAAGTTGAAACAATTTTCTCTGAAGAATAGAGATCAAGAACCACCACAACAAAGAATTATTAACTTGCAATATGACATGTTATTAAACGCCAACTGTGTAGCATTAGGACATAAAATAAAATATATAGTCCTGCTCCGGAGCAAAGAATCTTAAAAAGTAACTAGGTGCAGATAGCCAGTCATGGACAATTTTCCAACCTCTTCAAGAAGTAGTTACTTTTACCTGAAGAGATTATCATGATCTTGAGAAGGTGATATCCATGACCATATGAGATCAAGCAAATGTGGTATGTCTCCTAACATAAGACTCATCTGCAGGAAGCTCGGATAATCAGAAATCCAGTTGAGTAGAACATTCAAAAAACAAGAAGAAAAAACACAAAACAGAACATAAACATAGGTCGAAAAAGATAATAGAAAGATTAATATAGGGACCAAAGTGTAAAGGGGCATAAATATAACTTCCAACGGAAAGAAGATTATAGACCCATGATTAGATTGTTAAGGTGATTATGATTCAAGTTACCAGGATTAACCACTTCGGTATTTTATTCCACATAACCTATTAAGTTCAGAGCGTCAAGTTTTAAGATGAATTCCCAATTTTAGTAACAAGTCCAATTTTCCCAGATTAAGCAGTTATCAAGTATTATATCTTCAACAACACTCAATAATATTACTCTCAATTTTAGAATACCTATAAGAGAAACAAGATTAAAAAATACATGGATTACTCAAGATCAAGTGAGAGTGCTTGACCAGCAGAAACCCACATTGGAAGTAGACAAGCTCTCTATGATTACGATGTCGTGTTACTTTACATTTCCGCCAGACAACAAAAAGTATCACTAATTTTGTCAAGCAATACACCACTCACCTGAATTTGCCTCTGTTGCTCCTTGCATGCTCGAGTAACAGCTTCATGAACCGTGTCACTAATTAATGAGCCGAATTTGACGGTAAGAATACATGAGGAAAACACTAAGTTTTAAAAAAGTAATCAGGTTACAATATCTTCACCTTGAATGAAGTTTCTGAAGCAGTGCATCAAGCTGCCGAGGTTGCTGATTCAAAACCTGAAGGGGCCAAGTATCTGGTCCTAACATTTGCTGGTTACCTTTATGTCCTTGTTCTGGACTTTTCTCTAAAGCTTCTTCATAACTTTTAAATTGATCCACTCCACCAGGTTGGGAAATTGTCAGTTCCATATCAACCAGGAAATCAAGCCAAGATTTAGCCATTGCCCAACAGGCAGACTGCAGAAAAATACAATTGGCTTGATGTCACAATCTTCAAACCCAAACATCAAATATAACGGATTAACAGAAACAGGTGATTCAGCAATGTCAATCGCCCGGTAATCCAAGCAATTTAACACGAGGTTTTTTCTAAAAAAGATACAAGGATGGTTATCCTCATCGAATATAGCTTTTGTCATATCTGTTAACATGTGTAGATGTTACAAATAGCGAAGGTAGGTCAGACATAGCATGAGCAGATACCTCCCAGTCTGTACAGATTGGAAGCATGCGTTTTAAGTTACTACACCGTGATGCATATACTGCAGACTCGTACTTCCCACCATCTTGCTCTGCAATTTGCTTAACATTAAGAAATCTTCGTCAGTTCAGAAAATCAAAGCATATCAGAGTACATAAATTAGAAATTAATATTAAGCATAAGAGCATTTTCAATGTGCATAGGAGAATATTAATATTTCCCACACCAACCCACGTTAAGTTTCACTGAACTAACCACATAAGCACATACTTCTATCAATATAAAGAAAAAATAAAAGGAAAACATGGACGGAAATGAATAAAAGACATGATAACACACAAGTGCACGCCCAGAAGAAAAGAGCAATTAAGAAAATTTTTGCCGGTCCTCAAGAAACATGTTACCAGTAAGAGCAGTCTAAATAAAAACATCACAATATGTCAGAACAAATGAAAAGCACACAGACAAATTCTCGTCAATTGCATTTCATGTACCTCGGATGCACAATAAGAAGCCCACTTCCAGAGACGAAACTGATGACCAATGCCACTCTCCAACTCAACAGCTTGCAGGATCCTGTTCTTGCCATTTCTAACCAAGCTCTCAATGGATGGGAAAAGATCATACCCTCCAAATGGGCAAAGGGTAGCAGCCCGCCATGGCTGTCCAAACAGAATCAAATGATAACATAAGAAACAAGATCATCGATCAGAACATACAAGAAACTCATGAGTCTGCTTGATTTAAGTACCTGACCGCCAGACCGGCAAAGGCTGCATGCTTCATCCAGTCGCCCTGCCCTCAATAGAGACCATACATCTTCAAGAAAGGATTCATCGTGTTTCTGCTTGTGCAAGCAAACAATAAGTCACGTGATGATATTCAATAATGCAATGAATTGATAGCAACTCTTGAAAAAAATCTGCCTGAGCTAGGCTCTTCATAAATGATGGTTTTTTTTCTTTTTTTTTCCATTAGTGTGTGCATGGATCGGTTGGCAACTCTACACTACGGGAATCCAACTGAATCTCCAGGGAGGGGTAAAATACTGAAACCTACAATCTCATGCAGGAGACTGATGCTATACTTGAAACTTAAGAGTATGGCGGCTAGACAGGCCACATATACTTCAGTAACCATGGCATCCAACACACCAAGAGAACTGTAAATCAGAAATGATAATTCAGATGAGTATGATAGATTAAGAGAAAGTACTCTGTCATCAGATAATGGCTGGGCACATTCACGTGTTGAAGCATCAAAATCCAAGTGATGAACGATCTTTGGATTTGAGGCACCTTTCTTTAAATGCCGCTGTGTATTATGCCAAATTCCAGATTTGGGTAGGTAGGTACCCACGTGAGAACCTCGAACCTGCAATGTTAGCAAATAAGAAATGTTTAAACCCGGCTAGTGAATCTACAAGAGCAGTCCTAAATGGAAAAATGGCTCACGTAGTAGTTTAAAACAAAAAGGAAGTTACCAAAAAAGAGATTGTTTCACGATAAAAGAGAAGACTTTCATCTGCTGAACTACGAGAACAGAAGGATTGAACCAAGTGTTCGTGTAGGGACCAAATGGCAAACAAACCTTCCGTAAAATGCACAATAATATACATCAGAAGAGGGCAGTGGGAATACTCTCACACCATAAGCAGGGATAACTATTATCTACAATGACCAACATCATATGCTTGACTTATTTGCATCACATTAGACAATGGTTAACTGAAACAGGTGTAAAGATGAAACCACCACATCCAGGAAAAATGAAGGAATAAATTTTGCACGAAAATTTGATTAACAATGAGACAGATGCACAATAAAGTGGTCAACTATCCAATTCTGACAACCAAAAAGCCAAAATAAATAAATAAATAAATAAATAATAAGAATAATGATAATAATAATAATAATAAGAATACAACAAAAAAGGAATTAAGAAAAAGAATTAATACCTACCTTGTTGTCTAAATCAAGGGCCTTTGATGCCAACCCTTCAAGCCACTGAACAATACGGAGGCATAATTGTGCTGTGTGATTTGCCAAAACAAACTCACAGGCCTCCAAGTGTGAAGTTCTCGGGAACTGTCAGAAATCAATAGCGATAAAAAAGATTGCACCAGTATAACGCAATGAACATCAAGGAATCAGGACACCATTAAAAAATTTCCTCACCATGAGTACTTCAGGAATTTCTTCATTTCCTGCATGAGAAAGGAAAGAAACTTCACAATCCAATATTTCACAAGGACCAAGTATCCACAACAACAAACCAAGAAGCTTTAGTAGCTAAATCATACACTTATCTCAAATTTTGCTTCGGAGCAAAATTTCTTTTGAACTATTGCATGTATCACAGGACTCCCTCATAATGGATAAAACAAGTCACAAAGCCAACTCAATAATAAGGGGTTAACATAATAATTACTGAAATTTTAGTCTAGAAAAGATTCATGGAAAAGCAAATGGAAACCAAAGACTCATGGAAAGGCAAATAGAATCTAGTTTCCACTTCCATATATTTTAGATGATTACAACAGGACAACCTAGATGTGCTGGTGCAAATACTGTCCATATGTAAAAATTCATATCATTGCATGCAACCCTACTAATCCATTTCTATGAGGTATGATCTACTGAGCTATTCATGTTCAAAGTTAAAAAAAGATAAGAGGATTCATTACCTTTCCCAAATAGATACCAAAGAAGGGACCACGATGCAGCTTCATCAAGCAAGAGCCTGGCCTTTTGTCTCATCAGCTTATCCTCAACGATCCGATGTCGTTCAGTTGAGCCAGACCTACAAGATTGTTTCCAACGACAAAATAAATAGTTTGAAATCATTTAGTTGAAGGATATCACTATTGTTACATACAAGTCTTTCCATGGAGTTAAAACACGGAGATTACAAAGTTGTGTAACGCTGGACCTAATGTTATCACCAATATAGATGATGAACAGCAAATGCGATTAGCTCCTAGACAAAAGACTTCAAATTGTTCATACACCTGACAATTTGATCTGCATTTTATAATCTTAAATATATGATACTTGAAGCAACAATACAAGCAATATGAATTCATCATATCCCACACATACTCGGAGAAGACAAATCAAACAATAAATTAAATAGAGAATGAAATGGCGAACAACTCAGAATGAATTCCAGATAGAAGACGACCTGCGAAAAAAACATCTTCGGAGAAGGCAATTTTTTTACTTTACTTGTCCGACTGTATTTTCTCAACGTAATGGCATTTAAAACTTCATAAGAAGGCCGAAACAGAAACCTTCCTCGATGTAGAAAGTTAATAGAAATCCACAAACAATAAAAACTAAGAATTTGAAGCAGGGGTACACCAAGATCCAGAGACTCTAATACAGGCTTCATAAGGTGGTCTAAACAGAAACCTTCCCCAATGTAGACAGTTAATAGAAAAGCAAAAACAATAAAAAATAAGAGCATTGGAAGCAGGGGTACACCAAGATCCAGAGACTCTAATACAGGCTTAAAGTGAAATTTTGCTAGTGAACCAAAAAAAGTAAGAAGGAAAAGGAAAGCAGGAGAAAGCACACATTCTTCCAAAACGAGGAAAAATAGCTTACAAAAATGAACTCGTTAACTAATGCCTGTGCGCGCAATTCAAGAACTTGGGTATGCACCTTATTGATTCTGAAACCTCGCGACAAGCATTTTCAAATCGCAAAATCAAATCTGGAATAGGCATCAATCCTGAAAAGAACAAATGCAATCATGTTATAGAAGGTATGGTTTCAACAAATACGAGAAAGTTCAACAAGGAATGAGCTCAATAGTTGATAGGACTACAGAAAATATTGTAATAAGAAAGCCCAACACAAGGAGGAGAGAAAGGGAAAAATTAACTTCCTCATGTCCACATTTAACCGTATGTGAATTCAGGTAACTTGAGCAAATCATGAGCACAAAGATGATACAGAATGATACAATGCAGGTAGCAACTGACACAAGCTTTAACAAAGATGTTTCACAAAAAATCAGTTTAGCACATATCTAAATTCAACTGCCAGATAGATTAAGATTTAGTACAGTTCAAGATTGATCAGTTAAATGTTGAATGATCAAGCTATCGGAAAGACGAGAAAGTCTCCAGAATAGATTCAACATTTTCATGCTGGTATATAAACTATTTATATAATCGTCTCATAACATGTCTCTGGTCTAAAGGCATATTAATTATTTACATGCCCGTTATGCTCAAATAATATCATATTCTTTTGGCAATTCAAGTTCTTTCATATAAACAACATTTCAGGTTACTTAGGATACATAAAACATGTTTACAACTTCCAACCCAGTACTCCCATTGGAGATATCATCAGATAAATAAAGAAAAGTCAACATCACTCCTTATAAAAGAATTAAGTTAAAATGCAGGAACATGATATTGCTTTAGAAATGTAGAGGCGGTTCTACCATGATGAAGATTCAACCGTGTGAAAGGGAGGAAACAGTCAATCTTTTAAATCAAGAAAATGCATAACGTACCTTGAAGTGTAGAATCAAGTAAAGAAGCAAATAATGAGCATGTTGTGTCTCTGTCATCCGCAACAGCATCCTCTTCCAGCTTGAAAGCTTTCAAGGAGCGAAATCCACTTCCAAGAACTGATTCATCACCAAAATCCAGTTCTGATTGTCCAAGATCATCAACCAGCAATCTCCTCTTTGAGGAAAATGGTGTCTTGGAGGGAGTTCCACCATGATCTGTGTCAAGGCTCTCAACCTCCTGTTTAACATCTTCAAGAAAAAGAGCAGCATTCGACCTGATTTCACTTAGCCTAGAAGCTGAGCCATCATTTCGAGGTGATATACTTGACGGCCATTTGCTGCACATTAAGGGGGGAGGGAAAGAATTTACTTAACGCCATTGATTGAATTTGCCAATTAAGTTCCAGATAATTAGCATAATCAGAGGTTTCAGATAATAGAGCTGTCCATCCCAAGCAAGAACAACAAGGAACAATAGTAAGTCTGACCATGGGAAGAAAAACATTTTAATACCCTAGAAATTAAACTAATGCGTAGAAAATACCAATAGATTTAAATTTTAGATTTACATTCCAATTGTTGCCCAAATCCATGAAAAGACATATAGCCAAAAGAGGTTAAATTTGCTCAAACAAAACAAAGAAATCCGACTTATTTCGCTCTAGGCCTTGCTGTTACTTCCCACTTATACTATGATTACCGATACCGAAACGACATTCAGCTGCGTCGAGTCAGATTATAGCATAGAACGGCAAAGTAGCTGGGAGATTACTTACCCGTATCGACGAAATTGCTCTCTGCTGCTGAGATCCTGCGGGTCGAAGTGGCTGGGAGAGGCATCCATATCCACGTCCTCCATTCCGGTTCCAGGATCGGGTCGGAATGTTTGAGGGTATAGATTGAAGTGCAAATTTGCTGGGGATGTTGGAGTGGTTAAACCCTAGAATTGTTCTTCTTTACGCGCGGGAAGGGTTTTGCTTATAAACCTTTTGTGTATTTTGTGACATTTATTTTAAATTAGATTTTTTATTTGAACAAATGTGACATTTCTGCTCTAACATTGTATCACTTTTTTTCTTAATAAATTCCATAATAAAATACTTACTACTTCCTCTATCCCAAAATTATTGTCCAGTTTGAGATTTCACTTTTAGTACAATTTGAACTAGAAATGAAAACCCAAACTGGACGATAATTATGGGACGAAGGAAGTACTATTTAAGGTTTCACATTGTCAAATACTCCATCCGCCCCATAATTATTGTCCAGTTTAGAATTTCTCTTTTAATACAATTTGAACTAAAAATGAAACTGGACAATGATTTTAAGACGGAGAGAGTAGTAAAACTTCATTAAAGGTGTAGCGTGAGGTTTTGAATCCAAATTTGGTCATAGCTAATATGCGGTGACGTGACCATCAATGAAGTGATGCCCATTACATTACATTCAAATGGTGACGCATCGCAAACTGTAAAATGTACCATCTCAAAGTTAAAACCTTAATCACAGCAACTGCCATTCTAAAAGGCCTTCTGGAATCAATAGAACCACCAAATGTGGTTAAAGAATATAGGCACATTTTCCAGAAATGGTCTAGCCATGAGATTTCAAACAACTGTACATGTAGTACCAGCACAGAAGAAGGGAGAAAAAGGGAAGCAAGTTCCAAGTTCCAACATTAACAGCGCCACTCATTCTCTACATAACCCAATTCTCCGAAGTCATACATACATTCTACATATTATGATGGTACACGTGATGACAAGCTACAAATAAAGGGATAGATAACCATCCCAATCCTCCCGTGTTAAACTCGATAAACATCAGAAAAATCTCCAACAAAGTTCTTAACTCAAACAGCATTTTTCGAGAGAGAAATAGAGAACTAGGGTTCTCGCGTTCCACCGGCTAATCTTCTACTTCTTTTATTACTGATAATACATAAGTTGCTGCGCAGCAGCAACATTTTGGAACCCACCGTCATAAATAGCCTGGCTAGCTCCAGCAGCACCCATGCCCATTGATGCTGGCTTCAGAGGGAATTGCCCCTGGGAGTGCATTAGGGCAGCGGCATGCATACCACCCATCTTGCTCATTGCCAGTTGACGTTCGTATGCTAGGAGGTCGGTAGCTGAAAGCCCCGGCAATACCGCAGGGGCAGGCGGTGGAAGTGGATTCGAACTCGTCCCTGGTGGAGTTGGTTTGTTTCCCCAAGAACACTATATGACAACAGATCCAAAAAATCACAATAAAAAGTGAAAACACAACACAAATCTAGTATATCAAGCTTTAAGGCCCCTGCCCCAGCCCTAACCCAATTGAATGAGGAACAATACAGGGAAATACAGTGATTCCATGACAAAGTATGGAAAAGGCTCACCTTGATTGATTTGCCAAAAAGATTTGAATTAGTGTTTCCAATTTGAATTGCCAAAGCTGCTTCAGCATGTGTACTGTATCTTACAAAGCCAAATCCCTTGTCACGCTGTACGCGGACTTCCTCAATCACTCCAGCACCAAGAGCATGGAAGTGACGATGAAGTTCAAGTTGGGTAACCTGCAATATGAAGCAATCTTGGAGTCTACCGTCTACCATAATATTATAAAATCAAGGGTGAATGCTGAATCTAAGCAACGGCTACCAGAAACGCAACAGATATGAAATGCGCGAAATTTTTTTAACAACCAGTTAAACTTTCATCAAAACGGAAATCACAGTACATCACAAAGAGTAAGACTGAAATGTGCAAAGTTCAAAGGAAACAATAAATTTCTCAACCATATTTTGACTATTTATTTGGTTTATTGAACAAAATATTAAGAAGTTCTTCATGTGGTGTCTCACAACATCCTTGCTGCACAATTTTTACACTATATAATCAGTTCATGAATAATATGGTTGCAGACCAGTCATGATGGCAGCTTTTTCTTTATCCAACAATGACTTCAATGTTTTTCTATTATGAATGTTACCTCTGGAGCTAGATTGCCCACATACACGGTGGTATATTGTGGGTTATTCTCAGGGGCATCAATACTGTTTGCCACCTCTTTGCCATCTTCTGCAAAACAAACGAGGAGAAACAAGCTTTAGCAAGAAGTAATGTCGCCTCACTATCTGTGAGTTCTTCGGGTCACTCTCTTACAGAACAGGGAAAAATCGTATTAGATTCACAAACATTTCGGCTCATAATTCAGAAGATTAACATCCCAGAGAGGCCATTTGAAATAAAAGAAATATCTTTCAACAGCGAGCATAGTTACCTGAGGTACCAGTTGTTAGCTCCACAACACTCTTAGCATCAGAACTTTGCTTGTCATCATTAGATATGGCACCTTTAGTAGCCCAATTACAACGAATCTGTCTACTACCGAGCCATTTTCCTGGCCAAAAAAGCATTATAAACTGTAAGAGATCCAAACCCCAACCAGCTAGTCAACCAAGACTTGATACATTTGATTACAATTTTTAGGAATTAAGAACCAGAAAAGGGGGGTGGGCAAGGAAAGGTGGGGAATGACATTATTGAATAACTTTTCCTCACCAGTTAGGTCATTAATTGCACTTTGAGCATCCTGAAAGAGAAATTAAAGTTTGAAACTCCAATGAGAATAGAAACAACATGAGTACATTGCATGCAACAACGGCAGTGGAAAATAAAGAACCTGCTGGTTTCGGAAAGATACAAATCCAAATCCCCTTGAACGGCCTGTCTTCTGATCCCACATAACCCTTGCATCACTGTAACCAACAAATAAACAAATTAACCCTCACAGCTCCAATCAAGCACAAATAAACACATCACAATATAAGGATAAAAGTGATGCTTACGAGCAACTAGAGTAAACTGAGAAGCAGGCAAAAAGCATGGCATCAGTAACCTCAGGGCTCAGATCCCCGACAAAAATGTTGAAATGGCCTAATAAAGGTAAGAAAACAAGAAGTCCATTAACCCCGGACACAGCAATGCTACATAGGATCTGATTAGTTTCATACAACATGGAAAAGATCAACCCACCAGATGTATCCTCCCTTTGACCACTCGCATATGCCCAATTTACTTTAATTGGCTGCCCAAACCTGTATATCATAGAATGAGAAACACACAAAATAAAATAAAAACAGAAACCAACTACTTAAGAAACTCAACGACAATTTACTTACAGGTGCCTCCCATTGAGAGACAATATAGCAAGGGCTGCAGATCTACGGTCATAATAGTGAATAAACCCATAGGACGACTGCAAGGAGTTAGAAAAAGAGGCAAGGGGAGAGTAAGATGACGAAAACTCTGGAAGTACTCACAACCATCAGTGTATTCATGCAGCTACGGAAACTGCATAAATTTCTAGGCTATACAGTAAGCGACAAAAGTCAAAGAATGAGAACAAAAGGCAGAAGTAAAGATAACTACCTTTTCTTTCCTTATCAGCTTGCAAGCTTCAATAGGACCAGTACTTGAAAACACTTCTTGCATAAGTGGTTCAGTGACCTGGCTATGGATGTTCCCAACATACCTGCATTTTTCTCAAAAATAAAAAACTGGAATTTGAAAAAGAAAAACCAAAGAAACAAAAGAAAGAATCTATGAGAATCTTTCTTGGTAGTGTAATGGTATGTGAAAAGAAAGATGCTCAATTTTACACATAAAAAAACAGATATAAGTCAGTATGACTACAACCTGTCAACCACTAAACTTAGAACAATCACTGGTCCACATACACGCAAAGGTCCAACAGAAAGAAAAAAAAAAAAAGTAGATGTTGCTTAAACATATTGGACAACAAAAATTCCTCCTGACATATCTTCCACATCTAGATGGAGCGAACTTACTAAATCATAATGGACTCTAGATAACAATATGGGGGGAAAAAAAGGAATCCAAACAGCACTCACACGCTGCGGCAAGTACTTGGATCAAAACCAGGAGGCAAATTTCCACTTGGAATTGGCTCAATCTGCAAAATATAAAAATTGAAAAAAAATTGGAAAGGAAAAAAAATAAAACAATAGAAATCGGAACCCCGAAAACCCCAAATATTAACCCAAAAAGAAAAAGAAAAGAGAAAACGTAACCTAAAACAAAAGAAAAACTAAGAGACCATGTACAGTAACACAAACCCACTAACGAACTACATCATTGCAATAAATCAGTGCTTAGGGTCACATTTATTTCAACAACACCATTCACACAGTTACTACCAAAAAGAAATATAAAAACACAGAGGATGCCCGACAAGCAAAGGACCACAAATGAATGAATAAAGAGTTCAAGCTACAAAGAGGAAAATTTGTCTTTCTAACAAATTAAGTGTAATTAAGAAAGAAAATCTCAGTTACTTCCTTTTGATAACTACTTTGCCTCTCCAAATTTCAAAACTCAATTGCAAGAAAACCACAAATAAGCAGTTAAAGTGATAGAAAACACTTGCTATTACAATATGGATTATGTCTATCAAAATTAAAATATACATGAACCCATAAAGTATAACGGCTGAAAAATAAGAAAAGTAAATAAGCCTTCCAACAGAATGACTGAAAAATGACAAGATACAGTAACAACACTGTAATAACAAACCAACTTTGAATTTATTATCAGAAATAACAGTATCCATTTTAGAGTTCTGAATATTCCTTTGGTATACAAAGGGTGAAATGAGAGAGTAAATAGTGTGGCATAAACAAAATTATAAAAAATGACAAGATCCCTAACTACTCTCCTCTCAATTTAAAAAGGTACCTACACTTTTTTGTCTAGGTCACATCTATCGCTCTCCCTTTTCACACATGCTAGCATTACGCAAAACGGGAAAAGTATCAGAACAAAAATAAACCTTATTCTTTCAGCAGACACTAAAATGAGAAAAAGAGTAGCAAACCAAAGTGTCCAACAATCCAGTGGCCAAGATGGAGAAGTTATGAAAATCTGAACACCCCCACCCCCTTTTAGAAAACAGCTAGTACTTGTTCACACAGAAAGCAAAAATACAAGCTTACTTTCATTATTAAAAATAAATAAATAAATACAGAAGAGAAGGCATTGATTCAGCACACGGTTTCAAACAAAATATTGGACCTGAATTTAACTATAATAATATGTGGGGTGGGGTGGGGGAGGCATTATAAGTCCATGATAATACTTGGTTCAGCCGGCAGGGGTGGGGAAATAAAAACAGACAGTAGTGATCATGAAGTATATTCCAGCTAAACCCAATCAACATTCAGCTATCCATCGGGGATAGATGATTAAAAGATAATACCACTGATACAACGTTCGATCAGCACCAAAGAAACATTTTTAGCAACTTTTCGAGAAAATGAAGAAAAACCCGCCAAAAATGTGATCTCCAAGCAAAAAACAAAAACAAAACAAAACAAAACAAAAAAAGAACAAGAAGACATATAAAAAAAATTCAAAAGAAAAGACAAAGGCAGAACAGGGAGAAAGCGGTGTCGAACCTGAGGAGGAGCTAAGATGCCAGGCTGATGATAAAGATGTTGCTGAAGAAGCGCGTGCTGCATCAACGCCTGCTGTTGTTGCTGATGCTGCTGCTGCTGCTGTTGCTTCAATCGCTGATGCTGCATTTTAATTTACCTTTACGCCACGCAGCAACGATCGATTCGATTCGATCGACTGATAATTTGCAGTTAGGGTTTCGTTTCGAGTGTTATGTGAGGAGAACAAAAAAGGGGGGAAATGAAGAAGAAGAAGGAAAAAAAGAAAAGAAAAAAAATGAAAAAAGAAACAAAGAAGAAGAAAAACAAGGACAGAGAGAGAAAAAAAAAAAAGAAAGAGGGGGCCTATCTAAAAGGGTGGCATTTAATTCGACTACTTAAGGATATTTATAGCTTGAGACAGATTTTACCGGGTCTAAACTGTATAAACAGTAAAGACAGATGCAGTGAATTTTGGGACTTGTTGGATTTTTGTTTTTTTTTTATTACTTCGGTTTTGGACATTGATTCTGTCAAGGCCCATATTTTGTGCAGGCCCATTATAACAATAGGACATTAGTATATTACAAAAATGCGCATCCATATTTTTATAATATCACTTTTCAGTCCTTGCATTTCAACAAATTAAAATTTTAAATTCTGTTATTTTTTATTTGGACTAAGTCTAAAATCATTAAAATGTTTCTTTTGAATGTAAAAATATGTTAAAGTTTATTGGAAACATAATTTTTAAATAGAATAATGTGTTTTTCGTCTTTAAAAAAATAATTTTCCGGTTCCAATTTATATTTTTAATTCCAATTATACTAAATGCAGATTATAAACAAGACAATCGTTTTGAGATGAGTAGTTACAATTTAAGCTAGATAATCTAAATTAGGAAGCCTCGAAGGGGCTCATGTAAGAGCGTGTTGAACTGGAATTTGGATTTTGGAGACAAAGCTCAAGTACATTTCCAGGGAAAGCTAGTCAAATTAGGAAAATCTAATATAAAGTGGGTTCATTTTTTGGTAAGTCCCCTGGAGTACTATTCTAATGCCTAAAAATGTTAGGACATGACAGGAACACTCGCCATGTAATTCTTAAGCTCTCTAAAGAATTAATTCAGGCTGACTGATATCCCCTCATCCCAAAAGTGATGATCAGAATTTATCAAATACATTCAAAATTTCTGGGCCTTAGTTCGATGAAATGGTCAAGGCAGAGCAATCTCCAGAAAGAAAATGAAAAAGTAGGTGAATCTGTAGACAACATAAAGTAGAGAATTCAAATGTACATATCCCACTCCAAACATTACAAGATGAGACCTACTATATGTATATGATATGATAGTATATTCTTCCTAGTTTGTGACAATATCACATCTAAGTGAAACTACAAATTCCAATCCAAGCTCTATATTCAAAAAATTGATGAACTCCATCTTCCATTTGCCAATTCTCACAAAAGTTCAGTTCAGAAGAATGAAAGGGAAGCTAACAAAACAAATGACAGTCTCAGTATACAATTCTGTCTGTTTCCGGCTGAAGTCGACGATGTTCAGTAGCCATCCCCAATCCAGAGCTAAGCCAAAACTTTGAGCTACCATGTTATATATGTTTTGCTTGTAAGCCTATCTATCTATAACTGAATGAAGAAGTATTTATAATTTCAGCTCAAGCTGTTCCTGATCATTCTTGGAAGAGCTTTCAGGACGGTCATTGTTGTTATTGTTGTTGTGCAATTGATACGGTGCCCTAGCGCCGGCCCTGAATTGGGGAAAAAAGAAAAGAATAGATCAATGAGGGAAACAATCAGTCAATACATCATATGGACAAATTTTAGAAGCAGAATCTACATCCTTTTTTCATGCTTCAGATTCTTTCAGTTTATTCACGGATGTGATGTTTCGATCCGAGAAAAATTAGCTACCAAAGCAAAATTTTGTTGTTATGGGGTCTATCCTTAAAAACTATAATTTCCAAGTAGAAGACCTCATAAATGCAGTTCTTGGTTTATTTTCTTACCTATCTTTTCTCTTGGCCAGGAACCGATGAAGTGATGATCGCCTTGCAATTGGCAAATCTGAAACGCCAAAAGAAAGAGAAAAGCAAACAGAAAAACCTAGTAAATATCAAGAGCTAAATGCCAGCAACAATTACAGATCCACTAAAATCAGCTAGTAAATCAACCAACCAGAAGAGTTTGCTTCAGCCTTTGGTTGTTTCAGCTTCACAGATTCTTGTGGAGCAGGATTGATGCTCAGGTCTTTAGAGCAAGAGGCCACCGTAGCATTCATGCCACCAACAGCAGAACAATTAAACGTTTTGTCTGATGCATCATTTTCAGGGAGCTGGTTCCAGCTGCCGCAAACATGATCACTGAGAGAGGCTGCGCCACCGCTAGCCAGAGCCATAATTTCCTGAGCTTTCTCAGATGAGAAATCGTCAAAAACCAGAACTTTCCCTGCGTAGAATATAGTCATCTGTGGTCTCTTAGGTTCCATAGCTGCAGCTGCCTCCATGCTGAACCAGAATATCCAAAAGCAAAATTAACCAGTTGCACAAAAATAAAATGCAACCTAAACCACTTAAAAAATTAAGGAAGAGAAAGAAAGCAAACCTAGAGGTAGCCTCTCTGGTGGCAAAAGCATGCTCAGAATTGCCAGAATTGGTGGCCAACGAAGCAGATGAGAAAAACAGATCCACAGATTTTCCCGTTCGAGATAAGGGCTGGCAGGAATTCCCAATACTGTTAAGTAAATTCAGGGTTGTGGTGCTGGTCATAGCTTTAGATTCCTCATTTTTAGCTGAAATTTCAGTGAAAAAAAAAACATATCTCAATCAGTAAAATTCAGATATCCTCACACAAAGACTCCATTTTTTGTTTCTCTCATCCACTTTTCAAGCAATTCAAATCAGCCCAATATAGCCCTCTAATTCCAAATTCCCTAAAGAAAACCATCCACCCCTTTTCATTTTCAGCAAGATCCAATCCTAACCCAAAAGGAACAGACAAAAAAAATGAAATGTTTGCCTAATATCTAACCCTGACCCTCATCATTATTCTACATGCTAAACTGAATAGAAAGAAATAATACAAAGAAAATATATACATCAGTTTTGGGGTTTTCAATTTACCTAAAGCTTCCGAGTTCTTCGCAGCAGCAATTCCGGCGAAATTCAGGTCCTTGAGACTGCCACCTCTCTCTTTAACATACTGACTCAGGAGGTTGCAGGTGTGGGCAAAATTTGATTTTTCTGGTGCCTTCCCAGGCCTGGTTGGAATACTATTGCCAAAAGGGTTCTTCTGAGAACTAGAAGACATTGCAAGCTTCTGTAAAATCGTCCCACCAATCAACAAAAAAATCAGCTTGGTTTTAGCCAAATGAATGGAGCTCACAAAAAGTGATCTTTTTTCCTTTTTGGAGGGGAGAATATATGGGATATTGTGGTACGCGCTATACACACACAAACAGAAGGCTAAAGGCAACAAAACTCAAAGAATTTTCAAAAAAAAAAAAAAAAAAGCGCTTGGTAGAATGGGATTGGAGGAAGAAGAAGAAGAGAGAGAGAGAGAATTGGTTCCTGCTAGGCAATTTCACTTTCCTTTAAGAAGATAGGTGAAAGGTTTGGCGTTTTCTGGAAGAAAAGAAAAAAAAAAAACGAGTTTAAGCACGTGGAAATTGCGAATTCTATAAAGAACTTTATCTCATATCACCTTCTTCCATTTGAAATTTTCAATTTTTTTTTTATTTGTTTATCATATCATCATTTTGTTTAGAGTATTAATTATGGTGGGGTGTGACCTGTGACCTGTGAGAGATGGGGAAGAAAAAGAACCACTACAAAATGTCCAGACAAAAGCCAATGGAAGCATCTGGTACTGGGAATTGGGATTTAAAATTGGACTTGGAGAGTACATACATTTCCAACGTGCTCTTTCTTCTTTTCTTTTCTGCCTTTTTTTTTTTGGGTTTTAATTTATTAGGTTTTTTTTTCTCTTTTTTCTTGATGATATAAATCGGGATGGTGAAAGAAAAAAAAATGTGGTAGCCGCTTTTTGTACAAGAGAAAGATCAGAAATTACTGGACCAGATACCACTGTTCAAAACTCATTATTATCATTTCTCCATAATTTTGTTTTTTTTTTTTGGCATATTTGCAGGGTGTCCATCGTTTGCAATAGCGACTAATCCTCCTCGTTGAATTGTGGGCACCTCGATGAGTGGGACAGCTGACCAAAATAGTTCAGGTTGCTCCATGCCCGTAACGAGATTCGAACTCTCGACCTATGGTTAAGGGTGGAAAAAATCCCTTAATTTTTTTTATATGTGAGGAAAAAATGTAACTATACTCTTATTTACGAGTAAATCTTGAGTACAACAGTTGTATTCGGTCAGTTTGTACAACTTGATATAACTGAGAAAAAATACTAATTATTACGGGATAAAGAAAATATACATTGGCCCCGAAAAAAACTGTTACAATTAATCACTGTTGGTACTTTTTCAAAAAAAATAAATCACCATTGATTATTTATACTGAAAAATTAAATACATCGATGTATGTTAGATTTTTGTCTTCCTTTTGAGAGCGAGAATTTGACAAATTCAGCTAGGACTATATATTTGAACCAATTCCAACTAATCAACTTCTCAATAATTAAGGATTGTTCGCCTCAGCTTCCTGGAGATGTATGTTTAACGTGGGAATATTTTGTCAGCTTGACTTGAAAGCATTGAGCAATGACATGTCGACATCTCACTAACTACACATTTTTAATTTTTATTTTTATCTCCAAATATCGTACGAAATGAAGTCGTGAACCCCAGTAGTTGTACATGGTTTTTCTTTTTCTTTTTTTTTTTTTTGCAAATAGTTGTGCATATGGTTATTCCCCCCCTCCCACATTTGATTAAAAATTATTGTTTAATTCTAAATGTTTAATACTGAATTAAAAATGTTAAATTCATTAAGTAAATACATAATAAGCAATAAGCTAATTTTTATTGCTATTATTTTATATTGCAATTTCAGCACCACTTATTTGATTAAGAGGTTCATTTTTTGTTATCAACCATGAATTGAAAAAAGTGCTTAGTCCAATAATTATAAACATTACTTAAAAGAGCTCTAGCAGGTCTCTCTGTAAGCATTAAAGGAAGAATTCTTGCTTAGCACATGACTAAATTATTCATCTCATATCAAAGGAGATCAACAACATATTTACAAAAATCTTTTCTTTTTTTTTTTTTTTACAAACATCTTTTTTCATTGGAAACATCGTTTTATATTAATTAACAGTTTTCTTTTTTTATTTAAAACATAAGGTCCTTAGAATACAAATAATAAATACACAGATGATTTATTTTATATTTTTTTTATAAATAAACAAAACTGTTAAAGAATGCATAACACTTTTTACTCTATAAATTCAGTAACAGTTTTGCATTCCGAATTATAAACTTTATATAAAATCTGGAGCAAAGCAAATTAATCTATTTATTATTATATCTCAATCTCAATGTGAATTTTATTTTTTTTTTGGGTGGTGGGGGGGGGGACGAAAGGAGTTCACTGTTGATTGATAACTACATGGGATTGGTCAAAAGTGGTGGGGGGACTTTCAGCCCACTTGCTGCTATTTTCCAACTGCTGTTTAAGCAGCCCCGAATAAGTCAGTCATCTCCCTGTGTTTAAACAATCCGTCCACTAGGAGAGCTCGGACCCATTTCCGCCATCCGGTTGATCCACGATTACAGCAAAAGTAAATAAACTACGGTAATCATTATCATGTTCTACAGTTTTCTATCACGTGAGAAATAGGATAAAAGTCTAGAAGCAGCAAAAAAAAAAATAATGAAAATCATAAAGAGCCAACTCAGTGTAAGAATTGTTAAATTTGGGGTACATCAGTAAAATTGAGAAAATTGGAGGAGATAAAAGAACACGAATCAATTTGGGGACTCGTTTGTAAGAGAAATGAAAGAGTGGGATGCATATTTGCAATTAACTCCAAAGAAAAATGTAGAGAAATGATGACTAATACCTGTCAGTGTCACATCATCAACGAATCATCGTTTCGTGTTGGTGTTACTTTGTCACTTTGTTTGTACTTTGTAGGCAACACAAAAGTTTTACAGACTCCCACACGTTTAAAATGTTGGATGAGATGTTTATGCAACTTGTTTGAGAATCCTTCAGTTACTGAAGTTAAAAGTGTAATACAGAGTATATACAGTGTTACTTTTAACAGTTTTACAGATAGAAGACCAAATTCGGCAACTATTGAATCAAAGTTGTAATCCTTCCGTCCCAAAATTATTATTCAGTTTTGGTTTTTTTTTTCTTTTTTAGTTTAAAGTGTACTGAAAATAAAATTTTAAACTGGGTAATAATTTTGGGACGAGAGAGTAAAAAAGAGCTGATTTTGGAATTTGGATTTTGGACATGCTAGAAACCAGGAATGTGGGATTGAGAGAGCTTTTATGCGACAAAGAGTGATCAAATATGAGCCCTTTGGGAAGGGAGTTTGCTGCAAGCTTTTTGCATACAAAGTAGCTCATATAAACCAATCAATTGACAGAACGAGCTACTGTATTTAGTTGCAGAAGCCTGAAGTTAATAACTACACCGACATGTACAAAGATCGGAATTGTTTATTAAGTCAGAATTCGGAAAAAAAAAAAAAAGAGCTTTAGAACTTGCATTGCCCTTCACTGTATCCAGTAGAAATTAAGATCCAATAGGAGATAACCCTACTGGCTTTGGACCAGGAAAAAAAAATCAGGTTGAAATTACCAGGAAATGTTTCCCAAACTTCATGGAAATAAGAAGATCATGCAAAACAAATCAATTGGGTCCTAGGTTCAACTATTTTAAGTGAAAATGATAAAGAGCTAGCCAAAAAAAAAAAAAAAAAAAAAAAAACCAATGATACATATGGTTTTGCTGCCAGTTCAAACAATTTCAATAAACCTAAAATGGGAGTTCAGGTTTTCCCTTACTGACCCAGTGAAAGAAGCCACTGAATGAAAGCTTGTCAACACTTCTGCTTCTGTTTTTCTTCTTTCTGTCATCTCAAAATCATCTGGATAACACCAGAATGGTTTCACCACAGTGAGGTTAGCATAAATGCCAGGACTATACTACTGAACTACATATGAAGTGTAACTATTAGATCCAGGGCCAAATTTGGTAAGGAATTTCCTATCACCTCAGATCAATTTCTGAACTACTTAGAATCGGTAAGGACCAACCTTAAAATTTCAACGCTGAGTTTATCCTGTCAGAATTGAATTTCTTATTGGCCAAATAATTATCAACTAACAACAGGTAACGTTTGTATTTACTACAATTGCCAATCGTATTGTGAAGAAAACCAAATTCTGAGCATAAAGCTAACCAACTAGTAAGGAAGGACGAGAAATTGTGAAGATACTTTGGCCACAGTTTCAGCTTCTGAAAAATAGAAGGTATGATAAAATATCTGATGGTTTGTTGTCACAGTGATGCGGAATAGAGATTTTATTAAGGCCTTTCCTAACTTTTGTTCTAAACTTGCATCATACAAAGTGTTCAACAGCAGGATGTTACAAGAAAAATTCCCATATGAACAAATGAACCAATCTAAAAAAACCGTAAGGAAAAAAAGAAAAGTGATACAAAACAACAACACCATGCTTACAATTTTGCTGAAGCATTCAGGCGGGGGAGGAAGATTGATGGATATCCAGACTGATCAATGGAATACACAAAACTCTAATAAAGCTCCTTGCTGCAAAGTTTGGATCCTGTCTATGATAAATATCTCATCAGACTCGGAAGCAGCCACCAATGTTTTCCATATGTAAGCATAATCCATCCAACACATCCCAACAACCCAAGCACTCAACAGAAAAAAAATTCAAAGAATAGTGTTTTCTCCCTACACTATAAAAAATGGATGCGTGTCTACGTATCCATTCATTCGTCCATCCTTTTTACTGAGACCTCCTTCTCGTGTGCTGAGAAACAGGGTGTCCCTCGAAGAAATCCAAAACTGAGTTCTCAAGATCCTCCACAGAATACTTGATATAGTTCTCTGGATGCCTCCCGCTTTCAATGTGGCTCCTGAATCGTCCCAGGAAAGACCGATAAGCCGGTATCAACTTCTCAGATATTGAAATTCGCAGCTCCTCTCTCAACTGAACATCTGGAACCAACCAAGTCGCCTGAGTCTTATGAACTTCTTCAAAATTGGCATTGAACGACCTAAACCTTTCCCTTAGGGCAGTTTTAGACACCCCTGATGAAAAACTCCCACTCACATGAAGCCCTTCATCTCTCAAACAATACAAAACCCGAACCCAAGTCGCTCTTTGATAATTCGTAGCAGCCTGCCTGAATTTCCCAGTCAGTTTCCTCAAATAATCATCTCCAATCATTTCCCTCAATTCAGGCGACCCTTTAATCTTCTGAACAATATAATGGACGTTATTCATCATGAACAAATGTGACAAGGAAGTATCTTTATAGTGCTTGGATTTGCCATCCAGGTTGAATTGTAAAATCACAATGATCCAAATCAAGTGAAGGGCCAACGGTGTTTTTTCTTCCTCGAATTCCGTCAAATCCAAATCAGGGGTGTTATTCGGATCATCCCCCGGATTATACCTCGAACCAGTGGATGGCTTTGACACGATTAATTCACTCAAAGTGGGCTTGTAATCTGAAATTAAGCTGATGTAATTCATCACGTACCTAGTTAACGGATGGATTGTTCCTCCGGGCACCGGAACTCTAGACGGTTCCCGGAGAACAGCATTTTCAAATTCCGAAACTATCCCTCTTGCTGCCTCAGCCAAACGAGACAATATCTCCACGGCTTGAACCCGAATCGACTCGGAAGATTTCGATTCAAACACGACTTCAATGTCCGGCAACAAGTCCGATATAGCATCGTGGAGATCCAGTATCTTGAACAGCTTCTCCGGCGACCGGCGACTTATACTTATAGCTTCGGCGAAATTAAAAAGCTGAACTGCGGGGCCTTTAATAGTTTCCATAAAACAAGAATCATCCGTGGCGGTCCCTAACCCCTCAAAGATTTCTTCACAGAGCTTTTTCTCGGAAGCGAATAGTATTCTGATGGCCACTTTTGCAGCCCTTATCCATTTCTTGATTTTCTTCTCCAAGATTTCCCATTCCAGCTTTTGGACGTCTCCGATGCTCAGTTTCTCAATCCCAAGTTTCCGCAAACTAGCGTCGATTGCTGCTTTCCGTACGCCGCCGTAAACTTGGATGCATTCCCGGGCCCACCCAGCGGCAATCATCCTCTCCGCTATGCTCCGGAGATCGTAGACTGCATCTGCCGAGAGCAGATCAATCTGCCGGATGCTATTTGTCGATCTGTAGTTGCTACTGTTCCCGCTCTCTTGATGATCAAAATCCCTCCGGCGAGGCGTCTCAGAGCCAACGCCGCCGGCGGCGAGCAACTCGTCGTATTCCGCCAAGGTCAAGTTGATTTCGGAGCTGGTGCTGGTCCTGCTGGAGCCTCCGGCGAAGGAAGCGTTCAGATCGGCGAGCAAGTCAGCTTCCGGCACCGGAGACGTCTGAGCTATGAGGATATTGCGAAACTCGTCTTCCAGTCGGGCCATAGCGATCTGGATCGCGTTGTTGGGTTGGACGGCATGGTCATCGCCTCCGTCGTGCCCGGCGGAAGAGGAGGAGGAGGATGAGATGTTGCAAGATTCCAGTGAGCGCTGGATTTCATCGACGGCGTGTAAGTACTTGTCGATTTCTTGACGGTCACCGTCGAAGATCATCTTGTCACGGGCTTCTTCGGAAGCGGTGGAGTCCCATCGGAGAATGATTTTCTGGGCGGAGTCGAGCCCACCGGGGCCGGTGTTCTCCGGCGGGTCCATGGTGGAGGAAAGAGAGGGTAAAGTTGGAAAGAAAGAAAAAAAAACGGAGAGAAAGAACCTTTTGGTAATAGAAGAAATTTGGGGGTGAATGGGTCAAATTTTGGTTGCTGCTCTGGTCAATAAAGTCCAATTCGCTAATTTGGCTTAATCATAATAATAAGGAGTAGAAGAAGAACAGTGGGAGAATATAATATGAAAATGGGAAATGGAAACCGTTTTTTTCTTTTTTTTTTTCTCAGTTCATATTTTCTTTTTCCGGTCACTTTCTTTTCTTTTCTTTTCTTGTGTTTTTCTCTTTTACTGCGAAATGGGATGAGATAAGATGATATCGTCACTACAAAACTTGAAGGAAAAAAAAGAAGTCAATACACAAATAAAATATTAACTAATAAATTTACAGATAAAATAATCATAAATGTAACATAGAAATATATTGAAATCTTTTATTTTATCAAAGATACCTATAACAATGTATCATGATAAAATCGATAAGGAAATTAAACCACTAGGTAGCAAACTACCAAAATGTGTCAATTGTTGCATAGCCTTGTGCGAGTAATTTGATTTTTGTAGTTATGGATTTGGATAATTTATCCTGATTATAAGAAATCAATAATATCGTCTCTTCCTTTTTTTTTTTTTTGGTCCCCTCTAGATCTTTCTTTAATCTACCTATATTATAATAGTTGAATATCCTTAAAGGTTTGGTAGTTCTCTTGCATGTGTAAATATGTGTTTTTTTGTTTTTTTTTTGTAATGTGAGAAGTACTTAATTACTATTGATGGAGATTTTTATGTGTTTTCACTTTAATTACAACTAGATGTTTGGCCCAAGTAGATGCCCGGGCGCCCCTTCTAAATTACTATTTTATTAAAATCTAATTGAATTACTATTTTTTGAGGAATTAATTTGGCGTATATATCATTTATGCTATGGTTTGGGGCTTAAAAAAATATACCTATAAATCTGAGGTTATAAGGGAATAATAAATAATTAGTTTATAAGGCATTATTCTTAATTGCTGGATTTAGGTATTTTTATTTTTTGTTTATATTAAGCCTGCAAAACTATACGATTGGACATTTAAATTTGAATTAATATATCCATTCGTTTGAAATCTAACTGATCCTTATTTGTAGTAAAACATGTGTTTTTTTTATAAAAAAAAAAATTTATATAGCTTCTAATCAAAAGAGACTTACACGTGGCAAAAAAAACTCCTGAAATCTGAAATATGGTGCATTGGAGCCAAAACAGATGCATACATAGTTGCCACGTAAGTTTCATGTCTTCTGCTTTAATAGGGTAAAAGGGATATATAACTTTAATCTAACTTTATGATGACAACCTTTCATCTGCTTCATTTACATCTACTTTAATCACAAAACAACATTAAAAATTTAATTTTATTATTGTAAATCTCTTCTTCTCTTTTGCTCATCTCTTGATATTCTAATAACTGCTACATTCAGTTATATTTCTATTAAAATCTATAAAACACTTTACCTTTTCTAGCCTTCATATGCTTTAGTTTTGTTTAAACTATTCGGCGTTTACATAGTGGCGAACTCACAGAATCAACCAACCTCTTCAATTGCGAAAATTTCATATCTATAACCCCCATTATAACAAAAACTATTTTTTGCCAAAAATTTCACATGTCAAGATGTCCTTAAAAGTAGTCCACTCTAATTCTCCGCAATTTCCTCCCCAAAAAACACTACATCCTAAAATCTATTCATTTGATTACTACTTCATTCAGTTACCAAATCAGTTTCAACTTCAAAATTAAAAAAACTCCCCTTTTTAACTTTTTTGAAACGGAAAATAACTTTGATATTTGAGCAATAAAACTAATTTGATCGGCATTTTAACTCAAATTCTAAATTTTGTGAACTAAAAAAAACTCTCTGCCAAGCGAAGATAAGCCAGAGCCGCACACCACTCACCACGGAGGTGTTCCTGATGAAAGTCATGTGAGAGTATTAACATCGAGTGGACAAGTTAGATGAATTATAAGCTTCTTCGCAATAGAGATTATAGTAATTTATGCTCTTCTTATCATCGATATTGATTTTTGAAAAAAATTTTAATCAATTTGTCATTGAAATTTGTGATCTTCTTAACTTTATTGATATGAAAAGAACTGATGCGGATGGAGGCAGCCCTGGAAGGGGCAAACTTGAGGGTAATCTACCGGAGTTTCACGAATTTTGACAAGTTCTCTTTTGAAATAAGCCTTTAGTAATACAAGCCCTTTATCGTGCTTGCACATATCGAGCGTCCTCTTCCCAACACTTCTTTCAACACTAAATTGTACGACGATAGCAAATCATAGAGGTAATATTCCGTTGCTCGATTTTATTCGCTATTGTCACTCCTCTATGTTCTTCTTCATTGCTTTTGTACTCTGTTTTAGGATCAATGTTTGATCTTCTTAACTTTCTCTTCACAATTTCCAGGATAACATTTTGACAAAAAAAAATATTAACTTGTACGACCAACACAGAAATTTTCATGTTTAAAAAGGGGTTAATGGTTGGGTGAAACTGTTGATCTTTTAAAAATGGTTCTCGGTGATTTCATATGATAAAATCATCATCAAAGCATGCTGGCCAAACTTTTGAAGTTTTATTATTATTATTATTTTGCAGCGCTTTTTTGACATGATTAATTTATCAACAAGAGCCACATATGTTCTATAATTTCTTATTCATCAGAATCTTGAATAGCGGTCAGATTCTAAGGATTTTGTTAGGTTGGACAACCATTAAGATACTCAAGATAGTGCTTTAAAATAGAATAATAAGGTGCGAGATGAGCTTTGCTTTCTTCAAGAAAGAATTTTGACTGATATTCAACTGCACTTGATCATCATCATCATCAAGTAAAAAATATAGAGTAAGAAACTGGAATGAAGATAGAAATTTTTTCTGGTAGAGGACGACATGGAAACTTATTTAGAATGATAGTTTGGACGATATAGAAATCAATGTCTGGCTTCTCATTTGTTTGTTTAGAACCTCAATTTTATTTTGGTAAAATATTGATAACTTGGTCCCATAAAAAATACTGAGTGTTTGGAAACCTATTTAGAAGTTATTGATGGCTTAGTGCTTCTCCAATAAAAATGGAATACCAATTTCCATATATGATTGAATTATGTGGAGTAGTACTTCTAATGGAAGAAATAGAAATTATTTTCTAAGTACTTCTTAGATTCTTAATGAAAAATATATGAATTGTTCTACAATGGCGTTATTTAATTTTGATTATAAAGAAATAAAAGATATTAGTCAATTATGTACCCGTGCCAATGCACGGGTCCATAATCTAGTATCTATAGATCTTGAATTTTTCATCATCCGAAACCAAGTGCTGTTTTTTTTTTAAAGGAGGTAAGTTTTATGAAAATAGAAATCTAATATACTGTACTTCAACTCTGTACTTTAGAAATGCAATAAAAAAAAGTAGTAAGTAATTAAACTCTAGAAATGTAAATTAAATAAACTCTTTAAGTGTGACCCTTCCTTTTCTAGACAGACGGATTAATAGTTCAATTTATGTCAATTAATGTAAGTAATGATGTTATGTTAGGCCTTGTTTGATAAACCAATTAAGCACTTAAACTTATTAATTAAGTACTTAATTGATTAGCACTGTTTGATAACACAATATCATAACAACTTAATTGATTAAGAACTTAATTTATTAAGAACTTAAATTTTAAGTGCGTTTGATAACTCAACGTAGGATGTCTTAATAAATTAAGTGGGTCTGAAATACTAGTACAAATGTGAGCCTAAAAATAAGTGATAGGTCTATCACTTATATCTGAACTAAATTCTTGAGACGATTTTTATTTATTTATTTATTTTTATGTTTATACTTTTGATATTTTATCTTGAAATATTTTTATTAATCATGATGTCTAGTTCTAAATAAAAATTTATGTAAATTATTTTTTATTTAATAAATAATTATTTTTATATAAAAATTACAATCCATTAAATTCCATGATCAATATATATTTACCATAAAATATTATAATATGATTTTTTTTGACAATAATGAAATATGACATTATTATTAACTGAAAAAATAATAACATAATAAAATTTAAATATTTTTATTACATTATTTTATAATAATATTATTATTTTTATTATCATAGTTTCATAAACATCAATTGTTTTTTTAGATAAAATCATAAGTCGAGATACTTTAACTTTCAGTGTTCAGACTTCAGATTTCAGACATTTTATTTAGTGTTCAGATTTTAGTTTCTATCAAACACGAGAAACTTAATCAGTTCAGTACTTATGATTAAGTCTTCAGATTTCAGAATTCAGACTCAAATTAAGTTTTATCAAACGGAGCCTTAATCTTAATTGTTAAGTGCTAAATGCCTAAATCGATTCTCAAAAAAAAAAAGAGAGAAAAATTACGTAGGTGTATTTTTGTTGCTCAATCCTTTGGGATATTCCAAATAATGTACATTCATCGTAAGATTATGTCACACCCAGAAAATCGACTTTTTACCTATTACGAGGGAAAAATTATTGGGTACAATTGTTATATCCTGGTTTTAAGTACAGCAAGTACTAGTACCTTCTATTTTGGTAGTATAACTCTCGTAGAAATTATCTCTCTCCCCCCTCTCAAAATTACTACTTTACTCTTATTATTGTGTCTGGCTGCGCAATCCTACGTGGTACAGTAGCTGCACTGAATAATTTCTCATTATGAGGAAGGGATACATGTAGTGTTTTTTTTCCCCCTCCCCCAAAACATAAAATGAAATAGGAAAAGAAAATGAAGTATTAAAAGGCAGTTTCATCTTCCCTATTCAAACTTTCCAAAAGTCTGAAACCCAATAATTTTCGAACGTCCAATTTTGTCAACTCACGAGCTCCACTTTGATCGATATATATGGGATTGGTATTTACTTTTGAAAAACTCAGTTGCTTTCCAATAAGTATTCCATCATTCTCACATATCCTTTGAAGATTAATCAAAATCCAGATATTAAATGAGAGAAACAGAATCTCATATTCTGTGTTTAGTTCATGTCCATGTGTTGGGCGGAGTACATATTATAGGTACTCGAAAATTGTCTCGCTCAAAAGCACACCAAAAAAAATAAAAAGTCTGACTTTGTGATTAGTTACGTTTCTAGATGGATTGACCAAAAAATTATGTATAGAGAGAGATGTCAATTTCATGAAATGAGTTTGCCTTTCTTTAAATTTTTGCTCAACTGCCCTCGTTGCGTCCGAATTTGAAGTCATCATATATATTTTTATGAAATTTATTTTTTATTTCTCAAAAAAATTATTTACTTTATAGTATATAGATATTTTGAAATAAAGAGAGTGTTTGTTATGATATTTTTTTCTTTTTTTTCCCTTCTACCTTTTTAGGGGTATTTATGAGCAGATGATTGCACCCATTTCAATCAATTGGAACAATTAACCTTTAACTAAAGACAATTGATGGTGAGGTTCTAGGCTGGCTAATCAGGTGAACACACCATTACAAATCTGGAATTAAGTTTTTAACTTTTTAAATAATGAAAGAAAGTCAACTTATTACAACATTAACAGCTGACATTCACGTGTTTGCATGCATGTCTTGCACCCACGGACACACAAAACTGATAATGTCTAGTATTCCCAGAAAAAAATTATGCTAATCAAAATTTATTAATGTTTGCAAGATACAACAAGATTCTATTCGATTTTACTTCATATTCCCTCCATTCCAATTCAATAGGCTCATTTTCCTTTTAGGAATGTTTTAAGACTTAGTACCTCTTTAGACAATTAATTAAGTTTTACTATAAAATCTCTAATATATTCTTTCTACTTTTACTAAAATCAAAAACATTTACTCCCTCCATTCCAAAATAAGTGTCGTCCTACACTTTGCACATAGAAAAAAAAAGTCATATTCCAATTCAATAGGCTCATTTCCCTTTTAGGGATGTTTCAAGACTTAGTACCTCTTTAGACAATTAATTAAGTTTTATTATAAACTCTCTAATATATCCTTTCTACTTTTACTGAAATAAAAAACATTTATTAATTTTAATAATTACTCTCTCATATCAACCAATACTCACTAGTCATTAATAAGGTTGTAGTAAGAATTTTATTTAAAATTAATCACATAAATTACATTACTCACTTTTTTTTAATCTCCATGTATATCTAAATGAGCTCATTGAATTGGAATGGAGGGAGTAGCATTAATTTTGTATATTTAAAATTGTTTTTTTTTTTTTTTGGTTGATCTTAGGATTCTCGTTCGTCGATGTAAATCTTTTGTATATAAAATTGCAGCCAGCAAGCAATGTTCTAGGTAACAGTACAAATTGCATCGAATAAAAATGTGAAGTTGCACGAGTGGCTCCAGCCTCTCCTCTTAATGGCACTGAATCTATTGTTGATTTTCATAATCTAACCAGGAGTAATTTACAAAGGCTAACTAAACAACATTAAAGTTTGTGATGCATTGATTGGATCTTTTATGACAATTTTGCGTTAATTTTTTTTTCTTGTGTGAAAATTGACACCTGTTTTACAATTATGCTAATCTTTCCAGCAAAAAGAATTATTCCATCTGTCTCATAATTATTGTCCAGTTTGAGATTTCACTTTTAGTATAATTTGAATTAGAAATACTCAAACTGGACAATAATTATGGGACGGAAGGAGTACTAAGTGAATCTTAATTATTTGTACTTGTAAGTCGTACTGTAGTAGTATATACTCTACAACTATCAGCAGTAACATAATTTCAATCGAATGAGCAGTCAATATAATGCTAAATATTATATTTTTAAAAAGAAATAACTTAAAGTAGTGCAAAAGTGAAGGGGAAAAAAAACCAGAGAGAAGAGAAGATTGCGAAAAGATTTCCAGCTATTGCACTTTTATTTTATATCACCACTACTGCCTGGTTCAATGGCTTAATTTTCACGATTCAGAAAATGGATTTTGTAATTTCATCAAACTCCCGACTTCAAAAACTTGACAAAGTATGTTGAGACTTGTAATTTCAGGATGTTGAGACTTGTAATCAAGAACTTGACAAAGTATTAACTTTCCGGGATACACAAACAAAGGCATTACAAGCCTGACATGAGTTTTGAGGAAACCTGTTCTGCATCAGGATGAAAAACATCAACAATAACAGCTTTTTCCATTTCCAGGGCATCAATTTCAACAGCTGGATTGATCTGAGTTAATAAAATAGTAGTAAAATTCTCAAAGAAAAGCACTGCTTCATTCAGTTAATAATGGGCTAAAGTGTTTTTTCCTCATTCTATTATTCTATAGCTAAAAGTGCCTCCAAATCTGTTGCCACCACACCACTTTTGCAGCGAACGCCTCAAAAAATTTCATTCCCGTGCATAAATAACAGCAGGAGTACTACAATTTCTTTTACTGTAGAAAAGATTCCAAATGTTAAAAAGCGGAAAAATTGGCCGATCTACCTAAAAGTTGACATGCATTGTTAATTTCACCCTATTCTTTTTTCGGTTAGCCACTATTACCCTAAGCTATCCAACCATTAGCCGATTTTGTCTAATTTGTCAATTTCTGTTTAAATTAACGGAATTCCGTTAGTTTTAACTACAAAAAATCCTAATAGTTTTGAAAATAAAAAAATAACCCCAAAACTTTGTAAAAATAACCAAACAGTCTTTTTCACTTTTTATTTAATTTTTTCTGTTTTCTATTTCTTTTCACTATTTCTGATAACTATAAAAATACATTATATAATCTTTAAAAAAAAACTATTTATTTTTAAAACAGTATTGTGCAAATTTATAGATATGCATATTCGTAACTCATGGTTGATTTACATAAATATATTAATTTTTTAATTATATGGCTTAACAGTAATGATATTATTTTTTAATCTATTTTTTCAATCTAAAAAATAAGATTATTTAACTAACCCTAATTTTGCACAAAAAATAAAACATTTAGCATAGATTAATTTTTTTTATTGGTATACTTTAATGTATTATTACAATATAATTCAACAGAATTTAGATTGTATTGTAAAATTAAAAAATAATTAAACTAAAATATACATTTTCTTTAAAATGCCAAGTACAAATAGAAAGTAAAAAGAAAATAGCACAAACTATTTTATAAAAAATATATATATTTATCATTGCGAGAGTTTAACATTTCATGATAATTTTTTTTGAGATATTAACATCTAACTTTAACAGGAAATTTTTTTTAATAATAATAAAAAAATATGCTCCAGTATTGGACTCCACCTTTTTTTTTTAAAAAAATATCGCCTCAGTGAGAATTGAGGCCTCGAACACAGTAATAATCATCTCTTGTCTTAAATCACCTGACCATCCAACTCAACCCTCTCACCTTTAGTAAACCATGCATAAATGTGGATAAAATCACTCTCCTGGTTAAAAATCCTTGGTGAGAATTAATCTTATATCTACTATCATGAATCTCAACACCCTAAACACTTGATTGTACACTATATTTTAGTTTAGTAATTTTTTGAATTGGATAATACAATCTATAGTTTGTTTATTCAATTTGTAATAAATTAAAATGTACTAATATATTAATTTTTAATCAATGCTAAATATTTTATTGTTTTTTAAATTAATTTTAGTCAAAAAATATTATTCTTTAAATTGAAAAAAGGATTAAAAAAACTAATATCATTATTGTCAAGTTATATTATTAAAAAATTAATATGTTTATGTAAATCAACAATGAGTTACAAATATACATATCTAGAAATTTGCACAGTAGTATTTAAAAATAAATAGTTTTTTTTAAAAGATCATATAATATATTTTTATAGTTATGAGAAATAATAAAAATAAATAAAAAACAGAAAAAATTAATAAAAAGTGTAAAAAGACTGTTTAGTTATTTTTACAAATTTTTAGGATCATTTTTATAATTTTCAAAACTATTAGGGTATTTTTTTGTAATTAAAACTAACAGAATTCCGTTAATTTAAACGAAAATTGGTCAATTGGACAAAATCGGCTAAGAGTTGGATAACTTAAGGTAATATTGACTAATCGAAAAAGAATAAGGTATAAATAACAACACATGTCAACTTTTAGATAGATCGGCTAATTCTTACATACAACTTGCGAAAATTTGAGGTAAATGCTCTGTTCAATTTTCTTCGATCTGGTTTTTGTTTTTTCCGGTTCGCTTTCGTTATATGAATTCTTTATTGCGAACCTAGCGCGAATAATTATAGATCTCAATAAATCGGCTTTATTTTATTTTTCGTTTTGAAGTTGGGAACAATGGATTCGAAGAGTATCCCTTTGCCGACCCCTCTGGTCGATTGCCTTCCCGCTGCACAGCCTTCTCCATCATCTAGCGTTAGTGTTTTTTCTTCTTCTTCTTTTTTCTTTTTCTTTTTCTTTAAATAATTATTATTAGTTAATGTTTGGAAATAGTTTGAATTGTTTGTTTGTTTTTTTTTTTTTTGCTCCTTTTCTGTTTGGTTTGATTTGCTTATTTATTCTTTTGTTGTTGTGCTGTTTTTAGGTATGTTTTTGCAACCCTAAGTATGAAAATGGTACCACAGCAACGGGTTTTATTTTGAACAATGAGGGGGTTGTAGTTGCCCTTGATCATTCAAGAGCATCTGGCGAATTCCCTGAAAATGTTACGTTACTTAATTCGCATCTGCTTGTAGCCGTTTCTGGAGGGACCAAATTTGAGTGCAAACTGCTGCTCAGTATTCTAGAGACGAAGGTACTTGTTGCTAGTATACATTGGGAAACCTATGTGCATTCTAAGAAAGATTGGCTGTTTTAATTCATGTGGGCATTGAATGTGTTTTAGTGCCAGATTTATGAACTTGTGGAAGGGAGAAAAGCATCTGCTGCAGAAGCATCGATGATGCTTTCTGACTTTCTGTCTGGACATCCTTGCAGTGATGAAGGTTTGCCACTCGGCATACTGCTCGCTGGGTGGGAGAATGAATTGGTAAAGTCGAGAATGCTCTTTTTTTTTTTATCCTTTTGATTTTCCCCCGTCCCTGAACACTCAGCATGGCTTATCTTTATGTAGGGACCTCAGCTGTATAGAGTGGACGCCAAGGGGGAACTGTGCCCTGATAAACTATTACTCGCTACTGGGTCTGTTTCATTTGATAGTTCTGCTTCTGGGTCTGTTTCATTTGATAGGTGTGCTACTGGGACTCCTCGATTTGAGAGGTATGCTCCTTTTCCCAAATCCCAATATGATTAGCTGTAGTTATTAATTTACGAACATGGTCTTCCTTTTAAATTTAGGAATCGATACCTGGCCTTGCTGATGCATTAGACACTGCATTTAATTGCTTTAATGTGTGTACTCATTTTTCCGACCAGATTTTTGGCATTTTGCCTTACCTACTCGCGCGTTCCTGATACTCGTGCTACCGAGTTGGCCAGAGATGCAGTCAATCATGGAAGTGGTGAATGTTTCAGTGGTAAGTTTGTGATCTCTTGTCTGCATTCGTTCTTATATCATTTTTCACGCCTGGTGATTATCTTCGTTTTTCCTGTATTCAAGTTTTCCATGTTGGAACTAGTGGTGTTACATCTTGGCTCTATAATGAAGCACTTGATCAAAGCTGGAGAGCTGTAGAAACAGCAGATCGTGGGATCTCACTGGGAATTAATTACACACATATGGTTAATCTTTTGAAATTGCGCTGATGTGGTATTTTTTTAAGTTGGGGGGTTTGGGGGGTCTTTCTTGATTTTTGTATTTATTTAGTTTTGGTGGTTGTTTGTTTATAGATGAATGGTGGTTGTGGTCTTAAGTATCGAATGGGAACAGCATTAGGTTTTATTTTCAATGATGAAGTAGTTACGGTATCCCTTGATCATTCAATCAAATCAAATCCAGAAAACGCTAGGCTGCTTAATTCGCATCTGCTTGCCTCGGTTTGTGGAGTTGACAAGTTTCAGTGCCAAGGTTTGGTTCATTTTCTTCAGCTTAAGGTACTTGCCGTTACTGTACATTGTGATTGTTATATCTTACCTTAGACATGGCTCAACTGCAGTCTAAGAAAGATTGGCTGTTTTAATTCTTGTGGACATTGTATGTGCTTTAGTGCTGGCGTTTTCAGCTTGAAGAAGGGAGAAGAGCTTCTGCAGCAGAGGCATCAAAGTGGCTGGCTGACCATCTGGCTTGTAATCCTTGCTCTGATGACGCCTTATCACTGGAAGTACTAATCGCTGGGTGGGACAGAGAATCGGTAAATCTTTGGATTCTCTTTTCTTTTTTGTTTTTCCTGACTTTTCTTCAACATGGAACATGGATCATAGTTTGTTTCCCTGCAGGGACCTGCCCTGTATCATGTGGATGCTGAAGGGGCAATGTGTAGTAGACCATCCTTCGGCTCCGGAAGTGCTGCACACGGCTGTGCTTATTTTGACCCGTATTGCCCTTTCCCCTATAATTACTTTTGGTTTTTAACGGGCAAACATGGCTTGTGCTTGCCTTTTTTTAATGTTTAGGATTCATCAGACCACATATTTTAGTTTCCAATTTGTGTTCGGTTCTATTTTCTGATCAGGTTTTAGAAATTTCGCTGACTTTTGTCTTATGAACCTGTTTCTGTTTTTTCGTCTATAGTCCCGATCCATTCCGTTTCCGCTCGAAGAGGGGTTCACGCAAATCAGCCCGTTATAATATGTCCGTGACTGAAGCTATAGAGTTGGCCCGAGATGCTCTGTGTGGTGGTGCTTTACTAGTTCCTGAAAGCCGTGAATTTTGCAGTGGTAAGTTTGTGATTCCCAGGTCACTTCCATTCTTGTATATATATTCCTCCATGTCCCCCTTTCCTGATAATATTTTCTTTTTCCTGTATTTCAGTTTTCAACGTCGGAAGTGATGGAGTTAAACATGTACTCGTGAACTATGATATAAGGGGATGGCAAGAAAAATACTTCCATGAACATGGTGAGGGGGAGAAGAGTTACATCACCAATTTTATTAAGCAGAGGGGCCAAAACCATTTTATTTTATGATTTAAGATATGGAACCCCGAGGAGTGTGATGTGTGGTGGCTTCTTTCTTTCTTGTCGGCTTTTATTTAATGATGTGATTTTATGGCCTCCTTTTGTGGTGGACCAGAGGGATTTCCTCAAGACTATATTTATGTGTCGATTACTTTTGGTTGGCTCTATTTAGAATGTACTATCTAATAATGCCATGATATTTTAGTTAAGTATTGGGTGGGATATTGTGTCGAAGTTGAAATGATAAATTATAAGGTTTATAACATTCAGAAGCTAATTAGTAATTCCCGTTTGCAGTGTCATTTTTAAAATATTAGTGATTAGTATTGATTGAATAACAACATTTCAACTTTTTGAATTTGTCTTTGAACAACCTATTTTGTTTGACTTTAATCATTATCACATATTTCCGACTAAATTTCTTCCTGAGGGATAAGCCTGACTTGAATTCTGAGGAAATCTTTTCTGTTGCACGGCAAATCGGAAGAAGAGGTCCTTGAAGGATCAGTCAGGTTGTTGGACATTTGTGGTTCAGTGAGAAACATCGACTCACAGATGAAGGAAACTGTCCCTTACCAGCATTCAAGAAATAGCACAAGTCTTAGACAATGTCTTCAGGCTTTTGGTCAAAACCCGAGTTTCACTTCTCAACATTCTCAACCAACACAAAAGCTTACCACACTCATTATAACAACCCATGTACTAGTATATAAACTTTGTACAAACTAATACTACAAAATTTTGACATAATTAATTAATTCAACATTAGTGAAAAGAAAGTATTTCTCTTATATACATGGTCGCTGATTTTCCAACTTTTTTCTCTCCTAGCTGAACATGTTTTCCTGCAGAAATTACAATTCCTGGGAACTAATTTGAGAAACAACTATAGATTCCATTTGCTGTTGTTATCAAGCTAGCTAAAAAAAAATGCAGCTTTTAATTCATCAACGATTAACCACCAGAAGGGATGAAATACTACAAAAACACATTTCAAACTCCAACCCAAAAAGATTCATGATACATGCTTGAATTCCTTCTCTGTTTAAGGGATAGGAAACAGGCAGAAATAGTACAACATAGCAAGAGAAGCAGCATCTTTTTCCATCGCTTGGTCAATGAAGAAAGTGCGGATACCAGGTTTTATTGTATCACTATAACGGCATTGATATTGGAGTTCTTTTTGGATTATTTGCACTATGGTCTCGTCTGCTCAAATCTTCCACTCTTCTATATTCTGGTTTATATTAAAGGACTCATTAACAGACCCATCTAAAAAGCTTAAATTTCTAATTGATGATTCAAGACTCACACAACATTTGATGACGGGAAATGTTATCGACTTTCATCAGTTTGGTTCATGTTTCTTCTGAATTCAGAAGGATACTGCTATGAGGATCAATGATTCAGAAGGATAAGTCCCTAACCTATTACACCACATCTAATAATGCAAGACTACTTGGTTTGAACATTCATTTCCATAAATCCAAAAAAAAAAAAAAAGATTAACTAAAAATTATTAGTGGCTTAGAAAAAATGCATTGTAAATCTGTGTATATTACTATTAATAATAACCTAAATGTCAGCTTGGGAATTTATATCTCCTGATCAAACTCTACACCAAAATTACATAGCTACTAAAACTTCACCCCTTACAAAGGAGACAAAAAAAGGAGGAAGAAGAAGAAAAGCACCTAAACGAAAAAAACCAAAGAAAAAGTGTCCCATGTTCGCTTGTTCTTGTCTTAATTCCATACCACATTCTCTCTGCAATTTTGATTCCAAACGATGCGTGAAAAATCCCTCAGTCAAAATCGAGAAACCAAATTGGTCCCCCCAAAAAATCAACTCTTCACAGTTGATTTCCTCTCTCATTTTCTCCTTTTTCTTCTGTTTCAATCTCCAAACATAGGAATACGCAAAGGCCTCAAAATGCTATGTGACTGCGATTTTTTTTTTTTTTTTTCTCAAGAGGCCTCAAATGTGAAACTATTGTTCCGATTGCCTGGAACATTCCCAATATTGATTGTGTTGTAACTTTGGGGCGCATTTGAATTATCAGTTGGAGCCACGGGGACGACTGAGTCGGCATATCCATCTCTGAGGGAAGGAAGAACCTGGAAAGACCTATTATTACTACTATCACTAATGTTGTTGTTACTTTTTTCTATCAAGACTTGAATCTCCTGTATTCTCCTAATGGCTTCGCTAATTTCCAACCGCTGATCCGGATTGTTTTCTGTACAGGCTACTCCAATGTGGAGGAGTTTTTCCATTTCCCCTGTCAAATAACTCCCGGAACTCGCCATTTCCGGATCAAACAACTCGGATTCTCTTCCTTCAGCCACTGCTGATTTCGCCCACTGCACAACATCTGTTCCTCCAGTACCAGTACCAAGGTACTGGGTAGGAAATTTACCCGTCATTACTTCAAGAATGATTATCCCGAGGCAATAAACGTCGCATTTGGGAGAAAGCGCGACGACTTGTTGCTGCTGCTGTACAAGAATCTCGGGCGATTTGTATGCGAAAAGGGATTGTTTGGCCTTATTGCTGATTAGGCTAGTGTAGCCGTAATCGACGAGTAACGCGTCGTTTTCTAGGCTCAGGAGGACATTGCTGGATTTGAGATTGCCGTGAGGGATTTCAAGGGAGGAAAGTTGAGTGTGAAGGTACCCTAATCCCTGAGCTATTCCTTGAATTATCTTCAAACGTGCTGGCCAGTTCAGCTCAGCATGACTTGCTCCCCTGTCAGCTGCAAGGTTGAAAATGCAAAATGTCACATTCATTATGACCATGGAGAAGGCAGCATTTTTCTAAATGTATAAGAAACACACAAAAAAATGGCCTAATGTATGTGTGAACTAAGGAAAGATTTTCTCATACCATGCAATTGATGAAGCAAGCATCCTTTTGGCATGTATTCACAAACCAAGAGCTTCTCATCTCTCCTGAAATGGTAAGCCAATGGAGTCAACACATTCTTATGTTTCAATCTCCCGAACCGTTTGATCTCAGCATCAAACACATCTTTTCCAATCCGATTAACCTCTTTGATCCTTTTCACCACAACGGTCAGTCCATTCGTCATCGACGCCTTGTAACATGACCCAATCGTGCCATTCGCGAGGACCTCTGCGGCCGCCTTCATCAGATCTGCCAATCCGAACTCGCCCTTCTTTTCATTCACCATCACAAGGTCACCAACCTTGTTAGACGCCTTGCGTATCGAGCCAAACCTTTTCTTGCTTTCGCTCAATTCCTTTTTAGAAGTACTCAATATTTTTACTCCAACAATTGAGTCCTCAAGTGCGCTTTCTTTCTCCTTCAGGGTGGTTGATTCGGATTCTTGCCTTCGCCTGAGGGCGTAAATCCCGCAAACCATAAGCAAAAGCATGACGCTCGACGCTACTAGGAACCCGTACGCGATCATTTTCGAGTCATCTTCCAAATCTTTGTTATTGGTAAATGCATCTACAGGGGTGCCCCTGCACAAAAGACCTACTTTTTCCCCACATAATCCAGGGTTCCCCTGGAACGAACTCATATTAAATCTCGACAAGCTTCGTGGAATTTCTCCCCTTAGATTGTTATTTGAAAGGTCAAGGGACATCAATGTTGGTTGCTCTAACGGAGGGATTATGCCCGAAAATTGGTTCCCTTCGAGATGCAACTCAATCAGGTGAGGCAATTGACCCAATGACAATGGAATTTGACCACTGAACCTGTTAGTAGAAAGCCAGAGTTTCTTTAAAGACTCCATTTTTACAAAATAATCATGCGGAATCTCCCCCGAAAACTGATTCCCTGTCAGGTAAATGGCCTTCAGGGCACCTAACCTGTTGAATTCCGGGATCTGGCCTGAAAAATTGTTAAAAGAAATGCTGAGGCTTCGTATACCTGGAATCTGAATCAGGGCCTCTACATCTATTTTTCCTGATAAACTCATTTGATCCAGGCGTAAACCCGCCACCATTCCATTGTTAAGACAAATAACACCAACCCATGGATTTTTCTTGTCGCACGGCAATGTTTCCGTTTTCCAGGAAACAAGAGCTTCTTGCCCTGTAAAAGACTGCTTGAGTTTCAACAATGCCTCTGACTCCGTGGCAGCCGAATTCACCTTCCTTATGAACATTATTACAAAAGAGACGACAATGATCAAAGTTAATGACGACCGGAAAGTGTCAGAAACAATGGCCATTTCAGAATCAGGCAAGGAATGCTGGCCTGGAATTTTGTTTCAGCGTTTTACAGTCTTCGTCCGGATCCTTCATTGGTTGTGTAATTTGAATGTCATTTATATCACACGCTCTTTTTTAAGAGTTATTTTTTCTTCCCTTCAATTTGTTTAATTAGATGATGAATGCGAATTAGAGAAGAGGAAACTGGGGGAAAGAAGAAAATTTTGCAGCCATGGCAATCCATGGGAGTTTGAAAGGTCTGATTTTGTGGATGAATGGAAATCCGCTATTGTCGTATTTTATGAGACAAGAAATGCAACTAATGTCTAACCTTTGGTTTCAACCAAAAAATGTAACCTTTGACTGCAATATTTTCATTTCTCAGTCCCTCTCACCCATCCACACACTATAGTTGTCGCTTCATTACATTTTTAATTACACGTGCATTTCTACAAGTTGATGATGCACCCGAATGAATGTAATTTATAGTGCTAAATTAAACTAAAATAGAAAATCCAAAATGGACAATAATTTTGGGACGGAATGACTACTAATAGTACAAATCCAAATTGATCAATCATTTCGGAAAAGAGGGAGTATTAGATTCATTACAAAGTACAATTTGGAGCTCACAAAACTATCCAATCATCATCATCATCAGGTCTTACAACAACATATGGAGCAACAAAAGAGTCAGTCTCATGATTATTATTGACTGAGGTACCAGCAGTAGAAAAGTGCGGTTCTGACATTCTATATTGCAACGCGAACTCATTGGCTTGTTTATTGATGTCTTCCAACTTGATGATGATGTCCTGAAACTTAGGTGCCATTCTGCAACGGAAATAAAATCTATGGCAATCCTGAGGAAAGAAGAAGAGGGAGTATACATTCCCCTTAAAACAGTGCCTCTCCTTGAGGCCAAGAGTTTCATGGTACTCATCGAACACTTCATAAGCCTCGTAAGCAACCTTTTCGAGCCTCTCAAGCCAAAGTGTTACGGCGTCATCTTGGCTTTGCTTCTTCTTCTCAGCATCATCCAATACAGCATGGATCATCTCAACATATTGTCGGAGTTTTTCCAAGTCCTTGTTGAATCCATGAATGAGATGAACCGTGGCTTTGGCGAGGGCAAGTGCCTTCTCCAGTACAAAATTCACGCTAACACCGAGTACAACGGTACCAACTATCTCAGCCATATTTTCGTCTAGGATGAATGAAGTCCTTGTGCCGAAAGCTGAATGATTGAAGCAAAGGAATTCAATAATAATTTAAGATCAGCAGATCTGTACATTGCAGTTTTAAGCAGAAACTGTTTGGAATTCCACCAGCTTCTGCCTTTTGTTACCACAGTCTTTGCTGGAAACTATCAGTTTGGGTGTAAAACTAACCTTCAAAACTTATATGAAAGGTGAAATTTTACATAGTTCTGAATTAGTGCGTGTCTGAGGGAATTACGCTGTAACTTCATTTTGTTTGTCAATATTATCGCATCTAAAGGCCGGCAATTCGTAAATTAGTTCCGCTGCATAATATATCGTACATCATAATTACCATCTTGATTGTTATGTGGTAGGCCAAACTTTCCGTCGATACTTCAGATGATCAGGTGATTTATTTTTTTCCTTTAAAATTTTGTTTTTCTTCGCCTGGACGATTCCATCTTACATTTTTTACGGGCTACTCGATAGTGACTACAGCAGAGTTCTCGGCTTCATGCAGGAATTCTGTCCCTTCGCTGCACCAAATGCAATCTTCATTTCATTGAAAGAGGAATCAAGACTTCTGTTGCAAAGTATATCCAATTGGTTTTACAATATTTGGATGAGAAAGCTAGCTTATAAATGGCATTATCACTCAGCAACAGTTATTGGGAGGCCATTGTATAATCAGAGAACTGTGTTGGCAAATTTGAGAATTGCCAGCCATTCTCTGTAACCTTGAAAACTATTATCCCTGTAGTGCCATAATTTACAGCAGCCTGTTACCTTGTCTGAATTTATCTGCGATGGTGTTTAGTTCATCGAAGCTGAATGCAATCAGATGATTTCCAGCTAAACTACTCTGCAGGGATTTGCACTTCTTCAGGATTTGAGGGTAGTTATCCTTCCATTTCCGGACGAAGTGATGGGCTTTTGTCCAGGCAATTCTGAGAAAAGATGTACATGACAGAACTAGTTAGCTATTTTATGCTTGCCGGCCCGAGTAAAATTCAACACATTTGCAGAGATCTCGACATTAGCAAATACCTTCAATCTCTGTAGGAACTAAAAAATGATACTCCGTCCCGAAATAATTGTCTAGTTTGGATTTTCATTTTAGTGTAAATTGTAATAAAACTGAAAAACCAAACAAGATAATTATTTTGGGACAGGAGTATATGTGAAGGGCTTACTTGAATAACATAGCTTTTCCACGCTAATGCGAGCCATATACATGTGGATTAGCACCCTATGCCGTAATCTTAAGAGCAGTATCTAATCAGTTTGTGAATTATGGGTGAAAAAGCTGGCCTAAATTAGATATTGTAACTTCAGGCTGAAAAACCACATATAACGAGGGGACTGATTAAAATCACATATAGAAAATTTTGGGAAATCTGAGAATTACCAGCCAGCATTCCCCTCCTGTTACTCTGAGTCACTAACAGCAACCAGAACAGGATGGGGATGGGGTTGCTTTAATTGAAAATCATCAGAGACCAAATGATTTGCAGCAAAACTAGTCTGCAGGTTTTCTACTTACGGCTCTAGTTTATTGTCATCCTTCATCACATTTTCTGATGGCCTTCAATTAGACTTATATTAATGAGGGGAGGAAGTACTCTACTAGTAGTAGTAATAATAAGGAAGGAAAAGAAATCCGGAAGTAGCAATCCGTACCCGTACGCAATCAGAAAATGCAACACAGCCTTTTTTATCTAGTAGTAAGTGAATCATGCCCTACACTTCCATCTGAAAACAAGAAAAAGAACAAAAACAAAAGAGAATCAATCATTTGATTTATTGAGTCAAAGAGTCTCTTTGACTTTTCGTGTTCTCTTGAAGTTGTAAGACTTGAGAATTCCAGTTTAGTGGAAGAGATCGAGATCGAGAGAGGGAGGGAGGGGTGAATTTAGTTAAAAACAGTTAAAAGACGAAACGTTGCAACAGTTGGTTTATTTTTACTTACCTAGCTGCTGCTTGTTAAGTAGTCATATGAAGATGAGAGATCTTGGACCACTCCGAGGTTGGGCCTCTCTTTCTCAAACTTTCCTTCAATAGAGGACAGTCCTTAATCCGAATGTGGCCCAAGTTGGTGAGGCGGCTCATGGCAGCTTTGGACGGCAGGCGACGCAGCTTTGGACAATTGCTTATAGATAATTCTCTGAGGGACTGGAGGCTTCCTAACCAATCTGGTAAAGTTTCTAATAATCCAAAATTTAAAATGACTAATCTTCTTAATGAAGTGAGGTGTTGGATCTGATCGGGAAGACAAGACTCCGCGTGAAGCAACCCATGTATTTCCAGACACTTTAGTGTGGATAATGAGATGAGGCCATCCCAATCAAACAATCTGACCGACGCATCATCAGCGAAGGGTCCCAGCCCTAACTCAGTTAAATTGGGTAGATGATCATATCCACTGGGCATGTTGTTCTTATTCTCGTACAATTTGGGACAGTTGGCCAACCAAATAATTTCCAGGTTGGGAGTGTGTCGAAAATCCAATGGGAAGGAATCTAGATTCGGGCAATCCTGTATCGTCAGTTCTCTCAGAGATGTACATCCTTCTAGTATTTCCGTTGCTATGCTCCTCAACTCATGGCATCCTAAAATTCCGAAACTCCTAAGAGACTTGAGGTGATGACCACGATTCTCCTCCGTCTTAGTACAAGCACGAGCAGGATTAGGAGAAGGAGGAGGGCCACCACCTACATGTCGAATTGTCGAGCACCCCCTCATCCAGAAATGACAAAGTGACTGCAACTGCCACAAAGTTTCCGGCAATTCCACCAGATTGGGGCAACTCACTAGACTCAGCTCCTGGAGGGAATTGCCATAATCAATACTACTACCACTCCAGATGCGCCTCAAATTAGAACATCTCCGCAACTGTAAACTTTTTACATCTGGTGGGCTCTTGTTGCTTTCGTCATATGGGACGAGGCCGCCAAACACATCATCGGAGAGACAACTCAGTCCTTCCATGTTCCATATCTCGAGCTCACCAAACTCACCACCCCTAACTTTGCTGAGGATGTTTCTTGCTATTTGTGGATTGTCAATAAAACTGATTTCCAAATTCTTCAGACTTGGGAAGTGAGTGGGAGTGGTGATCAGTTTAGGACATCTATCAATGATCAATTTCTCAAGCACAGGAAACACACCCATAGCTTCCTCTCCTTCCCCACCAACTCTTGCTTCTTTCCATTCGGTCAAATTCGGCATATCACCCAACTCCAGAGTTTTCAGCACTGGAAACAATTTCAAACTCCCAGAGATTGATGAGCCATCGCTATCATCAAGGCAGTACAACGAAGTTCCCATCCTACTTATAATTTTCATTCCTCTGAGACACAGATGTTCAAGATATGGAAGCTCTGCAAGCATCGGAAGTTGTCTGCAATTCTGACAATTCAGCAATGTTAATTTAACTAACATTGTCAAATTCACCAACCATCGTGGTAAACTTTCGCCCATAAAATTCATAATTGATAACTTCCGCAAATTTGGGTGAGGTTCAAGACTACCCAACACAGCTGCTTCATCACAATTGTGATTTCTTTCACACTCGTAACCCCATTGAAAATCTAACTTCGTCAAATGTTTCCTTTTAGACAAACTTGCTAGACTGGCTTCTTCTTTATCTTTCACGAGATGGAGGTTGCGTATGCAAAGTTCTCCCCGAAGTTCTTCCAAGGGACGAAGTTCTTCAATTCCACAACCCCTCATTTTCCCTATGTTGAAGAACTTTAGTGTCTGAAGACTAGTCAAACGTCCCATGCAAATTGGCATCTCAACTTTCGATTCACCCTCACAGTCAAGATGCTTTAAACTGATCAAATTGTTCATACTTTTCGGAAATACTTGAAGTAGACCAAATGGACTTATGATTAGTGTCTGTAAATTATAGAGCTTGCAAACAGACTCTGGCAAGCTTTTCACTCGAGGCAATGAAAGGTACCTCAAACGTTTGAGTTTGCCAATAGTGTTTGGCAGCTCCACAATTTCCAAATTATACCGGCCAATAAATTTCAAAACGTGGAGGTTCCTGAACTTCGATAAGATTTCATCAGACATGCCCCATCCCTTAGATAAAAACAAAGTTCGGACTGAGGTTGATATGTCTGTCAAGGCTTCTTTTGGTATTTGTTGAAGTGAATCTAATGCAAGGTACCGAGGTCGACAACTTCTAACAATTGCACCATCATACGAAGCCACAGTTTCATTGTTGGAGACTGATTTTGTGAGATCATGCACAAGATCATGCATCTTATAAACTTCTTCACCCTTATAATCTTTTGCTTTCTCCAGCAATGAGCTTCGTAACAAAATTTGTATGTACCTACCGCCTACTTCCTCCATAGTTGTATCACTTCTAGAGTCTTGTTGAAGAAATCCCTCTGCCATCCAAAGCTTGATTAGATCATCTCCGCCTATCTCCTCATCCTCCTTAAAAATTGATAAATAAGCAAAACATTTCTTGATGGGTGAAGACGGCAGGTAATTGAAACTCAGCTTCAATATTTGCATTGCCTCGTCTTCCTTACCACGTGACGGCTTTTTCTCCAAAATTGATAGCCAGTTCTCTTTTCTCTGACTACGTAGTAAACTTCCAAGTACTTTTGCAACGAGTGGTAGGCCGGCACACCTTTGTAAGACTTGCGCCTTTATTGCAATCAACTCTTGAGGGATTTCTTCGCTTGCAGTTGCAGTTACCTTTTCAAGCAAGATCGTCCAACAATCATCATTCGGCAATTTTCCCAGCATATATGTATCATGTGTACCAACTGTGGTTGCTGTGGTTTCATTACGACTAGTCACAAGACACCAACTTCTTTGATTGCTGCCCCTGTTGAGTCCCACCAACGTACTGTAAAAATTATTCCACGATTGGCTGCCTACACTCCAGACGTCGTCCAAAACAACAAGGTATTTTTCTCCTCCCATTTTTCTCCGAATATTCTGAACCATCACTTCCTCACTTTCTTCAGGCTGGACACTTTCGCCGAGTTGTTTCAACATCAGTCTCAAAACTTTCTTACCATCAAATTCCTGGTCTGACACACAAACCCAAATTCTTTTGTTGAAGTGGCTTTCAATACGCTCGTGGTTGAAGACTTGTTTTACTAGGGTTGTTTTCCCTAAGCCTCCCATTCCAATAATGGGAAGGACAGAAACAACAACATGGTTGGTAGAGCTCAACAGCATATCAACTATTGCAGATACATCGTCGTTTCTTCCCACAAAATCAGGAGCAACGAAAGAGTTGGTCTCTCGATTGGTTGAGGGTTCAGACAAAGCAGTCAAAAGCTGTGAATGCATCAATCTTTCCTGCAATTGAAATTCAGCAGCTTCTCGACTGATGCCTTTCAACTTGGCGATGATGTCTTGAACCTTCGAAGCCATTCTCAAACGAAAAGCAACACTGTGATGATCATGAGAGAAGGAGGAGAAAGAGCACGTCGTTCCCCTGGGTGGTCGGTTCATGGATTTCACTTGGCGACGAAGAATTTCATAGTTCAATTCATCAAAGACGTCGTAGGCCTCGTAAGTGACCTCTCCGAGCCTCCGAAGCCAAAGTTTCACAGCCTTATCTCGGCTCTGCCTCTCCTCAGCATCAGCCACTACAGCCTGGATCATCTCAACAGATTGCCGTAAGTTTTCCAAATCATTGCTGAACCCAAAAATTCGAGCAGCCTTTTCCGTTGCAAAGGAAAGAGCACTGTTCAACACAACTTGCACAGTGGCACCAAGAACTTGGTCAGCCATATTTTGGCCTAGAATTGATGCCGTCGTTGGGTAGGATGATTTCGGAGAGACAGAGAACGAAATTCAATTAGCATGTCGTGAAATGGTCCAAAGTTTCAGCAGTAACAAATGAAAGGTACACTTAAAAGAGTACAGCATGTGTCTAAATTTAGAGAATGTATTTATGGGAAATACGAAGTACAATAATTCATAATCTTTCATTTAGATCAATCTGGGAAACCAATTGAGAAAAGCCTATAAACAGCGCAATCAGAACTACACCACAGCAGATTAGGATGAATAGCAGAGAATAATGAAATAAACTCCAAAGTCTCGAGTATGAATATTTTTTTCTTGAAGTCCTGGAACTTATTACATCGGACAATTATCATAGTGATTAAACGGAAGTAAGAAATAAAGGGTTAAAAAATCACTTACAATTGAGCTGCAAGAAGAGCAAGATCTTTTCTGCCCTTTGCTCTTAATTTGCTGATTTGCTTCTTCAAGACAAAGCCTCTTGAATGTGAATACACAGTGATTTCAGATGACTGAGAGTTTGAACTAAAAATTGGTGGAGAAGCAAAGTCTACCTACCCTACCTTTAAGCAAGTCAAAGTATGAAATATTCCAATCAATTTGATTTAATTATGTGGGAAATTAGGTGATATGTAATTTTCATTGGGATTATTCTGTTAATTATTTCATTGTCATTGCGTCCTTCCTGAGGCCTTCTCCTCTGGATAAATTATATTTCTTAATTCATTGGGAGCACGTCAGTCCAATGAATGGTGAATGTTATAATAAAGTGAAAGGACCAATATCTTTTTCAACTCAAATTAACTCTACCTAACGTATTCCACCTTCTTGTATCCTTCAAATGGAGACGCCCAAAGAAAATAGCAGTATTTGTGGACTATTATTTTATTTGCGGACTATTTATAATATCTAATGGACAAGCAAGACTCTACGTACGCATCTTTTGTTTTCACCAGTTGTTTTTTTTTTTTTACGTTAGTGTGCGTTTGGGGGACGACTTGTCAATACAGTTTTACAATAGTTATAGCCGCTTATTCCTTGAGTAAAAATAGTATGAAATGTGATCTTGATATGGCGATTTCCAAATCAAATTACAATGATTATGCAAACCTCTACACATAATTATAGATTGGATGCATGTTATACACAAATTTTAGAGAATAAAAATTCCTATGGAAATAAGATTGGATAGATTGAATAAAGTACAGACACCAACAACATGAAGGGGAAAAAAAGAAAGGTGCGAAGGAACTTCAAAACTATCATATATTTGTGGATCGATTATTTATCACTATTTTCAACTTGCCACCCCATAACTAATGCAGCTGACCAGCCAGAGAATGCAATCTTCAAATTGAGCCACCAATGATCAGGCCGGACAACAACAGTGTTTCTTCCACCTGAAGATGTCGGGAAAAAGCATGCCATATTTACTCTACTCTGTCTTCTTCCAAATCAACATTATTGTCGCCATCCACCGGTTTCATTTCAAATGGTGAGGAAAAAGTCTGTCTTGAAGGCCCAAATATAAGCCCACATGTGGTTCCACCTCAAAAGTAATTGGCAATAAGGAGAGTAGCATATGAGGTATATATGTTGAGTTCAAGTGTCTTCATCCATCTATGTGAGACAATAGAACATGATGTCATTTCTTTCTTTCATTCATTTAACACTGATCAGCGTTAAGGAATCATCTCTGTCGAATTCCTCACTTCCAACGTCCAAATATGCATATCTTTATAAATAGAAGAAAAAAAAAAGAAAAAGAAGGTGAAAAATCAATGAAAACTTGTATCACATTTCAGTACGATAATTTACAGGTGGAACAGATAGACTAACTTACCGCATTGAGTTCTGGGATGGTCTCCGAAGAGCTCAGATGATGCAAAGGAGCGAGGAGGACGGGACCTGCCAGAAAGCAGGAATGATCCATGCATTCTGCCAGTGCTCATTGTACACGTCGCTTGACTTGAAATAAAGCTACAAACCAAAAGTCAAAAAACAGCAAATTACTACAATAATTACACGGTAACCAGAAAAATAGAAAGAGAGGGGACTCCCTCAGACCAACTAAAAGGTGATAAGAGTTCATCCTCACTCCCAAATTATGCTGTCGGAACTCGGAAACAACTGCATGCTGTGATAGCCCTTTTAATATTAACAAGGAGGTAAAACATCAGGAAAACCAATTCACTTCAGGAGGAAAAGCCTTTTGTAATGAAAAACTTGATACGAGAGTAAAATGAAAGGCTGACAGGCTGCAGTTTGTCTTTGAACCAGTTACTCATAACAAATCCAACCGACTGACACGATAACTGCCACAACCAATGCATTAGTGAACTTCCAGTAAATATCAAGCTTGGCCAACATCCGTCGGGCCTGGAACACAACACCAATCATGGAAGTACACAATTGTAAACTTTTAATACTGTTAACCATTAATTTTGTAAACCTCTAATTCGGGGTAAAACAGGATGAAAATTTTAATTACTGTTATATGAAAATTTGGGATGGCTTACTTCAGGTGTTACTTTGCCTATATTTCGCTTTGGTCGGGACAAGAACATGATTAAGTTTTATTTTTAATTCGTACCATAAACTTGTATATAGCCCATCTCTTGATAATGCAAGATAAAAAGAACCTTGATGGTGGCTGTCTAAAATTAGGGACTTACCTGAGATAACTATAGAGAAGTTCTTGATCTTAAGCCATCCTTTTGTAGTGTCTCTTTGGATGATCTTATGCACTTCTTTCACTCAAACCATAAAAGGTGCAGGACTCAATCCACACAGCACCTTAGACACATAAACGGCATCCCATCTCTTATAGCATCCGAAGCATAAGGATTTCGGATGAAGCAAATAATCTCCCACGAGCCAACCAAGGAATAGGAAGCTAGAGTCCTGTTACAAAGAGTGTTAGGTATGAAATAACCGAAAAACATTTAGCCGTTGCATAGTCAAACAAGGTTGCAGGCCTCAATTGTACCATTTTACAGTTTTCCAGGGAATCTCGGAGTTAACTGATCAACATATGATTTCAATTGTTATCCTAAGTACGTGAGATGAAAGAGCTATGCTTCACATTTAACATTTTTGCAACCTTTTTAGTACTTTCTTCCTCTTCTCTTTTCGGGTTGTTTTTTATGATTCAGAAAACTAAAATATGTTAAGGGCTTACTTCAATAACATTGCTTTTCCACGCTACCCTGAGCCGTATACATGTGGATTAGCACCCTTTTGCTATAATCTTCACAGCAGTATCCAAATCAGCTTGCGAATTTTGGATGGATAAGCTGGCCTAAAGATATTGTTGGGTCAGCCTGAAAAAAAAAAACAGAAATCACTCAGCAGTAGTTGTAGAGAGGGAAATGGTTAAAATTACAAATACAAAGCTGGGAAAATTTGAGAGTTACCAGCCAAAACTGGATTCACCATTCTTGAAAATCATCCTGAGCAAATGATTGCAACCAAAACTACTCTGCAGGTTCTCTACTTTATGGTTTGAGGTGAGGTAATCGTCATCCTTCATCACATTCTCTGATGGCCTTCTCGTAGATGATTCTGAGTAACGACGAACATAACAAAATAAAGACCAATAATCTGTGTTGGAATATTAAAAAAAAAATGCGAGTACAGTTTGCGATTGCAGGTATGAATCCACATTTTAAACAAGTGGATTTGCGCATTGTTGGCAAAGTTATTAATTGCTATATCATCGAGGTCAAGAAAATTAACTTTGTTGTGTTTGAGACCCTGAAAGATAGAAGAAAAACTTAGCAATCCTCGTCAACATGACAGCAGTATTGGATTGGATTAAGAGATTTCTGCCTCCGTTGGAAGACAGCTATGTGTGCTTTTGAAGAATTTGAATTGGATGCATATAGGGTTCAGGTGAAAAAAAAAACACACAACTAAATCTTGCATGGAAGTAGATTACAAGTTTCTCCCTGCCCATTCTTTCTTCCCTCCCCTCCAAAAAAGAGTCTACTTTTATTACTTAAATACAATGAGCTTAATTTTAAACATGCAATCACAACTATACTACGACAAATTAGGATGAACTTATTCATCACATCAGAACTAGTTATCGAACCCACAAAGCACAGAAGCAACAGATGAATAAACCCGGAAATCAAGGATATGAAAGAAAAAAAGAAAAACAAGTTCAATCTTCATGGAACTTATATCAGCCGATATCATACCAATTTTCACCAACCCTAATCAAAATGGAAGCAAGAAATGAAGGCTTAGAATTGCTTACATTGTTGGTGCAAGAAAACCAACAATGTGGTGGAATACGAAAGGTGCAAAGTAACTACAAAACTATCATATATTTGTGGATTGATTCTCTATCATTCTTTTCTACTTGCCACCCCCTATTTAATCCAGGCAGGCCAATCGATTCCATTTCTTCAAAATTTCAAATTGAGAGAGCAATGATCAGGCCTGGCAACAGTGTTTCTTCCAGCTGAAGATGTCCGGAAAAAAAGCATGCCATATTTACTCTGTTTTGTCTTCTTCCAAATCAGCATTATTGTCGCCATCCACTGGCGGCTTCAATTCAGATGGACTTCTCACGTCCTTTGTCGGAAGAGGGGAAGGTCTGATCAGCGTTAAGGAATCATCTCTGTCAAATTCCTCGCTTCCATCATCCAAATACGCGTACCTTTATACATTTATTTTTTTTGAAAAAAAGGGGGGTGAAAAATCAATGAAAATTTATATCAAAATTCAGTACGATAATTTACAGGTGAAACAGACAGTCCAATTTACCGCATTGAGTTCTGGGATGGTGCCCAAAGAGCGCAGATGACGCAAAGGAGCGAGAAGGACAGGACCTGCCAGAAAGCAGGGATGATCCATGCATTCTGCCAGTGCTCATTGTACACGTCGCTTGACTTGAAATAAAGCTACAAACCAAAATTAAAAAAGGATAAATTGCTACAACAAATTACACAGCAACTCAAAAATAGAAAGAGGGGGGTATTAGTTCATTTTATCCCCCAATTTATGCAGTAGGAAACAACTGCATGCTGAGATAGTCCTTTTGATATTAACAAGGAGGTAAAAGAATCAGGAAAGCCAATTCGTTCACTTCAGGAGGAAAGGCATCTTGCAATTAAAAACTTGATATGAGTAAAATGAAAGGCTGACAGGCTGCATTTTGTCTATGAACCAGTTACCTCATAACAAATCCAACCAACAGACACGATAACTGCCACAGCCAATGCATTTGTGAACTTCCGATAAATATCAAGCTTGGCCAACATCCGTCGGGCCTGGAACACAACACCAATCAAGGAAGTACATAAAATTGCTCGTTAGCTAGAAAAATTAGGAACAAGTAATACGAAATAAAATGTTGCAATAGGTACAAGAAACTAGAGGAAAATATTAGCAATAAACATGCATTGTTGAAGTAAAAGCAATTACCTGAAGCCTATTCAAAGTTGCCGACAAAGATGTGAATATCCAAAGAATAAAGAAGGCATCCAACATAGCTACCGGAAGCACAAAAAAGAGTCTTGCTTTCCCTGAAAAATCACTTATAGCACCGACATTTTCCACTAGTTCAAGGATTTCAGATGCAACAAAGAAGGTGCCCCCAAGCATTAGGACTTTCGAAGTTAGCCCACCCAATGTTGGCCTTACAACACCATAACCCATCGATACCATCAAAATGATTAGACGTGAGATCGTCCGTTTCACTGCACCAAATGTGACGGCCCATACAGTTATTCCAACTGGCCTGACTCCAGTTTCATTAAATTTTGAGTAGTCAAAGTACCATAAGGCCATCTCAAACATTCCTAATGCAATAACCAACGTGATACAGTTTTGCAACGTCAGAACTTCTCTCCAGAATCTTGCATACTGTGAGAACCAGAATACTCCGAGTACCACAAATGCAAGAGACATGAAACTGTAGAAGTTCTTGAGTGGAGCCATTCTACCTGGCAGGTAACCACTAGGATTTTTCCATATGGTTTTTCCTTCAACAACCACCTCTTTCAGATTCAAATCGCAGTGAATGAAATAGAGATTATACATCCCGGTTCTGGTAATTTGTATTGAGCTTGGTCTCAAAGTCGCTTCTAGCTCATTCGCTTCAAAAGATACGTGGAACACCTGAGGCCAACCAGGATTAACAGTTGAAGGGCGGTAAATGATGTTTCCTTGTTTGCATACTCCTAATTTTGCAAGATCAGCAGTGCAGCATATGGCTCTTTGCCCCCCATAAGCTGAGCCACCAATTGTCTCCCTGTCATCTACCTCAAAAACAATAGCTTGGATTGGCCACGAAGTAAAATTTGAGAATTCTTTCGGCCTCCTAAATTTGATCTTCTCAAAACTGTTGCCAGAGAAAAAGTCAAGGTAAGATGCGGGTTTTGTCCCCTAAAACCAGACGGAGAAAAAAAAGCTGGGAAATCAAAGACCTTATCATATTGGGGAAGATCTCTGGAGTGAAATCTAGCTAACAGACTACATGCCATTTTATCGACCAATAAAGGAGAAACACATGAACTGATTACAGGATCACAATGACACAGTTTATCTTATCCGAGACTGAATTAGTTCATCAAGGTGTCATTAGACTGACTTCCAAGCCATAAGAACAAAATAAAGAAAATCAGAGACAATAATAAACTCCAGAAAGTTCAAAGAAACCATCTTCTAGGGGAACTAACTTCTTCTGTCTCCACAAGTTTCAATTGATTAAGTAAGAAACTCTTAATATATTTTCCAAAAAAGGATGAAATCCTGCCTTAATTAAGTAATTGAAAGTCGTCAGAATTGGCAACGTTCATATCAGTACAAACCTGAAATTACAATAAATCGACAGGAAAAGAACTACACTTGTAAATGCAACCAAATTCTTTCCACAACCCGTGATAGATTCAATCGGTACAAAGCGAAATGGGATCTAAATGGACCGGGAAAAAAAGTAAATCCAAAAAATCCCAAATTTCCAAAAGAAACGAAAAAGAGGTTACCGTATAAAGGAATCTGCAGAGGAGGAGGAAGGGTCAGACTCGTTTAAATTGGGGGAAGAAGAGTATATTCCCTCGCTACCACCATGGACAACGAAGGCATTGCCTTTGATCCCGAATTTTTCTCCGGCGTACTCATGCACCGACGCCTCCACCGTCGCCGCCAGCAAAGAAGCCGCTGCTACAGCAGCAAACACTAGTGTTCTTACTGGAAAGATCGAGGCTTTAGTCGACCTTGGTGTCGACATTGTTGCTGGGACAAATTGAGCTAAACAAAAGAAACGAACAAGAACCCAGTGAAATTCTTCCAGTGGAAAATGGAAAGACGGAAACTAACAAAATGGGGATCTAGCGGTGGAATTGAGTAAGGAGTTGAAATCCGGTGGAAGCGGTGTCTGCAGGAAACTCAAATTAACTAATTGAGCTGTGTTTACTTTGTCGTGTACCCCAAGGTCAAATACGGTCTTTAGTAAAAAGAAACTTTAAGCCCAGGTTAAATTCTTCTTATTCGCAGATTAATTTTACTCCCTCTGTCCCAAAATTATTGTCCACTTTGAGATTTCACTTTTAGTACAATTTGAACTAAAAATGAAAACTTAAACTGGACAATAGTTATGGGACGGAGGGAGTATTTTAATTTTTTCATATTCATATAAAAAAAAAATAGTATTATTCTCTCGTCCCAAAATTATTGTCTAGTTTGTATTTTTAATTTTAGTATAATTTAAACTAAAATCTAAAAATTCAAATTGGATAATAATTCAGAACGGAGGAAGTATTATTTTGTAAGCTGGTTAAATTCTTTCTAAAATAAATTTTTATCTTGTAGGCGGCACTAAATTACTATTCCTATAAACTAAGAACTTCACAAGTATTTCTATATCTTTTGTCTCAAAAATCATTATTCAATTTAAATTTTTATTTTTTTAGTGTAAATTGTACTAAAAATTAAAATTAAAATTAAACAATTACTTTGAAAGTTAGAGGGGAAAAAAAAAAAGAAAAAAGGATTGTGTGCTGAAGAAACATGGTGAATTTCTTTCATAACACAAATTGAGATGAAAATTGGAATTCGAAAATTGCAACCAAAAGATATAAATAAAAATTTTAAAAAAATTGTTAAAAGACATTTTGCCCCTCGTCGGTGATGTGGGCTCGGCAAAGTTATAAAAAGTTAGTAAAATTGTAAAACCTTAAAAGCACAAAGAATTAACGTACGTCAGTCAGTTCCCAGGAAATTGATAAAAAAAAATGCCCTCATACATCACCCTAAACCACGTAGCACTCATGTCAGATTAAGATATCCTTATCTCACTCTTACCAACCAATTTGTATATGCAATGCATGCACGAAATCAGGATGGAGGATCAAATTTGGCTGTAATTAACTCGGAATGGCAACACTACCCAAATGATAGAAGAGTCGATGGTATGTAAAAAAAAAACTTTTATATTCTAATTAATTACATGGACGTTTATTATCAATCTGGTTTCCAGTAGTGTTTACGTTTTGGGTTACGTTTTCGATCAAGGAATCATGCATGGTAGCTGCTGATCAGCCATTCAAATGTGACAAATGTGATTTTTTTCAGGTTAACCTTATTTTTATGTCGGCTATTTATATGTTCAGTACTAACTTTCCCTTTCAAATCTAGCATCAGAGCTTCCACCCAACTTCATTCAACTGAGTACTCACCTGCTGGCCACAGTACCTGGTGGGAACTAATTGTTGCTCAAAGATGTGCGAAAAAAGGTACTTGCTATAATGGCCCTGTTTTGCATTGTATTATTTTATGCTGCAAATTACTAAGCAAGGTAACCTAACACTTTCGTCTGAAAAAAATTAAGAAACAAAAAACTAAAGAAAGGATTGGTCTGTATGTGTTGCAGTTCAAAGAACATGAACAGGTTGAGGGGAGGAAACCTTCGGTTGCAGAGGCGTTGAAGTGGCTGGCTAAGGCTCTTCGACCTTACAAAAAGGAACCTCCTTTATCGGTACTACTAGCTATAGCTGTGTGGAACCACAATTGGTATTTCTTCTCTCTATAATTTTTAATTTTGTTGTATATTCTGAAGTAGCACCTTTTCATATCCTAATCTGTAACTGTTTGCAGGAGAAGGGCCTGTATCGGGTGTATGCATGCTTATGGGGAAGTTGTTGAAGGTGATATTCTTGCCATTGGATCAGGTTCAGTAGAGGCTGAATTAGAGGCTGAATCAGGAGTGAGACTGTTGTAAGCTCCCTTCTCCTCTATGTGCTTCGATGTAATGTAATTCATTTAAATTGTGTTGGAAGCTAAACGAACTAGTTTCTGGTTTTTCCTTGTAGGGGTAGAGGCAAAATCCAGATGTTGTCGGTCCCTCTAGTTGCAGAGTTGTGCAAAGGGGCGATATGCAGGGCTGCAGCTGTTGCTCCTCATTATGGAGCGGTTGCCAGTGGTATGTTTTTCGTTCTCCTGGCCACTGTCTTCCTTGCCTGTTAGTCTGTCGCTATATTTATTTTCTTGATAGTTGCTTCTTTTCTCTGTTTTTAAGTTTGCCGCCTAGGAAGGGGGGGGCTGCCGAAAGCTCTTCGAGGAAGATATGCAAGAATGGCAAAACAAGAACATCAAAGTCCCAAGGACGAGGTTCCAGATCGTTGGAAAAGGATGGTGATGCAGCTGGCTTCTCTCGTCTTCTTTTTTATATGCGTATCTTGTGGTTTGATGTTGGTGAAAACAAAATGTTATTCCGCACTTGTCAAGACAAAGTAAATAGACTGCTGCCAGCTTTCTATTATTGATAACTTACGAAGTGAAAGAAATATTTAACCCATTTTGATTTCGTTCTAAATTTTATCTAAAATGTCTTTTTTATATTAATAAAAACCTTAAAAATATTTCATAATAATTGGGAGAACACAACAAATGTGAAAATATATTTTTAAAAATTTTTTTTAATTAAAAAGATATTTAAACATAAGACGGAATCAAAATGCCTATAATAAGGATCGGAAGGAGTATAATTTGGCGCACGTTGTAGTGTTGATGTTTCTATAAGATTTTTGGAATAAAAAATATTATGAAAACGTGAATCATTTTAAGGCTTTGTTTGGTTGCATTGAATTGGGACCAAGAATTGGAATTGGAGCTCTATAATTCTAATTTTTGTGTTTGGTTGCTAAAAATAGAGGTCCAAGAATTGTAATTATAATTCAAGATGAGGTTCAATTCTTTATTTTCAATTCTTTTGTGAAAGCAAATAATTAGAATCCAAATTCAACGCACTTAAAAAAAACATGCGTGTCATAGTCGGGTCGTTTCTGGCTTATAACCTAAACGGGTCGTCCTATCAATTTTTGTCTTTTGACCTTTTTTTAATATATATTTTTTATAATTTTATTTTTTTTCAGCTTTTTTCTTTTTCTTTTTTTGCTTTCACCGCTTCCTGGTGTTTTTTTTTCTTTTTTTTCTTTTTTTAGGCTGTTTGTCTCATTATTATTATTGTTGTTGTTGTTGTTGTTGTTGTTGTTGTTGTTGTTGTTGTTGTTGCGTAATAATATTTCTTTTGTTTCCAATAAAAATGTGTGTACATAATAAATTACAAAATTGATATAGCAAATTAATTAATAATAATTTATTTTAACAAAAAAAAGTAAAAATTGTATTAGTTAAACAACCACAAAGTAGTCAAATATACATGTACATAATGAATTTATTTATTTTTTTGTATTATACATATCCATAACAAAATAAGTTTTTTTTTAAAAAAAAGTTTTTGACAAGAAGTATAAATTGTACTAGTATTAGTTATACAATAACAAACTAATTTCAATTCTAAAGTATCCAAATTTTTATGCATCCAAACGCAAGAATTGAAATTAGAACCTTAATTCTAGTAAATTTTCAAGATCTCCCAAACAAGAGAATTGAGATTGAATTACAATATTAATATCTCATTTTCAATTTAATAGTATTATAATTCCAATTCAATTGCAATTCAATCTAACCAAACGGAGCCTAATCATATTTTCTATCTCAAAATTTATCTCTTAGTTTTCACTTTTCAACAATATGCTGACTCCATTTTTCGAACCGATACTACTAATTAACAGACCTACATCTGCACTCTGCACTTCAATCATGATCATCGACTAAGACAGACATCAAACAAAAGGAAGAAGAATTTGAAGAGATTGTGAGATCTTCCACTACATAATAAAAAGTAAAGGAAGAACCCAGGAGATTTGTTCTGCTACAACTAAAGTTTTCCAGGTTTTGAAACAAATAAAATATGACAATCCATGGTAAATTCTGCACATCTTTTTTAGCAGCAATCGCAAAATAACCTTAAACAAATAAAATAGCTATCAACTACAATTCCTTTTTCAATTTATGAAAACAAATCGCACTGATTGATTCTACACAGAACTTGAAGACTAAAGAAAGCCTAACAATCACCATCCAGCCAGCCGCAGTGCAAGTTTTTTCCCAGTATCCGAATACCGCGATAATATTTGCGGAGGACAAGGAATCTTGACTTTAAACCCTCCCTTCACAACACGCAACTGGATCTCAGACAATATACGTTAATCCATATCAAGGAACTCCATTCTCTTCCTCATTGTACCCTTAAGATCCGAAGCCTCCCTTTCTGCCTTTTGTGCCTGAAACAAATAGCAAATAGGTGTTAAACTCTCTATTATCAAATAGCTTCAGACAAACCAGAATAACAATGAGACGAACGCAGGTATGCCCTTATCCCATCATGTTGGAAGGTTATGTGTTTTGTCAAATAGAAAGACCAAAAATACATCATAAAGAGCTGTAAAGCAAACCCCAAGAAACTGGAGGAACAAAGCAGGTAGCTCCACAAATTTTCCACATCAAACGTTTTCTTACTCAAATATCTTATCTTGGTTAAACTGGCTCTCAGGTCACACATATCAAAACAAGGAAGTTACGTTCTACATAGTACTATTCAAAAAAAAAAGTCAGCATTAGCCCAAAGAGGTAATCCTAAAGCTCACTGATTAACACAAAAGCACGGAAATAATAAATCTCACCCTTTTAATCTCCGTAGATGAAACACGAGTCATGTGCGAGGGTAGTTCTTCTTTGTCCAAGTCCTTGAGAATCACACAAGATACATTATTTTTTGAGTAAAAAATGAAAGAATCTTAAATTGTATCATGGACATAGAAAAGATAGTCAGAGAAAGACGTAAATCTAGAGCAAAAAATGCAACATACATACCAGTTCACCGATTAAAACAACATTTTCCCCTCTAATGACATATAACCCTAACGGGATGTCACAGTATAGATCACCAACAATAACGCGTTCACACGCGCCTTCAAGCACAGCATTTGCTGCAAATGAGACAATGGAACCAGTCATTCAAAAATCCTCACAAGATGTTGGCTGGCAAAAGACCTGAATAGAAGATAATGAAAAGCTCCAGTACCAAATTGATCAAAAGAGCGGAGTGTGCCCATTAGTTTCCGACCATCTCTCAGCAAAACAAGCAGCTTCTCTGTCAAAGAAAAACATTCCAACTATAAAGCCATGAACCAAAGTGACAAAAGATAAACAACAACAACAACAAGAATTTTTTCCCACTACGTGGGGTTAACTAAACGGATACATGTCATCATCGTGCTTGATCAATACACCATTCATCATTCAAATTTAAACATTTCAAGTTACTTTCTATAGTTTCTTCCCAAGTCTTTTCATGTCTACCCCTACCCCTCTTAATTTGAGTTCTTGATTCTATAGTTTTTATCCTCCCAAATTTCAAAATAATAGAATACTTCAAGTAACAATTTCAAAGTTTAAAGTTCAAAACTTTATGATGAAAAGCTTGTTGCTTTTATATCAAGTAACAATGATCAAAGAAATAACACCTAAGTAAACACATCAGGAAAAAATGATCAGAGAAACAAAAATAAGAAGGCTGGAATTATAGCTACGTTCCCAAAAGTTCTTAGCATGATGAGGGCTCCTTTTAAAAGAGACCACCATCAAAGACAAGTCAAAATTTCAGCTCGAAAATTGTTATTCATTTGTCCACCTACTAAACACAACTACAGAAGCATTGGAAAATAAGGGGCTTTTCTAAGACTTGGTGTAAGTACATAAAAATTTAGTTTAACTGATCATCCAAGAAGATGGAATTGAATGTGTACCCTAAATCATAAACTAAGAATCACATTCGAAAGGAAAATCCCAGATTAAACCAAAGATAACATCCTATAAGTAATGATTAACAAGAAAACATCGCATTAAGATCACAAGCGTTCCTCGCCCAAAACCATACATTCCTGGAACTATTCAGAAAGAATTGAAAACTCAATTGAACGAAACACAATCCCCCATAACACGTTTTCTTTTAAGCTAAACGCCACAATTGAAAAAAGAGAAATAAAAGGCAAAACCAAAAAGCTGCAAAATAGACGATAATTCAACGTAGAAAAACAAAAGGGTATAAAAAATACTCCAAGAATTCTAACTGTGATAATCGCAATCAAGATTCCAACTTTAACAAAAACTCATTAATAAACACAATATATTTCTTGTCCTTACTGTCGAGATAGCTTGCAAGTGAAGTAGAAAGGTAGATATCTTCCGGGCCAGCCCAAGACATTGATGATGAGTAAAGAAGTGTTCAAAGTTCAAAATTTTATTTTTCGGCACCGCAAAAACCACCGAAAATTTCCCAGAATTGAAGTCAAATCGCATTGGCAGGTGAAGTTGGCCCAGCCCTTATTGCCCTCCTCCTCACCAACCAATCTCCAATTATAGTTTGTTCCTTCAGTTGAACAGAAAGAACCCACACCTCCAAAACCCAAGCCTAATTGAAAGAGAAGAAAAAATTGATTGGGTTAGAGGGAGTGTGAACAGACTGTGGAGGGTTTTAGTTCAGATCTGAATGATGAAAACCCTAATTAGAGAAGGTGTTTGGGGATATATCCCCAAATCTGGGGGGAAGAGGAAGGGGACGGATACTGGAAAGAAAAAAATTGAGAAGTGAAAGAAAGAAAGACTGAAGAGGAAGGGGAAAATGTCTTAAGCCCAAGGGCTGACCATTCAAACAATAATTAATATCAAATATACTCCCAAAGTTTAGCTGGTTATCAAACAATATCCCTCAATTGGCAGGTCAATTATCAAAACAGTCCTTCATGCCTGGTTCACCAGTGGGGATATGAAAGAAAATGGGTTTAATAGTATTACAATTTCTATGATAGTATTCTATCAAACCCAATAAATTGAAGTGGATTGAAAGAATGGGAGTGAAAACTAATATTGTGGGCAAGATCCATTCCAAATTATTGAACCAAGCACCACAAATGGATTTCAAACTCATAGAATTGGTATCACACCCTCTAAACAAGCATCTCAAAACTCGATGTATGTGAACTCAGGCAAAAAATTGCATGAAAAAATGTTTGTACCCGTAAAAGCCCTCCTTAAATTTTTTTCAAACTCTAATAATATCAAATATCCATTTCCAAATTTTGATTCAACTTTCGGCTCATAAAAAGTGAATATTCTAATTTTGAAGTAGATATTTGATTCTATTATAGTTTTAAAAAAGAAAAAAAAAACATGGAGGGTTTTCTTGGAGGTAGAAACAATTTTTTTGGTACCTTTTTTTTTTTTTTTTTTGACTTCATGTGTATACATCAATTTTTAGTCGCTAAAGAATCTTTAGCTAATTGACTTGTCAATTAAAGAATATTTTTTATATTTTTTTTAAATAAGGGTTTTTTATATGTTAGTTAAACCTCATATGTTCTTTTGAATTAAAACACAACAGTAATCTATGATGACTCCCCTTTTTTTCCTTTTATATTTCCCCACTTCCAACTATACATTCGTTTGGTATTTTTGCTTTCGGCCTTTTTTTTCTTTGATATTCCAAAATATTTGATGGATATTGTAATTAATATGCACAATCTACTAAAATATACTAACTTTTATTGGACACAACTAGTTATTAAAAAGTATAAACGAATTAAGAAAATCAGTTAAGAGAAATATATGTTCATCGAAATGTAGAGTGATCATGCGACATTGTAGAGCAATAGTGATAGCATTAATAACATTTTAATTGATACTACTAATTATTTCCATGTTAAAATAATTATTTTAATATCATATTGAGGCATTGCAAGTAAAAATAAGTTAATAACTAAACACAAAATTGGATATTTTGAAGGAAAAAAAAATCCTCTCTAGTATTTGATACAAGCTACACGAATTACATAACATGAGTTGCATCCATCAAAGATGCAACCATGAAAAAAGAAAACAAGAAGAGGAAAAAATACGTACTCCCTCATAAAAATAAAATTAAAAAAAAGAAAGAAAGCAATTCAGCTCCAATTATGTAATTGTACAAATTTATAGGCAATAATTAGCGACTTCATCGATCGCTCTTCCACCACAATTAACAATTAATATGAAACTTAATTGGTATCACTCCATCGTACCAAAAGAAAGAGTCTGATTGTTAGCACAATAATCAAAACACTCCTTCTGTGGACAGATGAAATATAATAAAAATTCAGACTCTCCATATCCCAAGCTTCCGATCTTGAAAAAAAATAGCAAATAATCCATGTGACTCGAGTATAATGTAATTGATCTTTCATGGTTTGGTACTTGTCTCTTGCTTGGGGGAACCATCAATCTAGATCAAGGACAATATCTGTCGTTGAGAAGGAAAATAGATTTGAATGTTAATGCAATTATTCATCAAAATTGATAAAGAAAAACAGCTTAAATTAGTTACTTTTTTGGAAAAAAAAAAAAATTGGATCATAAATGTATTTCATTTCTTTTTTCATTTGAGAAACATGCATGGTGAAGAGAGGGAAAAAGGGCTTACATTCAGAGTCAGTCTTGACCCATTTACATGATCCATCTGCTTGTTTATCTTGGCTTTCATCATCATCCTTCTGGGCCTTATTATTGGGCCATGAGTCCACAAGAAACCTTTTTGTAGATGATGCTCTAGATCCATTCTGTGGGTATATTTTCTTGGACAGCATTGTCCTTAAAAGCTGCAATTAGAGTATAATAATCAATTAAATAATTAGTACTAATAATTAACAAAAGACAAACCTAGGAATAACAAAAGGCTAGCTACAATCTTAGAGAAGATCTTTGATTGCACCCACTACCAAAATTAATAAGCCATCATCACCCCATGCAGAAAGGAACTAGCTCAAAACTTTACTGCAATGCTTCTTTTCGCTCTTTATTTCTTTCTTTCTTTTTTTTTTTTTTGCAGAAATACCATTGGAATTCAGAACTAACACGAACACATAATACAGGATTTCTAACTGATATGTAAAAATACAACTGGAAAGATTCTAATAGTCGATATTATGAATACGTAACTTACTAAAATTAAACTATTGTACCCAAAAAAAATAATAAATTAATAATATGTCATCTGACAAAAATCACATCAATATGACGAGACAAAAAAAAAAAAAATCAGATCTTTAAAGTCCGGCTGAGATGGGAAAGAAGGTCACACTCGAAATTTTGCAATTTTAGGATGGTTATCGTGTGATTGAAAGAATTAAATTTATATTGGAAATGTAAAAATCGCTACAAACGAAAGATAGAAAAAAATATTAGGGTTATGACTTACCTTTTCCATTCTAGATTCTTGAAGGGTATCTCGCAAGCTAGGAGTAGGCACAAATCCGCTAGTGCAAACGAACATTTTCTTGAGTAGAAACGAAAGGGATTTCTTCCCGATTGCCTTATTCTTGCTCTCCATCGAAACTTGTTTGCATCTCCCGATAATAGCCCTGATCGTCCGATCAATATCTTCTTCATCTGGATTCTCCCTATACTGATCCGAATAAATGCTGTACCGACTCGAATTCAAACGATCCACATCCAAGCTTGAAGGGCAATTCAAGAATCTATCCAACGGCAAATGCTCATTATTATTATTATTATTATTATTATTGGTGTTGATAATACTAAGATCACGACTTTTTTGATCTTTTTCCTGTTGATGATGTTTCTTTTTCAGGAGCTTTGTTAGTTCTTTCTGGAGCTGCCCGACTTCCTCCGGCGTGAATTCGGCCAAATCCGGGGAAGTGCTTCCCTGGATTTCGCTGTTTTCTGGTGAATCGGTGACGACGACTTGGGCTCGCTGGATCTCTTGATCTTCCTTATGATCTCGGTTGCCGAAGGTTCCAATGGTTAACAGTCCGTTGGACCAGTCGTTGAATTTTTCCTTGTTGGGTGGATCTTCTAATACTTTAGCTTGACCTGCACGTAACGTACGCAAGTGTCCATCAATATGACTTCTGAATTTTAAGCTGTTTATTTCATTCCTTACAATCAAAATAAAGGGTTTTGATCATACATCAAGTTGTTGTTATTGTTGTTGTTTTTTTTTTTTTTTTTTGATGCGATGAATTTGGAAAATGCATGCCATGTGAATCAATCATCATGAAAACCCTGGAACTAGCTAGGTTGCCGTTTTTGGAGGTTTCATGCCATGTGAAACCATCCAAAATATGTGGTACAAGTACAATACAACCTCCGGAATAATCACATCACCAATCATGATGCATGCATTTTTTTTTTTCTTTCTTTACTTATTTTTATTTTTGTGGGGAAAAATTGCGTGGATGGATCATGGATCTTGTAGTTGGATTTAATTTGCATGTAGTTAGAGTAATGCATGCATGGGATATATGATGGAAGCTAAATAGATGGACAATAGATTTGTTAAAGTGTAATATCCGTCTTATATCGCTAGCGTGAAGATGTGACAAGATCAACCGATCAGATCAATCAGGTTATACATATTATATCTTCTATCCAGCTGATTATGTACTTGAATTTTGAATATTATAATAGAATGAAAGAAGTTAAGGGGGGGAAAGGTAAGAATCAATTACTTGTAGAAGTTGAAGCAGGGGGAATAACCGTAGCATTAGGCTTCTTGCTGGTTTGTCCAGCATTAAGCTTATTTTGAACCCAGTTGAAGAACTGCACATTAACACACGAATCATCAACCACGCACATAATAAAATGATCAGTATTCCAGCAGTTATTAAAAAAAAATCTTAATCTCAACTTGAGTCAATTGTACTCCAATCCATTTTTTCTTCTTGATCAAAAAAATCTCACCTTCATTTGGAAATTAAACCCAAAAGTCCTAGTCCACGGGCTGGCCGGCCGAACTCCAAACGATGAATCGATCAATCTTGTAGCTAGCTATACCACCCCCTCTGAGTCTAGAAGAAGGCAGGAAATGAAGGAATGGTGTAAAAGATGAAAAAGCTACCACTTTTGTGAAGCAGATCCTCTGAAAGCCAATATTAGCTAGGGTTTGGGCAAAATGGTTTTCTTCTTGGAGGAGTGATAGTTTAAAAAGGTAGTACAAAAATTAAGGATGATGGATTTGTTGTTATGCTGAAAACCATGGCAGGTTGGCCAGCCTGATTAGCAGCTATTGGTTCAAGTTCCTAAATGCTGCCCTTTTTGACAAGACTCTTTTTTAAGGATTCATTCCCCAATCCCCAACTTGGCTCTCTCCACTTCATAACCCTTTCTTTGATCTCAACAACAACAACAACATAGTACCATTAATATTGTAAACTCTTAATTAAACTCTTTTATAAGACATACAGTACAACAATTTGTTACTCCTACTTACTAGGGTTTATATTAATTAATTTGTGGTTTTACTAACTTACGGGGTTAATCTTTTTCATTGGTGTTCCCTAAACATTATGGGTGAGAGTTATGCGGGGAGGGTTTGTTATAAAATCTAAATTAGCCTTCGTGGCACTCCTTAAATCCATTCAAGTTCCTTGATTGCACTATGATATTCTTGAATCATCCTTAAAAAGTGATTAATCAAATCTCGAAGAACAAGTAGTCATCTCATGGTCAAGAGCATGACACGGGTTCTACTTAATTATTATGATGATCAATTTAACTAAACACCAACCAACTTGATTTGGTATATGCATTAAGGAAATGATCGAATATTCTCTACACTTATTTGTGTTACATCTCTTTAT